AGAGATAAAAGAATAATTTCATGACCTATAAACACAGACATAAAAAAGTGTGTTCAGACGAATATTTTTCACTATATTTGAGTAAAAAAATGATGTTTAAACAAAGTTGAGAAAATATTATAGTAATATATGAATCCACATAGAGGATTTGACTTAGAGAACTAAACACACTTAACTCTAATAAAGACATTTTACATCTTAAAATAGATGTAAGGGTTACTCTTAGACCTAACTTATACCTCGAGATATCAATAAACCTCTTATAAAGAGGAAGAATATTGAGAGATTAATATAACTTTAGTTAAAATAAAAAAACACATATTATGTTATTATTTTTGTGTATTTCACAAGCTTATAAACCTATCACTTATAATATTTTAATTTTTAGTGTAAAACAAAATTACAAGTAATAAACTTAGATATGTATTCAGAATAAATAAAAATAATAATTTATACATGTAATTCTTGATATGAGTATTTTTTTAAAAAAAATATAAATAGAGAAACAAATATTATATAATTTATCCAAATTTTCCAATTTTTTTTTTACTACACAAACTTAAACCTTAAAAAAAAATTGCAATAAAATTGTAAAAGAGGAAGAAAAAGACAATTAAATGAGTATCAAAAGACTGAATTTGTAATTGCATGCGGTGCGATTCTATTTTGACCCGTAGATGGTATATGTTGATTTGATATCATAATTATAAAAAAAATGTAACAATTGTATTGATCTTTGATAATATTAAATAAATTCTTTTCTTCCTTTATATGATTTTATAAATATATAGATATACAAACGAAAATAAAATATAAGATATAATCAATAAAATCACTTTGTTTCTGCTATTTTCTTAAGGATGAGACTATAAGACCTGATCAAAAATTCTTTCTAATTGTTTACTCTCCATTATTGTTAACCTGAACAGGTGATGAACTTCATCCTTTAATTTAATTTTATTTTTCCTTTCTTATTACAACAAAAATAGCATATCAAATACAGCACAAGGAAAGGCTCTGATTAGGATTTTTTTTTTTTAGTGTGACGGGTGTTGCTATTAGGATAATTTTTGTGTGTCACAAGTTGCACAATCTCACATTCAAATAGCAAAATAATAGGCACAGATATGTAAAGTCCAAATCAATCCAAATGATGCACTATATAATATACTTAGATGGTCTATACACACTTGGGACACCCACAATTATTCATGCATGACAATTAAAATGAATAAATAATTAAAAGAATAATATGACAGGTTTACTAGGGAGAATGGTTAAAAAAATCGTCTTGAAATATTTTCAATTTAGTATGTTTAATATGATTAATTATATAATAAATTGATTTGATCAGTAATTTAGTCACAGTTAAAATAATACTTAATAATAAATAAATTATTGGTTAAATTATAGCACGATTAATCATATTATACATAGAAAAGAATTTAATCTTCTAATTAATATATAATTTTCTTCTATCAATATTAATCACAAATAAACTTGATAAATTATCAATTAAAATTTAGGTTAATTGAATCGATATCTAGGGATTCTCAAATTTAAGGGTAAGATGCATGTTCTTACATTTTAATTTATCTTAAAATATGTAAAAAAACATATAATTTATTTTATAGGTTATAAGTTATTAGTTTGGTATTATTATATTTTTAAATTATATATTTAATATTTATTGTATAAATATGTTTAAAATTAATATATTTATTATTTATATCCGAACATAAATATGATATTAATTTTTAATGAAATAATATCTTTAATTAACTATGAATTTATTCTAAAAAAAATTGACGATTTATTTATTTAGTTGAACTCTTTTGAAAATTCCCATTTTACATACATTTTCACACTGCTTATATAATGCATAGAATAATTGCAAGTATTACGACAAATCAAAGTTTTTATAATTGCGTTGCCATCCATTCCGTAGGACCAAAATATATCTCAAAGTTATTAAAGTCACATCAACGTTACATGTTCGCCAAGAACTTCCGATAGTTGGTATAGAAATAGTATTGAAACAAGTCAGTAGCTCCAGACTTTATTTTTTTTCAAATTGTGAGCACAAATTATTATTTAGAGATTACATGCTTTAATGTGTTAAAAATATGATATTATATCTGTTACAATTTCATTAATTATTTAGTTTATTTGCTTACATTTAAAAATTTATCAGATATATTTTTTATATGTTAAAATAAGTGTAAAAGTGGAATATATTAATGTTATGTACCTTAAATAAATTCCATAGAAATATAATTATGATTATAATAACTAAATAAAAGATTTAATTTTTATATCAATAAAAGTTAATTTAAATGACAAGTAGCTCAATATAATTTAAGCAAAATTTTAAATATAAGTTTTATGCTTGTAAATTTTTTTTAATAATAAACTCATTCATCACATATAGATGTGTAATCTAGATTGAATAAAAATTAAATCAGATTAAAATTTTGATCTAAATAATATTACTAATATTATTTTTTTATTTAAAAAATAATAATAATTAACTTTAATGTTTTGGTAGTATTTGCGATGAATAGATATATAATAATAAATCTTTATCCTGATACAGATCTTACTAGTTGACAACGCATTTATTGTAATAAGAACTTACGTATATTATTAAAAATGGGATTTTTAGCGCATTAATACTGTTAAATGCAGTAATTCTTAATACTAAAAACCATTAATGAAATTGCATCTTTGTACATTGCCCAAATATCTATTCCTGTTAACCTTGGACTGTGTCGGGTCTTCGCATCTAGTTCGTCTCTTTCAAGGGAGTCTTCTGCATTTTTGTTGCACTATAAATGTCATGCTACGTCAATTTCTTGAGATCTTATTCTTAACACATCAACGAATTACGATGCCTAGACTTTCGACGTGGGCCAAGAATTGTGAGGAAAAGAATAAAAGGAACACATATATGCACAGTGTAGCTAAATTGAACAGCTTGAATTGTAGGAAGATTGAACATGGTTACACATATGACCGTTGTGTCATCCTCTGTTGAAAGTCACATCTTGTCTCATAAGTGATCGGAATAGTTATGTGAAGAAATAGCAAAACCACCGAACCTTATTTTCGTAATGACTCACCCAATGCCAATCTCTTGAAACCAAAGGTTGGAGAATTTTCTGAATGATTTTTTATTTAAGATGCGTTCAATGCAAAACGTTTTTAAAAACTGATTATAAATTTATATTTACTTCAATAATATCTTGTAATGTAACTTTTATACTGAAATTTACAAATTTTTTTATAATTTTAAGACACTTTAATTGAATGTGTTGAATCAATAAATAAAGCTTGAACTTGAAGCAAAGGGCAAAGTCTGCTGGTGGCCACTTTTCGACCATAGATGATTTATTGTGCAGTGTTTACTCCATGGAGAAATGATGAGGATAGAGAAAGTGGTAGAATCAACTATATAAAATTAAAAAAACATGACTTAGAACATAATATAATTTGATATTTTTAGCTTTTAAGTATATAACAAGTAGTTATTAAAAGAAGAATGTAATTTTTTAGTGGCTAAAATAGTAAATAGATCTCTTGAATATTCTTTATGTTGATAGTTGCTGAAAAATTACTTCTTTCAAAATTTTAAATTAACCCAGTCATTTTAATATTTAAACTTTTTTTCTATTTTTTTTCTTTTTTTTATTTTAAATTTTTTACTAAGTATTATTAATTGTCTTTAGTTATTATCTAACTTATTTGTGACATTTCAAGTAAAGAGATTAATGAAATGTATAAAATTATAATTATATATAAAAAAATGTTGTATATCAATTCAAAACAATATTGATGCTTGAATTTGATTTCATTGTTTAAAATTATTATAGAATAAAAAATATTTAGCTGATACTAATATTAAATTTAAAATTATATACAATAAATTACTTCTGAAAATAAAATATTAAAAATATAATATTTAATTTTTATAGTTTAATCTAATGACTCAAACCAAACTAATTCAGTCTTGGTCGGGTTGATTTAATTTGAATTAGCCCCAAAAGGTTTTAAAACGCCAAACTAAATAAATCCATTTCAACTTAATATGTTTGAATTCTATTTTACCTTAAAATTGAACCAAACCAACCCAAAACACTTCTACTTGGATTCATTACCCTAGTCAACTGGGCGTTCAACAACTTAAGTGTTCTACCTCAGTGCTATGTTTTAGCTTCTGGTTTGCTAGTAGATATGGAGGCCAGGTATTGAGGGAGACGAGGGGGAACCGGAGAGCAAGGTTAAGAAAACATTTGTAAAATATTTGTCATAACTTAAAGAAATAGAACGAGAAAAAAATGATAAAACAAATCATGTAATAAAAAGAGAGAAAAAAGAATATTATTAAAATTTATTTTAGAAATATTACAACCCTTTAATAAAATTTAACTCCTATTGCAGTATATAATATTAAGGACGGAAAACAAGTAATAGGATGATCTAAAACTCAACCGGACAACCTTATAATAATTTATGTCAATTAAGCAATCCAAATAGTTATTATTTTTGTTAAGATTTTTTAAATAAAACAAAGAATAATAAGATCTTTATATATTTTAGAAAAAAGTATTGTTTAAGATCTTTACAATTTTTGGTTTTTCTTATTAAGATTTTAACCAATGACTCTTAGTCTAGAATAAAGTGTAAATTACCAAACTGGATGCAAAGTTCACCATAAAAATTGATTAAACAAATCACTGAGGAAAGCACATTCGGATTAATATACTGTTCAATTCAGCCCATATTTATTCGCACCATGAATTCTATGAAGCTATTCTAGAAGGAAATTATAGGATCTAGTATTCACTGAAGAAGCAAGCCTAGACTCGTATTCAATGTAACTCAAATCTAAATGTTGATAACATTCAGTATCCACTAAGTGTGTCCCATAATCCCAGAAATTGGGATTAGCAGATGCATAACCTTGCTACAAAATACACAAACACTCATATGAGATGTCTCCTGAATTAGTTGAAATTTTCTAAATTTCTAATGGACACTTCCATCGACTGTATCTTTCAATTCATGGGATTCTCGTATATACTTACGCAGTTGGTGTAATTCCTACTTAACACTCCCCCGCTAACATCTTAAACCGCTATTTAGTTCATATTTGTATATAGAGTACAGTTTAGTACCTCTAACCAGTGCACAACCAGAAACAATCATCAAGGTCATAATCATGACATATGCCTCACCAGTAATAGAACCCTGGCCGAACCCTCCTAGATTCCTATTTACGGAGATATGAGGGAGAATCCAGCAACATAAGAGTATTCCCTTCAAAGTTCAGCAATTTAAACAGGAACAACTTCCATGCCTCACAAAATTAAATGTTTCTTACAAAGAGCGCATACAAAAGATGCGCAGAAACAGACACCCTCCCCCCAAAATAAAGCACCAAATAATTATTTAGGCCAAGTAATTGCAGCTAAGTTCCAGCTTACATTGATTGGGTACAATTATGAAGCTCTGTGTCTGGAGTTTATTTGAAGTCAAAAAGTGATTCTATTCAATTTCAATGGGATTGACTTTTATTGCTTCTTGTCCTGCACTGCCAGTAACCGAGTGATTGATTAATCCATTATATCTAAATAACAAAAAGAAAACCCAAAAATCCAATAGCAATTCCTCAACGAAGTCAAACTGACGTTTACCAGAAAGTAACTGAAAATTTTCAACAACAAAAAAAAAACCCTCAACTTCTTCAGACACTGATAGTACTAGAAGGAAAATTTCAAACAAATCACAGCCCAAAACATCTTCCCCAAATCATCTTTGCTGAACAAAGTCATAGACCCTGCAATTCTAACGAGGATAAAAGGCATGCGGTCCCATGAAATGAATTGTGATATTAACTACTGAACAAGTACCAGAAAATGATGCTATCAGCTTTGGGTACTATAACAAGAAAATGTCAGAAAACAATAAAACAAAATTCATATCAATCATAACTCATAAATCATAACCCTTCTTACATGGTAGACAAAAGGAGAGATGGTCCAGTAGATCGTAATTAATCCGCGAAGCAACTCAACTTTTATAGGAAGACCTATAAGATGCAAGGACCATATAAATGTCACTCATCTGCAGAATTTATGAATTAATAATTAAAAAATAAAGATAATGACAGCTTTATATATTTATGCTTACCAGAACAACCAACGTTAGTAGAAATCCACTGATCCCATGTTTAATGCACAAAAGTTCAATCCATTGTGCCTGATAGGGATTGAAAAATTAAAGCCTAAATTAAATTTCTTTGCAGTTTATCTGAAAGTAAAGGTCATAATTCATGATGCTATGATACATAATATAGTAAAAATAAATAAAAAATCCCATCACTTAGATATTGTTGGGTTTGGATATCGATCGGAAATTTTTGTTTTCATATTTGAATCCAATTGACATTCAACGCATCATAAATATGTGTCTATATAATACGTATAACACATGGTACCGAATGAATTAAATAGGAACTGCAGAGAAAGATATTAAAATATTTTGTGTGCTTTAAATGCAAATCATCAAAATTCAGACATACATGTGTTCGCACTTTGGTCCCCAGTGAAACGAAATTGTACTATATAGAAACAGCATAAGTGAAGAAGGTAAACGACAAGATAAATTACAGGCTAACACCGTCTAAAACGAGCGATTTCCAGCGAAGGTGAGTTCAGTTCACCACGGCGAGTGAAGACGGCGATCGGAGAGTTGCGATTCAGGACTAAAATTTCGACCGAGTAAAGATAAGTACAATCGCTTAAAGCGCGTGTTTAAATAGGACATTAATTATACGTTTACGACGAATTGACTTATGATGAAATATATTAATATTAAAAATTAATCCATAAGATATTTTAATACTATAATACTTCGCTGTTTTTTTTAATGCGTGTTAATAATATAAAATTTTAAACATGAATTAGTATCACAAATTCACAAATTAAAAATTGGAGTATTGTCTCTTGTTTTATTCCCATGTCTAGTTCCCAATCTTGGACCACGTTTGGAATAAAGTTAGTTCCCTTCTTATTAACGTTCCCAAATATTAAGCATGAAATTTCACTTCAAATTAAAGGCATTTCTTGCCGTGTAAAGTTACAACACCGAAAAGGAGTGATTCATAGCAGAATACTGCAACTTAGCTTAGCTCACCTTATTTGTTAGTTTCGGAAATTTGGGCTTTCTGGTCGATGCACCTGACGTTCCTTTCGTGGACACATTGTTCTAACATTCACAGAACATATGAAGCTCTTACACATCAAACAAAAGCATCATAGAATATACTAAATTTTATTAAGAATAATATAGCGCATGTGACATTAAACAATGATGGCGAGCGCCCAGCACACAAGTTTAGTGCAGTGGCGCGTTTCATTATTTTGATAGGTTGATCAAATTGGAAATAAAATTTTCTTATTCAATATCACTAGTTAACCAATGATTATAAGAATGATAAAAAATATATATATAATGGTTAAATTTTGATGAAATGAATCTATACTCCTGGGTGGTCGTCTTGTGGTTCAAAGACGCGGTTGTGACAAGTGGGGTTGCAAGGGTAAGGACAATCTATGTGACGGAAAGGCCTTCTTTCATAAAACCAATCTGCTACAGCCTTTGCAATTGTCTGCATAATGTTATCTATTCAGCTGAACAGGATATGAAGGAAAGACAATAGAAAAAGCACACAAAGAACTAATCATATGTTATATTTTCAGGAAAAAAAAAAGGGGGGGGGGGTGTTAGAATAATAATGCAGCATCTTACTGTATTGGCCAGTAGTGGAGAGTCACTTCTCAACCATGTTTCCTGCATTTCAGTTTGGCAATGGGCATAGCATGAGTCTATGAACATTCCTTTAGATGAAGAGCTGTCTAGGACAGTCAACGCCCTTAAGAATTCTGTCCTGAAGCCTGAAAATCAATCCATGCATATAGGAGAGGTCATACAATTGCTATAGTGTATGTTTATATCCGTGTTGAAATGCCACAAAATTACGTTCATTTTGTTGTAATATGACATGGTTTAATGTAATGTGTTTATCAAAATTGATTTTGTACTTCAACTCATATTTGAATTAACGTGATAAATTTCAACTTTTGTGTTGAATTAAAAATCTTCCTACAAACTTACTTTTAAGAGATGTTTTTAAACATAAAACAAATTTGGCAAAATTGATTGATTTTGGGTTTCAGCATATTTCCATGAGACACATTATTAAGATCACAATATTTAACCTTGCATCAGACCGATCTGATCAGGTGAGCAATTGCTTATATCAAGCTTGCAGCTATGCCAACGGCCACGAGGATCAGCAACACCCGGTGCCAAAATGTTCTTAATCTGAATCAAAGTAATATCTCAATGGTTAGGGAAAGGATTGGAAAGATCTCTTCAGTTGTTAAGAGTAGTCGCAAAAGCAAAAGCATCAAATGATAAGTTCATTGATGAATTGCCAAGAACCATTTAAAGAAAGACATGTTGGCGGAAAATAAATAGTACGTAAAACAGGTTTGACTGAATTTCTGATACTATCACAGTTGATTTTACATATACATTTTTTTCATCTATGAATTAATTAAGAGACTACAAGTTTTTCCACTTTGTAGTCCACTCAGCAATTAAAAAGAATTATCTGACCTGCCATGAGTCGTATGCTGCATTTACAAAGAAGATTGGTGTAGTGATTTGTGATACCAAATATTGTGGGAAAAAGCACTACAAGAATGTTAAGAATTTTTATTAGGAACACCAAAGGAGGAATTGCAAAGGTAGAAAGAGAAAACTAAACATCACAAACTCACCAGCCCTGGGCTTAGTCTTGAAATGCATGATCGAGGCAAATTCCTTGCAGAGCCCTAACAAAAGCAAATAAAAATCAGACTTGAAAATTTTAGATATCCCTTGAATGAAAGCTTCAGAAAGTATATTTTAAATCAGAAGCAGAAAAGCGTTGACATATGCAAGTGCTTTGCAAAAGTAGACAATGATTAGAGAGAAAGAAGGGTACATGTGTGGCTACAACTTGACTGAAGAACTGTGCAATGTGCTGTGCTCCAGAGACATCCCTTCTGTTAACAATAACATTGAATCATAAAATGATCTAACTCACTCTTAACATTTTAGGAAAAGGCCAAGTAAAGAGCATATTAAAGGAACTTACGAATTGATAAAGTAACCAGCATCTGAGAGACATTTTACTCTAGCACCTCTAGGTAATAGAGCTCGAAAGCGATCACAATGCAGTACTGAAGTCAACCCTCCAGCTGAACATCCAGATATAATAGCCTGTAGTTACAAGTTCTGGTGAGTGAATGAAAAAATAAAGGAAAAGAAAAAGAGTGACAAATCATCTCATACATTTTGAGCAGTTTTCATTCCTTTTGCTAGTAGATCCTCCATGACAGCAGTAAAAACCCTTGCTCCTCTGAAGTGCAACCTATTTGCCTGATTTACGCACCATATCATTAAAATTTCATCAGAAAATGTAAGGACTAATAGTTTCCTTAAATTTAGATTTTGAAATTCCTTTGAATTTTGCAAGACTTACTGGATTGACTGCTTCCACATCACCTGTAAATGATGACCCATCACAGTACCTAACCTTGATTCTGTTCCAATTGTAAAAATCTGGAATTTACAACATTGATTAGAAAATAAAACAAAATGTTGGATCCATGAGGAAAAACAAGATCTGTTGCCTAGTATGATAGACCTGGATTAAACTCTCGCCTGTTGCTTAAAATTCCTGAAAAGGCAATTTGCTTGGCCATTTGCTTAGATGAACCTAAATGATTGGTCTTGCGTGAAAGGCAAGTGGTGACATTGTTGCACCATCCTCCTCCCTAATTGAAATGAAATACATTATCAATAAAAGGGAACCTTCTATGATTTGTCCAAAACGGTGAGATAACACAATGAACCAAATTTGATATTTAAGAACAACTCTACAGAACCACATATGCCTCTAAATTTGAGAATTAAAAGCCATCTTGTTCAACATCTTAGCCTATGGCAAAAATCGGTAGCTATCATGGCCTGGAAGTAGAAAGCTCAAACAGAGAAAAAATAATTTGAGAGATTTTACTTATGGAACTGTGTCAAGAATCAAGATTACCATTCATCCTTCTTCCCATCCCCTTGGCAGTAGAACAAAGCAATAATTTTACCCAAACACATATAAGAATAAATATGGTTTAATTCAATAAAATGAAAGCTATGTTCAGAAGTTAGTAAAGACTTATTAATGATGGCAGTTTATAGAGCGGTACACACCTCAAATGCAACTAACCAACTGTGAATCCCATTTCCAAATCCCTTATCAAAATGATAAGCTGGTGCACTCCCATCCAAACAAACTGCAAAACATTTTAAATTTCAATTTCTCAATTATTATAAATAGCAAGCATGACATTCAGAGCAAATAAAGTTCCCTATGAGAAGACACATCCAAAAATTCTTACCTGCTCCTTTTGCTACCGCGTTCTGAACATAAGTGATTGGTACATAAGAAGCTTCTGCTGCCAGCAATAGCAGCGCAGACACCAGAAGGTTCATCCATTGGCCTATTCTTGCACTCTCCATTCTGCACAAATCAATCAAATAGCAAAGGATAAACCTATGCATAGAGAACAAGGAAAACACAGTAACTTATTTCGAAGTATGTATGACGATAAGATCTTCTATTCATAAATGAGTAGACAACAAAAATACATAACAAAGGAAACCCTTCCACAGATAGATGAATGAATTATTCATATTATCCTTCCAATCTTTTTTACATTTCCACCTACCGCTTACCAATAAAATATTTACTCAAGTTCTTGTTATTTCAAAAATCATAGAATCAAGTAGTTTGATTTCATATAGAAGAAATAACCCAGACGCCAGAGGAAGTACTTGAATTTATGAATTATGTGTGAACTTGCAAGACGCCACCTTTTGTAGTTGTATTAGCAGGGACGGTTTATTTGGCTTTCAGAACTCTTATGAAGAGTGGAAACCTTCACAGGGAGGGAAGAAAAACTTGTCCATTTCGAAGTCTTGCATTGACAGAAAGGTAGATAGAAAAGGGAAAAGAGAACGGAAAATATAGAAAGAAAGAAATATATGGAACTTGATGTCCTAATCAACCCATATTTAATAATACCTTTTCTCGACAAAGCAAAATGCAAATATTTGAACTTCATATAATGTCCTACAATTAGTGAATTGCTTCATCCATAGAGCCCCAGAAAATGAAACCTCTTGTATTACTGTACCATTAAGGCTAATCAAGCCAACCCCAATGCCCCCTTAATCCATAAACTTGCATTTCCATATATGAAGATCATTAATCAAAATACACAAAACAACAAAAACCAAAATATCAACCTGAACTGTACATATCTTATCACCCATAAGTATCACAAAACGAATCACAATCACTGATCCCATTCCAATCCAATAACTTATCCTAGATTCTAAGGCCGAAGGCAGAATCTTCATTCCAACCCCACAAACTGACAAACGATCAAAGCTGAAAAAATAAAATTATGTAACTGTAGGAATATCAGTACCTGAAATGGAGAATGAGGTGGAAAATGCTGAATGTGTTGGGAAACCAGATTGTGGTACCTCGAAGGAAGTTCGTTAATAAAAGGTAGTTGAGGGTGATGGCTTATAAATTGGTCTAGAAAGTAGAAACAGAATGTAACTAACAATGGTTAACAAGTCTGTTTCTGTGGCATAGTTGGGGGGAAATTGGTTGTTTTGAGGAAGAATTGGCTCTCAATTTTTCATTTTATGTTAAGCAATTGTCAATTTTGTTGTCACTCCTGCAAAAGTGAGAGATAGTACAAAGCTTTTTTCAGTTTGGCAGCTAGAGAACAAGAGCCGACACTTCGGCTCAAAAACCACACTAAAAAAATGTGTAGTAGTAATTTATAGTCATTTTCTTTTTTGATGCACTTTTTTTATTTTTAATTACTTGCAAGGGACAGTCTGACAGACCATACCCAGTTACAGAATGTCCCAAAATTTAGTATCTCAGCTGAAAACAAAATTATAATTTATGAAAATAAACCTGTTTCCGATGCTCATGTTTTCTGTTTTTCTTTTTGTTGATTTAAACTTTAATTATTCAATTAATAAAAGATGATTACTGAACACTTGTTTCAATTTGTGGAAATTTATTTTAATTTAACCTGAGTTTTACATATATATTATGAAAATTAATACTCATATTAAACCTATAAAGTTATATGCGGCATGAGAATAAATTAAAGGGTGTCCTTGTAATGTTGAAGGAAAAATATAAAATTTTGTAAATAACAAGATTGAGGTTGTCTTGGGCGCCAATTTTTGGGCAGGATCCGACCCGAATGCGGTTGAAGAAAGTGGGGCGCGTCGAATCTTATCGGTGTTGCGCGTTCCCACATCAATGAGTGGTTCAAATGTGCATTCTTGGCGCCGACTAAATAAAAGTTGGAATATGGAACCCCAACTTTGGAGCCATGTTCTCGTGAGGCCGTTCTCTTTCTTACAATTCTGAGTTCGGCTCTACCACTCATGTCTTTTTCATAAACAACAAGACAAAAAGGTATCTGTATGCAATTTGCTTCTGACTAATACATTATTTTACTTTGTGAAATTGTAGGTATTGGTCACTTGAGTTTTTAAAATTATCAAAAATTAAAATTTTAACTCTACACACAGTGAATTTAACTTGCTTGTTTGTGAAAAACATCATTCATGAATATTATCATCATGTAATGTTCTAAGATGGATTTGTGTTTGTGGAGAAAAGGTTAAAGTGTATTGATGCTTCATTGACTGAAAAAGTATATGATTACTTATTAGGAGACATTTCGGCATGCATTCGTCTTCATATATCAATGCATCATTGGGTGGCTTTGTGGCAACTAAATCAAACATTCAAACTACCCTAAGTGCAAGGGAACTCAATATTTGCACATATATTTGATATGTAAATAATAATAACATGCGGTGGATTCGTGAAAAATCACGGGCAAATGCAGTGAAAAAAAAAGTTGATAAAATATTCACATCTCACTAGTTGTTGAACAAATCATATTTATTATAATATAGATTATCCTTAAATACGAGGGAAGTTATGTTCTAATCTTATTTATATTTTGCCTTTTCTAATAGTAATTTGAAGGTTATAATTTAATAAACAAAGCTAAATATAGTCACATTCTAATAATTGATGTTATACATGGAATAATATACCAGATTAGCCCTTATTAGTCTCTGACATTAGGACATGTCAATTAATTTTCTAACTTTTAGGGACCATCAGTCTGTCAAATAAATTAATATTGACTTTGATGCATATTAGTCAATCATGTCTTTAATGTCAAATTTTAAATTAATAGTCGTTAAATTTAGAGAATAAATTGACGTGTTATTTGATGACACAATTTCAAGAATCAAATTAATTGATTACTGCTATTTTAAAGACTAAAATAGATTTCTTATAATTTAAAAAATGACTAAAGACAGAGTTCATGAAGAGTATAGAAGAGGGGTATAGCATAGTTTTATGGAGCATGTTGGCATGAGGAATGGGAAGGGCATGATTGGAGTAGAAAGATGTGATAATAATAATAATAGTATGTTATGGTGGAGCAACAAGAGGTGCGCAATTGACGGTGATTTCTTAAATACGCTGTTTGAGAAAGACTACCTACAGGTAGTTATTCTCATTAATCAAAAAGCTGTCATCCAATGACCTTAAAGCCACCAACCTCCTTTTCTTCAACCTTTGTGCCAAACCCCAAAGTGCTTTCCTATACTAACTCTGTTTGAAGAAAGTTGATGTGATTACTTAATTTCTTGATATATTGAGTTGGTTTAACTAACTGATGCCAATGAGGAAGGCAACAACTGCAGCAGTGAAGTTATTGCCTAATACCTAGCTTCCATCTAATCATCCTAACTGGAAGCGATTCTATCTATGTTAACATTAAAGAGGAAACGTGCTTCTCAGAATTTCTCTGCTGCCCATCATGCCTCATCGCGATATATATATATGTCTTTTCTCTTCATAAGACAAGTCACTGCAAATACCAAATTACTAAATTTATAACTTTCAAACCTTCCCATTTTTAACTCATTTATATATTGATTGACATGGATTTTTAACAAATTGTCAATGTTAATTCTTATAATAGAATTTAAACAATTAATGACAATAATAATAATTATGTATATTAAAATTAATATTTTAGAATGTTTTCAAGTATTTTCATTTTAATGATTGATACATACGTATATATGTTAATATTATACATAAAAAAAAAGAAGCTAATTAAGGCCTCCACTTCTCGTAATTCGATATAATAAATATTTTTAGTCCATCTGTCTAAACTCCATGGTCCAGTGCAATAAATTTAGATGTAAATGTAAGCACATGCATTACTATTTTTTCCTATTAATTTGTAATTTTAAAAAAAATAAATTTAACAGAAATTCAAATATAAGAGGTGATATATTAGAAATTTTTACTTGTTTCTTTAATTTTTTTTATTTAAATTACATGTAATATTTACTTAAAAATAATCATGTTTAAGTCGAATAAAATTATTAAAATCGCGACCAAACTCTCTCTTTAAATATTTTATATTTAATAATTTGACAACTTTTTCTTAATGTCATTCTTTCTCTCTAAAAACTGTAGCCACAAAGTAAATACGTAACTTGGTAAACTCAAAATAGTAGCAGATGGATTTATCACAATTAACCACCAACACGTCACGTGAACACACAGCCACTGAAATCGTAGCTAGCTGTGTGCCCCATTAATTGACCTATGCTGAAGGAGATATATAGGATTGCATGCATATAATGTTGTACAATTTATGATAAAATTTATATAAGTTTGCATTGATTGAGAATGTGAGTATATATATATATATATATATATATATATATAAAGGTTCAAAACTCAGCCCAAAATTTTGATCACAAATGCAAATTGGGACTTGTTATTTTCTAGCACAAGACAACGTTCAATTGCTATTTGCATGGACAAGGGCTTTTCTTAATTATAGTATGCCCGTAGCTAGTCCAACGATATATACTTTGGAGCTATTGAAAAAGCAAAATAAGAAAGTTAATTATCACACCAACGCAAACTACCACTTTGTATAATTATGGACAATTTTGATAAAATATTTGAATTTAATTAGAAAATAGTGATAGTATAAAGTTCTATAAAATTCTCTAATTAATCTTCTTAAGATTTTATAAAGGATACTAATAAATAAATGCATTTAATATCTTAGAAACGTTGAAATGGATCATATTGATGCAGCCAGTAATCGGATATGCAAATTGCGTTGTAACGTTATGCAATTTGATTAGAAACATAACAGCTTGTAGATCTAAACCTAAAATTGGTTGAAAGGGATCGTCACAACCGCAATTAGGTCCACTGAGCTTGTTGGCATTCGATCTATAAAAGAATAATCGAAAATTAGAGACTTGTTTGATACGCAAGTGGAACCTTATGCATTAAGAATTGACAAGGCTTTATCGGTTTATCCACACTTATTTGCAGTCTTTTCTTGAAAATGACCAGAAAACTATGGCGACATTGGTCCCGCAATGACTATAAGCTTACGAGGATGCAGTGTCTTGCTCTCTCTCACATCCAATCGAAATTGCATATATCCTTCGTTTTTTCCATTTATCATCATCTTCATCTTTGAAACTTTACGTCTTGATTTACCCTAAATCATTTCGGAAATGTTATAATACATTCATTCATACATACATACACACATATATATATATATGTTTATTTTTTTAAAATTCATCACTTTTAATCCATATGAAATGTATTTTGGAAGAATAATTCTAAATTTTTATGCCTCTAAATCTTCCTATTAACTAAACAGGAAATTAGAAAATATTTATTTATGTTTTCAAAATAAGAAATACATATAATTTTTTATTTGATACATATTTTATTAAGTAAAATTAGGATAGTAAGAAAATTTATAAAAAATATATAATAAACCTTTTTTTCCCACGAAGAAATTCTATGTATCGCTACAAGAGGAATTGAACTTGAACCAAGCTATTATAACAAGGGTAGAAAGTAACAATGAGTCTCAAGTTAGGGGTAAAAATTGAAATTGGTTAATCTCTAAAACAATTTAAAAATTGATATTTCCTTCTGTTTATTTTTTATTTGTCAAGTTATGAAATAAAATTCATATAGCTATATATATATACATTAAAAAAAGAAAAATAGAATATAAGTGTAAATTCTCTTTATTTGGTCCAACGACTCCATCAAGAGAGAAAAGGAAGCCCAACAGCCAAGGGCCCAAGGGAAATTGAAATCCAAGCAAAGAAAAGCGTAGTTTCAGAATTAGTTTGGGCTTTGACCAAAACGGCAATAGTTTGAGGGTGGGCCCATCTTCAAGTTTGTGGTAACAGAGGAACTAATACAAAGACAGAGAAAAATGGTGGCTGAAAGTGTAAATCTATAGGAGAAATAAAAAAGTAGATATGCTAAAAGCTGTGCTAGCTATTACTCGCTTTTCCACAAGGTATTTGGCTTACGCCGTTCAAATTCAATTAATTAACACTCCAAAGTGTTTCAATCCCCTTTAACTTTGACAGTGTGTGGTGAATTGTTGAAGAAGCGTTGTGAGGAAGATGAGTTACACCCCAGCATTTCCCAAGTTCGTTTCCTTTGAAGGCACCGACATAACTAAGCCTGACGGTAAGTAACGTAATCTTTATTTTCTCTTCTGATTTGAGTTTCATTCATTTGTTATTTCAAATCCAGGGTTCAGATTCCGTCTTGTCTCGTATAACATATTGGCTCAGGTATGTTAATTTCTCAATTAAATCCACAAACGTTGATTTTATTATTTTTAACTAACTGTCACTTTTTCAAATCATGTATATGGAGGAATATACGTTTTTCGTTTATTTACTCTTTTTTTCGACATTTGTAATGTAGGCTTATGTGAAGAGTATTCTGTTCCCACACTCTCCTTCCCCTTGTCTCAAGTAAAGTGCTTCGTATCTTGAGTTTCAAATACAAATTGTAGAAATTAGTTTGATTTTTGCCATAATTGATTTGCTTGCCGCAGGTGGAAACTTCGTTCAAACGCAATTTTAACAGTTCTTAAGAACTTGAGAGCTGATTTTTTCTGCCTACAGGTTTTTCTTTTTTGCTTTTGCTGCCATGCGTTTTGATTTCAAATGATTTTCTTCTTCTTATATTATAAATGGTTTCAGGAAGTTGATGAGTACGATAGCTTTTACAAAGGAAGAATGCAGGAGTTAGGATATTCTTCTGTTTATATGAAGAGAAATGGGCAGAAGCGTGATGGGTGTGGGTTATTTTACAAGAATGATCGGTAGGTTCAAACTGTGCAAAACTCATGCAACTTGTGGTTTTGAAGGGAGCCGTTTATAATATAGATTTTTCCTATAGTTTTGGGACATGTGACTAGTGAGCAGCTAGGATTTTTCACCTGGATACAAGCTTATTTAATGGAGTTAGAGAGAACTAGAATAACTTTTGCTAATTCAAGGGTACGGAGGCTGTTTTTGTTGATTTTTAAATTTGTAACTTTTTTTTTCCTATCTGTGTATTGGTTATGTAATGTTCTGGTGCAAACTGCAAAAATCTCAAATGTAATTATGTGGTTATTAAAACAAGCAATAATAGTACTCTGCTAGTCATCAGTTAATTGGTATTCAGATAGGTATTGTTCTCTTTATCTCATTGATGCTCTTTCAGTCTTTATAACCTTTAACTACTTAATTTGTCCTTACTTTTGATTGTTTAGTGCAGAGTTGGTCCTGGAGGAGAAAATTGAATACAATGATCTTGTAAAGTTAGTTCAAAATGGGAACTCTTCAAAAGATGATGAACACAGCAATGTCCAGACAGTTCAGCCAGATGAACAAACGGATGTGGCACCCAAAAATGGTAAATGCAGAACAAAAGAAAATAATTCTTTTTGAAATATAGATTTTTTCTTAATATTAAGGATTTTCAAATCTTGACTTTTGAGTATATTCTGCTTTGACATGGTTATAGTTTTACTGATAAACTGGGGCAGCTGAATTTCTTTATGCTACTTCATTTCTATTGCTGGCACATTACCCTGCTTTCCTTCGTTTGATATATCTTCTTTTATTTTGCAACTTTTTTGGTTTTTTCTGTTCTTTTGTCGTCATTCATTGTTTCTTCACAAAAAGTTAGAAATTGTTGTGACATGAATGCCTGTACAGAGATCAGAGCATGCTATTTCTTCATTAAGTGAAGTTCTAATCCAGGGCCTAAATTGAATATAGAAGATCGTGGAGATCCCAATGATCCTAGTGTGAGACTAAAGCGTAACTGTGTTGGAATTATGGCTGCATTCAAACTCAAAGATCCCTCCTGTCATGTTATTGTGGCCAACACACATCTTTATTGGTAATGAAATGACTTATGTGTATGTGTGTTTTACTTTTTCTTTTTTTTTTCCATTGTTGACTTTTAATGAAATATTGACTTAATTATTTTAGTGGTGGAATTTGTAATTTATAAATTAATTTCTGTCTCAGGGATCCTGAGTGGGCTGACGTCAAGCTTGCACAAGCTAAATATCTTCTATCTCGTTTAGCAAAATTTAAAACACTGGTATCAGATCGATATGAATGCACACCTGAAGTCATTGTGGCTGGTGACTTCAATTCTATGCCCGGAGATATGGTACTAGCATTTCTATAATCTTAACTCGCCTATTTCTTATTTTTGTCTCAACACTGTTGTCCTCAAGCCTTTGTATTTCCATAGTTCATTCTTATGTCAATTGGTTCATCTATATTCCTTTTTAAAATGCTTGTGCACTTGTTCATAGCTTTAGATGTGTTTTCAAAATTTGAGCTGTATTTCCTGAAATGTTTAGTGATCTATTGAGTTTCCCATTTTTTACAGGTTTATCAATACCTTGTAACTGGCAACCCTTCATCAAAACTTATGCCTAACTGTTTAGACGAGCCTCCTCCTATTCCCTTATGTAGTGTCTATGCTTCTTTAAGAGGAGAGCCACCATTTACAAACTACACACCTGGCTTCACTGGAACACTGGACTATATATTATTTTCCCCCTCCAACCGCATTAAACCAATTAGTTTTCTTCAGCTTCCAGACTCTGATGCAACTGATATTGTTGGCGGGCTGCCAAACTTCAGTTATCCAAGTGATCATCTTCCAATTGGTGCTGAATTTGAAATCATCAAGGAGTAAATGTTCTTGTATGCCAAGTGCTATTTGAGTTCTAGGGTGTCATGCTCCATCAACTTTTCCCTTTGAATCTCAAAGTAAGATGAAAGCAAAGCTGGGGAGCAGGTGTACGATGAATTATGTCATGAGATCAACACAGCCACCTGGCAAAAAGGCCAGCGGTCACCGAAAAGCAAACCTGTTTAGGAGATTGTCATATGATGAAAAATTCACGTTTGATTGACTTCTTACCCCTCAATGAAATTGCAGCTCGTTTTGAAGATAGAACATGGTTATATTTTTAGATTTGTTAGTTTCAAAGATTTTGTTATTATCTAATTCTGGTGAACATATATCTAATTTTAGACATTATATTTTATATTATTATATTTGCAGGGAAAACATTTGGGGGAGTGAATAATTAGGCTTAAACATGTTTTTACACGTTACATTTTAGTGATTTTTTAGTTTAAGTTTTTTCAAACAATTTTTTTTTAGTTTTATTAATTTTATTTTAGCAAATAGTTGTTTTTAATCCCTCTCAATGATGTAATTTAACAAAAAGTTAATATTTGACAATTTTTTGGTGATCAAATCAATAAGAGGGACTAAAAAAATTGTTTGAAGAAATTAAAACAAAATTAAAGGGGAATACATTCAATGTTTTCAAGATTGCGAGATCAAACTATTTGTGACTATTATCGAGTGCTTTGTGGAATTGCAGGTTGTCTTGACATTGCATCTGTGTTTGTCTTTGCGATTAGGTGTTGTGTGTAGGAATGGTAATAAGACAGGTCAGATTAGACTTTATTCTAAATATATAGCATAATTATTAGGTTTAAGTTTAGCCTATTATCAGTTAAAGGGCTGAAAATAAATTTGATCTAATCTGTTTGGATGGCTTGATTTAGTCTGAAACTTGTTAACAAAATTTATTATAAAAAAAAATTTTAATAGGCCAATAGGCTTAGGTCAAATCAGTCTGATTTGATCGATTTGGATGCTTGACTTAACTTAAAACTTGTTAACAAAATTTACTGCAAAAAAAACTTTTAATAAATCAATAGGTTTAGGTCAACAAATACGTAATAAACGAGTTTTTAAATATTAATTTTTGAATAATATTTAAATATTATATATATATATATATATATATATATATATAAACAGATTGACTTATCAAATTTTAATAAACTTTATAAATAATTCAGGTTTAGTCTATTTATTTAAATAAACTTTAAAAAAAGTTTAAGTATTATCTGTTTATTAAAGAGTTTAGGCTAAATTGTTGGTTTTTGTTAGATTATTTTACTTATTTCTATTCCTAGTTGTGAGTGTGATTTTTATTTCATTTATGTTGCTATTATTCATGATTTTGTGCTTTTTACTATATTCTTTGATTTCTCAATATTGTGTTGGGCTTATGACTTCCAATACTTATATTATTGGAAATGAGATTGGTGGCAACGCTGGCAATGGAAAAAGGAGATTGTTTTATTTTTTGGCCTAGAAAGGAGATGGGTTCAAGTTGAGTTACAAGGAATGGAGATGGAGTTGTCGATGAAAGTGGAACTAGAAAATCTAAATCAAACAAGATTGTTGTTAGAACAAAAAATGATGTGGGCTTAAACTTGATGCCTTGTATAAATGTAAGTACTGTGAGATGAATATTCTTGAGGTGTTTGTCATTTTAAGCATCATTTGTAAAAACTAAGCAAAATGTTAGACCTTGCCTGTCCTTGATGATGTTTAAGAGTAAATATGAAACGTTGTTGTTAGAGGTTACTTCAATTTTCTAGAGGCACAAAGTTTCTTGGAAGAAAATAAGATGTACTATAATGAAAATTGATTGACAAAAAGTGAGACTAATTAATTTTTGGATTAAGTATTTAGTCTTTTTAAAAGTCACATAATTTGAATTTGAGTTTCTATAAAATATTTTGTTAAGATATAATTTTTGTTTTTCATAAACTATTATTTTTAGTCTTTTTAAATAATATGATTCAACTAAATGCTAACACTTGACAATATTTCAACGTATTACATTAGTTAGAGAGATTAAAAATAATAGTTTGTAAACAATAGAGATTATGTCTTAACAAAATGTTTTATAGAAACTAAATTCAAGTTGTGCAAATTTTATAAGGATGAAACATTTAATTAAATCTTTAATTTTTTTAGTAAATAGTTGTAATTGTTTTTAAATTCTATTGTTTTATATAACATATGCAAGACAACTAACAAAATTTTTTACAAAATGAATTAGTTTGTTGAATAAGTTGGAGAAAAAAATGTAGTGTAACTTATCAAAGATAATGTTGCAAATTATAAGGTAGCAGGTAAAATGTTAATTGACTTTATGGTAAAAGGAAAGGGCTTTATCAGACACCTTGTATTATGACTTTCATTGACTTTATTGTAGAAGATTTTGAGAAAAATATATCATTATATATATAAGCTATTGCAAGTGACAAAAATATCATAATTTATATTTATTTTATAATTGGTCTTATATCTTTACTATATTATTTTATTAAAAAGACTGATTTGATTAGTCTTGCAATTACACATTTTGTAACGTTTTATTTGATTTTAGGATGTTTGAATGATAATACTTATTAAGAATCTTTACATTCAAAGTATAAAAAGATAATAAGTTTGCAAAGACTAATGATGAAAAAATTGTTAGAAATCTAGTTATAAATAAAGAGTTTTAAATAAATATCATAGTTGTTTGTCCTATTGTGCTTGATGGATTTAAAAAATAAGTCCATCTTAGATTTTATTTATGAGAAAATAAATTAAGTTAGGGAGATGATTTAAATCAACTTTAATGATGTTAAAAAATTTATAAAAAAATAATTTTGATTTAATAATTCATAATCTTAGTTTTAAAACTAGTTTAATTTTTTTCATTATTTAGTTTTATGCTTCAACGAAAGATAATTAATAAAAAAATAAAACAATTGTATAGAACTTTGCATATCGTAAATTTCTACTGTAGTCAAAATTGAGATCTTTGTTAAAATTAGAAAAGTTAAGAAAACATGTAAATTGTATGATTGTATTATGTATCTAAATATCTTATCTAAAATACAAAATAATTTTGAATTCATGTATATGCACAGAAGTTAATAAAAATAAGACAAAATAACTTTAAATGACTAGTAACTCCTTTCTCACTTAAAAAACTTTTGTAAATAACTAAATATATTGAAAGTGTTGTAACCTATACGTAGAGATTAGAAACTTGAATCAGGGTCCGAACTAGTGTAACAACTGAACTAAAGTAAGGAGTAGTTGAATCGATACGAAAATGAACCAAATGTTCAAGCCAAAAGCAAAAGAATTAAAGTGAATAGTGTCAAACCCGAAGTAGAAAAATAAAAAAGGAGTTTGGAACTTGTGTGCATAAGAGAAAAAAAAAAGGTTGAAGAAAATGCTAAAATGAACAAGTTAAAGTCTTTAAGTCTAATCGGTCAACTTAAAAAATAGGTCAGATTTGGTGATTTGTGTTTTCAAAAGAAATGAGTTTAAGTAGGATTGTGAAAAAGTCGTTTGAGGCTACAATCTTCCAAATAAGATCTTATAATCCTACCGATTCTAGTTAAACGAGTCAGATAGTGTGATCGGGATCGCAGAGGCACGAGAAAATCGTAAAACCGTACGAATCTTATGTGGAAAATCGCGATTTGAACTAAGTTAACCTGATTTTGTACTATGCTTTGTATCCTGAATCACTCGTTCAGTCTTACGTAGGATTCCAATTTTGACAACATAGCTGTGCCAATTTTCTGACTGATCTTGAAACTAAACTGACCAGATGTTTCCTTTCAGTATCACTCTCTGGTGCTGTCGATATTATTTTTTCATGATCGTGGTGCATGTTCTAAAACAGTCCAATTGAGCCAAAGATTTGATGGTCTGGAGAACGACTGGTAGTTATATACTAACCAATGGATTTAAGAAGTCAATGTTCATTGCCTATTCTTGTCAGATTGTATACATCACAGTTTTCCCCCATTACCCTTGTATTACTTCTATGTACCAATGTTAATAACAGGGTTATAGAATCCAGTATGGAGTTGCTAAATTCGATATCTATTCTTCAAAATACTGGTGCAACAATGAAATCATATTCAGTTTGTTTCACTAATCTTGAGAATCTTGGAATTACGGTTGTTCATAGCTAATTTTGCTTTTCACCATCAAACTATTGGACGGTTCTCATCTGTCTATTCAAGTGATTCTATGGTCATTGTACAGTTCTCATCTATTCGTTATATTGCAGCAGGGCCCTCACGAATCGACACACAGTTATGATTGGTGCGATTCGTTTAAAGTCTGGGACCACGAAAACTGCAAGTTGCAAGTTGGATGGTAGGGGTAGGTTTAGGTTTGTGTCTGTAGTTTACATTTTATTAAGGTTGGTTAAGCTCATACGCATGCTTGCTGCTTCATCAGTCAATTAAGGTAGCCACATGATTAGGTAGATGTGTTAGGCTTCAAGACTCATCAATGCGTGCTTCATTCTAACAAGTGGAGTTCAAGAACCTAATTTTCTATAGGCAAACTTATCTTAAAAAACTCCAGTGCGTGTTTAAATTCAAGTTAAAAATTCTATAAACGTAACAATTATAATTAGGACATCTATATATAGTTATTTAACGTGAATCCAACTAGGATTAACCAGTTACATGACCTTGTAAGCCATTAGATTATAGGCCTGAAGCAATAGATCATTGTCTCCAAAATTTGAACCATACCCAAAGGAAGTGGGGCTGATTGCTATTAAAGATCTTTGCTTATTCGTCGGAAAGTAAAGAAAAATTTTCCCTCGTGCCTTGGGAAACAATACGTAAGGTACCTTTTATGGCTTTATCCCCAGGGTCAACATCACAAACTTTAATTGGGATGCCATGCGAGGTACATCAAATATTTGACATTTCAACTAACTTTTCCATGGAGTGGAATCAAGGGTGGAGCTTGAACTGGATTCTTGACGTAACCGAAATAAAGGCTCAGTATGAAAACAATTTTATACAGTTTGATGAAATTAATTTTTACGGAAGCTTGATTAAATAAAGATTGTGTTAAGGATTATGAATGTTCTTGAAAGATATTCTCAAATTGATTATTATATCTCTAGAGAAAAAGCCTTTAATCGTTTAAACAGTCCTCACCCTAATGTTATGTGTATCAATCAACCAAAAGTCTAAGTGTGCAGTAAAATCAGCCTTTGCAACCAATTTAAGCTTCCCTTTAACACATTAATGATTTAAACATTTCAATTTCATCTCTTCTTATGGTGTGTCCTATTTACAGTATGTATATTTCTCCTTTAAGAGTATTCTGGGAATTAATTTTTAGATGGGAAGAAGGGAAAGTGTAATTTTTTTTTTGTTTTTAATAAATATTTTCTAATTTTAGAAAATAAATACTAAATAATAGATTATTACATCTAAATTTTTATTTTTTATAAATATTATATAATTTTCTTAATTTAAAAATAAAATATTTATTTTTCAATCGCTTTTCAAAATAATTGTTTTTTAACTCTGTCTTTAGAAAACAAATAAATTAATCAAGGTGAGTACTGACAAACTCGTGACTCATCCCATAATAGGTACTTTGGCACATATGTTGATTTGAGTTCTGGAATTTTCTGTAGTTCAAATGAATCTATTTTGACAAAGGAATAGAATATATGTGGGCTGGCTAATCTCACATTCAACATGTCATTAATTTAGTTTGGAACTATTTCATTTTTCGTGTCGACTCGGACTATAATGTTCTGAATGCGTTTATTGATCTGATTACCTATTAATGCACAGGCACTTTCTTATGCTCACATGCCTCTATGGCACTACAATGGCCTCTTCATTGATCTCTTTCTCATCCCTCTTACACAAATATAGTATACTTTATAACCGTTGGCTGGATAACAATTTTCTTATTCTCATTAAGATTCTTAATAATATTGTACTATTTTAAATTAATATCTCAAGTTTTCGCGGTGATAACTTGTAAAATGGAACATATATGTACCCTTCATACTTATATTTTAGTAGTGCAATTGGACAATCTTAGCACATACCAGTTTTTGGCAAAAAAGTGATCAATATGTAGCACAAAAATAACACGTTGATAAACTTTTATTCATTACATCGTTAAATGTTAATCAGTTCCCAAAAATGTGTTTTTACTTCATAAGCTAGCAGGGAACTTTGTAGGAAACCTGCGCATGCATAGAAGTACAACGTACTCTAGAAAAATATTTAATTACAATAATTAACTCAATTTTAATAAATAATATTAACATTCGGATATTTTTTTGCCTTAAATACCTCAACATATATATTGAGGTTTTAATCCAGAAAGGAGGAGCTTTGTTAATTTGGAAGAACTGGCACTGAGAAATATGGCTCATTGGTCATTGGTGCTTCGATGCCAATTTTGGGTTCCCCAGCAACATCTCCAAGAAAACCATTGTAGAAAGCTTTAACCTTTATTACGAGGTAAAGAAAAGATGATGCAAGGTATGAGAAGCCCAACCTGTGAAGCTTTTGTGCTTGTTGTCTACCTCGTTTTGTACTACGTTTGACATCCTTTTCATGTCCCATGTTATGTTCTTTGGAGTTTCCTTCGGGTTGGATTCGATGATATATATAACTTTGGTGATGAGCGAGAGATGAGCAACGGCTACCTCTTTCTCCATAAGAAGCTGCGCAGTGCATTAGTCTCTGGGATCTTATATCACCAGCAAGTTGTGAAGCCATGGATTGGTTAGTGCTTATTGGCGAAGTTATGATATGTGGAGCTCAAGAGTGTTCTCTCTCACTCACTCACTTCTCAAAATTCTAATTGGGATTTGAAATGAGGAGGGCCTTTATATAGAGAAAGCCAACATGGAGAAGATATAAAAGATGTGATTTGGAGGCGAATAGTTATCCTTCCACACACTGAGAACTTTAATGAGTCACACCGCTAATAAACAAATATAAAACACTGTTGGAAAGAGAGTACAAAAAAATTAGATAGCTAGCTAGGTAGATAGAGCGAGGTGTGAAAGATGGAATAATAAGTGGCTGTGAAAAAAATTAGGATTTTCTTGAGGGCTTGGATGAAAATGAATTAAAGTAGATTAAATTTTGTAAGGTTTTGCCTTTGACATTTCTCAAATTTAAGGCCTGAACTCAATCTATTTATATGATACAAGCCTTTTATCAACACTTGACATTTTTAAAAGTCTTGGTCTAAAAATTTATTTAAAATTAATAATATATGATCTTTTAAATTATTTTAATTAAAATTTAATAAAATAATAATATAGATCTACATATTATTAGTATTAGAAAGTTTAATGAAAGACTTGAAATCTAATTTATTTAAATAAATATTTCTTAAAAAAATTAATTTCACTTATTTAATAAATAGACTTAAATATATAAGTTAGCTAGAATGTATATTTTTAACGAGCAGTTTAATTTATTTCAATATTTATATATGATTTAAGAGTGTGTCTAAAAGAGTTTGTTTAAGCTTATAAAAATAATTTATGATTCTTAATTTTTAAATAAAATTTATAATTATATATAATATAAATTTTATATAATAATATTTATTAAATAAACATTTCATTAAACTGTTTGCTTGAATGCAAAGTGACAAGCATTATGTTACCAGCAAGGGCTGCAAAATATGATGAAATAAAATGGATTCCCTTGAATTACGAATAAGTACACGGCACGTGAAGTGTAGGACCCATTGGGACAAGCGAGGAATCAATTTCAGTGACATGCAAGTTGGGTTGCATCACGTAATTTCATGGTTAGGAGCATAATACCTCCCTCTCAACTTGCATTGCTTGTGGAATCGGAGTTTCCATGCAGAGCATGGTTTGCCAGTTTAAGTGGTTGGATTTTTATTTCGCTTTCTCTCTTAATTTGAATCACAAATTTAATTTCTCTCTTTTGTTTCGAGATCAAAAGTGCGTTTGTGGCAGATATGTGACATTGCATTTATTTAACATTCAAATACCAATACTGAAGCAAACAATTCCTTACTCCATGAACTCAGTCAGATATATATTCGGCATTTTCTTGAGTTACTCAGTTAATCTTTTGGGTAGTAATGAGTCAATTAAGTCAAAAGATGAGTGTTAAGGGCTCCGTTGCCTATGTCAAAATCAAAACATATAGTTGATCCTTATACTACCATTGCATGCAAAATATCCTAATACTAAAGAAAAAAAATTCCTAGTTATTTAACATGTCTTAAATCAGGTTCGTGTAACTTAAAATATATCGATGAAAATTATATGATAAAATTTATTAACATATGTTAAACAGAGTTATTAGTGACAAAGTCCATTCATTATGCATGGAAATGTCAAAAACAAGCTAGTGCATATACTATACAACACAAGTTATTAGTGACAAAGTTCGATGCTAGGGTGAAATGACAGTGCCTTTCGTTTTGTTGATTGATAATGTGTTTTAACGAACTGAAAAGAACAACACATGCATGTGAAATTCATGTGGGAGAGTGGATTGCTCCAAAGAAAAGCAAAATGGCACACAGAACCTAAATTTGGAAATAAAAATGGACATGAGAATGAGAAATAATGAAAGAGAACAAATAAATTACGGCAGTGTCGTGCTTGTGGCGGTTTGCTTGTCTTTACTTCATTCCATTTGCAATTAGAGCTTCGTATTCTTATATGTTTTGTCTGTGTCTCTTTGGATGCAATATTAATGCGAATGCTGTGCTTCATGGACTTTTATCTATGGATGATGAATTCACGTGAGATTGAGCTGGCAATTCATCCTTTTCTTCATTATCCATCTCAGACCATTCCCATGTCTACAACACTGTGTTTACCTCAGCTGTTCATTTTATTATTTACTATACATAATCAAATAAATGTCTATGTAATTACACTTCCTTTAAAAATAAGAATGAGGAAATCAAGTGTAACCATCCAAGTTTTATGCTCGAGATGTATATCATGATTATTTATTTTTCTTAGGAACACTCGTAACACTGTTGTACAAAAAAAATCTATATACTTATTTAAAAAAAGTATGTTAGTTGTTAGACTTGTTCCCATTGATACAAATTTTATTTAATAAAAAATATGTTAACTTAGATATTATGAATATATATTAATAGAATGATATACCATGCTCATGTTATGATGAGTTGATAGTGTTTTAATTTGTTATATTAATGAAATCGTTTACTATTACGTGGCATTATACTTTTACCATAGGATAAGTGGTGGAATTAAGTAAATTTTATTTAGAATAAAAAAAATTGTTTGAAATAATAAAATAATGTAATTTTTAGAATTTTTTATGAATGGTTTTTTTTATTTAAATAAAGTTATTAATTAAATGATATCTTGATATATTATAAAACATTTTGTTTTGTGATTAACCATTAATTATATATATATATATATATATATATATATATATATATGGGGGTAGATTTTTTCTATTAATATGTCCGAATATATGAATACAATTTTTATATAACAGCATAATTTCCATTAAATCATTAAAAAAGAAATATCTTTTTTCTTATCATGCATACATGAGCCTTTATTGAAAGTTATTAAATGAGTGATAAGAAAGATTAAGACACTCAAGTCAAGTTGAGATCATGTCTTTAATAGGCATGCATAATTTTTATATATTTTATTAAGGAGTGTTTAACAACACAAAATTTAATATATTTTAATTAATAAAAATATATGTTAAAAAATATAATTAATATCTCTTTTTATATATATATAAATCAAAGGCATTCTCCATAAATTTTATATATCTTAAAAAATCTATTTTATACACACAACTATAAATCAAACTCTTATCAATATATTTAAAATTGCCAACTATATTAGACTTTATTAGTATCTTCGTATCCTTATAATATATTAATGTTCTATTATTTTACGCAACTAAATTCTACATTCATGTATTTATTTTAGTAAATATAAACTTGATAACCAAATGTTTAACAATAATATATAAAACATATAAAATATTTAATAGAGTTATAACATTTTTTCATGACAATTTTTTTTATAATATTTTAACTTATTTTATCACATTATCTATCTTATAATTTCTTTTTCTCTGTCTCTTTTAAATTTATATATATTATATATAATACAATTATAATTTTAATAACTTATTAAAATTTCTTGATTGTCTCAAATGGAAGACGCCATTGTTGCAAGTTGCAAAGGTCCAAATTTCTCAAAAAAGAATTCATATTTGAATGACTTGTGTCTGAGGGAAAAGAACAAATGCATTTTATTTTCTTGAAACTTCTGAGACTGTGTGATCGAGAATGATTGCAGTCCCAGCTGGCAACATTTACCACCATCTTTGACGGGTTTGATTCAGTGCAAAGCAGCCTATGGGATGATGATTTGGATGGATCCTATAGGTCAACTTCAACATTTCTTTTTTTTTTTTAATCGCACAGTAACTATCGTATCATATTTAATGTGTACGAATTTTCTGTCAAATATATTTGAATTTAGATAAGTAAATATTTACAAAATTTTATGAATATAAGTGTATTTAAGTGAGAGAATTCTTAAAAGGATAGGAGTATAAGTTAATCTAAATTTATAAAAAAAAGTGATTCTTTTTTATTTTATTTTATATAATTATTTATTAAAATTTAATTCAAATTAAAAATTTTCCTAATTGACCGAGAAAATAAAAAAAATATAAAAGGAATAATAAACACTCTATTTTCCATACATTTTTTATAATTTTTAATTATTTATTCAATATTCAAACAAGTTTTACCAGAAATTTATTTATACTTAATCTCTCTACTCCATTCTTCAACTTAAGTTTAAAAGTATGATGAGTTGAAATAAGTTATAAGTCAACCAATTCATTGGTGTAAAAATAATCACTAAAAGTATCATTATGGCTATCAAATGATCGAGTGATTATGTTCATAATTGATTCTGTAGTGAGGGGGTGGGCTTATCGGTTCTTCACCAAAAACAGTGGATTGGGCCAGATTTAATATGGGCTGGGCTTATAATTTATTGTTGGTCTGCTCGACGTATGAACATTGTATATGCACAGCATTCATCTTTGATTTAAAATTTTCACAAAAAAATGTACCTTGATTTAAAATAATTTAAGTTTGAAAAATCGTAATCTCTAACAAGAGTAATATAATAATATTTTAAAATATAATCATTAAAAACACATGTAACTTTCCATTTTGATACTTAATGTGATTGCTGTTGGCTTAATTTTGAAACTTTAATCTTATTGGTAATTTAAGTTTATCAAATACTTCAACTTAAATTAAAAGACACGTTTTCTTATTTTATACTTTTTTATCATTAAAATATAAAACCATCAAGCATTTATATAACTATATTCGAAACTTGAGAAGCAGAATACTTTTTTTTTTTATTTGATCTTTTATGACCTTTGCCATCTTTTATTTTGCGCACATAATAAAATTTTTAGAATTGTATTTCTCATATAGATTCATGTTCTATTATTGAGTTTCGAGTAAATAGATATTTTAATACTAAATGCTAATTAATATTGTTTTTTCTTTTTAAGTGTAATCTTAAAATTTATTAAAAATTGAAAATATATAAAAGAAAAATATTAATTTAAAAATAAAGAAGAGTAAAACTTATATAATTTTATAATTCTTAATAAATTTTAATTAATAATAAAAAATGTGTTCCTCGTAATTATGGTAATGTTATTCTTGCGGTAAAACGACCGTTGATAGTGCCGTTGGCAAAGCCCAATGCCCAAAAAGCAAAAGTTTCTAATATGAATGTGTGTTGTATTCAGTGCACATGCTTTGAACTTTTGAAGTGACAAGCACTAGTGGTGGTGCAATATGGAAGATTGTTGGCATGTTTTGAAATCACGTTTTTCCTGAAAATTATAACTTCAAATAAATTAGATTCGTATTCATCAGATATAAATTTAACACACCCACTTTAATCAGGGTTGCTCAAATCAAACACATGAGAAATAAATAAATAAACAAATATTAATTATATTTAACGATTGAAAATCAATTTTCATTAATTTTAAAACAATCAAATACTTTCTAAACTATATAATTTCAGCAATCATCGCTTCCCCTGGTTCTGTTTTTGTCCATGAGTAAAATAATTCAGTACAACACTTAAGACTCATAATCATAAAAATTATGAATATTGTATATATTTAGAGTTTTGTTATTTGAATGATTTTTTTTTCAAAATATTCATACAATATATTTATATTTTATTATTTTTGTTTATATACTTCTCTTTTTTTTTTATCACATCCAAAATTTAAAAAGTGTAGACAGTACTTGTTTTTCACAGGGTGGTTCAAAGTTTGTCTTTTTATTTATTTATTTTTTATATGTGCAACTCAAACATATTGTATAAAATTAAATAAATAATAAATATGATTCCAAAATCCTTCTAAAGAATACATGACTCATATCATCAAGCGCAGAGATATGAAACCCAACTCCTTAAATTATTATATGATCTACAAATTGCATCTTAATTTTTAAAGATATGCACTTTTATCTTGTGAGGGGATGATTCTGTGTGAGCCAAATGTACCACATAGTAGTTCTTTTCATGTTTGCTTGAATCACTTTACAGCATAACATTGATTATTTGGGTTCCACAATTATGTTGCCTGCCAAACTTGACCATAGACCGAGTTTTATTATACTTCATGATCGAACCATTAGAGGAGATTGGTAGAAAATGGAAATAAGCACCAACAGTGGTCTCATGAGATCAGCTTGTAATCATGAGACATGGCATCATGAAAGGTTGGTCACTAAAAAATATCTATAAAGTTATATTTGAAGCATTGGTGTCAATATCCACCATGCACTGGAAGCACACTATATAACTAGTATATGCCACATTCAATTAATTCAGGAACATTTTAAAGCTTAGCCTCAAGACAAAGAAAATACCAAATAGAAACATTGTTATCCTCCTTTGAACAATGTCAGATATTCTTAAAGATGCAGCCCCAGAGTTTGAGAAATTTGAAGTCAAGTTCAGTAGGGAAACTGTTGTAAAAGCACTGAATCCTTTACTAGAGCCATTTTCAATCACTCTCTCAAATCTTGACCTACTTTCAGGCCGTTTTCCTGTTACATACTTGTATTTCTACAGCAGGCCAAAAATAGGTAACTTCGAAGCTTTTGTTGAGACTCTTAAAAGCTCGCTAGCACACATACTCAATTATTACTATCCCTTTGCTGGCCAAATTGTTCACAATCCCAAAACTAATGAGCCTGAAATAATTTGTGACAACAATGGTGCTCTAGTCATTGAAGCTCATGCATGTATCCCATTAAAGGATTTAGATTTTCATAATCTCAATGAAACACTTAAAGATAAGGTAGTCTCAATTCAACCAGATTTTCCCATGCAAATTCAAGTTACAGAATACACTTGTGGAGGCATTTCCATAGCATTTACTTTTGATCATGCATTAGGTGATGCAAGTTCCTTTGGTAAATTCATTGCCTCATGGTGTGAAATAGCTCAAAATAAACCACTCTCATGCATGCCAGACCATAGTAGACACCTTTGTGCACGTTCTCCTCCCACATATCAACCATCCTTGGACCAAACTTATATGAAGTGCACTATGGAAGAGATACAGAACATGACAATGAACCCAATCTCACTGAAACGCCTCTATCACATCAATGCATCAAGTATCAACATGCTGCAGAACCTTGCTTCTGTGAATGGTGTCAAGAGAACAAAGATTGAGGCTTTCTCTGCATATGTATGGAAGATAATGATTACAACCATTGATCAAAGCCATAAAAAGTGCAAGATGGGTTGGTTAGTGGATGGACGAGAAAGAATGGGAAGAGGTAAGAATTCAATGTCAAATTATGTTGGTAATGTTTTGTCTGTGGCTTTAGGGGAAGCAAGCATTGAAGAATTGAAGGAAGCTACTATATCGAACATTGCTAACATAGTGCATGAGTCAATTTCAAAGGTCAACAATGAGGCTCATTTTTTGGACTTGATTGATTGGGTTGAGTGCCATAGGCCTGGTTTGATGCTAGCAAAGTCAGTGTTGGGTCAGGAGGGACCAACACTGGTTGTGTCTTCAGGTCAAAGGTTTCCTATCACTGAAGTTGACTTTGGATTTGGGACTCCCTTGCTAGGGACAGTTTACACTTCTATTGAAAGGGTAGGAGTTGGTTACATGAACCAAAGGCTAAGTGCTAAGGGTGATGGATCATGGATCGTGTCTGCTATCTTGTGGCCTGAATTGGAAGCTGCATTTCATCATGACCCAATTTTCCAGCCCATGTCTGCTTCTCATCTTCTACTTTAGTGCAACCTTTAAGACAAAACTTAAGGTGCAATTTTGTGTTGGTGTTATTTACCAATCAAAGTTAGAATTTTACTCTAAATGCAACCTTTTTACTAAAATAAAACTCTATTTTTAATTAATAAATATTACTAACTGTCAGTAAATTAATTGAAGCTACTAAAGTTGAAAACTTTGATTGGTTGGAAAACATTTTTATTGGACCACATTGCATACAAGCTGCATTGCTTCTCTTATGACACTTATTAATTATAGACATTACATAATATAATTGGACAACATGAAAGCAGCCACACTAGTAAAGCTGGTTGTAGGCACCGCACAAAATTGTAGGCACCGTTCAATTAGAGCCACAAGTTGAAAGACTAGTTTTCTTACAATTCCTTCTTGAGTGAGTTTTCTAGAATTAATATTATAATGTTTTGTAAAGCCTATAAAAGGCCAATACTTGTATCGAGAGTAAGCATCAATTTGAGATTAAAATATATTGAGCAGAAATTCTTTCTTTCTCTCTTGTTTCTACTGTATTTGTGTGTGGGTGTTTTTGTTAAAATTATTTTTCATTGATATCAAATTGGTATTAGAGCTAGTTAGATCCAACATTAGTTTTGTGAGTTTGTGAGACTAATTTTTTTCTTTGAATGTGTGAAGAACAAGAGAGTTCTCACCTTACAAAAAAAAAGGGAGAGATTTTGAGTCTATTTCAGGGAGAGAGAAAGAGAGATAGTCACAAACTATAACATTGTATGGTTTAGTTCCAAATTAGATGAAAAACTCGATTATAATTATTGAGCATTGTTAATGTCCACTCATTTGAAAGCTCACAATATTTGGAGCTTTATTGCACCAGACTTACAACAAGGAGCTTACAACAAGGAGCTGATGATGCAACTCAAAGGAAGGATCAATTGGCGTTATCCCAAATTCACCAAGGTTTAGATTATTTAATTTTTGACAAAATAGCAAATGTCAAAACAACCAAAGAAGCGTAAGACATTTTGAAGCTGTCATACAAAGGAGTAGAGAAAGCTCAGAAATTCAAACTGCAATACATGTTTCGAGAACATGCAAGATATGAGATATTTGGTTCAGAAACCATGGAACAATATTTTTCATAGGTAACAGACCTTGTCAATAAGATAAAGGTGTATGGAGAAAACATTCCTGAAAGTTTGATCATGTGTTGACTACAATAATTGAGTCTCACGACATAGACACCATGACAGTTGCAGAATTGCAAGGTAGCATTGAAAGCCATGTGAGCAAAATCTTAGAGAAAACTGAAAAAGTAAATGAAGAAGCCTCAAAAAGTCAGGTAAATTTTACCAACGTAGCAGAATCTAACCAAAGTGAAGACGGAAGAAGTCGTGAAGGTGTAAATACAAATCTTAGAGGTAGAAGTCGTGGCAACTTCAAAGGAAGAGGCCGTTGCAATTTCAACCAACAATGGAGAGAAAATAATTTTAGGCCACCTAATCAAGAAAGAGGTGGACAAAATTTCAGATCTACCAATCGGAGAAGAGGAAAAGGAGGCTTCAACTACTAGGAAAGAACAAATTTCAATTGCTATCACTGTGAAAAGTTCAAACATATTGTAGATTCAAACAACAATCAAATATAGCAGAAAATCAATATCAACATATTGGCAAGAATTCTGATAATCCACAAACTTTACTTCTAGCAACAAATAATTTTGTAGACGATGGAGATATTTGGTACCTAAATACTGGCTGCAGCAACCAAATATGTGGGAAAAAGGAGTTATTTTCTTCACAACTCAAACATTCTAATTTTGGAAAAAGGCTAAGTTGTTATTAGATTGAAGAATGGGTCTCAAAATTTCATCTCTGATGTTTTCTATGCTCCTGGTCTTCATTACAACCTATTGAGCATGGGACAATTATCAGATAAAGGTGACAACATGCAGATTTATGATAGTTACTGTACGTTGATTGACGAAAATGGGAGATTCATTGTCAAGGTAAAAATGACTCCTAATCACCTATTCTTTTTGAAAGTTCATCATGATAAAATTCCTTACTTGAGTTCCATTATACAAAATGATGATTGGTTGTGGCACATGCGCTTTGGACATTATCACTTTTCTGGATTAAATTTTCTATCTAGAAAAGAGTATGTATCTTGTTTGCCTGTTATAGACATTCCTGAAAGTGGATATGAGACTTGTGAAATTGGAAAGAAATACAGAATCTTTTCCAACTGAAAAGTCCTAAAGAGCAAGAAAGTCATTGGAGATTGTCTATTTAGATTTATGCATGGTTGAGATTCCAACACATGGTGGTAGTAGGTATTTCATAACTTTTATTGATGACTTTAGCAGAAAAGTTTGGGTATATTTTTTGAAACAGAAATCAAAAGCTTGTGATGCTTTTAAGTCATTTAAAGCATTTGTAGAGAAATAAAGTGGTTGCAAGATTAAAGCATTGAGGACAAACAGAGGTCAATAATACCTTGCCTGTGCAGATTTCCTTGACCACCATGGAATTCAACATCAACCGACAACCAGATACGCTCATCAACAAAATGAAGTAGCATAAAGGAATAATATAACGATCATGTACATGGTGAGATGTATGTCCAAGACTAAACAATTGTCCAGAAAATTTTGGGCAGAAGCAGTTTCTATTGCTGTGTGTATTTTGAACAAGTGTCTAACAAAGAGTGTTTGTAATAAAAACACCAGAAGAAGCTTGGAGTGGAAGGAAGCCCTCAATTTGACATCTCAGAGTTTTTAAGTGTATATCATATGCCCACGTATGAGATCAACTCAGAAAGAAGCTTGATGATAAATGAGAGAAGTGTATCTTTTTCGGTTACAGCACCAACTCAAAGGCATACAAGCTTTATAATTCAATGACAAAGAAGGTAATTATCAATAAAGATGTGACATTTGAAGAAGAAGGAATGTGAGATTAGTCTTCCAAAGCCCAAAAGGAGTCCTGTGGTAATTTCAGAAAACTTTGAAGAGGAGAATGGACATATAGATCTAACACCTGATGAGCTAAAAGCATCATGCAGACCACAGAGGCAATGGAGACTACCAGCTAGATTGGAGGATTATGTTGTGGATAATGATAATGAACCATCTGATGAAGAAATTATCAATTTTGCCTTATTTGCAAATTGTGAGCCTGTAACATTTGATGAATCTTCAAATAATCAACATTGAAGAAAAGCAATGGATGAAAAAATTCGTGCCATTGAGAAGAATCAAACATGAGAACTGATAGACTTACTAGCACATAAAAGGCCAATTAGAGTTAAGTGGGTATACAAAACTAAATATAAGTTTAGTGGAGAAATTGATCGTTTCAAAGCAAAGTTGGTAGTAAAATGGTACAAATAAAAATCAGGTATTGATTATTTTGAGGTATTTATTCCTATAGCAAGATTAGATACAATTCATATATTTATCTCTCTATCAGCTCAAAATAATTGGAAAATTTATCAAATGGATGTTAAGTCTGTTTTTCTGAATGGTAATTTAAAAGAAGTGTATGTTGAACAACCACTAGGATATGAGATTGAAGGCAAAGAAGACATCTACAGATTGAAGAAGGCGTTGTATGACTTTAAGCAGACACCCAGGGCATGGTATAAGAAGATTGATTCTTACTTTATGCATAATGGTTTTCAGAGATGTCCATTTGAACATACTCTATATATCAAATTTGTTGACCCTGATAATATTTTCATTGTGTGCCTTTATGTTAATGATATAATATTTACTAGTAATAATCCGTGGATGATTGCAGAATTCAATGAGGTCATGATTAAATGTTTTGAGATGACAGATTTGGACCAAATGTCATATTTTCTTGGCATTGAGATCATACAACAGGATGATGGAATTTTTATTTCTCAAAAGAAGTATGCTGCAGATGTTTTAAAGAAATTCACGATGGAAAACTCAAAACTAATCTTAACACCTTTTGAAGAAAAGTTGAAACTAAAAAAAGATAATGATGAAAGAAGAATTGAGTCAACATACTACAAGAGTTTGATTGGAAACCTCAGATATTTGACTACTACTAGACTAGATATTGTCTTTGGAGTAGGACTACTGAGTATATTCATGGAAGAACCATGTGCATGTCATTTACAGGGAGCAAAGATAATTATCAGATATATCAAAGATACTCTGACTTAGAGAATTTTTTATGCTAATAATAATGATATAAAGCTTGTTGGATATACAGATAGTGATTGGGCATGAGATATTGAAACAAAAAAAAGCACATTGGGATACACATTTCATCTGGGCATTATAGCAATATCATGGTCCTCAAAGAAATAACCAATAATTACACTTTCAACAGCCGAGGCAGAATATATGGCTTTAACAAGTTGTGCTACACAAGTAATATGAATGAGAAGAATGCTTGAAACAATGCATCAGAAGCAAAATACTCCCACAGTGATATTTTGTGATAACAAGTTTGCAATTGCACTTACCAAAAATTCGGTCTTTCATGAACGGTCCAAACACATAGACATCCGGTTTCACAAGATCCGAAAGCTAATAGCTAAAAAGAAAATACTATCCAACTGAAGAACAAGTTGTTGATATGTTTACAAAACCAGTAAAAACTTGAGTTATTTTACAAGTTTAAAAAAAAATGCTTGGAATGATTAACATACGAGCTTGACTTAAGGGAGGCAATGTGAGTATATTAATTCAAGCTACCAAAGTTGAAAACTTTGACCAGTTACAAAACATTTTTATTGGACCATATTGCATACAAGCTGCATTGCTTTTCTCTTGGCACTTATTAATTATAGACATTACATAATATAATTGGACAACATGAAGACAACCACACTAGTAAAGCTGATTGTAGACATCGCACAAAATTGTAAGCACCGTTTAATTAGACCCATAAGTTGAAGAGCTAGTTTTTTTACAATTTTTTCTTGAGTTAGTTTTCTAAAATTAATATTATAATATTTTGTAAAGCCTATATAAAAGATCAATACTTATACCAAAAGTAAGCATCAATTTGAGATTGAAATATATTGAACAAAAATTCTCTCTTTCTCTCTCGTTTCCGCTGTTGAGTGTTTTTTTTAAAATCATGTCCCACTGATATCACTAACAGTACCTAAAGAATAACACAAAGTTTTGTCCTTATATATATATTGGCGGGGGAGGGAGGGAATTGTATAATAACTGATGAATCCGAATCCTAAACATGAAAAGCTTTTGGAGAGCAAAGTTCATAAAATAAATATAAACGCTGAATCCATCAACATTTAAGTATATTTTGTGGAGTATATGATGCATATAATGATTTGAGTTACAAACACTTGGCAATCAAGAACAATGAGGGAGCTTCTGAAAGCTTAGTTGATACCATGACTCTTCAGCTGATACCTTGAATTTAGCTTGTTAATCAGTAAATGGTAAATGGATCTTTTAACATGTATGTATCTTGTGTGCTTAGTTTTTATTAACAACTCTCTCCCACAAAAGAAAACACAATATTGAGAATTTCTACTACGAAGATGTCGTGGCACTTGGGTTTTGAGGAAATTTAATTAATGTAGTGAAAGCTACATTAATAGAACTGAGATTATCACATTGCTCATTACATTTGTTTTCCTTTTTCTTCTTGTCTAGTTTTTCACTACAAAAAGTGTAAATATTGGGCTCCATGGAACTTCCATTTATAACACAAAATGGTCTAGTACATGGATCATAAAATAATGGGCCACTTCACTCAATTAAAATACAATGAGTTTATTGAGTTTTTATAATTTATTATTTTTACATGTGATTAAAATTAATCAGACCTGATTATGAATGAGTTGGTCTAGATCAGGTAATTAAGTTTTTACATAAAAAATATTTTTTTTATAATTTATAAAATTTAATAATTATTAAATTAAATTAGAATAGTCTATCAATTAATTAAAAATTTATTTATAAACAATATATTTTAAATATAAATATTATAAAATATTTTAATTTTTTTTATATGTAATTGACTTAGATCCAATTCTTTAACTTGCAAAAAAGTAGACCTACTATCCAACCTGTAAATGATTAGAACTCAATTACTCAACTTAACCCATTAATTTTTTTTGCTTAGATTAGAGAGGTTAATTGAGTTTCACCTAACGCATGAACACCTCTATTCTAAATGCAAACGTTTTTTTTTTTAATCTTTGTTAACCATAGTTGTGAATATTGAAAAAAAAAATAGTCGTAATCAATAAACATATTACGTAAAGAATAATTGTTAAATGCGTAAAATTTTGACACATAATATTGAAAATTTAGACACACCAATGTTGAAAATTTACCAAGTCTCGAGTGTTGAATGAACAAGTCTTGGATCAAGTTGACACTTCAATAAGCACTTGACATTTCAATCATCATCAAAATTACTATCTCCAAAAATTTTTCATTTGAACCAAAAAATCAGCAATCTGATACTTACCCGTTTAAATTAATTAATCTTCTTTTCAGATTTTCAACCAAAATGTCATAAATTCACACCAACATAAATGATACTATAAAATTTTTCTAACTCATGTTTGTTAATTAACAAATTAAATTAAATCATTTTAAGAATAGAAACATCGTATATTAAAGAAGAAAGCCGAAATTTTAAAAGAAAAATTTGAAAGTAATCATTAATTTAAAAGGAAATTTCCGACCCATCCTTAGTTTAATTTCTTTGACTTTTAAAACAGGGAAAAGTGCCATATTTTAAATTAGAATTTTTCTTAAAAAAAAAAAGAAAATTTAATATTATTATAAATCATGAAAATAAATTTTATTTTTAATTAAAAATAACTAAAAATATTTTAAAATGGAACGTAAGTTATGTCTTACTTTAAAAAAAAAAAAAGAATAAATACATCAATCAAGACACGTTAATATAAAAAGAAATGCTATTTGTGCCATATTTTTATATGCCTCGATTATATTTAAGGTATATTTTAAAGATGTTTATCTATACAAAAATAATGATGTTTAATTTTATTTTATGGTTCTGTTTATAAAATTATTTAAAAAGTTATAATTAATAAAATTAATTATAATTATAACTATACAATAAAATGAGAGCTATTTGTTAAAATTATTATACAACTAATTAAATTATATAAATAATAAAATATTATTAAAATTATTTTGTATGAGAATATATTATTTAAAATATTAAAATAAATAATCAAAATTTAAATAAATTAAAAGCTACTTAAATTAGCTTTTTATAAACTATATTTTAAAATTTATAATTTCTTATTTATCAAATAAACCTTATTAACTTATTAATTAAAAAATTATAAATCTGTATCACTAAACGTGGCTTAAGTATGTTTGGATAAACTCTAATTTTTATTTTTATTATTTTTAAATTTATATCAAAATAGTTTATAAATTAAATAGAATATTATTTTAATTATTTTAGTTATTAATATATACCATCGTTAATCATTTTAATGCAATAGATGAAGGACTAAAATATTAATAATTATATTGATTAAGTATTAAAATAGCTTTTTATTTAGTTTAAAGATTATTTTAATTAATTTTAAAAACATAAAATAATAATAATAAATTGAAAATATTAATAATTAAAATAATATTTCCTTAATTTTAAAACTATTTTAATAATTTTGTTTAAAATAATATAAACAAAATTGATAATTTAATGTTTGAAATTTCAAAAGCTTTTCACATAGAAGCCCAAGTTTGGAAGACACCGGATTTTATATTTATACAGTATTAGGATAAAAATTAAGAAATAAAATATTTTTATATATAAATATAATAAAAAGCTATTAATATATTATAATTTAGTTTGATTCAATTTTATAATAGAAATAAAAATTTAAGCTGAACTAAAAAAAATAAAATAATATTAAAATTTTACTTTAATAAAATTTTATATTTTTATCAGTTTAATAATTTAAAAAAATTTGATTGAATTTTAAACATTTTAACATGATATGAGATATTTGTAAGCGTAGGGAGGGAATGGGGACAAAGTATGAGAACAGGTGGTCAGGTCAAGACAGACAGGGTGACGGGGGGTTGAATATTTTAGGGTTAGGTACATATGTTTTCTTTGTTTTTTTTTTTTTTTTTTTCTCTTTTGATTTAATGTTTGTGTGTATATACATTAAATGTTAATTTTTATTATCTTTTTATTTATTATGATATAGTATTAATAAGACATTTATTTACTATTCATATAAATAAATAAATAAATTTATTTATTTTATGTACAGGTAACTAATTTAATCATTTACATTATAGGTAATTCTAAAATATAGTATAAATTTTATGATATATAATTACTTTATATTGATATTAATGAATAAATTATTTATTATCTTAAAAAAATTAGGATATGTATATTTTAAAAATATAAAATACATCATCAGTTTTTTATTTATTTAAAAACTACAAAAAAATTTGTTAGAATATATAAAATTATTCTAAAGATAAAAAGGCAACTTATAATTACGTCAAAAAGTAAAAAAGATTGTAACATATATAAGTACAATAAGTGATATATATATATATATATATATATATATATATATATATATATTGAAATTATCAAAATATAGAATTTTTGGCAAAATTACAGAATTATAGTGTTTTTTCAAAAATCATCAATGGCAATATTTGACTTTTTTTTATACTTTTTAAATATTTTATTATTATTTAAAAAATGCCATCGTCAATTTTTATTTTTTTATTTTAATATTTTTTAAAAACTTATTATTTGATAATTTTTGAAACTTTATTACTTTTATATTTATACCAAAAATTATTATTGACAATTTTTAAAATTTATATTTTTGTAATCTTTTTAAAAATACTATATTTTTGGTATATATAATTTTTAAAAATTATATATTAAAAATAATCCACAATAAGTCAATCTACATGTTATTTTTGAAAGGTTTATGATTATTTTGTCAAAAATAGAGAATCTGTGGCGCTATGTGGTTGGATTGAATTCCATGCGATGTAGGAAGCCACGTAGAGACATTGATAGTCGTATATACAAGTTCATATACGCACTCTTCTCCTCCGCAAGTGAGCTTCATCATCATCATCATCATCATCATGGCGGGGCAATCACGGAAGTGGATGATTTTGGTGGCCACCATATGGATTCAGGCATTCACTGGCACCAATTTTGATTTCTCAGAGTACTCTTCTTCCCTTAAATCTGTACTAAACATCTCTCAGGTGCAACTCAACTACCTTGCCACTGCCAATGACATGGGCAAGCTCTTTGGTTGGTCTTCAGGACTCGCTCTCATCTATCTTCCCCTCCCTCTTGTCATGCTTGTTGCTGCTTTCATGGGCTTATTCGGCTATGGCTTCCAGTGGCTTCTCATCAACAATATCATCACGTTGCCTTATTTTCTGGTTCGGTCGCGTTCTATGTACTTTTAGCTTTTAGAAGAGTTTACACACAATTTTTTATTGTTGTTTTTTTAATATATTTTATCAAAATAAGTTTATTTTACTTTATTTTGATATGTTTCATAATTAACCAACAAGCATTTGAGTCCCAGGGAATACTACGTTGAAATTTTGGAATGAGTGTTTTGCTGTTACATTTGTTTTATAAACTTTTATACATAAGGGCTTTCTCTACTCTTAAGTCTTTAACATTTTTTTTTTTGGCATTGGTTTGTTTTTATAGGAATTTTCATTTTCCGTGAAGTTCAAACATGGAATGTTCTCATGAAGTTTTAGCTTAAGTAATCATCAAAGTTGATTTGTCAATGTATTTTCAGCAGTTAGGAAGCAACTTGCCTTGTTTGAATTCTTCATAGGTAGCACGAGGAGGAGTGACAGTCTTTGGTTTTACCATTGACTGACGGGTGCGTAGTGGTGTTCTCATTTATACTCAGGAATTTTATTTTTTTTAATATATCGAACAGTTTTTTCATGATCGATTTCATGTAAAACTTAAATGAGTTAGTTTGAATAGAAATTGTTGTTCATTACAATTTTCTAAAATCAAAATGTGTTTTCAATTTAAAACGTTGCGGTCCAAGAGTGTGAGGAAAATGTTTTTTGAGGATGAGAAATGTTATCATCTTATTTTTAAATGATTTTTATTTAAAAAGACAAATTACTAGTTTTCTTTCTAAAATTGTAGTTTTAGCATGTCTGACTGTTAACTAGTTTTGAATGGACCACATTTTTTTGAAAAGGATAAAAGTTATGAGACAATAACTTTATTAATTGGGACCATAAATTCTGTCTCACGTAGTTGTGTTTTTGTGGTCGTGGGTTCGGCTCACGTCCTTTTCATTTCGCAACTTTTTCAACGTAATTTTGTCCATTCTCCTGGTCCCAGATATGATGGTTCAGAGCCCAACTACGTGGTTCTTTTCCAGATTAATATTCTACATCAGCATATGATATGACTCAATATATTAGATAAAAAGTATCAATGCCATAATAAAACAGTGATTGCCTACACAACAAATCATTCCCATAAATGATTAATGTTAACAACTTTAGAACTTCTCTTTAATTTAATTTCCACTTCAAATATTTTGCCTTCCCCCATACTTCACTACTTTAAAGGACTCCTATAGTGATAGTATGCACTATGCAGCAGTAACTTGTATGGTTTACTCATCATCACAGAAACATGCATAATGAGATTAATTTAGTAATTACATGTGGTAATAAAAAAACCATGGTTGATCAATTCTGAAGTCAAGTTAACTAAGCATTTACTTTGCATGTGGCAGGTCTTTCTGTTGTGTCTGTTGAGTGGCTGTAGCATCTGTTGGTTCAACACAGTGTGTTTTGTTCTCTGCATCAGAAATTTCCCAGTGAACAGACCCCTTGCATTATCACTCACTGTGAGTTTCAATGGTATAAGTGCAGCACTTTACACACTTGCTGCCAATTCAATAGACCCTTCATCTGATGCACTGTATCTGCTTTTGAATGCACTTGTTCCCCTTCTCACTTCCATTGCAGCACTAGTCCCAATTCTTCGCCAACCACCTTTAGACTCTCTTTCTCCATATGCTGCTAGTAGAAACTCAGTAATATTTCTAGTATTGAACTTCTTAGCCATTTTCACTGGCCTTTACCTCCTTCTATTCGGCTCATCAACTTCTGATGAAGCCACAGCAAGGCTCTACTTTGGTGGAGCTATTGTGTTCCTCATCTCTCCACTATGTATTCCAGGCATTATATATGCTAGAGATTGGTTTCACCGTTCCATTCATTCCAGCTTTCGGGTGCAAGGCTCAGGCTTCATTCTTGTTCATGTTGATGATCTTGAGCTTCATAAAGAACTCCTTACCCGTCAAAACAGTGCTCTCAGCAGTGCTCTCAGCAATGGAGATGGTCACAGTTACAGCCTGGTGAGTGGGAATGGATCCATGTATGGAAAAACTAGTGATGTGTGTTGTGACAAGATGCTTGGGCAGGATCAGTTGGCAATGCTAGGAGAAGAACACCCAGCGGCATTGGTTGTCCAAAGGTTGGATTTTTGGCTCTATTATGTTGCATACTTCTGTGGTGGCACAATTGGTCTTGTCTACAGCAATAATCTGGGACAGATAGCTCAGTCTTTAGGCCTGAGTTCAAGTACATCTACTCTGGTCACGCTATATTCAGCTTTCTCCTTCTTTGGCCGCTTGCTTTCAGCTGGACCAGACTATATTAGAAAGTAAGTGTTCTCACATGAATCTTGTAAAATAAGAAAACAAAAATTGGGTATAATTCTTCGGCAAATGCTAACCTGTGTCCTACGAATAAAAAGTGAAAGGTTTTGTCACGAGAAGTAATAAATAAACCTCTTTCCTTGATTTCTAATGTACTCTTAACTTGTTTTTCATGAAAGTTTTAATCAGTGTCCCAGCGACAGCCTAATTTTTTTAGGTGTTTCCAGTGTTTTTTAATTCAAGTTAGATTTTCAATTTTCAACAAAAGATTTGCATTTGATATTATCATATGTTACTGTGGTGAAGTCTACTTTTATGGGAAAACAATACCAGAATTATGTAACTGTGCCTAAGTTTTGAACAATAAAATTGTAGCAATTATGATTAATTGATGACGGTGTTTTTCTGAATTGCAGTAAGTTCTACTTTGCAAGGACGGGGTGGCTAGCCATTGCACTTATTCCAACTCCAATTGCGTTTATATTGCTTGCTTCATCAGACAGTGCTGTGACACTTAACATAGGCACTGCACTAATTGGTTTAAGTTCTGGTTTCATATTTGCGGCTGCTGTGGCAGTTACATCTGAGCTATTTGGACCCAACAGTGTGAGTGTCAATCACAACATTCTCATAACAAACATCCCAATTGGGTCACTTCTGTATGGTTTTCTGGCTGCGGTTGTTTATGATGCCAATGCTCAGCCAGCACCAGGAGGTTTAATGGCTGAGTCACTAGTGTGCATGGGTAGGCATTGCTACTTTTGGACATTTGTTTGGTGGGGAGGAATGTCTGTCCTAGGACTAACTTCTAGTGTGCTGTTATTCTTAAGAACCAAACATGCATATGATCATTTTGAAAGTCACCGTATTTCAGCACAATCAACTGTGTCTTAACTTCTGCCACTTTAGAAAAGTGAAGATCATAGAATTGTTGATAGTAGAAGCTTGAGATATACAGGCTATGATTTTGGAGGCAGGGATAAAACAAGGGTGAATATTGATGAACATGTATATATATATTCTGTTCTAGCTTAGTATGGTTGAGGTCTTCAGGAGAGATCTAATTCATAGGCAAAAAGGCCTGAGGATTTTGTTTCTCTCTGACAAAACAAGGGTGAGTGTCCATCAATGAACATGTAAGCACTCTGCTTTGAACAGAGTGAGATTTTCTTCTAATAGCAGCCGGAGATGCAGCAGTCCGGACCTATGCTTTGGCCTATGCTGTGGATAACTTGTGAATAGATTTATTTATAACAATTCTGATAACTTGTACAGAGTTTCTATTTTTAAACATGATTTTTAACTTTTTCTTAATTTAAATAAAATATTTAATATTAATTGTTTTACTTTGCGATTCCTGGGGACGAGTCATGTTGTCACATTGAGAACCATAACATATGCTTCATAGACTTGTGGCCTTATACAAGACCTTTTCCAAATCCTGTTTTGAGAATTCTCACTAATTCCTGAAGGCTAAAATTGAAACAAAACAGAATCGTCAACGCGTCAAAAGAAGCTAACAAACAAGTACAGAAATTTTCCCTCCGACTTGATTATCTTTATTATGTTTTGATGAAATATCATTTTGCCTATTAATGGATGAAGCTAGCGTTTGATTTAACCATTTTTTAATATATGTACAACAGCATACATTTAAAATTTATGTGTAATTGTTTCAACAAATTATAATATATTTGAAAACTTTAAATGTCAAATCTTTTAATAAAAGTTTACTGTTTATTGTCTAATTGTGTTCCTTGAGCCCACTCAGTAAAATAGTTGATTTAACCTTCAATAAAGCAGAGCTCTATTCTTTTGCCCACTGTAGCATCGTCATACATAAAAGATGGTCTAAAGTAATACAAAAAATTATAATTATGAGAAAATATCTAAAATTGAGAAAATTTTGATATATTCATGTCTGAATAAAAGAAACATAAAAGGCAATGACGGAAAGAAGAATAAACCTCAAGGATAGTTACAAAATGCATCCTTTTTTATGCATAAGAATAGCCTCTCATATGCCAACGCCATCTTTCTAGCTGTAAACATGGAAGTTGCGTATTCACGGCATGCCTTTCCCCTCCTTGCAAGCCTCTCTTGCCCTTCTTTTACTACTGCTTCGAGTGCCTCCAACAGTGACTCCACGTTGGGAGAGAACATAAAACCAAAATCATCATCAACCACAATACTACCTTTGATGCTTGGAAACCTCGATGCCAAAAGTGGCTTCCCACTCATCATGGCTTCCATCAGGGTAAGATCAAGACCTTGTGGTCTTAGTGTGGGATTGACAAAAATGTCAATAGCATTATAGAATGCTCTTAGCATGGAAGGACTCATAGATCCAAGAACAATAACTTGGTTCCCTAAATCCTTGTACCTGTTCTCCCATGGTCCTGACCCAGCTACAATCAAGTACACATTGGCGTGATTTGTTATTACCCTAGAGTATGCTTCATGAAGCAAAGGATGGCCTTTGTCCTTCACTAATCTTCCAGCTACACCAAGCACTAAACTTGCATTTTTTGGAATGCCAATTTTGGTTCTAAATTCTCTTCCTAGTTCCACATCTTCTCTGAAGTCATCCTCATCAACGCCATTGAGAATTACATGGACTCTTCTGCTTGGAATTTGGTACACATCTCTTAGCATCTCACCACAACTATCACTAATGGCAACATGATGTGCATAGTTCCTGAAGAACTTTATCTCATTGAGAACCTTTGGAACAACCCCTTGTAATCCTTTGTCAAAATCTGGAGATCTAGGCTCATCAAGCCTACGAGCCAAGTCTTGGAAAATACTTGATTGCAAGCTCTCAAGAGCTATGCCATGCCAAGAAACTGCAAGGTTTGGAAGGTTTCTAGCAAGCCAATGAGGAAGTGCCACACTTTCTGAGTGAACAACATCAAAGGGTTCTTTCTGGTTTTCTTCAAGAAACTGTTCCCATGCTTTATTGTAGCGCCACTTACCTGGCTCACCTTCATGACAGTGAATGTGAGGTGAAGAGGGTGCAACTTCTTGGTGATTGTCTGTGTCTGAAGTGGTTTCTTCTTGTGAGGGAGAGGTAAAGATATGAACTTGATGGCCACGATGAGCTAAAGCAGTGTGAAGGGTGTGAGCATGGCGCTCCATGCCACCAGGAGTGGTTCCAATAGGCCATTTTCTAGAGAACACAGCGATTTTGAGGTATATGGGTGAAGGCTTGTCTTCAAAAAATGGTAGTTTGTTCCATGCAAACTCAACAAAACGATGATCACCTGACCAGGACTGGTCAAGGTTGGTGCATGTGGAGATGATGGGGTGAGTGTGTAGAAGGAAAAAAGCTGGTATAGTGAAGAGGACAACGAAGAAAAGGGTGACGCAGAGATTGAAATGTGAAAATGAATTGGTCTTCTTGGATTTGTTGTTGAAGGCCATTTCTTAATGGGTTTGTGAAATTTTGTGCTATATATTCTGGGGTCTAAGAGCTGAAAGTTGGAACTATCTATGGGGGTAGTAAGAAAAGCATGCAATGAACCGAGTGTGTTTGGTTGGATTTTTCTTGAAGTGCGTTTCTCACGCCCCTTTTGAGGGGAAAAAGTGGATTCATGTGACAAAGGTTTCGTACGTTTCTGAATGAGAAACTGTGTTTAACATGCACACCCCATTAGGCGTTCCTTCCACACTCGTGCCAGAATGGACTCACGAGAGACTGAGAATCATCATTAAAATCCTGAATTCTTGCTTAAGTTTTCTCTTCAATTGTGTAGAAAGAAGGAAACTACAACTCTGATTAATTTCAAATTTATGACTGCCTCTTCTTCCGTGGAATTTAGAACTTTGCTTCTTGTCACAAACTGATGTCAGAGGAGCCAGGTAAGATATTTGCACATTATTTTTTTCTGCATAATTCAACGGTAGAACATGGTAAAAAGAGGATAAAGATCAAAAGAAAAATGCGAAATATAATAAATCATACAGTAAAAAAATGAATAACTAAATATAAATAAATTAAAATAAATTTATAATACATAAAAAATGTCACTGTATTATGAATTGGACTCTGCATAGAAGTCAGTATTCTCTCTCTCTCTCTCTCTCTCTCTCATTTGCATCGAATTATTTTGCAACTAAAAAATATTTTTGGGGTTATCCCAACTCTACCTAATTTGCCATTGAGCTCTAGTATTTGAAAATCAAATTCTAAAAATTGTATTTGATATTATATGCATTAATAAGTTTTTTTATGCATTGTTAAATAAAAATATTTTTTAAAATTAAAAATTAAAGACATATTATATGATTATTATTATATTTTTAAAAAATTTATATTTTACTTATAAATGATAAAAAATTTATTGGATTAAAGAGATAAAAAAAATTTAAATTATAAAGTGGATTATAAAAATTTTAAAATAAAAAAATAAGACTGAATTAAAAATAAATAAAAATTCAATGCAAGAAGAGAAGTTTCATAAGCAGGAGGAAAAAAAACAAACTACTAAAAACGTTCTTGTTTAATATTACTCTTAAAATTAATTTTGTTTGAGAATTTAAACTCATATTTTATATATAATAATAGATTTATTTTTGTCTCTCACTTAATTTGTATTTAAACATCAATTTCTAAACATTCCCCTTCATGACTTATTTTCTTTAATCTCAAAACTACCTCACAAAAACCAAAGGCACCGTAAATGCAATCCTGAAAATGTGTAAAAAGAACATTTGCTTTTGCTTTGGAGTAATTGTTTTTGGGTTTGCTAAACAAGCATATTAGCTCTGAATTACAGGCTGATCACTATTATTAAATAACGAAATTAAACATATTATATTAGAAAGTAAAATCTTAAACCAAATTTTCACTCAACCAAGCCCTTTAAGAAGCCTATTTTGATAATAAAAGTCAATTATGACGGCTGGTTTGACGCAGATACAAGATGAGCATATAGGAGAACCGCTATGCACGTTTGGGTTATTATATTGCATTTTGCGTACATGATTTTATAAGTATTACAATTATTTGGTCTCTTCTAACCATTTTTGGAACTAATTGTAGTCAAATCATGTGACGTAGTTGTAGGGGTTGCTCAGTCCTAAAGCAGTTGCTAATTTACTTGTCTTCTTCGGCTTAATGCCTTTCCTTCTCGAGCATTGCATGGTACTTTGAGTACATAGCATTTATATGCTATAAAAAATCATCCTTGATCTATAACTCACATGGAGAGGTTGTAACTTGAAACGAGTTTATGTTTTTTTCCTTTTGAAAAGTCTTAAGGATAACAAGACTTAAGGATGGATGAAGCAGAAAATATCTTAGAAAGGGTAATGTTACTGATTATTCTTAAAATTAAGCTTATTTCAGTTGATAACTCTAGTTAGGTACCTTGCACAAGCCTGTTGTCAATTGGTTTAAAAATCTGGCTGAATTTCATTTTGATCATGGATTGAGAAAGGGATCTCAATAGTTTATCTATGTTGCATATATATTTTATACATTTACATATATATTAGGGTGGCTTAACAATCACTCTTTAGCCATACCACGTGATACTTTACACTTAAAAAACACTCTTCTACATGGTAGCAATCAAGTTTTTCTACTTGGAACTGGAGGAGAGGGTTGCTTGAGGTTTGCACCGGATCTGGCTTTCACCTTATTGTTGGAGGCTCCATTTCTAGTAGATTTTGATGACACTGGCCAGTGTCCACTGGTAACTGCCATGTCTTTGTACTGTTGCATGCTTTCAAGAGTTTCAACAATCGTTGCCATTCTTGGTCTGTCTTTAGGATTCAAACTTATGCATTGCACTGCCAAATGGGCCATATCCTTTGTACCCTTCACAGAATATTGGCCTGCAAGCCTTGGATCCACAATGTACCGCAACCTCCTACTGCTACTCAAGTAAGGTTTTGACCAATCCACAAGGTTTTGCTCAGTCTTTGGTCTTGTCTTGTCCATAGCTCTCCTTCCTGTAAGCAGTTCTAGCAGGACTACCCCAAAGCTATACACATCACTTTTGGTGGTTAAGTGTCCTGAAAGCAATTATATGTTGCATTAAAGACGAGCAAACCATACCCAATTGACATCAATTATTCAATTCTACATTTCCACTTGGTTATCTTTATATTGGTAACAAACATATGGCTAGAAGTTGGTGCATATCATATAATTATTAATACTTCCCAAGTGAGTGTACCAAAATGAAATTTGAGTTAGACAATTACCTGTTGAAATGTATTCTGGGGCTGCATATCCATAAGTGCCCATAACTCTGGTTGAAACGTGTGTGTTTGATCCCTCTGGCCCCATTTTTGCAAGTCCAAAATCAGACAATTTTGCTGTGAAGTCCTAGTTTAAACACCACCAACAAAAAAAACATAAAAAGTTGGTGGATTTAGTCTCTTGTGTTATATTACCATCTGAATTGATAAAAAGGAGAACAATGTTTCGTAGTTAATTACACATACTGAATCAAGCAAAACATTGGAAGTCTTGAAGTCTCTGTAAATGACTGGTTTCTCAGCTCCATGCAAGAAGGAAAGGCCTTTAGCAGCACCTATTGCGATTCTTAATCTTGTTGCCCATGGCAGTGATGTTAGCCCTGCAATTACATGCAGTGGCTAACTGAGTAAGTTACTTAAAAAGAGGCACCAAATAGTTGCTAAATGAGGCTTTAAAGCATAACGTTTCATAGAACAAAATAAACAAAGATTATGATGCATACTTCTGAACAAGTGATTTTCCAAGCTTCCACGTGGCATAAATTCATAGACAAGTAACCGTTCTTCATCCTCACAACAATACCCAATTAACTTAACCAAATTGGGGTGTCTTAGCTGCCCAAGAAAAATCACTTCTGCCTGCAACCAAATCAGAATGTTCAATTCAACTGCCTCAGCAATAATGTTCTAATTTTCTACAATATTTTCTCTGTAAAATTCCTTTTAGATACTTATTATGTGCCTGTTACATCAAATAATAATGATTAAAATTACGAGTTCATTTGTACCTAAAAAAATGATCTTTTTTTTTTTTCAGAGGCTATTATTTTTTTGGCACAGTGTGTGTTTTTGGTCAACGAACAATATGCTTTTTGCCTATGGTCTTTAAGTTTTCGATGGGGCAAATGAAAAACACTACATAATCGATGTTCAGACAAAAAAAGAAAGATGTTGGACCTGATTATAAAAACACTTTGATAAATCTGATATTGGTTTAGTAAACCTGGAAATTAAAAAGAAAAAACTCAAAATAAAGGGGAAATATTTAGATAATGCATTTTTTAAAAAATCTATTATCAAGTTCATTACTGAAATTTTCACCTAGAACTGAATATTTTTGCGACGAAAAAAATTTGTAAACCATAATATGAACAATAACTTTTTTTTCTTTTCTTTCTTTATATTTTTATAAACATTTAAGGAGGTGTTTGATTTATTTTTTAGTTTTATTATAGTTACTTAAATAATGTTTTGTTTTCTTCTTTTTCCTATTTTTGTAAATTCTAAAAAGATAAAAGTGATGTTTTTAAATGATTTATAGAAATACATCATTATTTTCCGTATTATTTAGCTCATGCATTACTAACACATAATCCAAATCGCAGGATTCTCTTGCTCTATTTTTTTTATTTTTAACTCCAACTCATTAAATTACGATAATTTATTGAAAATCCTATTTCTTAAATAAATTAGATAATGATTTTTGCAAGCTTTCTACATCATATTGTTTTGTAAGGTAATGCTAACCACTATCTAAGAGTCACTAATTAAAGAATTAATAAATAGTATTTTTAATTAAAATTACATCACAATGAAAAAATAATTTTTTAATCAAATATTTTTAATTTTATTTCTTAATCAATGTCCTTATGTTGAAGCATTAGTTAGCATCCTCTTATTTTATATCACTCTTTATAAGAGATTGACCCGCACCCATCCCAAAAGTAAAATAAATAAATAAATAATTAGTTTTTTTTCCTACTACTATAAAGTATTGTATCAATATTGAAGTCTTCTATTTTTATGTTTTTGTTGAAGCTAATATTAAAATCTTCTAAGTTACCCCATTCCCTGACTTTTCTCTTTGAATGCCCAATCAGATATGCTAAACATTTTAGATAATATGAAAGCCAATACTAACCAACAGTAGGTTGTAGTCCACACTCACTAGGTACACATCATGCTCATTCTCATTAAAATTTAATAGTGAAGGTTCTAACTACAACAAAATATACGATTATGAAACATTGAAAACGTATATAAAAAAGAGTTGTTACAACTTACTTTATAGTTTCACATTAAACATAATCACGTATACAAGATAAATTCTTATATAACTCATCACTTAATATTATAGTAAACTTTATAAATTTTTGCGACTTACCACTTCAGCTAATTAAAGAGGGTAAAGGTTGAGTTGAAATTGAGGTATTACTCCCCATTCCACATTAATATATCAATATAAACAAAAATTATAATAAAGAAATCTTAATAATATTATGACATATATACATATATACTTACAAGCCATTCACGGTGTCCTTGTAAGCCTTCAATATCGAGAAGCTTAACAGCCACAGGTTGAGCCTTCAAACCCTGTCTCAAGTTATCATCAATATAACCCTTATGCACAGTTCCAAACCCACCTTCACCCAGCAAGAAATTGCTGGAAAAATTCTGGGTAATGGCACGTAGCTCACTCAGCTGAAAGTCATGCAAATCCGAACCAAAAGACTGTGCAAGGTCTTCGTTGATTCGCACGGAAGAGGAACGGCTAAGATCAGAGAAAGATAGTCTCCTAAATGATGGTAAAGGAGCAATGTTCTTTGACAAGTCTGAACGCGATGGCTTGCACCGGCTCATGTTTCTAAAGATGCTTTGATCTTCCATTGAACAGCAATTTGCTGTGAAGGGCCTCCATGGCTTTGATGGTTGCTTCATTTTCTAGCTAAAGGAGGAACTAGAGGGCTTTGTGCAAATGGGTAATGGGGTGTTGTGCCAAATATAAGTACCATGATCATATAATATAACATAAAACTTTTTCTATGTGATAGAGACAGAGGAAGATATTCTTTCAACTGCCCTAACCACTCTAGTAATTTTTGAGGGGTATTGTGTTGTCATGCATTATTTACTTATATGTTATCTTTTTTGTTTTTAAATTTGGCATCTAAGTTGTGTCTTCATGCAGAATACACCAATATCTTTTTGCCTTTTGGTAGTATTGACCTCTCACTGCTATTTTAGGTCCACACGAGACAGATACCTATTGGCTTGCCTTAATTGTTCCGGGCAGTGGAGGCAGTAATGTAATGAGGATTGAAAATTAAAACTATTTCCTACATTTTCCAATTTGGCTTATGATTAATTATTGTGTGTTTAATTAAACAAAACAACTTATATGTATAACATGTTTATCTTAAACCTGAAGGTTGGAAGTAATTTTGACAGATATTTATGCTGTTTGCCATTATGAAAAGTTTGCCACATTATCTTGAGTATCTTAAAAATATGCATCACAAAAATTATTGGCTATAATTATAAATAAATTCGATGAGAAGTTGATAATTTTAAAATCAAGATGTTAGTAATACTTATATATGCATCTCTACTTACTCTAATCATGCCCAGGTAGCGTGAGGATACATTTAGTTTAAATCGTAAAATATTTGCGATTGGGTAGAACCTTATCTGATCCATGAGTGCAAATTATGCTAATACTTCCATTAATATAATTAAGAAAATTTAACAGCACCCCTTGCAATTAATATGTCTGCTAATGATTTGGTAGCCTAAGTAACGTATAAACCAAAATAGTGATGAAGGGAATGATAGCATCAATTCTGTCTTTATACAGAAATACAACTACTGACAAGTAATAAATGGTCCTAAGCGAAGAGGAGCAGTTGCATGTTGAAGTGCTGGATAAGGTATTAAACAATCTAGTCTAAGAAAAACTAAGCAGTGAATGAGGTGTACACACGGTCCTCTGGCCCCAATTTCAACTGCATGATAGAAAAGTATCGATGAATTTAAAGTTAATTATGTCAAACTTTGAAAATGTTGGTTACGGCAGTATCATTTGAATGAGATTCAACCCAAATAGAATTATGTTCATACGATTTTGACTGAGACCCTCATCAAGCAATGTCTATGGTGCTATCTTGGACCACATTTCTCATATTAAATGAAGAGGGATTGGTCTATTGATATTTACCAAATTTTATGTTCTGGTTAATGTTCAGAACTATCCCCTGTGCCTGATATGTCCCTTTTCTCTTTGGTGATTCCAATGGTGCTTCCATTTCCAACTCCAAAACGTTAAACTCTGCAAATGAAGTGGGTTTGTTAGTGTTGTTTACATTATCCAACTATGAAAATGTGGTAGCTAGATTATCATCCACTTGCTCTCATGCCATATACAAACATGTAATTTATACGATAGCATGTGGATTTGTTTTTAAATTTTAAATAAAATATTACGGTATATGGTTCTTTTATTTATGAGATAAACATGAATTCCACTTTAAAAAATAATATCCGTCTCTACACACATACTATGTAATAAAAGAAATTAATTCCTTATAAAAATTTATATATATATATATAATGTGAAAAATCTTTTTTATATAGATGAGACTAGTAAATTTAAATCGTATAATTATATAAGAATTATTAAATTTATGTAATTATTTAAAAAAAGTACATATTTTTTTAAAAAAAATTAACATGAATTAGACACATATTAATTTAAATAAATAATTCAGTGCTAGCATTTGGTGGTGACACTTATTTAACATACATGTCATGATTAGTCTCTTTTAAAAAGTGAAAATATTTTTTTAAAAATAATTAACGCGACCAATGTCTTGACATTTTAAAAAATTAAACAATTCGTAATTATTTAAAAAAAAGATGTGTTATTAACAAATTTTACAAATTATTATTATTATATACTTAGAATAATAAAATAGAACAATTAAATTAAGAATAATTTAATCCATATAATATAGAAATTCCTCTTTTCTCTAAATCTTCCAACTTTGATAGGAGCCAAATTGAGTCATGAGGGATTTTATCCCCTTTCCTCACCAAAATTTTAAACTACACGAAAAAAAAAAAAATCCCTCCTTTCTTCTTTCCTCTATTTTTTCTTAATCAAACATTATGTTATGGATACATGAATTACAATTTTTGATCTTTTAGAACTTAAAAGAAGCAAGCTTATCAAGGTCCCCAGCAAACCTAACATCTTTGGATACCTGTTTAACATTTTAACTAATGCTTGGTAGGTTTCTTCATGACAAGGCTTCATGCCCCAAGACTTAGTTCATGTTCACTATACAGCACATACATACTAACCTTAAATTAAAATTTTCTTTTAGTCCCATAAATTTTCTTGCAATCACAACAATTTTATGCCAAACAACTATTTGCTTTTATCAATCTACAAAACAATCCCTTTATCAGCGTAACATTATTTATTGTCAAATTAAGAAAATATTTGGCCAAGAACTGTGTGTCCTTCTCATTCAGATTGCTCATATAAATACAATAATATTACAAGCTGTAACGTTGATTTCAGCCCAATAAATCAGCTAAACTACCATATATACATTTATAGCTAATTATGTTAAATAAAAGAATAACCGTTACAAATAATTGTGCAATCAATCCCATACAATTCTGTTTTCCATTAATTCCCATTAATTTCGTTGACATCCCCCCTCAAATTGATGCTGGTAAATCTACAAGCATCAATTTGTCAAGTAGAAAATTGTGTCGTTGACGTGTCAAGGATTTAGTGAAAATGTCAGCGATTTGAACAGATGTTGAGACATGTGGTAGATTGATGACTCTTCGATCATAAGCTTCTCGAATAGAGTGGCAATCAACCTCGATGTGTTTCGTCCGTTCATGGTAAACTGGGTTTGCTGCAATCTGTATGGCACTGGTGTTGTCAGCATGCAATGGAGTTGGTTGTTCTTGAGAGAATCCAAGCTCTGTAAGAAGACCACGCAGCCATATAATTTCAGAACAAGCGGCAGACATTGCACGATATTCTGCTTCAGTGGATGACTTTGAGACTGAATCTTGTTTCTTACATTTCCATGAAATAGGAGCATTTCCTAAAAACATACACCAGCCGGTAGTAGATTTTCGGGTGTCTGGACATCCAGCCCAATCAGCATCACTATATGCTTGGAGTTGCATTGATGAACCAGTAGGAAAAAATAAACCACGCTTTGAAGTGCCAAGGAGATATCTAACGATTCGTTGTGTTGCTGAAAGATGGAAATGCCGTGGAGATTGCATGAACTTGCTTACTGTATGGACAGCAAAAGAAATATCGGGACGAGTGATAGTTACATAGATGAGACTTCCCACCAGCTTGCGATATTGAGTGGGATCATCTAGAAGGTCACCTTCATCTCGTCTATATTTAACATTAACTTCTATGGGAGTGTCAACAGGGGTTGCATTTGTGAGTCCAGCTAGCTGGACCAAGTCTTGAATATACTTTTGCTGATTTAGAAAAATGCCTTCATGATGATAATGCACCTCTAAACCCAAAAAATAAGTGAGTTGGCCTAACTCTTTCATATGGAAAGTTGAATGCAGTAGGTGTTTGATTCTTGAGATAGCAACTTGATCAGAGCCAGTTACCACAATGTCATCCACATAAACGAGAAGCACCACAATTCCTTGAGGAGTCCTTTGTAGGAAAAGAGATGGATCATACTGACTTTGAGTGAATTCAAAACCAAGTAATGTCGATCGAAACTTTTCAAACCATACTCTTGGTGCCTGTTTCAATCCATATAAAGATCGTTTTAGTTTGCAAATAGTATTAGGCGAAGGTGTAGGCATACCATTAGGAAGTTTGATGTAAACTTCCTCCTAAAGATCACCGTGAAGGAATGCGTTTTTGACATCCATTTGATGTAGCTGCCAAGATTGTGATGCAGCAAGAGCAAGAATAGTGCGCACAGTTGTCATCTTGGCGACTGGGGCAAACGTCTCATCATAGTCTAGTCCATACTCTTGCTTATTTCCAAGCACAACGAGACGAGCCTTATAACGATCTATAGAGCCATCCGAACGCAACTTTATAGAGAACACAAACTTGCTTCCCAAAGGTTTAATAGATGATGGACATGGGACTATGTCCCATGTTTGATTTTCTTCCAAGGCGAGAAGTTCAGCTTCAATAGCTCGCTGCCAACATTCATTCTCCATGGCCTGTTTATAAGATGAAGGAATAGGAATAGAAGATAACGATGCTGTCATGGAAGTGATATACCTTTCTGGGGGCTTACGAACGCGTGAGCTGCGTCGTAGAGGAGCCGATTCTGGTTCTAGTTCTTCTACTGGACCAGCAGCCAAGGAATCATCTTGAGGGGGCCCATGAGAGTCAATTGGTTGAATGTGAGTGGTAGTACTACGTCTTTTGTATGTCAAGAGAGGTTTAGGAGATTGTTGACCTGCATGAGAGTTGGAAAACAATGGCAAAACAGAAATCGGAGAAGCAACATGATCATGATGTGATGCGAAAAAATATGTATGTTCTTGGAAGATGACATTTCTAGATACCCGAATTCTACGAAGGTTAGGATCATAACATAGAAAGCCCTTTTGATGAGGAGAATATCCAAGAAAAGCACATTGAACAGATTGTGCAGTGAGCTTGGTGCGTTCTTGTGGAGGAAGATGGACATAACACACACAACCGAAGATACGAAGAGTGGAGTAATTTGGTGGGTGACCATGTAACCGAGTGAATGGAGATTCATTACCTAATGATGGAGATGGCATTCTATTTATAAGATGGACTGCAGTGGAAAGGGCTTCACACCAAAAACGTGAAGGCACATGAGACTCCAATAAAAGGGTGCGAACAACATCTAACAAATGGCGATTTTTTCTTTCCGCTACCCCATTTTGTTGTGGAGTTGAGGAGCATGACCTGTGAGATAAAATGCCATTGGATTGCAAAAATTCCTGAAATGAGTGTGACATGTATTCACCTCCATTATCAGAGCGAAATATTTTTATTTTTGATGAAAATTGGGTCTGAACATAAGCATGAAAAATTTTGAAAGTGGAAAAAACTTCATCTTTTGATCGTAAAAAATAGACCCAGGTGAAACGACTATAATCATCAATAAAAGTTACAAAATATTTGTAATTAGCATGAGATATAACTGGTGCCACCCCCCAAACATCACTATGGATGATATCAAAAGGTTGTGTTGTATGAGACTGATGAGTTGGAAAAGGCAGAATTTTACTCTTACCAAGCTTACAAGGAATACAATCAAAATGAACAACATTAAGAGATGGAGTGTGTTTATTTCCAAGAAAACCAGATTTTAGCAAGTCATGAAGTACATTTGTGTTTGGATGTCCAAGACGCTTATGCCACACTTGGTAATCAACAGAGGCAGAATTACAAGAAACTAAAGGCAAAGAAAGACTTGGAGGTAATGAGAAACGGATTGGGAAAAGACGTCCAACTTTAGGCCCCTTCGCGATGATCTTCCCTGAGTGTTGATCCTGCACAAGACAACCAGACTGTGAGAATTGTACTTGACAATCATTTTCGACTAATTGACCAACTGAAATTAGATTACTAGTGAGGCCAGGAGAGACAAAAACATCTGTGAGAGATGAAGAAATATCACCCGTGGCTGTGATAGGCAATTGATTTCCATCAGCGGTATGTATGTTGAGAGTGCCCAAATATTTTTTCACATTTGTAAGAAATTGAGCATTGTTGGTCATGTGGTTGGAAGCCCCCGAATCAAAGTACCAAGATGAAGAGGATTTACCTGAGATTCCTAAAGCAGAGAATGCTGAAATAATCATCTGTTGAACCATTTCAGGAGTCACCGTTGAAGTAGTAGCAAGAGGATTTGGTTGAACTGGTACTGCATTGACTGAATTGTCAGGAATAGATGAATCAATTGCGGCGGTAAAGGCTGTGACATTTCGCTTTGGTGGCCTTATTGTGCATTCCTTAAGAATATGTCCATGTTTTTTGCAGTAGTTGCAGAATTTTTTTGGGCAATTGGAAGCATAATGTCCAAATTACTTGCAACAAAAACATTGAACAGCACTCATGTCATGACTTCTTGACTTCCCTCGTGCCACATATGCCATTGGAACAGTAGATGATTTTTGATCTGCAATGATGGACTGTGTATGGAGGCGTTGTTCTTCACGTAACAGATCATTGAAACACGCATCCAAAGATGGTACAGGGTCACGATGCATGAGATTGGACCGAATACCTTCAAAGTCAGATCTCAATTTCATAAGAAATTGATCTCGTTTAGTCGTTTCATAAATAGTTTGTACTGAACTTAGACCTTCAGAAGTTAAGTCTGCATAAACTATATCAGTGTACTCAGCCCAAAGATTCATGAATTGAGAGTAAAAATTAGAGATGGAGAGACTATCCTGTTGAAAGGAAGCTATGTCGTGCTCAAGCTGGAATCGTCGTGCAGTGTTCTTTTGACTGTAGACTTTTTTTAAGTAGTTCCACATTTTGGCTGCTGTCTTGTAAGGACGAAGATTCAAAACAATGTTGGGGTCAACGGAACTAAGGACCCAGGCCATGACCTGAGCATCTTTGACTACCCACTTGGCATGTTCAACCTTATCTTTGTCTTTATCAGGAATTGGAGTGTTGCCATCAACATGACCCCACAAATCTTTTCCTGTAACGAATATCTCGAAATGGAATGACCAAGCTGAGTAAGGCGAACCAACAGGACATCGTGCTTTTCGATAGACATGGAACTAGAGTAATCTGGACTGGGAAGCAAATGACCGAGAAATAGAAGTGAAAAAAAAAACCGAGAAGGTAGGCGAGGTTCTTGGATCGTAACCTAAGCTGATACCATGTCAAATTAAGAAAATATTTGGCCAAGAACTGTGTGTCTTTCTCATTCAGATTGCTCATATAAATACAATAATATTATAAGCTGTAACGTTAATTTCATCCCAATAAATCAGCCAAACTACCATATATACATTTATAGCTAATTATGTTAAATAAAAGAATAACCGTTACAAATAATTGTGCAATCAATCCCATACAATTCTGTTTTCCATTAATTCCCATTAATTCCGTTGACATTTATACGTACAATAAAGAAAATTAAGACAAGAAAAGTAAAGGGGCAAAAAATACAGCTTTTATCATCACATTCTGCATGCAAAAAGGACAAACATTTCTAACCCAAATTGAACATCATTATTATAATGCCGTAATTGCAAAAAACAAAAATAAAGAAAATTGGTGTTTGATCAATATTAATTGCCATGATCCCATGGCAAACATTTTAAGCAACAAATGTGACCGTCCTCCTCTCTTTTTCTGATGCCTTCTTCAGCTTGTTCTCCTTTTCCCTAACTTGAAGCGTCCTAGAATCTGTGACTGTACTGGGTATTGCATTCTTTTTTTCTACTTGGTTTGTGGTTGAACCCAAAACTTCACTGCCATTTGCAAAGCCCTTCTTCGTGCTGAATCCAAAACATGACTTCATGATGTTGCAATTTGCTTGAATTCACTCAATAGTTGATGAAACCAACCCGGTTTGTTATGTAGTTCCAAATATGAACTTCAATTGTAACTTTGCAATTTGGTACCAGTATTTATATATCAGCATCTGAATCATCATTTTACTATTCTCTTGTAAATTTGTGCTTGAATGCGCTGTCAACTAAGCACAATTTCGATATATAGCCATTACCTTAATAAGTAAATGTAGAGCTTGCAAGTAACGTTTAATTTATATTCAAAGGCTTGAGTCAATTATAGCACGCGTTGACTAATTTTCTTTGCACCATCGTTCATCAATAACCCATGATTTATAACATGCACAGCATTAATCTATGCTTTACGTGTATTCGAGGATGAAATTTGAAAAGTTAATTTAAAATATTTGATTTTGTTTAAATTAAACAAAGCAATTTACTTTACGTGTATTTAGTTTATTATCATAATGTACTTTTAATATACCTGTGTTGTTTATTATCGTAATGTGCATTTAACTCATATATCTTAATCATATTTTATCATATCATATGCACTAAACGAGCCTTTATATCCATAACGTATGACTAAACGTAAAACCCCCCTCCTCATTGATGAAAGCAAAGAGAAAATTCTTCATTTCTCTAGCAACAGACCATGGACTTGATGAACAAGTCCAATACATCGCAATCTCGTACAAGCTTAACTTGAAGACCAAGGAACCTCCCCCTCAAAGAGATAAATATATACATAACTATGTGTGGAAATTTTTAACTCTGCCTATATCTGCAATATTTTTTGTTTATTTATATAAGAAGGGAAAAAATGGGTATTTCTAATTAAGAGATGCTTATACACTATTCAATTTCTTGTAACCACAGCTTTAAAAGAAGAAGAAAGAAAACAGTAGACAACAGAAATCAATAAACTCACGATTATTTCTTAACAGTTGCTTCTTTTTCCTCATCACTAAGAATTGATTTTACTGTAGAAACATCAATTCTAGCTGATTCCTGCTTCACCCAATGGACAATCCTCTCCGCTTCTTTGCTTACCCTCTCTTCCTCTTCCAACGCTTTCTTCAGCCTTCTTTCTTGTTCTTTGACCGAAAAGGTGCTCATGTCAGATAGTATTTCGTCATTCTTTCCCCATTCAACTTGGTCTGAACTTGAAACTCCACTGTATTTGCCATTCCTTGAAACACTAATCTTCTTGGTGGAGAAGCAAAAACAACATGCTGATCCTGATCCTGATCCTGTGTATTCTGCCTCCATCATGCAAATTTGATGCGTAAAACCAACGATGGTCTTTTTGAATACTTTACTAATGTAATTTGAGAGAAAAATAATGAAGGGTATAATGTGGAGTTGTTCAGATAAGGACTTATTTTGAAGAATGGGAAACAAAAGTAAAGGAATCTTCCACGCCAGAAAGCTATATTAAACATACTTAGCTTCTAGTGGCTAATGTGTTGGGACCCAGTTTAAGCAATTCCATTGAAATTGTGATCTTTGTTTGAGTTGGTGAAAAGTTTACGTCAAAGATGATATCTGCATTTGCAATATTCATTTTGGGCGGCTGCTAGTTTATTATTTTTGCTTTTTGCCCCCTTAGGTAGAACTAAGGATTAGGAATACAAACCGGTTATGAGAGACCTATCTATCTATATCTAATTAGATATTAAATACTATCATCATTTAGAATAAAATTTAATTAATTAAATGCTATAATAGAATATATATATATATATATATATATATATAGTATAAGTTTAAAAAAATTTACACTCGATTTAAATTTTTTATTTAATTTAAATTTAACGGGTTATAATTTATTACTTTATTGACTATTAGATGTAAGTTAAATAAAAAACTTAGATTGAGTATAAGAGTTTTTAAATTATAATTTATTACTATACTGACTGTTAAATGTAAGTTAAATGAATGACTTAAATTGAATGTAAGAATTTTTAGATTTACACTAGTATTAAAAATCCTTTCTCTATATATAATTAAGTTTAATAATAATAATGTTAAGTGCTATATTCAATGATTGTACTAAATTTATTAGGTGTGTGACTTTTCATGTTGTTTAAATTTATTATGAGAATAATTATTAAATAAAAAATGATTATTACAAATTGAATAACTAGAAACAAATTAAAAAAATTAATTTCTTAGAATAAGTTTAGTTTATAAATATATTTTAAAATAAAATCATTCAAATAAAAGGTTTAAGAAATAAATATATACTTTTTTCTTAAATTTTTAAATTTAAGATTTTTTTAATATTTTTATTTACAAATATATCTATTGTATCATTCATACTCTCATGAGATAAAATGATTTATTATTAAATTTAAATATCATTAGATATTATTAAAGATAACACGTGCTCAAATAAATAAGTAGTTACCTGTTTACTCGAACTTACTTTGAAGTAATAATAATCTATGTTTATAAAGTATTGAAATCAATAACATTTAAAGCTTTATTTTATTTTTTAAAATTCAATAAAAATAAAATATTTAATATATATACTTGTGTCGCTGTATATAATCAATAAACTACTCACTACTCTTGAAAAATTTGTTTGTATTAAAATAAAGTATAATATATTTACCTCTCATAACAAAAAAAAATAGAAAAGTTTTCTAAAAATGGAGACTATAATTGATAACTCGCCTCTTTTCTTCGTTTCACGGATAATTTATCTTAATTTTCTTATACCTCTTTATTTTTGTACCTTAAGCTTCTTTTATTGTCAACACACTTTAGTCTCCTTTTTTCTTTTTCAACCAACACACCTCAAACTAAAATACCTTTTAAATATACATAAATAGAAATTTAAAAAAAAAAGTATCCATTTATTATATTAAAATTATAAAATTATAATAAATACTTTTCTATTTAATAAAATTTAATTATTATTATGAATTAAGTATCCTTAGTCTTTGGGGTTAATGTACTAATAAGATTATTAGGAAGACAGCAAAGCTCTCATGGTTTCCCATTTCTACAACCACACACTGTTGACCGAAAGAGGAAAAAATGGGTCCCTAAGAAAGCGCGAGTGGACCCCACGCTCGAAAACGGACTAGTTAGCCGTTGTTGAATTGATGGGTATTCTTTGCACACAACACAACAATCACACACTTCACTGATCACTGCGACGACAATGGACTCCGCAATCGAAGAAATCATCTCACAGGCACAAGACGCATGCGTTTTGGAGGAACTCTCCGCCATCAACTGCTCTGGAATCACCCACTCTGTTCTTCCTTCTCACCTCGAATCCCGTTTCCGAAACCTCAAATCTTTCCCACCTACCCGTTCTACATCCACTTCTACAAACCTACATAACAATCACCAAAGTCCCAATTTTTTGCCTTCCAAACACAATCCACATTCTGGGTGTGCCTCCGATTCTTCCAATGGGGAAAAGGGGCTGAGAGAAAAGCCTAAACATGCCTCTCTTTCTTCACCCCCTTTTGGTTCTGCTTCTGCCTCTTCCCCTTCCTCTGAAGAAAGCTCAATGTCCTCACTGTTCAGGCCAACGCAAAACGACGAAGAAAAGCTATCCAAACAAAACTCTGCGTCTTCTCCTTCGCCACCTCGAAAGACGGGGTGTTTCTGGTGCTCTCCGAAGAAGAAGAAGAAGAAAAGCAAGGAGAATTCGGGTGCAAATGATGACTTGTTATCGGAATTGGGAAGTTTCTCGAAGAAGCAACAGCAGAAGATGCTTAAGAAGGCAATGAAAGAAGAAGAGAAGATTAGCCGCGAAGCTGAGAAGATCGTACGGTGGGCTAAACATGCTTCTGCAAGGATGAACATTTCTGACATTGAGGATGAGTTCAGTGATTGATGATTAGGTTGCATTGCATAGCAGTTTCATATTTATATGTGTGTGTTTAATTCGATACAAATATCTTCAATAACTTGGGGATTGTCTTTATTTTGTTTATACAATCGAGATATTTTGGTAATTTTCAAAATTGTAAGTAATCTTTTTTATTTTTGTCACATCAAGTATTTTTTCGGAGGTGATTGTTAATGAGGAAGTTATTTAACATATGTGGTCTTTTTAACTTAGGAATCATCTTAATAAGTTAACATAATGAAAAGAGAAACCATTAATGCATGCGGCATTGTTTTTCAAATGGATTACACTGTTTCACTGGCAGAGCCTTAGAACCTGTGGAAAATGAAACTAAAATATTTTTTGATCTTTCCTATTATGTACATGGTGTGACTTCAGGAGATTGTCACCTGAATCCTATCACAAGACAGATACAGAACTTGGTGTATGTTTGTTTTATATTCTGATAGAACTGATTTTGGACTATTGAATATTATTAAGATGTACATTTAAATTAATATTAACTACAAACTTTATAGTGGAATGTGTGTCATGCTATTAGAAATTGATTTTGTTAGATTACCAAATGGGGACAGAAATGGTAAGCAATTCTGTAAAGGAAGCTATTTTTATAAGCTGACTCTTATCTTCAAGTGCGTGTGAATATATCTGTGTGATATATGATTATTTAAACAAGCAGGGAAGTTCATACTTTTTTTTTCTCTCTCTTTCTTTGGGACACGTCTTTGCAAATCCATTTGATGCCAGTGAGAAATAGAGCTGGGAGAAACTGATTAACATTTTCAGCAGGGAGAGAGGAAGCTATGTTTATTAGCTGACTCTGATTCTTCAAGCGGCTGCGACTTTATTTGTGTATGATCTTAAACAAACAAGGAAGTTCATATTTTTTTTCCTTTTTATTTGGTACATAATTTTGCAGGTGTTGCATGCGTGTGAGAAACATATGGGTGGAGAATCTGATATACATTTTCCGCAAAGAGAAAATCTTCGAGGAACCTATGTCTATAAGCTGATTTGCATGGGACCCTGATTGTGTATGATCTTAAACAACAAGCAAGGAAAGTCCATACTTCTTTTCCCTTCTTTTGGCACTTTGCATTTGTATAGCATGCACATGAAGAACAGAGGGGGAGCATATGTATGATATATGTTTTCAGCTGGGACAAAACCTTTAGAATTTGATACATCTATCGTTACAACCAGAGCTTAAGAAACTGAGTCAAGTATGAAATCAATAATGAGACAAGTACGAAAATTTTAGATGAATTCGTCCGAAATCACCCAATGGACAAGTACAAGTATTAAAGTGAGTGACACTATGAGAAGTTATAAATGATAATTATAAAAGGTTAAGTATAATAGATAAATTTTTAAATTCTCTCTGAAAGATATGTTATTTGAAATAGTTATAGGCTTGTTCTAATTATTTGAGAAATTTAAAACTACAAAAATGTATTATAAAAAGTTTTAAAAGGAAAAGACAGCAATAATTGAACAAAGGAACTGCTTTATAAAAGGGGTCAGGGGAGAAACTGATATACATGTTCGACAGGAAGAAAAATTTAGGGAGGCTATGTTTATTATGGGTCTGATCCTTGAAGTGCATGTAACTCCATTTGTGCATGTTCTTAAACTAGGAAGTTTATACCCTTTTTTTTTAACACAAACACACGGAACAGAATCTGAAATACATTTTCAGTAGGGAAAAAAAACTTGTATAGTTGGAAGTTAGATTACGAAGAAAAGGTAAGAGAGGATAGTTTTTTTTATTTTTAATGTAATTTTATTTTTAAAAAAAATAGAATAACATTACTTTCTTTTGTTTGTTTTTATAAATATTACATAACTTTCTTGATTTGAAAGTAAAAAAATTATCTTCACTTGTATCTTTCTTTCAAAACTTCACTTTCAAACATGCCCTGACTTCGCATGTGATAATTAAGCAAGCAAAAGAGAAAAACGCGTCCTCAAAAAGTATTCAACATGCTGAACTCTTTTTAATTAATTAGTCCAACATATCATTTTATCATAATTCTTTGAGATCTCGTGCCCGCGTCTAAGCAATATTTTTGAAATTTTATATAATTTTGAACTTTTGTATGTTTGTGCTCATATATTCAACATGCCGCCATAGCTCGAATGGACTGTATACCAAAAACATCCTTAATTATCCGGTGTTGAATCCCAAGTCTGAACTTAACAAGGATGATCATTCATACTCATAACTATAGAATGAATATCAAGGACATCTTATTTAAAGGGTTAATCACAATAGCAACTTTTTTTTGTTTGCAATTTTTTCATTTTTTATTTCTTTATGTAAATATAACAGATCAGCTAAAGGGTTAGGGAGATGATGTGTAACGATAAGTTGCAACCATTGAATGCATGGGGGGCGGGTAATATTTCTTGCTGCAACATATGACTAAGTAGCCCAAATGAACTTCTTGATAAGATCCTTCGTGCTCGCAGCTAGTTTAGTTTAAAATTAAATAAAAGTAATTTTAAATCATTAAATATGATATATATATATATATATATATGTGTGTGTATATATATATATATATATATATATATATATATATATATATATATATATATATATTACTTTTAAACAATCAAATGTATCGTTCATTTATGCTGAGATTGTAGTTGTACCAGGCAAAAATTCTGTGCAATTACGTGAACTACTTTGAAACGATTATATATGATTTTAGTTTCTTGAGGCTATTTATCCCTTTTCCTTTTTCTGTTCCATATTTTCTTAAGATCACAGCACAAGTTGTTGAGGTTGGTAATTGGGGAATTCTGGCACGGTTTTCCTAGGATTTAAACAAGGAACTAAAGGTTATATTCTTTTCGATACCAAATCCAAAGAACTGTACATATCAAAAATTGTTCAATTCTATAAAAATCGATTTTCTTTCATTGAAAATGCACACTTTGCTACTCAAAATGATATTGAACCTTCTCATGCTCCTTATAATTCTTGTTATTTGTTTGATTTCACTCAACAGTCTTAGTAACACCACTAAAACTTGTGGCAATTTTAATAATGAAAATATTATTTCTGACACTATACAAACTGAAAATGAAAATTCTTCTGTTGACAATAATAATCTTTTTATTTACCAAAATGAAACTCAAATCCTTATAAGACATTCTAATAGAATAAGGAAAGCCCTATCTTATTTGTAAGACTACCATTGCAGTCTTCTTACTTCAACAACAACAGCAACCACTTCTAAAATCAGGTATTCTATTTCTAATTTTGTTTCTTATATGCACAGCAACAATTATCCGTAGCCTTATCTACAGTCACTGAATCTGAACATTATGAGGATGTTATCATGCAAGACTGTTAGAAAAAGGCCATCATAGTTGAAATGTCTGCTTTGGAGTAGAACAAGACCTGAATTCTTACTTCTTTGCCACCAGGAAAGAAAGTCGTTGGTTGCAAGTGACTTTTTAAAGTGAAATATAAGGCAGATGGATCTGTAGAAAGACATAAAGCCAGGCTTGTTGCTAAAGACTTTACTCAAACTGAAGGAATTAATTATTTGGAGACCTTCAACCTAGTTGTGAAGATGACTACTGTGAGAGTTTTGTTAGCACTTGCATCTACTAATCATTGGCATTTACATCAATTAGATGTAAATACAACATTTCTTCATGGGGACCTAAATGAAGAAGTATACATGCAAGTTCCTCTTGGATTACATACCTCAGAGTCTAAATTAGTTTACAAATTATAAAAGTCTATCTATGGCTTGAAGCAGGCAATGGAATGCCAAACTGACCTCATTTCTTATGCAACATGAATATAATCAATCAAAGGTTGATTATTCATTATTCACCAAGAAAGTTAATGACAGTTTTACAGCAATTCTCATTTATGTAGACGACCTGATCCTGGCAGGAAATAATCTCACTAAAATCAACAATTTAAAGCACTCATTGGATGCTAAATTTAGCATTAAGGATATAGGAAATTGAAGTACTTCTTGGGCCTTGAGATTGCAAGATCACACAAAAAAATTGCATTATTTCAGAGAAAATATGCACTTAACTTACTGCAAGACATTGGTTTACTTGCTGTCAAACCTTGTTCTACTCCAATTGATTATAATGTACAACTTCACAAAGAGTCAGGCACACCTATAACTGATCTTTCTTCATACAGAAAGCTAATTGGTAGATTACTTTACTTGACACACACTAGGCCTGATATATACTTTGTGGTAAATCATCTAAGCCAATTCTTATCATGTCCTACTGATTCACATCATCAAGTTGTTGTTAGAATCTTAAAATATATTAAAAGTACTCCTAGAGAAGGTCTTTTCTTTCCGGTCTCCAGTGACATTAAACTCAAAGGCTTTTGTAACTCTGATTGGGGCGCTTGTATCGACTCATGCAGATCCACTTTTGGTTATTGCTTCTTCCTAGGATCATCACTAGTGTCATGGAAGAGTAAAAAACAGTTCATTGTGTCTAGATCCTCTTCTGAGGCAAAATATAAAGTCATGGCTCAAGCTAGCTGTGAAGCTCAATGGCTCAAATTACTTTTGACAGATTTTTCTATTGATCACTCTAGTAGCATTCTCCTGTACCGTGACAACAAATCAGCCATGCACATTGTCAATAACCTTGTCTTTCATAAGCGAATTAAGTATATCGAAATTGACTGTCATGTTGTTCAGGAAAGAGTTCAATCTAGCCTCATACATTTGCTACCTATTTCTTCTACCTCCCAAATAGCTAACATTCTGACCAAGGGTTTATCTCCCAAATGTTTCAGAATCATCATTCCAAGCTTGACATGCTTGATATACACAAACATACACGTTGGATAGCCAACTCAACAACAAACTCATGTTGGCTAACTCTAGTTAATATACTTGTATAAATAGACTTTTTTATTCTTAGATTAATTTTTTGAGATTTCAATTTCTCAAGCAATATTTTTTCTCAAATCAATAAACAAAAATTCTCTCTTTCTGCAAAGTTAGTTGTTCTTTCTTTCTTCATACATTGAGCATAATATCTTTTACGGTTTGAACGCCAGTCTGGTATGCTACTTTCCGTTGCTGTAAATCCTTAGCGTGGAATCCAGTTTATTTCAATTTCAATCTATGATCTGAGTCTTCCTTAGATGACAAGTCTCGCGTTGATGGGTTAATAATAAATTCAATATACGAACAAGAGAATCATGACTCGTGAGTCTATACAGCCAACAGTTTTTTAGACAAATATATCATTTAAGGTTCAGCTAACTTCCTCAGACTCTTGAATCAACCACACTCAAATTCGAATAGTCTTAATTTGAACCTTCATTTCAATCTACTTCAGACAATCTAGTAACACCATGCAACTAAAAGATTTATTTCTGTTAGATTAGCAAGACATCATGCAACTAAAAGATAAAAATATAATCACCTTTTCCACATTGATACATCGGAAGATTTCCTAATACAATGTTTCTCACCATATCTTCGTTTAGAATTACAGACCATCCTATAGAATATGGACAGCAGAAATTAGCATTTACCCACCTTACTAAGCTTTTCATCTCAAAAACTAAGTTCCTTAGAATGAACCAAGAGCCTAAGAAAATACCAATAATATATCACTCTACATATTCAAACTGTTATTTCCTCTTGCAATTATGCTCACATATACAACATACTGCAGAGAAGACAGAACTACCTAAAAATAATTGTAAGCACATGCTATTGCTTTTCAAAAGCACCTATTCCGTGATTACAATATACAATTTGAGCCTCACCTAAGCAAAAGACCAATATTGGCATCGTGCCGATATTATTCCACTATCTTGCTGGCTGGTATTAAGTCCTGTCTCTGTACATAAGCAGAGGGAAACCATCCAGCATTGCCTTTGCATTCTCCTTCAGACCATCCATTGGGATCAACCTGAAAATGTAACAACCAAAAGGAAAATACAAATACGGCTCAAATCAGTTAATCCGTTATTGGCAAAAAAGATTATAGCATATGGTCCCATAAAAACATTATGACATTTTTCTAAATATTAAATCAACAGTGGCACTAGTAGGAAAATGCACACTAACCATAAACTTCAGCACAGTAATATGTTAAGGGGACAAAGGTGTCGATTATTTGCATGTTATCAAGATAATGACTACGCAGTGAAAGATCTCAATATTTAAACTATCTGTTTCATATGTTGAAGTAACAGATAAATGGGTATTAGAGCAGATGAAGGTACGAAAACCAAATAAAAAATTAACTCCAAAAGATGATTCATTTACTGTCATTCAAGGAAGGGTGCAGGCTAAATGTTATCTTGGGATAAAATTTTTGTGCAAGTGAATTTTGATTTAATTTTAATCACATCTCCATTTTACGGTTTTTACCCCTCTTCTTCTGCATCACAGGACTAGTGCTTTTATGAATTACAACTCCAACCAATGACCCATAATTATGAACACCAACAAGTCCATCTTTAGTTCTTTAAACAAGCAAAAATTAAGCTTTGAAAGAATCAATTTATCTGGAATGCAAGTGATGCTGCATCATAAATAGCTGAACAGTCCTTAAAGAAATACCTGACGAACTACAACAAAATCATCAATTGATAAGCTTAACTCCCCCTCAGCTTGAGCATCAAATGGATGTATGACCTACAAGACAAATGATGATGAACATGAATCAGTTTAGGAGATTGAGGTTAATGGAAGATTTTCCAACAAATTTTGGCTTCTATCAAATGATAAGATTTTTTTCTCTGGTACACAGATTTGTCAATGTTTTGTGTATGTACATGAATACATGATTTCTAATCATTCACTATTTTACACATTATATTTTCTGTAGACCCTTTGTTGAGCAAATTTTCAGTACTTCTGTAGTCACCACTCTCTTGCAATTATTTTTCCTTACACAGCAGTTTCTGTTTATTTTCATTTTAGAAAAAATAAATAAATTATGGTAAAAAATAACCGTACATGCCAGGTGTCTTACTTTAAAGCAGAGGAAGTACATACCGCAATAGTACTAAAAAAATTCCCCCCCTTTGTAATAAAATATATGACAATACAATAATGAAAAGAATTAGATAAGATTTCATTTGCACAAAAGCAAAGCTAAATTATCTGTATAGGCTTCATCTTGAGCAATTAAGATTGTAATGAAGGAGCTTGTGAATGGCACAAGCACCTTACTAGTATATGTAATCAAGGAGCTCAAGATTTATTCATTTGTTCATACGTGACTTACCTTTGCAAAAAAGTATGTGCCTGTTTGACTGTTGTGTTTATAATCTAAGCCATTTGAATTAGTATTCTCATCTACAGGTTGATTATATCCATCACTTGGCAGTGGAAATGATGTAGACTCTTTCGGTTGTCTCTCCTCAATGATCTAATTCAAATAACATCCAATTTAATGTACAGGTTATTAATTTGATCAGTGACAAAAAAAAAAATATGGTCACAATATTATGACAGAAGCCAATTAGTAGAATGGAGTCAATGGACACAGGAACTAGTAACTATTCTTCTGATTTGAAGGAAGTATCAGGCTACATGGTCACTAACCTCACCATATAGTTTCTCTAGAATAACAAGGACATGCTGATGATAGGCTCTCTCAGCATCCACCTGCCAATAAGGGGACAAATGAAAAAAGAAAGCAAAGGTTTAGGGGAGGAGGATTTTCACAAGGCTCAAGAACCATACAAAATATAACTACAAAATGAAAATATTTCTATTTTATCCACACAAGTTCTGCAGCCTAATGGAGAAGAATTGACTGCAGACAGTATGTGATCAATAGAAGCATGTGAATCTTCTTTTCTTTTATAATCTCCGTATCCGTATTGGAAACAATTTGGTCAATGACAAACAAGGGCAGCCCAGTGATACAAGATTCCCACGTAGTGGGGTCTGTGGACAATTGATATACGCAGCCTTATCCCCATAAGTAGAGAGATAATTTATAGGATTTAAACCCATGTGACCTAGAGGTCATGGCATGACCTCCAGGTCAGAAAGCTTGCACTAAGAGCCCTCTGGTCAATGACAAGAAAAAAAATGTAACATAATTTGACCAACAACTTTTGGTACATGTAAGGGCATCACTGGTATGAACAAGAAATCATGATATCTTCAAATCTTTAATAGTTAACACCATTCAGATGTTGGAAATATAACAATAGTAATACGTTAATACTATGTTTTGATGTAAACCAGTAGTCAGGCACATAAAAGTCAAATTAGCAATCATATAGGCAAGATATTACTTCCACGAGGAACCTAGCAATACCATTGTACGGAGGCTTTGGAGAGTTATCTGTTGCTGTTGTTCTTCAACGGACAACATAGCAGCTGTTGCTTCTCTACCAAGTGCCACCAATGCAGATTTAAGTTCTTTCAACCTTGTTTCTGCATTTTGAAGCCTCATGGAACTCTCTGCAGAAACAGAAGAATCCCTCAACTTTGATCGACGCCTCAAAACTTCAGCAGCCTGATGAGAAGATATCTATGATAAATACCATGCATAGTACACCACCATATGCATGCTATTGTGGCAGTAAATTATTACCTGGCCTTCTACTTCTTGACGAAGTTTGTCATAGCGGTGAGTGAGGTGTCGTGCATCCTCTAAAGGAGCTCCTGTTATCTGTGCCCGCAGTGGCTCAGAGATCTATACAAAACCTGAAGCAGAATTAGAAACATAAAGATTGGGGGGAGAGGACATGATTGGAAGTCTCCATGTTTGTTTTCCATATTTGAATAGAAAGGAAGAGTCAAAATATTGGGAAATAACACAACTGAAGTAAAAGACAAAAAGTTTGTCTTACAAAACAGTCGCTAAGTAATAGTTCCAAAGAACTAGGACTTCCCTTAAGTAGCACTAGTAAGTAAATAATTTCCAGAAGTTATCTAAGCAAATAGTTCCAAAAAAATAGGGCTTTTTATTTCCTATCAAGCAAAAGAACTGATATCCTAATATACATATGAAGAAGCAAGTTAATGCCTCTCGATTAGTACTTGATCAAGTTGAATTTTCCAAAACCATGTGCATGTGTTGGTCAAAAACTCATTGCAGCAAGGCTACTACCAGTAAATCAGGTAGGCATAATGCCATTATAAAGAAAATTAATTTGCACATATTAATATATATACTTCACAAAATGAACTCTTAAAGACTATCTATACTTGAGAGCCAAAAATATTACCTGATCACCTAAAATCCCAAGTAAAGTCTCCCTCTCGCTTTCCAATACATCATACGAGTTACCAAATTGAAGAGAAGCCCTTGCAAGGGGGTAACTACTTCCTTGATTCTCAGTCCCGTACTTACTGCAGTCCTTAGCCAACTTCCTCACTGAATTATAGAGAAAAAATATATCAATCTTTCAACCTTGAGGCATATACCAAAATGACAGCAACACAAAAGGCCAAAAGCAAAAGTCACCTATCTCCATCTGCTTGGAACTAACAGAGATGAATCCTTCGATAGCACGAACAATATGCCGCTGAAAATGCTGCAAGCAACACACTGGTTAAAAACATGACCAAACAAAGCTTCCTCAACCGATTAAATCAATGTCAATTTGTCAACTGCCAAAAGACACAGGGAGTGAAAACACCTTAGCTGTCTTTGTAGAAGTGTATAACTTTCTAAGATGCTGATGGCATTCAATTTCAGATTCATCAGTCATGAGCGGTTCACTGCTAATTTGGCCCAACTGTCTAAGTATGGCCTGCAAAGCATCAACGTTATGATACAATACAAGACCAAAATCAAACAAATAAAACCACCAAATTGACCCAATAAATAAATACATAATTAAAATAAACCACTAGCAACACTTAATATTTATCGAATTGATGTTATGATCCCATGCTACAGAAGCAGTTTTAACCTAAATAGTAAATACTAAGAGCACCCAATTGGACAAAAAAGCTTTCCATCAAAGAAGAAGAAGAATAGGAATGATGACCTGCTGTTGCTTAGCGACTTGCTCCCTTAATTTGCTAGCTTGCTTGCGTATAGCATCCATTATTCTACTTTTCACAATAAAAACAGTTACTTCGTTGGAGTCCAAAGAGGGAATGATGAGAAAAATATAGTGCTGGGTTGAGGCAGAAAAGCAAGGCACGGTGGGAAATAAGATGATTGAATGGATTGATTATATTACCTGTACGTAACTGGCTGGGTCTTTCCAGAGAGAGAGAGAGAGAGAGAGAGAGAGGTTTGGAATAGTTAGAAGAGAACAGAACGGAACATAGAAATTATAATAATAATTGAGTTGAGTTGAATGAATGAGTACTGAAAGTGAAAACTGAATCATACTGTAAGACAGAGCTGAGAGAAAATCTTGGTCTTAGGGGAAAAAGCCTCTTTTTAGGATTTCCACCGCACACCCGGACACGCGCTTGACTTTGGACATACACATGAAAATATTTTTCGTTTGGGTTAAAATACGTGTTTGGTGGCTACAGTTCACATTTATTTATAAATGAATTCTTGTAGTTAAAAAATATTTTTTTAATTTTATATATTTTAATCTAATATTATTAAAATAAATGCTAACGTGACTGTATAACACTAATTTAATAAATAATCATTTTTATTAAAGTCATTATAATAGTAATAATTAAAATGTAATAAAATATTTATATAAAAATTGAAATATAAATTATTTTAAATATATAAATAATTTTTAAATGAAACTAAATATGTATTTTAATTATTTTTATTTCAAATTTTAATTATAAAAATAATTTAAATAAAAGAATTTTTTTTACATGAGAACAAAAATTAATCTAAACTGCACAAAAGAGTGGGATTTCTTCGGTTTCTAATTTTTTTGGTTAACGATTTTTTAACATTTTGAATTTTTGGACTAATTTTGTGATTTAGAACAGAGTGAATGGATTGTTGAACAATTTTTATATGTATAATCTATCAAGAATTCCTACAGCCTACATTCGGCGGGCTAATAATGTCCACTCCATACAACGGGTTTATCTTTATCCGCAAATATTTACAGATCCTAGTTAAAAAAATTAAACAATGACGATGTTTTATCCTGCCAAGGTTACATAAATCACACCGTACTATTGACCATCGTTAAAACTAAATTTTTAGAGATATTCATTAAAATTCAAAAAATTACTGTAGGAGTATTTTAAATACAAATATAAATTTTAAAAAATAAAACACTTAAAATAACAAAAATAACAATGTTGTTATATCAATAAAATAACAATGTTGTTATATCAATAAAATAACAAAACTACAGTTAAATTTACTTTTACATACTTAAACTTTTTTTTTTCAATTTATATGTACAAACACCCACGTACCTTGATACTCATCCAGGCCCTGTATTTTTACCTGCAATACTTGTGGATAGCAAATATCCTCGGATGTAAATGAGTTTTCCATCCCTATCTCGGATCAACGTTTTTTTTTTTTCGGTCAACAGGATCAACGTTTATGTTGCTCCTTTTGAAATAAAAGAAAAGTGAACTTTCTTCATCCCCGATCAGGAAGTGTAAAAGACGCTGCAAAGAACAAATACACAGTGACCTAAAAAAAGGTAACGAAAAAATAAAACGCTATAACACAACCTGAGAAGTGAGAACCAATGTCATCAGATGAATTCTTTTATGGAAACATATATTACAAAAATAAAAAACAAGAATCACTTGCAAGAGTGGGCCATCTGAACTTGTACATACTCATATACACTTAAATTGGAGTGAACAAATGTAACAAAGATTACAAAGGCTAGCAAAAAGAAAAGGGAAAAAGAAGAAAAAACAGGAGGAAGAGTGGAACCACGATCGATCCAGTAACACATGCAACTCTATTCACGAAGACAAAGAAATGTATGAACATGTCCAATGATGACATGTGATGGAGAACCACAACTTCTATCGATAAGTGGTGTAGTGAAGGACCTCTCATCATCAATTTCAGTTAAGAATGAATGCAACTGAGAAGGAAAGTAAGCCTGCTGATTCTGTCTCTTTCATTGCTTCTGACTTGCAAGTCATTTGCAGTGACGTGGATGCAAATACAACATACGTTTAGTTTGTCATTGCAAGCTTTTTAATCCGAGTTGGAGTCATAGAAGTCACTAGGACATGGAGTTACGACCTCTGGCTCAAGCAGCTGGACCACTCGGTGCATAGTGGGTCGATCCTCTGGACTTGAGGAAACACACTGAATAGCCACAGAGAGCAAGGCATCAAGGCTCTCCATCTGCACTCGCTCACATAGAGGGTCAACAATTTCCCTCGGCCTATTTTCGGTAATTAGAAAATTCAACTGCGACGATGGCAAATATGTGGTATTAGAATGCTGATCCAATTCCCATTAGAATGACAACTAAGACAAGATTGGCTTGTAAAATAATGACTTACCAACTACACAATTTATGTATGTACTAAAACAAGATGGGATTTGGAAATAGCCGTATAGTGTGGAGTGATAGCTGTTGATCGGAAAATTAGCAGTTGATATTGTGGTAAACGACAGGCACATATACAGCAAATTATGAAGTTATTCAAATCATAACTACTGATTTTCCAATCAAAGACTATCACACTGCACTTTAGCATCTATTGGTCGGATGCATTTTGGAAGAGCTAAATCCAACAAGATGACAATTAATTTCAATTATTTTACCAAGTAAAACCCACTGACCCCCACTCAATGCTGATTATAGTGTTAACCATAAGGAAGCCCATTATATAAAATAAGGTGATGTAATCTTTAAGATAACAAAAGATACTTCAATGAGTATTTATATTAAAAATGTTTAGTTATTTAAAAAAAAAAACTAAAAAAGAGATCATAATTCATATTAAAATATAATATTTAGGTGAACTACATACCCAACCGACAATATTGAGACCCTTTTCAATGAATGATGCATCTGTTGGTCGCTTTCCACTCAGCACTTCAAGTGTCAGCACACCAAAGCTATACACATCAGTCTTCTCAGTTGCTCTCCCACTTTGCATATACTCTGCCATGAAGTAACAGAGGCTTGCTCAGACAACAATTAGTTAAAATCTAAAACCAATCAAATATCCAAATTTCAGCACACCCCAAATATAACCAGCCCTTTCAATGTCACAAAATTGTCAAGCTGAACTCATCTATTGATTATTAGCAGCTCCTTTACTCCATGTTAAGAAAAATAATAAAGATTTTAATCATATTCAGCCATTTTCCTCGTTCCTTTGGTTGGTTTGGCAACATTTGTCCTCTCTCCCTCTCTCTCTCTAATGGCCAGAAGAAAGACCAATACTGCTGCATTTACTCACACAATCAGTCAAGTAGAATTTCACAAGCATTTACTACAGAGAGATATTTCCTGAGTTATGTCATAAGAGCTGCTATATCTTCCTCGCGCACAATAAAGACATCAAAACAAGAGATAAAAGAGTTAACACAGTAAAAATCCATGCAGTCTAAAGACCACCTAGTGACTAGTTTATAGATACCCTTGACAACAAAAGAACTTCATTAATAGTTCAAATGCTAAATACCATCAACCATGCTCCAGCCAACTATCTATGTGGCCAATATCATTCATTCTACATTGCTTACCTGGAGCTAGATAACCAAATGTTCCAGCAACAATAGTGGTGATGTGAGATTCTTCATCCTCCAGTAGTTTAGCAAGTCCAAAATCAGAGACCCGAGCATCCAAGTTTCCATCAAGCAAAATGTTGCTTGATTTTATGTCTCGATGTATAATCCTAGGGGAACAGTCATGATGCAAGTATGCAAGCCCTTTTGCAGCTCCCACAATTATATTCAAGCGTGCATCCCAGTCTAGTGGCTCAGATTTTTCTGTGCAATGCATCACAAACATCATCATGCCCCCCGAAAAAGACTTAAGCAAAGATACAATACAGTGAAGATTTAAATTTGAAAAGGGTGACTGATGTTGTGAAAAGATTATAATTGAGATTGCTACATAACATCCCCCTCAACTTATTAGAATCTATATGACAATTCAGCCAATGAACAAAACTTTAGGAATATATCCAATTAAACAAAAATAAAAAATAATGCATCGTGTTGGCAACCAAAGGAAATAAAGTTGAACAAGATTTAAGACTTTTACAAATTTACAATTAGGAAAAAACAAAACTTCTTTATAAATGAATGGACATGTTGATAAAGGTTCAGATTAGCTGGTAGGATAAAGGTTGCTATTGTGTAATAATGATTACCCATAACAAAGCATTTATTTATATCATATTGTCATGACCTATTTTGAGAGTTACCAAGGGTTCTTTAATTAAGAGTTGGTTGGTTTACGAGGAGAACCAAATGATAATTACCACATGAAATATTGACCCTTTAATTATCACATGCCCCACCTTAAAAAGCCCACACTTGTAGTTGTACCAAAAATACAGCTGTTTCTTACATTGATATGATAATCAAAATATTGTAAGTATTTGAACTGGGATCTTACCATGAAGAGCTTCATCAAGACTACCACCAGGTAGGTAGTCATATATTAACAACTTTGATGCAGGTGAATTGCAATATCCTCGTAAATTCACTAGATAACGGTGTTTAATGCTACCAAGAATTTCAAGTTCTCTCTCAAAAAATCTATCAAACCCCTCATTCAATTTTACAATCCTTTTCAAAGCAAATTCATTCCCATCATCCATAGTAAGCTTGTAAACAGTTCCGAATCCCCCTATCCCTATTATGTGTTCCTCATTCAAAGACTCCAGTTTCTTAATAATGTCTTTTGAAGAATATGGTAGGTCTCCATGAAACATAACAATTGATGCACCTACAAGACAAGACATTATTCAGACATTAATTTTCAAGGATTTTTCATTGAATAATAAAGTAGAAAAAAGATAATACAAATAGGTCCATATGCTAGCTACAGAGAGATAAGGAGCACACCTGAACCAACATCCATTGCCAGACTTATTCTGTCATTTTTACCAAACTTTTTATAAAGAAAACAACCCCAGAAGCACATGAGTGCCACCAAAAGTAGTGCACCCACAGTTGCTGATGCACTAATGAGCAGCCGGCCAGAATATTTCTTTTTTCCAAATTGATTCTGGTCTATAAAGAGTAAACAATAAAAGTCAAAACAGTATTGGAGACGATGTGATTCAATTGACTGTACTACATACAGAACTGTCAAAACTATTGTCGTGAAAACAAATATTGAGTCAATGAGTCCATTTAGGGCTGTGCCAACCTATCAAAACTCAAAAGTGAGACATACGGACCAGTTTGCTAGGATTAATAAGAAATAATCAAAAAATGAAAAAGAATCTTGAGTAAATATTACAAAAGTTATAGCTTCATTGAAAAAAGAGAAAGTGTTTTTTAACTAAATTTCTTATTCCATCATAATAGCTCCACAATTTTGTCTTTATTTAGGATTTCTTTGATATGATGCCCCAGGTTTCTTTCAAGTAATTTCTGTTCAAGGTGAGTGGAATCGCAAGGCCTTACTGTAGTGATGTAGATTTTTGAATTTTGAGGTTGATTAATTGAGGCAGAAAATTTCTTGTCTTCATCAAATTAATCATGCATAACATAGATAACAAAAAAGTAAATCTAAAAGGAAAATTGAAGAACTTAATTTAGTCAGTGTAATGGCGAAAGATGCAATCTGCCATTCTTTACATAAAACATATGCTAAGTACTGTATCCACTTTAATATCAAATTTGCAATCTAGCACACCAAATTGGTTATTTAAAAAGGTAAATGTATTCTTGATTTTATTTTATTTCATTGTTTGGGAATGGAGGGGGTTAATTTCAATGCCTTTGGTGGCATTCAACACAATCAAAATGACCCTTGTCCTCTCTCCCAAGCCCAGTTAATATATAAACAAAAGTATGGCCCAGTACCACATACAAAGTCACTCTCAAGTGCTTGAAAAACATGCAGCCGAGTGAAGCCTGATCATACAAAATCAACTTGACACCACTCAGAGTTATGAATTACAGAAAAAGACCATAAATAAATCGCAAGTGTATTGTCAAATTCAGTTAAAATAAAATATCGATTTGGATTTTTATTTTATTTTTATTTTTGAGAGGGTTGGGAGCTTGTTAGCTACAATTTAGGTAATTCATTAACTATATATTAGAATTGTTCCCAATTTCTTTTGATCTACTTCTAACCATGCATGCTTATACCTGTTGAACTGTTTGTTTTCTTCATTTATTCAGTTTTTTAAGTCAGATATTTTTAATATCCCACCAAACGGAACTTTGAGTGCAAAAAAAGTTTATCAGCATTCTATACTGATTGACTTATGCATTACCAAAGAATCAAATGCCAATACTTTCCATATTCTCTATTGATTGCAATCTGAATTAGATCTTATTAAAAGTCCCCAGATTGTTGCAATGACTCTACCTTCATTTAGTTGACAACATAGGGCCAGGATTGAGTTATTAACAAAAAGGACATTTGGTACCACACTACCACCCTTACACCCTCCAAGAAAGGATTTCCACTTTTCATTTTAACTCCATCTAACTAAAAGCAGTTGACAACTCAAGTTGCCACCTTTCTCAAACATATTGTGCCAGAATATATCTATAAAGTCAAAGGCTTATGTGTTAAACTTAAAATATTTTATATATAAAGACAATGCATCACTAAAACAAAGAAACAGAAGGGAGCTTGAAATAAGGTTAACTGAGCTATTAAGCACTAGTTTCAGAAGCACACAGCTTACCAGAGGAAGTAGATTGAGTATTTGTCTCAGGCGAACCATCATCTTTACATGTTGAATTGATTTTCACTCCACACAAACCACGATTTCCAACAAAGCTGCAACAAGGAAAATTTGTCTCAATATTGAAAAGTAAATTTAGTTCCTTAGAGGTACACCACTACATTAGGAGAGTCTAATAGTGGATCACATAGGATAAAAATAAATTATTTACAACATAATTATTCACAATATTTATGTCAAGACTGATAAAAATATCAACTGGCATAACAAAATAAAATTATCATAAAACAAGACAAAGTTAATGCATAGGCATATAAAATATTAATTTATGCCTACAAATATCCGTGTGCATGGGTAACAAGTAACAATTAGGGATTAGAATATCAAAACACAGATGGATTTCAACATAACAATACACCAAATATCAAATGCCATAATTGTAGTGAAGGCACTGCAGGACTTTTGCTTCATTTATATGATGCAAATCTTGTCATACCGTTGTGCAGTAGATGCAAATAGCTTGATATCTCATTAAATACAATATTTTATAGAATCAACTCAAAATAAGCTCTTTTCAACTTATTGGAATAAGTTGAAAAGATCAAATTTATGCCAAAAGCCTTAATGTGATAAAAGTTTATTGAATAAGTGCTTAATATTAGTTATACACTTATACTTATATTAGTATTTATCTATTCACACACTAGTTAATCTTAATTGTTCTAAAAACACCAAAACTCTTCATTACTCAAAAGAAAAAACTCTATAATGCATATAACTCTGAAAAAATCATATTCCCATCAGCACTTAGCCTACAGAACATCTATAAATAGAAAAGGTCATACTTACGAGCTTCCAGTAAAGTTGGCAAGGACACCATCAGAAGGGATCGGTCCGACCAGAAAATTGGTTGATAAATTGCTTCGTAAACATAACCAAAAATGGTAAAAAGATTCAATTTTTTAAAAAATAAAATAACAAATTAAATAAAAATGTACATAAAAAAAGAAGAATCAAGGCAGAGAAGAAAAGTCTACATACAAATTTTTGAGATTATACAACTTCCCAAGTGATGCAGGAATATTCCCACTGAGGGAATTGCTTGATATATCCCTGTAAAAATAGGGAGATAGGTTGATGAATATGATCTCTGTATGACCAGAACTATCTAATTTGAAATTCTTAAAAAAAATAGAAATGCCACCAAATCAAATAACAACAGCATACAAGTACTACACTCATCTCTAAAGTAGCTGACACGTGCATGCATGAATATACCCACCACTCACTCATGAACACCAGACAAATTATGTTTAATAGTCCATTTCTTTCCTCTTTTTATCTCAGAGGGCACTTTCAGGTCATTTATTCTTCAAACGAAAACAGAATGAATGTGCACTAAAATATTCATAGAGTTTAATCAACACCCAAATAATTAAATAAAAACAAAAAGAGAAGCATAAACTAAAAGAGAAACTCACAAATTTTGAAGCAATGAAAGGTTTCCTATTTCACTTGGAATCATTCCACTAAGGTAATTACCCTGTAAGAATCTGCACAACGAAAATTAGCAATTATTACCAAGTAGAAAAATAGAACATTGGATTTACCCAACATAAACCCAAACATAAAGAACAAGATCTAGTAGTCATAACTTATATCTTCAGTTAGTGTCTCATATATCTTCACATTCAGAATGTGCAATAAATTAAAGTTGACATAAGTGGGATTATGTTGTAAATTTGTATTATCTTAATATCATCATCAACTAAGATAAATGCAGACAATTTTCCAAGTTAAATAGAAAAAAAAAAATATATGGAAGAGAACTTGGCAAATGAACCAAAGCTAATACATACATTCCTTCCAATTCAGTGCAATTTCCCAGTTCTGATGGAATTGTCCCATAGAAGTTGTTGTTATGAAGAGCACTACAATAATACATTTTCATTAAATAAGCAATTATGTAAAAGTATCAAATAACTGGGAAAAAAAATATACGCAATCAAAATTTTAAAAATACATACAGAACCCTCAGATTCTCTAGCTTCCCAAGGTCAGGTGATATAGACCCACTTAACTTATGGTGAGATAGACTCCTAAAATATCACCAATGAAAGCAAAGTTAGATAAAGAATCCAGACATAACTGCCAGCAAGTCTCCTGTTATGTCTTGATAAAGTACCATTTTCTAAAATTAAGAAATTTTGTAGCAGATTATTACACAAATGCAATCTTTCAAGGAAATCTACACCTAAAAACAGAGGATCATATCCTGCTTTAATGAAAGCCCTAACCTAATACAAAACCCATGAATGAAAAGGTGACAGGAGGGATTAACTCTCTAGGGTGGAAGAAATTTAAGTCAAGCATTGAGCTATTAAAAATAATAGACAAACAATAAAAACTGAAAACAGCCAAATGTTCAATGAGAAATTTACAATCACTAGCAGCAAGAATTAGCCAATACATTTGTTTACCAAATCTACAGTCTAAATCAGAATAGAAGTGTTTCAGACGCTGTAAAAAATTACAATGAAGCTTTGTCTAAGATTGGTTTGCCGTATCTATTAGCACGAAACTAACAAAATAAAATCTATTGCCCTCTAAATAATAGATGTGACCATATTACATCAGTCAATCCAACACTTTCATCTCTAGAAAACTGTATCTTACAGTAAGTGCTAGACAAGAAATGTCATATGACTGTTATAGAAACTCACAGATGTGTTACACTCTTGGTTTTTGGATCACACTTCACTCCTTTCCATTTACATGGGTCAGGATCCTCTGGCCTCCACTGTAACAGGATACCGTCAGAACTAACAACTGCTGTCCTAAAGCTGAGAAGTACCTCACCTACACATGTGAGAGAATACAATATGCCATCAACATGATTATGCACAAGAAAAGGAATCTACCTGATGAAACTAGTTAAATGCTAATTTCAATTAAGTCCCATGAGAGAACAAATGCATGCAAGTAAGATGATAAAGTTCTACAGTAGAATTTGTAAAATTTTGATTTAGTTCAAAGAAATTATTATGGAAGTATAAAAAAAAATATACGTTTGTTTTCTATAAATATTTTCATAATAAAATATGCCCATATTTTGGTCAGTGTAATATAAATATGAAATTTGATATTATTAAATGCAGGGTTAAATCCTTACCAACAATAGCCTCTAAAGTAATAAGTTTAAGAGAAGCATAACAAATATATATGATCATACCATCAGGACTGATTGCTTCACTTTGATTGATTACAATGTGTATCAGCAGAATGTAAAGAAGCCACGGCCATTGCCATTTCAAGCGACAAATGCCCATAGCAACACTGTTCAATAATAATACGGCTAATAACAGTCATCTGAGAAAGCAGTATCTAAAATGTCTCTCTCCACCATGTAGTTATCTAGTTAGTACGAACATCAGCAGTGCAGACAGATGTATACACTCCCTGCAACCAAAAAGAAAACATTGGTGAAATTACAGCAAACAATAATCACGGTGATTAAAAATTTATCAAAGAAATTACCGTAGACAAGAGGCAAATTTTATTTAGGAATTTAGGCATATCAGTCTTTCACACGACACTTAACAACGGGGAACACATATAACCTCAACAAGTAATGAAAACACGAAATAAGTTTCCTATATTTTAGTTTAAGAGTATGCATACGGCCAAAACTAAAAATGCACAACAAACCATTTTGAATGACGCATCTTCACGGCTTGCAATGACAGAATACGAGGGAATGCTTCAACCTGAGTTACAAAATTTTCAAGATGAAACACACAAACACGTCTCTATCTAAATAGGGAAAGAATCGAAAGCAGCAGATAAGCACACTAGGTAAACAGGTAGAACAGCTCCGTACACAGTAGACTAGAGATAAATTCAGCATTTCAAATCAAAAGCATTAAATGCGGAAACAAGAAATCAAAGTTAATAAATCCGCAACCAGAATTACACGAACAGCGATGGTGAATTTTAGTATTCGGAAAATGGAGGAAGCGGAGAGAAAATTGCACGCGCACTGACCTGGATTTCGATCTGAGATGCGAAAGTGAGAGAGAAATGCAGGTTGAACTGTAAAGGAATAAGAAGAAAATAAGTTAAAATAAAACCCTGTCTCACTCTCACTGCCTTGTGTTGAGTTTGCTGTGCCTGAGATTTCTGTGATTCCAAAGAGCGAGTGCGAGTGTGTGCGTGTGCGTGAGTGTGAGTGAAAGTGTTAATAGAAGCTACTCGCTATGCTCGTGAATTAAAGGGGAACCAATTAGAGCAAGGCTGTTCGGCACGTGAGAACATCGACACACCGTACGTGCGACCGACGCCTTCGCTCCACACCCCGTACAACTCATTAAAATGACGCCTGTAGCTTATATTGCATTACGTTACAACACTTATCCCAACTCTTTCTCTCAAAAAAGAAAAACAGAAAAAGAAAATTCCAAGTTATTTATTTATTTTAGATAAAAATAAAAACAGACTGTGAAATTGAAAATAGTAACATTGATAAAAAGAGCAAGTATTACCAGAATAGTATAATGTATTCCTTTTCTAGCCTTATTTTGTAAAACGTGTCCAATTATTTTATTTTATTTTGGCACGTATACGCTTCCCATTCATGCTTATTCACACACATTGCATCAAAAATTAATTAAACTCTAAAGTTGTTAGTTAGACTAACAAAAACAGATTGTAACGCCCATTAGCACACTATTTAAAAATATTTTTATATATTGTCACGTCAATTCATATTAATCGTGCTATAAAAATATTAAATTCGATTACTCAAACCCACCTGTTAATTGTGGTATAATTTAGGCTGGATAGGTCGAGTATATCAACTCGTATCATCTCTACACAAGGTTGATTTTAAACAACTAAAAATAATATTTTTTATTTAAAAAATAATTGCCTCTGATACTTTTATATTTATAATATGAAAAGCGTTAATATCAATTTTTAAGATTATATTTAAGTAAATAATAAGAGCAAGATTTAACTAAAATAAATAAATATTTATCACACTTTTTAATTTTAACGTAGTAAATATTTTTAAAAAGAAAATACTGTGCTTAAACACAATCTTAAATATTGAAGTTAACTAAATTCTTATAATATAATAAAAAGCATTTAGTAAAACTTGCTTCTTTTATATGCTGAAACCTATTCTCAAGATTGAAATAAAATTGATATATATATTCACATTGTTTTAAGTTTATGTATTTCTACCATGCGCATTTACTTTTATTATACATATACAGTAGAATTTTTGCAATTAAACAAAATGGAGATAAGCTTCCATGTCCATAAACTATCTAAGCATACATGTAAATTATTTTACTTAAAATATTTTTTATAAACTTTGAAAAAATTTAAACATTAGTTGAAACAAGCTTGTACCAACTCAATTCCTTGTTTACGTGATTTATCATTTGTTAGTTGCTCATGGATGTCCATTTCGCATGGGACCTCTTGATACTACATTGGCTATACTCTATAGGGTTTTTTTAAAAAAATAATGAAAGGCTTCTTGAGACACATTTTTATATTCTTTAATAATATAAAAAATTAGAATAAATAATATATTTAAAAAATATTTTATCAAACTCAATAATATTAAGTAATCCACGTATTATTGTTGTTGTGAATTGTATGATTTGTCTAAAACACTGCTGAGTTCTGGTTATGAAAAAGACTATTATTTTCTTTGGAAATGAAGGTTTTATAATTTATTATAGTGCGATTACATGCGATTTGCATACCAATGTAAAATTTAAAAAATAATTAACTACTTATTATATTAGTTGACTTTACCATGTGAAAATTATTGTATATTAATAACTAACAATTACAAGACAAATGTATTAGTTAAAAGTTAACAATAAGAATAAAAAAATAAAGCTATTTAATAAGAATTGAATTTGGTTCAAATACAATTTTGAATAGATTAATTTATGTAATACAAATATTTTATATAAGAGAATGATCTTCTTATACTAGTATAAATTTAAAAGCTTTTATATTTGATCTGAATTTTTTATTTAATTTACATTTAACGGCTAGTAAAATAATAAATTATAACCCGTTAGATATAAATTAAATGAAAGGTTCAAATTGAGTGTAAAAATTTTTAGATTTATACTGACATGCAAATATCTACCCTTTTTAAATATATAGCTATTCACATAGTGAAAAATAATTCTGATCACTTCCATGTCAATATATATGTAGAATAAAAATCCTTATAAGCTTCTTCACCTCTTTGATTTAATAATAATCATTAAGCTATCGTCATTCAAGTGCAACCTTGAATGTCCTTAAACACATCAAACTATCTATTAATAAATTTTAGCTTCAACTTCAATATATGGTTTCTTACGTGTGTCTCAATTCACCCAAAGGTGTGATTTGTGAACTGATCTTATATAACTCACTTTACATATCAAACTAGTGTTAAGTGTCTATTTTGTATAAATTCTGTTAAGTATTTAGGCACTTAAAAATTTGATTTAAATGGAAATTTTGTTTTTAACCCCTTTTTCTTTAAGAAATTAAAAAGATATGTAAATACCATATTTTATTGAGAGTTGTTGGATTTTGGAACCAATTTCTGTTATTTTGACCTTGCAAGACTTAGAAAGATTTTTGGAAGATTTGAAGTCCTTCAACCGCTCAGCTTGTGGGAAAGCGCTATGCAGACTGGAGACAGTTAGCAAGATTTGAAAGCATGTCTCAATTGCTTAGCTGTTATATAGGTATTGAGCAAATTTGTTTCAAAGATGATGGAGGTCTTGGCCTTCAAAGCGCCTAGCGCTTGTTCAGGTAATCAGCGGTTTAGATTTCTTAACCATAAAAGAATCTCTCAACTGCTCAGTCATTCCCCAAGAGCTGAGCGGTTTACTCTCTCTCCAAATAGTATAAATAAAAAACAGAGACAAAACAGAAGTGGCAAAGGGAGAAAGAAAAAAGAGAAAAACACAAACAGAGGTCGAGAAACTTGGTTTTTAGCCAAGGATGAGGGAGATTCATCATTTTAACTCTTCTACTCCATTCTCTTTTATATTTTGGAATTGTCACTCATCACCATGAGTAACTAAATCACCTTTTTGTTGAGATTAAATATAATCCATCAAACTCTCTTGTATTCTTTTTTTATTATATTTATGATATCTATTATTCAGTGTTAGTGATTGTGATTCTGCTCTTAATGTTTTAGATGAACTGGTCACTCATCTTTTGATTTTTTACTTTGATTTGGAGCTATTAATTAGTTAGTTTTTGAACTTAATGCAAGGATCATGATTTAATAAACTAAGGAATCGTTGTTGGATTATAATTTTTAGTAACTCTAAATGCAAAAGATTGATTTAGAGTAGTTTAAGAGAATTCAATAGCATTAATTACAAGAATCATATTTATATGACATTAGAAATCAATTAAGTTAAATAAATGAAATTTAATCTTAACAGTCTCTCTCTTGTTGTTTCTTAATTTTATTTACATTGTTAAATTTTATTTAATTTATGTTTTAAATTTATGAATATCAAAATGTATATATATAATGTATATAGTTATTTTTTCAAACTTTAAATAGAATATTAACATATATTATTATCTTACAAGTCCTTATAATTTAATAACCTTTATTTTATTTTTACTATAATAGACTTATTCTGCTTGTGATACGTTAAAAATTGCCTTAATAGCTAGTCAATATAATTGCTTCATTATCAACCCAAGTCAAAATCACATTAAATACCCACCAACATATATAATCTGAAACCATCACATAAACCAACTAGATAAAATAAAGACAAGACTCCTTTCAAGTGTAAATGCTTATGATTTAAGTCATAGTTTTCTGAATTTCTCTAAAATTATGCAAGAATATTGTGTCTTATTAACAGTTTGAACAATAGAATCTTGGAACTCTGATTTTCACAAACAATAACAAAAAGTAATTTGGAGAAAATAATTCCTTGCCTTTGTTTATTGCGAAAGCCTTTTATGCTTTTGGCATGATTGATGTGAAAGGAGAATAGAATAAACTACCCTTTCATACGCGCGTGTATATATATAAAAATTATGTAATTTTTTAATTCATCATTTGACTTTTTAAATCTTATGATTATAGAAGTTATGTATGATTATATAATTTAAATTATCTAATATTTATATAATATTTTTACCTTTGTTGTTCTAATTGTATCTTGCAACAACAACTATCAAAACTAGACAAAGTAAAAAGTTGTTTCATGACTCTATTTGTATTTTGATTCGAAATAATTATTACATTAAAAGTTTTATTCTATTTTAAATTACTTATCACTTTGAAAATTAAAAATAGTAAACATTAATCTTCTAAGTTTAATGTTTTCATAAATTAAAATAATTAAGAGTGGGAATGACGGAATGTAATATAAACACAAACTATTCTAAAAATTAAAAAAAAATCAATAACATTTCATTTGAAAAACAAACATTAATTAGTTTAAAACGAAAAGGGATAATCAATAATAGACAATATATATTAAAAAAATTTATGGACAGTGAACGTGACAGGAAAATAAAGGAAAACATCATCATAATTCATCATATATAATGTTGCAACAAGAGATTCTACACATTGGAGCATACAAGCAATACATTTGGACAAAAATAAATAAATAAATAAAGAACACAGTAGCAAAGCAACAGATGATGATTGATGAGACAGTGGTTGAACACTTGAGATAGTCAAATATGTCGGCATTTACTTCTACGAAGGAGGGGTCACCGGACAGACAGACGGTGTAGGCATTTCTCAATATTCCCTTAATGATAGCTACAAATTAGAGTTTGTAAATATTTTTTGAACTCTCTCAATCTGTCAGGTTAACTTGTTTAATCTAATAATTTGTATTTTTTTTAAGGAGTTACATGTAATTCACCCACACAACTTGCATAATTTTTGAGTTTGTGAAGAGTTGGGTTGACCAAATAGTTAATTTCTAATTTTAATTTTTTAAAAGGGCCTAATTCAAGCTCAATTTTTACTATTTTTAATATATATTTATTTATAGCCTTATATATCGTCTAATTTGCTTTTAAAATATATGTTTTATCTTATTTTTATATATTATTTTACCTGTTAACCTGCATCAGAAAAAGTTAACTTTCCCAACCCAATTCTTAAAATAAACTAATCTATAGTTAAGTTCTTTTTGTAGTTGAGTGAGAACGAGGGGTCAATCTACTTTTACATCTCAGCACTATCTATTCATACATTTTTTATGCTTTTTTGGTTCAATAGTTGTTAAAGAAGTGTTTGAAATGATTTATAGAGAATTTATAAAAATAATTTATATATTTTAAGTTTTTTAATTTATTTTAATACTTTTTTAGCGTAATTTAATAAAATAAGTTTTTTTTAATTATAATCAAATTTGTAGGAAAAAACTCTCCAAAGGCGGGCCAATCCACTTTTATATCTCAAGAAAAAGTGAGTTAAGCACTATAAACTCATGCATTTTGATGTTTTTCTGCTCCAACCATTGCCAAAGAGACGTGTAAAAGAATTTATAGAGTTTATATACAATTTATATTTTTTTAATAAAATATTTTTTACTTATTCTAATAATTTTTTTGTATAATTTATTAAAATAAGATAAACTATTATATAAAAAGAGTATATTAAATAAATGTTTAATTATGTCATTTTCTCAAACACGTCTTATATTACTATTTATATGTCATTCAATGTGGCTTTTCTTTTAAGACGTATATATGATCAATTTAGCAACTAGTGTATTTAATAATATAAGATTACTGCTTATTTAAGAATTTTTATATATTTTTTCTATATTAGAATTTATATTTTTTTATCAATAAGATAATTAAATTATTTGATAAAAAAAATTAAGAGAGTCTAAGGCTTCGTATATATAATTATTAATAAATAACAATTTTGCGGGCCACAAACAATGGTTGTATTTGGATTAGTTTACATTATTACCACCTTCGTATTGTTATTAAACTGTATTCGTTTAATTACATTTTGAATTAATTTTTTTAAATACGGAGAAAGTATTAAAAAGTTATACAGTTGCACTACAAAATGTGGTAAAAAAATTCATTACTCCGCTTATTTGTACATGTAATTAAATTCATTGAAATATGTGATAATATAATACTAAATTTAAGCGTTAAACTATTTTACATCATTAATCCATTAAAATTAAATCCAATTTCTTATTTATAAAGTATATTCAATTTAATTTTCAACAAGGTTGTTTTGTTTTTTTTTTCTTTTTCATTTTTTTCTATAATGAAAATTTAATTAGAAAGAATCTAGTAGAGTTACAAAAAAAATGTAACTAATTTTTTATTTTTTTAGGAGGTAAAGAAGAGGAATTGAAATCCTAGAACCCTTGATGGTATAGAAAGCTGAAAGAAATACTTGTATTCAAGTGTTTCTTGGAGATACACATGGCTTCAATGGATTCTTCATTACTATAGTGAAAGCTTGTTTCTCACTCATGTCAACTTCACACCCATTTTCAAGTGTCCATTTAAAATCCCTCACCAAATTGGCCACAAAGTACTCAAGGTGAAGCATAGCCATACTAATTGCTGGACAAACTCTCCTTCCTGCACCAAAAGGCATCATTTTAATTTTTGCATTTCCTTTTAGATCAAATTTAGCATCTCCTTCATTGCACCTCAAAAACCTTTCAGGTTTAAACTCCATTGGATCTTCCCACACATTTGGATCCCACCCAAATTCAGCTACAAGAAAATTCACTATTGCATTTTTGGGTATGTCATAACCATCCATAATAGTATCTTGTGTAACTGCCCTAGGCAATATAAAATGACCCGGTGGGTGTCTTCGTAAGGTCTCTAACACCACAGCCTTTAAATAAGGCATGTTTTTCAAATGTTCCTCTTCAATAATGACTTCATTAGGTTTCACAACATCCTTAATTTCATCAAGCAATTTCTCTTGTATGTTTTGGTACTTCACTAAGTTCGCCATGGTCCATAACCATGTAGCAACTGTTGTGTCTGTGCCACCTAACATAAACTCGGAACACAAACTCACCAACTCTTCATCTGTTAGCTTGCTTCCATTACTTGGGAGTTTCATATCAAAAAGGGTATCTACATAAGCCTTAAACTTTGTTTCATTGTCATCTTCAATACCAACTTTGTTTTTCATTTTCTCATGGCGTGCTTTTATGATGGGGAGGAAGACATTCACTTGATTTTGACGAATTTCCAAGATCTCTCTCCATAATCTTCTAAACACAATCTTGGACAAGACGGGTACAAAATTCAACACATTGAACCTAATGAAATTGTGGATAAAACTATGCTGTACCCTTTGAATATTTTTTACAATCTTCTCATCAAGTTTTTCTCCAAAACATATATATGAAAGTAAAACATACAATGCAAAATTAAAATGATCATCAATTGGTACAGCCTTATTGTTTAATTCAATATCAGCCAAAAGATGTTTCTTGAATATATTCAATGCCCACTTACGACAATGGGAATATGAGTCTAACCGAGAAGGTTGAATTACATGCATTAAATTTTGGCGCAAAAACCGCCAATTGGAACCGTATGGAGACGTAGTGATGGTGTATTGGTTAGGGAAAAAGACTTGGATGGTTTCAAGAGCCAAGGGACGACCAGCAAAGATAGTGCCATTTTTAACAAGTGCTCGATGAGCAGCTTCATGAGATGTTATGAAAATGGCAGGTGTAGAGCCAATGTGAATGGTAACAATGTTACCATACTTGGAACGTAAAGAGCGAAGGATAGGCTCAAGATCAGCAAAATTTTTGGACGATTTGAGGAGCCAAAATATGTTGCCTAAGATGGGTATGGTAGGAGGGCTTGGTGGTAACCTCTTGTTGTAGATGAATTTGAGAAGGGTTTGAAAAAATATACAGAAAGGAATTAATGCAAGAAGATAGAAGAACCATAATTCCATTTCTTTTATTTTTCTTGGAGTGATGAAATCTAAAATATCTATTTCTCTACTCTAAATTTCTTCCCTTATCTAGCTTGAGTTAAGAATATTTTGAGTACTTATATATTGTAGTTCTGTGAAGTTTACCGTTATGATATTTGTCACTGTTATATACTTCTCACTTAATGTTTAGTAGTTTCTAATCGTGCCTATCACTTATTAAGAACTCTCTGCATGATATAATACCATTGCTTAGTCCGTTAATCAGTATTTAATGTTTTTTTATCTGTTACTTCTATATTTTGACAGAAATTAATAAATAACTTTAATATTCTTATTTTTATTAAATTTATCGTCTTATTTTTTGTTATATCCTTTTATGTATCTTTTAATTAATTTTTTTTATTATAAATTAAATATATAATTGGTAAAATTATAATCAATATTATTTAATTAAAAAAACTTAAAAATATGACAGATAAAAAAGAATAAATAGAGTATACAACATTGGAAACATAACCATAGGATGTGAAATTAATAACTGTACAAAAATTATTAAAATTTATTTGTCTCATTTTCGCATAAAAAATGTCTTTTTATTTTGATACATTCCCTATAGATGAATGCATCAGGTGAGATGGGTATTTTTACATAAGAGTGTGAGTAGTAATTAAAATTCATAAACAGAGGGGGAAATTAAATTAATGAAAAAAAGTCATTCAAATGAGAGAAAAAATCATTGGCACGAGAGAATAATTCAAAACAATCAAACATGAGGAAAAATAGTTAATAAATAATTCAAAAGGGTAAAAAATGGATCAGAACAAAAAACAATTCAAGTTAGTGAAAACGAGAATTTAAATAGGCAAAAGAAAGAACGAAGAAGGACGAAAAAAATAATTTGACAAATATGAGATAAAAAATCAATAAATAACTCAAAAGGGTAAAAAAAATTGGTTCAGAACACAAAACAATTCAAGTTAGTGAAAAGGATAATCTAAATAGGCAAAAGAAACAACGAATAAGGACCAAAAAAAAAAAAACTGAAAAACACGTTATAAAATGATCCCTCAACTAAAATATATAGAGATAATAATAAAATTGTATATTAATAATAAAAAAATATTTTTTGTTATTATTTTAAATTTTTTTGCAAACTTAGGTGTTATGATATATAATTATAATTTTTATGATACAAAATATATTAATATTGTATATACATATATGATATGATAATCATATAATAATGTATGAATTTATAATGATAATAATATATAACGTATAATATTTTGAAAAAGAAAAAGAGAGAGAGAGAGAAAGAAAAGTGGAGAAATAGTTCTCAATTATAAAATAGATAGATAATAGTAATAGTAGAAGCCAAATATTATAATTTTTTAAAGATTAAAAAAAAGGGTTGGAATACAATAGCATATTCACGTGACATAATCAATAACAAGCAATTACGACATCAAGAACACAAGATTATCGAAGGCACGAGGGTAGGACCCACATACGTCTCTGCTATTCGTCTTCATATTTCTGAGTTGGTCTTCCAATTTCAATTTTCAGGTTTTCGCTACGGAGAGAGAAAGATGACGCGGGGAAAGCAGAAGATCGAAGCGCAGAGACGAAACGCAGAGAGGAATCAGAAGCCAAAAGGGTCTCAGCTTGAAGCCAGAGCCGTTGGTCTCAAAATCATGTGTCCCATCTGCAAGGTTTTTCCTTCTTCTTATCATTTTATTCTTCTTTATGTCAAAGAAAAAATTAAATTGAATTTTTATTATTGGGTAGTTTTTAATTACCCTTTTTTTTTAAATTTTGAATCTGCCTTTGATCACCTGATTCCAGCAACACCTGGTGCTATTGGGTTATGCATGAATCAGCGGATCTGGGTTGTGGCTATTACTTTTTTCCTTTTCGCGGTTTGTTTGATTCAAGGGTTGCTAGAATTAGTATTTGGTTTCAAGTGATTCAATTATTAATTTGGTTAATGAGCATAAGCTAGTTGTCTTAATTATTTATCACATAATTTCCTATCGCACTTTGTGCATAGTTGGCTCTTTGTCGGGTTCCTAACTCGTGGTTCTAATTTTTTTGGCAAAAATTTTTCAATAATGTATGATGGGGGGCACGTTGCTGCTGCTGTTAGCGGTGCCTTGGTGGGGACGTCAGAGCAACTTGTGCAGTGTCTTATTTGGATACTCATGTTAGTCTTTTTTTTTTTTATGATTATCTCGCATGGTTGATGTGTAAGATACACAAGCTGAAGTTTTAAAAATGATTACTTTTGCAATGGTATTGTTGGTTTGCAGTATTGGCCAAAGTTAGGTGCATGTTACATTTGCATTTTGCAACCTTTGCTGGGGATAAATTACAAGTCAACATTGTCCTTTAGTGTTGTAACTTGTATGGTAAGGAAAGATTCTTTGCAAAATGTGCATCTTTTGCTGTGATATATATACTTCGCCAAACTATGTTGTTTTTTGCTTCTGTAGTTTCTAGCGGATTTGCTTTTCTCATTTGAATGGAAGAGAGAGCTCTCTCTTTATATTTTATTGGTTATTCTTGTGTACTTTTTTTTCCCTTGTAGGAGGATTCATTGGTGTCCTTGTTCTGCACTTATTGTGTTATTCCTTCTAACTTCAGTGTCTTCTTGAAGAGAAAAATATGTTCTGTAACCAAGGCTGAAATTTATAATTTAGACAAGCATGGCTTTTAGTCATAGACTAAGTAATTACTGGCCAAATTTATTAACATGTAATTACCAGCACCTATAATTACTATTTAAATTACTTCATATTGGTTCAAACTGTGATTTAGATGACTATCCAACAGGGTTGGAGCTTGATTTTCTGTACTTATATCTTGTTCCATGGTGGACTGAGTTTTACATGTTGTCTCATGTTGGTGCATGTCACATGGTTCATATAAACTATGGCATGGCAGTTTGTTTGAAGTCTGAACAGTCTTCATTCTTCAGTGGAAAAGTGCTTCTGAAATTGACCTGGTTTTGAGGGGATGCTTTATATACCTGACAGTTTACTTTTCTTCTATGTGCTTATTAGATGTGTGGGTTGGCAAGCAAAACTTATCACTAGCAAATAGAAGTTATGCATTGCATGGATTGTAGCCTACAGAAACATATTGAGTAAAGAATTTTGCGGAAGATAATAGTTTTCCCATACATCATTTTTCAAAACTGAACTACTGAAGTATCTCCCTAGAAGAAGAAAATTGTAAGATCTCTTAATACTAGTGATCAAATGGCTATGTATTTATATTATTGTTAAAGAGATTTGTCATATTTATAAATAATAAGAACTTTCAATATCATAGAAATTCTATGTTTGTGGAACTTAAATTAAACACAATAAAGGCGAAGTCCATATATTCAAAGGCTTGTTAGAGGATATCTAGGATGTGCTAAAATCTTTATCAATAATTAATGAACTGTGTGTGTCTTTAGTGAATAGGATAATTCCTCTGCAACAATCCCTATATATATTAGCCCTCAATAATTAGTAGGCTGAACTGAAAGTCTTTTTAACAGCTATCTAAATCTCAATTGACTTCTTTACTTGATTAAGAAGGTAAAATATTGATATTGATGTACAGGAAAATTAATACTAATACTTGCATGAGTTATTCAAATACTGATCATTAAGTTGGGGGCAATAGTATGTTATTAAGAATATACATAGATCAGAGGTGCTCTTCACCTGAATTGAAGATAATATGTGATGCTGGGTATTTTCTTATATAAAATCTATTTCCTTTTTGGTGTTGAGTTGTTAGCCATGCCTGCATAATGTCTATACAAGTCTAGGACTAAGCCTTGTCACATAAGCACAGCTGCACTCCTACAACTCTAAAGAATATACAAATACCTCCTCCTGGATTGAGGTTAAGTCCTACTTGTTTAGATGTGTTTATTTATGATCATCAATGTATAAATTTTACTATTAGGCTTATCCATTCCATGAAAAGGAGCTAGATAACGGAATCATTTGCAAATTGCATAGAGTTGGAAAGACAACTTTTCCTTCTTATGATGAAATTGCTGTATTTTCTACAAAATAATTTATTTATCTTGTCTTAAGATATATATTGTTGCTCATGCTTAAATTAACATGTCAAGTAGCAATATTTTAATGCCTGTGCTTTGAGTGTCGAGCATATCTTTGTTAATATCATCATTTTTACACTTTGACTAATAGAGTATTAGCTAATCATGTGTATCTGGTATTTGATCATTCTGTTTGTGGCAAGAATACTATTTTAAATAGGTCAATGGGCCCATTCAATTTTGACACTTCTCTTGAACTTTTCTGAATGTTACGGAATCATTATATTTCTGAAGAGCTTTTGCATTATTAAATGTTATATGACTATGGACCAAAAAACATGTTATTGAACCTTTGAGACATTTTTTGTGTTTGTATCATGTTTCTTCATAATGTTGTAGCGCATTCCATTTCAGGTCCAACTCGCAAATCAAAATCAACTTGGCGATCATTATGCCTCCAAACATCCGAAGGAGAAACCCCCTTCAGAGTCAAACTAGTAATACTTTGAGCAAATGGTACGAAAGGTCCAAACAAAAAAAATGCTCTTTTGGTGTGCCTTGATGCTTTTAATGTAATTCCCTGCTTCCAAGGCAGATTGCAACATGTTTGAATTTAATTTTGTTAATATGCATTACTGTGAGATCATAAAGGATGATAAAAACTGTGCCTATCATTATGAGCATATTATGATGTTGTAACAGTGCTGACTGACTTGTGGTCCTGAAGATAGTATTTGATACCAAGATAGAATGGAATGAAACTACTAAAATATCGACTTTTTTTAACTTCATGTTCCATTTTGTTGGGTATTTATAAATTGAACCAATCCAAAATAAATTGAAAAAATTAAACTTAAAAGTTGAAAATCAAACTAACTAGAAATTGAATAAACCAAAAAATAAAATAAAAAAAAATTGGATTCAATTGGATTTTGAATGTAATTTTAAAAACTAATTCAATCTAGCTTAAACGTAACTTCCATGCACGTAAATAATTTTCTAAAAGAAATTATTAGATCACTCATTTGTGTAGCTACATATCTATGAAATTATTATGTAACTTATTTTCTTCATTGTTTTGTTATTTTTTTATAAATTTAGTAGTTCAAAATGAGTTTAATATTATAATATCTTTTTATTACATAATTTTGCATTTTACGTTTAGAACCAGTTTTAATAAAAGGAAAAAAAGAGTTGAAGAACGTAATAACATAAAAGTATTGCTATATTTTTTAATACACTCTTTGTAAAGTCGTGAACAAAATAACTATGTGAAATTACATGATAGCCCGCACCAGAAGGCGTATGAAAATGTGTTGCTACAAGAATTTACGTAGTTTAAAAAGAAGTCAGGATGCAAGTGGCTCAAATTTGGTGACGGAAATTCCTCGTATTTCCATGTCCATGGCATTGAAGTGGTTAGGAGAATGAAGAGCGATATAGAAGCTCTCCAAAATGCTAATGGGGATTGGAAGATGGTAAAATAGATAAGTTGGTGAAACCAGCCGTTTTCAGCATGGGTTGCTAAAAGCTCCCGAAAAAGATGGATTTAAAGCCTTTTTTTCTCAATCAATTTCAATTGGTTATTGTGAGGCTTTCTTTCCGACTCACAAAATTTCAATATTCTTGACAAATTTTAAATAATTGTAAAAATAGTGCTTTCCAAAATCCAAAGGTTACGTTACTGTCATTTCTCATCACAATATAACATATCAATCATCTTAATCACCTTCAATTTACAAACACCCATAAACAAATAAATTAACAAATATCATAATTTACAAATTACCCATAAATTAATAAATATCAACTCAATGTTAAACAGAGCTAAAAGTAATATGTTATTTCATGATCATCCTATTGAAATTTCAACTCAATGACATAGAGATCAGTCCATAAACAATAAAATTTATAAACTAATAAACAAACTTGTCATCCCCAAATGTATCTTTCAGGGAGGGAAGTAAAGCAAAAATATTTGTACAGATTTAATAAAAAACATACAGAAAGCTTTTAACCCATACCAGTTTTAAGTTACACATGTCCCAGAACTTTGTGCCAACCAGAAGTATCCCTAAATAGTTCATATAAAAAACCCAATCAATTTTCAAAAGAAAATGTTCATATACTCCTATAAATCTGTAATACTCCTTTCATCAATCTATTTCTCCTCTCCAAATTTCTCTGTAATCAAAAGCTACTATGCAATTTGGTTCATTCTCAGCTAAACTTGGAAATAATATGATAAATGGAAATAACAAAATAATCAGCTACAGGGAACCCAAGCCATTCGCCTCAGTTAGTTAGATTCATTAATGAGTTTGTTCAAAAGGGTCGTCAATAGAGCATCCCTTCTCTCTGCCCTACTCTCTTCTCTCATTCTCCTCTGTTCTTCTCTCTCCCTCCATGCTTGCTCAATCATTAATCTCTCTTTCTCAAGCTTCTCCATTGACTGCCGCCATTCCTGCTCAAACAACTGTCTTTCATGAGCACGCCTTTCCATCATCTCCCGCCATTGCATCTCCATCCTTAACTGATGTTGAAAAAACTCCTTGAGCATGTCCTGAATACTACTAGTACTATTAATGACAGCATTTGATGGATTGTTTGCCCTTGAAGACTTCTCCATTGCAACTTTCCTTTTGCGGGTATTGCTTCTGGAAGGCCTCTCCTCTTCGCTGTCATCTTCAACCTCATCATCATCTTCCGAGAGCTCCTCTGAGGACCGATCTCCACTTAATCTTTTCACCCCTTTCTTGGTTTGAGCTGAACGAGTTTCAGATTCAAGAAGCATTTGTTTTCGTTGCAAGTTATGTGCTCTTTCAGTAAAGACTGCACGCAACTCTTCAAAAAATGGGCATTGCCTGCCCTGCTCTGGGTCAGATGTCTCTTTTCCCTGCATAATAAATATTAGCATGTAATTTACTGAGTAAAGTGAAGACTTCCATCTTAAAGATATGATTTGTTCAGAATTCTAACCATACATATTCACTCCCTATTGGGGCTTTTCCACTCATGCATAGGGGAGGTCAGTGTGCAGATTTTGGTGAGTTCAGGGATCCATGTTGGCGAATATCAAACCATATGGGATTTTTTTGCACATGACGATAGTTAGAGGGGGCTTCTAAATTTCAGCCTAAATTCTAGCAAGCACATCCTATAACCAAATTACTTCAGATCACATAGAATTAAATATACATGAACTTCATACAATTCAATGCATACACTCCTCAGTTACCATACACAAACATCGTATCAGATTTCATCATTTCTGAACTAATTCAAATGAATGTCGGATATAAAGGTGCAATGAGATTATGGGAATGCCCACTTAGTTTTACTTCCAAATGAAATATCAACTAAAGATTCATTATCACAATGTAACAATGCTTATTTGAGTAGGCAGAAAATAAGAAGAGGAGAGAAACTAGAGTGACACAAAAATGCTTAGTTTAAAATAAAATTCGTTGTAGATGGTGGAACATTACTTTTCCAAGTTTGAATTCAGTTTTGTCTATGCTATAGAAGTGACTAACATTTTCAAGGTGGAATGTAAATGAATTCAAATCCAGTTTAAACCGATCCACTTTCAAAAATTTCCACCGACTCAAACAAACATTACTAAAAAAAAAAAAAAAAGTAAAGCAGTTTCTTCTCTGCCGTATTTTTATCCGCAAGCATTGCGAAACTAACCTTGAAATTCGAGAATAATGCAAACGCCTCAATTAACCAAACGAAATCCAACAGCGATAAGACAAAGAAAACAGAAAGAGAGGGAGAGGTACCTTATAGCGATTAACGAGGTTCTTCCACTTGCATTTGCACTGTTCGGGGCTTCTCCTGAACCCTCTCTCCCTCATCTTAGAGCTCACCGCTTCCCAAAGCGTCCTATTCCGCTTCGACGCAGTGAAATCCCTCTCAAACTCCGCGCGTATTGCTATGAACTCTCTCGTCTCCTGCTGGCTCCACTGCGGCTGAGCAGGAGCCCTCTCCTCCCTCGCCGGCGCCGGAGATATCTCTCCAGACATCACCGTCGATGTCGCCGGATTCAGCAGCGACGGCGAAACCATGCCAAGGCGAGCCGCAAGGGCATCATCACCTCCGCCACCGAACATTGACCTTTCTTCGACAACGACGTCGTATGAATCAAACGAAGTGAGTTTGGGATTAGGGTTTTGGAATTGAAAAAGCGTACTAAATGAAAAAATGGAAGTGCTGCACTACAAACTCGAAGCCTCGAAAAAACACTTTTCTATTTTCTTTTCTTTTTTTCTCCTTTCGGCCTTCCCAAGTTTCTTTGTCGACAAGACAGGAATAGTTGACTATCCACCTTCATTGAAATCTCTAAATGCGCTTCTTTATTACAATCACTTGGTTGTTTTTTTTTTTTTTTAACGTGTTTCAAACAAATATTAAATATATTTTATTAACCAATTCAAATTATTTAAAAATATATTTTTTAGTACGTGCTTTAAGATTTAGTGGAATAATAAAAACAAATCTAATACATATTTATTAAAAATTATAGTATTATTTATCAATCCTTTAATATGTTTTTTTGGTAAAGTAATCCTTTGATATATGTTTTCTAATATGTATTAAAAATTATTTATAAAATTTAAATATAGATCGTTTATTGACATGAAGCTTTAATTTTATTTAAATCATATTAAAAAACGGTAATTTTATTAAAGTCGTTAGCCCGTTTTTCATTGTCTTGTCGGTGTAAAAGTTGATACTTTGGATTAAGCAAATAAAAAACTGGTATGGAAATCCTGGTTTGATAAAATTGGTTTTTAATTAAATAATATATTTTTAAAACTATTTCCTATATTATATATATATAGCTATTTTTCTTGTTTTAGCTTTTTTTTTCCATGTCATAAAGCACCTTCTTAGTATTATTTTTTTTCATTTTTTAAAATAAATATATATTTTAACACACAGAACAACTACCTCTTTTAAGACGGAATTAATATTTTCAAATGAAAAGCGAAACTCTAAGAAATACTGACACGTGATGTGAATTACTTTTTTTTATTTACCGGTAATTAATGTTTATATTTAAAATTATGAATTACAAAAATAAGATCAGGAATCGTAATAATTTAATTTTAATTAAAATATTAATTATTTGCACAAATAGTTGTAATAAATTTAGTTGACATATTTTTAATAAAAATATAAATTAAATTTATAATTGATTAAATTATTAAAATTATAAATTATAAAATTTAACTTTAACTGTATTATTAATTTTTAGCTAAAAATAGTTATAATAAGTTTAGTTGACATAATATTACATAAAATTTGAAATTAAATTTATAATTATTTAACTTATTAAAAATTAAAATTAAAAATTAGTTATTTTTATTTTAATATTAATTATTACTACAAATTAAATTATTTTTAAATGAATATCATATATTAATATCTTATTTAACCTCAAAATACTAATCTCACTTAAAAGTAAAGACAACAATCGATGTTTTTAAAGTGAAAGTACTTCTCTTTAAAGATTATTGGAGTAAGTATAATTGTAAAATATGATATTTATTTTTAAAAAATAAAAAACAATATACTATGCAATATAAAAAATTAGATAATGAAGTGATTTTATATAAATATTAATTAAAAACAGTTTTTAAAAATATATTATTTAAGTATAAAACTCAATTTTATAAGGGTTTTATTTAAGATTAATATTTTTATAATTTTGAAAATTTTATTTGATAATAATAAATTATTATAAAGTTTAAAAAATATATTTTAATAACAAATATTAGTATTAGTTGTTGAAATTTAATTTAAGACTTTATATTAATATTTTTTAATTTATAATAATTAAGTTTAAATAATAGAAAAAATAATGTTGAATATAATTTAACATGACTTTTGAGACTATTGATTCTATATGTAAATTGGATTATTGATTTTTTTTGTTAAACATCAATATTTTATTAAAGATAAAATATAAGTACATGTCGTATTTTAACTCATTGTATCTTCAAATGAATTTAATAATATATGTCAAGAGATCATTAATTTAATTCTCATATACAATTAAGTGTACCAAAGGTCGCCACTTCTAAGAATGATATTTAATAAAATTAAACATTTAATACACCATTATCAAATATAATATTATTTTTCTCAAGCCAAATTGTCTGTACTGTTACAAATCACACAATTATAACTTTTTTTTATTTCTTTTTTTCACATTGAATTATACACATACTTAATAATGTCCTATACAAATTTTCAAGTAAGTATACATTAACACCAAACATAATAACTTTATTATTTCTTCGTCTAATGGCAATCACGCCATAAAAATAATGCTTGTGTCAATCCCCAAGTTCAAACCACTTAAAATCGAATTTTTTGAAATCATAGAAATTCTTTTCTCTCTCGTCACAAAGTTTAGATACAATATCATTCAATCTCTTAATCAAAACTCCTTTTAAAATGTATTACATTAAACATGTTTTAAAATGATAAACTAAGAAAAATTTTCAAATAAAAATAAAAAATATAAAACTTTAAAATATTCTTATGAACTAAATAAGTCATAATATGCATGCATTAAATTTCTAAAAAAACTAATGTAAATTCATTTAAAATCTAATTATATGGATTAAATTTTAAACTAATTTATTTTAATTTTTTTAAAATATATTTAAATTTGATTTTAAAATTTAAAATTAGTTTAAAATTGGTTTTAAATTTAATAAAAATATACTATAAATATTTTTATATTATTATTAAATTATTATATTAAAAAGTATTTAAATTTTATAATAACTAATATAAAATTATATTTATATATATTTTTTAATCTATTAATAATATAATTTTTCTTATTTTTATATTGTATTAAACTAATAAATATTTGCATATATTATACTTTTTATCGTTTATCTACCACACAAACTAATTATACAATTAAATTTTAAATTATTTTATTTTATTTTTTTAATTGATTCTAAATTTAATTTTTTTGAAATTAGTTTTAAATTCAGTTTTATTTTAAATTAATTTTAAATTTAATTTATAAGGTAAAATTAATTTTTAAAATAATTGTAAATTTAGTTTTTCAAGTAAAATTAATTTATTATAAGCACAGTTGCATTAAATTAGTGCGTTTTAAGAAAATTTTAATAATATTTATTAATTATATTATATTTTATAAAAATTTATAAAATATTTATTATCATTTTAATTTATTTTTAATAAACAAAATTTATGATGAAAATTTAAATTAAAATCTATAAAAATAAAAATTAATAATATAAATAATAATAAAAATATTATATTATAATATTTTAAAATTTAAAAAATAAACATAATATAAAAATAATAGTAGTAATTAATTTAAAAATATTTGTTGAATTTTAAAAATATTATTTTAAATATTTAATTTTAATCTAAAGTTAATAAAAAATATTAATTATAAATAATAATCAAGATAAAATTTTGTAAATTGATATAAATATTTGATAAATAAAGACATGATATAGTATTTCCATACATGAACACTGAAACAATTATACAAATATAGTTAATAAATAAATTAATTTAACATAAATTTATATTTTAAAAATGAATTAAACTCATAAAATTAATTTTTTTTCCTATTTTAATCATAATATTTTTAATGTCTAATTAACTTAGTTCAATTTATTCCCATTGTTCGTCTTGTATTGGCCCCAGCTTGAGTGGTAACCTCAATTAGAAATTTGATATCATAATTTTTTATAGCATTGCCAATGCTTGTGATTATAGTAAAATTAATTTTATGAAATCAGTTAAACTTCTATATTATCAATTCGATGCTTCACTCTTGTAAAATAAGACGTTTTTTTTTTTTATAATTAATTTATGTGTTTTTACATTAAATACTAATGTTATTTTTATTTATGACTTTGTATTACTACTTTCAAACATAATATCTCATGTTTTGTGTATTTTAAATTTAAATTTTAAGTATCAATACATTATATTGAATAAATATTTTTAATAAATAATTTAAATTATGTTTTGAAACATCATATTTACAAAGATAATATATCTTAATTAAATAGTTTATATTTAAAATTATATATCAATTCCTATATATAATTTATCAATACTATTGTAAGAGTATTTTTAGAAATATTATAAAAAATATTTTTAAAAATTAGTTTTTTTAATTTAATATTAATGATAAATTTACAAATATTGAAATGAATAGAATCGTGGGCGCAAAAGATTAATTAAATTAAGTAATAAGATAGAAAGGGCTCTTTGGAGAGAGAGATTCATTGATGTGTGAGATCTGTTAGGGTTTCATTCATAGCATAAAACAGCATCCACCAGCACCTCCTCCGTCCCAATGAAACAAGGCTTCATCTGAATCCAATTCCTACGCTTCATCTCTTTCTCATCCTCCATCTAATCCTAATCATTTACCCCATTCAATTATGATTATCATGAACTCAGTCTTCTTCGTATCGCAAAACCTTCGTGTATTCGGTCCTGGCTTGAATCCCTTCGCACCCTATTGCGTTGCCAATCATTCCCTTTCCTCTCGCTAATTCCCTTTCCCAAACCATTTTCTCTTTGTCTAAACGCAACACTCGGATTTCTCCTCCAATAACATGTGAATTCGGAGACCCTTTTAGACTCGCTCTCTCTCTTTTTTTTTTATTTTATTTTATTATTGTCGGGGGGAGGACTCTGCAATCGTTGTCGGTGAAGCCTGTACCCAATTCTGGTTGGGATTCTAGGATCTGTGTCGTTTGATTTTTTTTTTCGTCGTTTTGCGTGATTGCTGAAAAACATGCTCGAGGCGCAGCCGGTTTTGTTCAGAAAGAGCCCTTCGAGAAGGCGCTTGTTGAGGCCTGGGTTCGATACCGATGACAGGGGTTGGACCTCACTTCATGTTTGTGCTCGGAAAGGGGATCTCAAACTGGTAATTTTTTTCATTTTCTGTGTTTTTTTTATTGCTGAATTTGAGTAAGAAATGTTTTTTACTAGGGGAGATTTCGATTTGAGGTGCTCAGAGAAAAAAAAAAGTTAAATTAAAATGCGCACGCTGGGTTGTTTTATGTGGCGATGTATTGGGCTTTTACTCGGCTTTTTGTTTGATTGAACTTGAATTGGGAACCTTATTGCTTTTGTGTGAAGAGTTGCATTTGGTTTGGGTGGTTTCGGTTTCAAGGTTGGAGGCTCTGATTTGCAACTATAAACGGTTTTTGTTTGTAAAAGGGGGTTTCGTTTTTATTGTCCTGATTGAGGAAGATTATGCATTGTACAACTCACAGTAGGATTTCATGGAAACAGAGAAAATTCACTATGATTGATGAAGATTATACGTTGTATCCACTCAGACCCAAACCCTTATCCCGATATACCCAAGGATTGTCTGTGATTTTCAGCGCACTATCCACTGACGAACTATTGAATTTACAATGGGTCCGGCCCGATACTAGATATAACCCTCTTATAATACCAAATAACGCTTGCTTTTAAATGAGAGTTGTTGCTTGAAGATGTCATATACTCATATGCTAACTCTTTTATTTTTCATTCTTTGTTTTAATTGTTCTCTATTCTTTTATCCATTTTCAGAAGTGTCGGAAAATAAAATTCATTTAGGGTGCAGTCTAATAGCATGAACAGAAATCTTTTGGTGTAGCATTTTCTTTGTTAGTATGTAATAAATGTGATTTGGGGGGTTTATAGCAAAGTTCTCAACTTTTTATTGTATAATCCAGCTCTAAGATCTGCTGTATGAATGTAAAATCTGTAAAATTTTGGGGCTGTTTCTAGGGAATATGGATGAACCTAATTTGATGGTGTGGTTATTCCTAGTTGAATAAATGCTTGATCCACCTTACCCGTTCATGCAAAACTCTTTTTTGGCTGATATACCTATGTCTCTTCAGTGGTGATATCATTCTATTGTTTTAGTGGTGATAAATGATATGAAACTTGTGTCCCAGTTGGATTGGCTTTTTCATACCAAGCCTTTATGAGTATTTGTATTGTATCATTTTCATTTCAGCTTAATGACAGTTATGAGTAAAGGGGACTATTTTGCAGCGTTTGCATATGGATTTGGTATTCTACTGACTAAAATTGTTGCTCAGTATTTAGCATATATGTGGTGTTTACACTTGAAGAGTGATGGGTGGTGCTATGTAAGGTCATTACTTAGTACTCGTCAAATAATTTATAGGTTACAGATAGAAGATTTTGGTGGATGAAAAATCCATTTAATGTGTATGAATGGCTATGTAGAAACACAGATGGCTCGCATGAATAAGGAATCTACAATCTCATTCAATCGGACTTTATTTTTTTATACTTTTTTTTAGTATAGATGTTCTGCAGTGTTCTTTTGTAGAGGCAAGTGGCATATTAGGTTGCTGTCTTATGAACAGTTGGTACAGTTCTGGTTGTCAAAACAGTGTCTTGTGTTGTGGGGTATGGATGTGCAATCTGACTTACCTCATCCCACAATGGTGGGAGCCTAAACCTTGTTCATTGATCCACTCTTTGTGGATTCCCGGCTGAATTTTAAAATTTGTCAAATCTTAGGATGCTACTAATTCCTGTAGTACTTGAATACTTTGCCTCATGCATTTGATGATTTGTAAATTGTTCGATTATTGGAGCAAAAGGGTTCTCAATTTTCTCAAATTTTTTCACATGGGAGCATCTTCTTATGGTGTTGGTGAACAGGTTAAAAATCTTCTCAATGAAGGAATGGATGTCAACGTGACTGCATGGGGCCCTAAGTCAAAAGGGGTGACCCCTCTCCACCTTGCTGCTGAAGGTGGTCACATTGGAGTGATGGATGAACTGCTTGAGCGTGGTGCTGACATTGATGCCAGAACTAAGGGTGCCTGTGGCTGTAAGTGATTCAAGCTTCCTCTTAGACATAATATTGCTATGTCTATTCATAATTGAAGTTTCATAATGACGAGTATGCTCTTCACTTGTACCAGGGACACCACTCCACATTGCAGCTAAAGAAAGGAGGAGGGATGCTGTGAAATTCTTGATAGAGAATGGAGCATTCTTGCCACCTGATATCAATGATAGCAGATTTAACCCTCCTCTTCATTACTGCCCAGGACTAGAATGGGCCTATGAGGAGATGAAGCGACTTCGACAGGAAGACTTATCTGCTGGAGAGACATCTCTGAAAGTTAATTTGCATTTCAGGGATTTGGTTGATGATTAAATCTATCTTGTGGGAATAATTTCAGAAGTGAAATAAAACAACTATGCGTAGGGTGGGTGTTTTATGTATGAGGATGTGGTGCTACTTACTTTTTTAATATGTTGGATGCTGTTATGGGAACACTTATGTACGATTATTAATGTGATATATTGTATGCTTGCTGATGTAGTCGTGCATTGTGTGCCCGCACACTACTTTCTTATGAACAATATTTTGACAACCCTGAGTTTAGAATTCTTCTGTCTTTTCTCTTAATGCGTGTCTAGTTTGAGTTATTGGGGAAAGTAAGTGTATATTTAGTTTGAAAAGTTTATGTTTTTTTTTTTTTTTTTTCATTTTGGCAGATAAACGGGGTTCAAAGCCCCAAACAACTAACGAGTCGTTATAGAAAATCATTTACCATACGAATTTTCTCCCAAGAGAGGAATCAATAGAGGAGCTTCAGAGAGAATACGTTACACAAATGGGTTCTGCATGTGTTATGTTAGATAGGAAATTCGAACATCTATTTTGCATCTTTCTGAAAATATAATCAATGCTGTGTATTCTCCCATTCTGTAGTGATATAGATGGTGAGAAGGATCCCAGTCAGCATTATAAAGATAAACTGTAAAATTTTTAATACAGATCAGTGGTCAATCGTCTTATATTTATCCTCAGTAAACTTTGCAGATATACACGAACCAAGAGTACCCATAATTTTTGCTTTCACAGGAGATCACATTACCAGATTACTTACAAAACCAATCTTTATTAGTTTGAAAAGTTTTTTTTTATTAATTATAAAATTCTCATTTCTTTTATTGTTTTCTTTTTAAATATATGTAGATAAATGTTGAAAATAGGAATTGCTGCTTCTGCCATTTTTCAAAAAATTTTAAAAATAAGAAATAAGGAGAAGTAATGTAATGTTTTGAAAATTATTAGTAAACAACCCGGTTTGGAAATGTTGGGGTTTTTAATTAAAATTTTTGCATTTTTTTTTCACTTAAAAGTATTATAAAATAAGTTGATTTGATTGCAATACATAGTTAGAATAATCTTTTGCAATAACTGTGGGGAGTGTTACCATGGTTGCAGGTGAGGAAAGGATTATAACTAATTCCACGAGAAATGATGTGGTTTGCCACATTGACATTTATATAAAATGACAGATGTTATTTTTCACATCAACATTTTTATTTATCACTTAGTGTAATATATTAAAATTCTGTTAATATATTTAAATGATGTATAACTGGCACATCAGATTAAATTAATTGATAAAAAAAGTTAGAAATTATTAAAGATATTTTAAAATTTCAACGACTAAAATACTTAATGTGAATAATTTAAAAAATTAAAATGCTTGACTTTGACAATCATTTTAAATACTTTAATAAATAAATATTTTTTAAAATATTAATTGAAAGGGAATGAAGTTTTTATTAATTTTTGATTAGAGATTAAAATGCAGTAGAGTTATTTTTCTAATTACTTTAATTGATGGTAAACTAATCACTAGTAAAAAATATATATTTTTTACATCGGTTAAAAAAGGATTTTTATCCGCATCTGACGTAGATACAAGTGATATAGAAATTCAAGACTTTCTACATTGGTTGTTTATAATAATCGATGTAAAAAATATTCTTCATGTTTATTTTTGTCTTCTTAATGATGTCGAAGTTTCTCTTCTTTGATAATTTTAACATTCGTGTTAATATTATCAATATATGTTTTCACATTTAAAACACTGTTTAAATTAAAATCTATAAACATTAGTGTTCATCATGTTGGTTATCTTTCATCGTGTTCACTGTGTCGTCATTGTACATCTTGTTTGTCGTGTTCATCATTGTTAATCTTGTTCATCGTGTTTATCATTATTCATCTTTGTTTGAATCTAAAACATAAAGAATATTCAGTGTTCATTGAATTATTTAATGAAGCAAAAAATAAAGAAAATGAAGTAAGATAAAACCATTGATGTACCATTGTCCATACATGATCCTAGCTAACAGAAACTTTAAAAACTTAAGAAAAGTTTTTGCGCTCATCTCCAATTTATGCTATTTCATTGGCACATGTATAAAAAATTTAAATTTGAATTGATTATACATCGATCCTAAAAAACAACCGATGTAGAATGTACTTTTTATATCAGTTGTTTATTAAACCGATGTAAGAAGTTCTGTAGTTTTAAAAAGATTAAAAGGTTATAACTTTCAGTACACAATTTTAATTTTTACAAATTATGTATATATTTTTGGGAAATAATGAAACAAAAAATAAAAAAATAGTAAAAATTAGAAAAAGGAGGAAAAATATTGAAATTTTAGAAAATGGGTGGTGAGTTGGACAGATCTCAAACAGTTATATGAAATAGACATATAATTTATATAAATTAAAGTTCTGTACTAAAAGTTATGTTCATTCAAAGTTTATAGTTAATACAAAAAATTGTAGAATTGTAATACTTTCTAGAAAAGTTTGCATAAATTTCAAAAATGTTATTGCATCTTTTTCTACATCTATCGTCAAAAAAACTGATGTGAAAAGTACTTTTTGTGTCAGTTTTGAAAACACCAAATATAAAAAAGTTTACATAAATTTTAAAAATGTCACCACATTTTTTTCTACATCAATTATTTTTAGAGAACCAATGTAAAATCCCGTTGTAGAAAGTGCATTTTTGTATGTAGAAATAATGAAATTAGTTAAAAAATTAAGTTTCATATGCAATGCATGGGTATTGGTAAATTAAATTTAAATTTAAACTTTATGATTATTTTTAAATTTCATAAAAATTGTAAATTTTTTAGAAATATTTTAATTATTAATAATAAATATTTTATTATATTGAATTAGACTAAATTAATAAGATAAAAATTTTAAAACTTACAAATTTATGAAAATTTTAAAGTTATGTTGTTTGTATAAAATTATTAAACAAATGTTTATTAAAGTCTAGTAAAAATAAAAATGAAAAAATAAAAAATTATTTAAAAATATAATAATGTTTTTTAGATTTGTTAAGGAATAAATATTTTAAGACAAGTTAAAATAAATAAGACAAAGATCTTATGTCAATAAATAATATGATTTAATGTAACTTTTAATAAAAAAATTATTAATAATAAAAGCACATATTAACATCTAATAAATAACGAAAGATATAACATGAGACAGAGAGTATTTAAAAAAATGCAAAAATGGGTCATTTTTAGAAGTAACATTACGTGCACAACCAACCTTCTTATTTATGGTCCCTTTTATCCTTTATGAGACCAATTCCTTCAAACTCCGCTCTTTGCGCTCATCAGAAATCCATCATTTGCATATATATATATATATGGCCACTATTTTTCATATTTTGTGGCTAAGATAAGGTTTTCAATTGAAGTTTCCACTTACATAAATTAAGGAGAGATAGGTATGGCCCAACTGTGGGGTCTCATGCATCGACTATCCAACAGCTAAGAAATAAAACTTTATATACTTGAGATCCTCTATTCTTCAACGCAAAATTATTTATAAGAAAAATTGAAGTGAAATGATTTTTGTTATGTCTTATAATTTTGAGAAGTACTTTTAAACCCTTATGTATAAAAAATAAAAATATTAACTTTGTTTCTTAAGGCTCAAGATAAACAATTAAAATTAATGATTTTTAATACTCAATTTTAAATCTTGAGGTTGACAAAACTCACAAAATGTTTAAATAACGAAATGGATGTTTCAATAACTGTGATTATGTCATGAAAATAGATTGGACTTGAGTTTCTGAAGGAAAGAAAGCTTTCATTTCAAGTCTCTCTCTTTCCCTGAAGACTGGTTGAAACCAAACAGCCATTATTCTCTCCCGCATGCATGCATGTGAGGGTGTTCTAACGTGATTTGAAGATACCCATATGCTATTATTGGGGCCTTAATCGTTTTTGAACAAATGTATATTGGACTAAGTTATTAAAGAGTTTCAAGGTAAAAAGCTTCTAAATGTTAAATGAATTTGCCCCTGATTGAGGAAACGTTTTGTAATAAGCAACTATAACCAGTAAAAGAGTCTGAAAAAAGCTTTGGGGGCAGTATTCAATTGGATTGGATTTTTAAGCCCCCATTTAGAGGTTTCAACTATGGTATTAGAATCATGTTAATGATTTGGATGTGGATTTATGGCTACATTTTGTCATGGTTATTGTTCTATTGCATTATGGTCTCATGGCTTTTATTGTGGATATTGTCTTAGGCACAAGTTTTGTTATGTATTGTACCAAATGTTACCATCAGTTATCAACTTTTAAAAATGTAAACAATTTGTGAACAGTTTTGATCAATTTTACCAGTTGCATCGATGACTGGGTAAGTAACTAATTATTTTTATTTTTCATTGTCTTTATTCAATTTGATATGAATTTATGCATAGAAAAGGTAGTAGTAACTATGTAAATACCAATTGCATAAACTTGCATCCATTGATTTTAATGGTCTTAATACACTAAATGAAATACAAAAGCCAAGCAACATTAGCAGCCAAATCCTACACAAAACACTATCTACAGTGCAATACAAAGCCTCATAATCCCTAACCTAAGCCTATTTTGTTGCAAGCATAACCCCTAAAAAAAACAACCTACAATGACATTAAAATCCCTCCCTCTAACACTCTCTTCTACATCAAATTTCATCAAATTTCCTTAGTACAGTTTTAATGATCTTCTCTTCACGTTCATTCACTTTTCCATCATGTTATTCAAAAAGTTGCACCTCTCCTTCTTGCCTTGCACCTATGCAAATTAGCAAATTAATATAAAAAATAGGCACTTATAATAATAACACTTTAAACTACAGTGAAATTCATCAAAACAAATGAAAACCTTCTTTTCCTATACTTTTCTATCCCTATATAATATTTTTCACCAAAAGAAACAAAGGCTTAGCAACAGAATGAAAGACTAATAACAAGACTCGACTATAAGACGTGTTTTTTAATAAAATAATTGAGAAAATAATAATTAATGTCATCTTAGAATTTTGAAATAATAGATAAATAAAAATTATACGAGTTATTAGTATAAACTCTTTTTTAATATGTAAACTAAAAATTAAATTTAATTTTTTAGTGAAGTTATAATCTTTTACTGTCTGCTTAATAGCACCTAATTAAAATTTATATATTAAGTATAATTGTATTAAAAATATAGAATTTAATATATTGATAATATTAAATATTATAATTTTAAAAATATTATTTATGAATATATTATTGTGGGTTGCTGTTACATACATATTTAAAAAACTAAAATTTAAAATTACCTAAACTTGTGACCAAGCTAAAAATAAATGTTTTATGGGGCTGTCAACATAAACAATTGTGAGAGTAAGCCCTGATTAATAAAATTTTCAATATAGAGAAAAAGAATTATAAATGTGAAATATTCAAAAGTAGACTTTGGGGCTTCCGTGTATTTGAATTGCTGAATTGATTTCGTCTCACTATTTTAAAAGTCAATTCTTGACAAACTATCATATGAATCCGTTCCTCAATCCAAAATTGATTCGTAATTTAATTTTTAAAAAATATTATTATATTTTTTATTTATAATTTTAATTTATTTTTCCACATATTTTTTATTATTTATTCGAATATGCTGTTTATTAATAAAACGTGGCGACTATATGAAAAAATAAATAAATAATAATTTAATAATAATGCATGTCTTGCATCAATTGGCTCTCATAGCTTATCGATTGATACGACACGAAAACATCATCCCAAACAAAGAAATAAATGTCGTTTATTTTGAGAGAGAGATGTTTACCTGAATATCATTATAAAAATATCATATCATATGCATGTTAGAGATGCAAAATGTAATTCAGATTATGATCAATAAAAAAATCCAAAAGGCAGTTCTTGTCCTATTTTGATTCTTCAATAATGGGCCCCGTTTTTAAATGAAATGAGTGGTTTTCATATATTATTATTAATGTGACAATTCATGATATAATAATAATGTAAAAAATTATATTACTAATGTATTTCAAAATGATTTTATTATATTTTGATGTTTCAAAATATTTTTTATAAATTTAAATTCTCATGAATATGATTTGTTTTAAAAAATTGATATTACTACACAATAATAATATGACATTCATTTAATTATATTCATCAACAATTATTTTGAGATACTATAACCTGTAACATGACATAATTGGTCACTAATGGATACAAATAATGCTTTAAAAATTAAAACCATATTAAGTGATATTCATAAAGATTGAAAATACTTTTTATCTTTTATCTCTTGATTTATTATTTACTTTAATCTTCCAATATTTCTACTAAGTAAAATAAATTAATATTTTTTTATTATTTTAAAAAATACTTATTTTGATATTTTTTTTTTGAAATCAAGCAATTTTTTTAAAAAAAATTATTTCTATCTAAACATGGGCTAACAAAATTAAAAATAAAAAAATATATATATACGGGTCTTGTCAAGACATTGATTAAAAAAACTATTAAAAGTAATATTAAAATATATTAAAAATGATAAAAAATCATTTTAATAAAAAAATTTTAAAATTATTTATCTAGTGCTGTTAAAAAACTTGAAAGTTTTAAAGGGTACAAAGAAATTGAATACAAAATAATTGGGTATTAAACTCAATTGCATCACATTCACATTTATCCTTTGAAACAGGCAACATGACGTGGTCTCCAATCCTTTCTTTCGTCTTATAGTGGCATCATAAATCAAACACATGTCCACTATTCCATTCACAGATGCAATATTTTAAATATTTTTAGTACTGTTTTTAAATTAAAAATAATATATGTCTTCCATAATTTTAAAATTAAAATTAACAATATATATGATATTGTCCTTGTTTTTTCTTTGGTCTTAAGAGTTTATCGATTGATAGGTCCCAAACAAACAAGTAAATGTTGAGAGAAAGATATATAGCTGGATATCAATACAGAACTCAATTAAAATATCAGGTAATGCTAATTCAGATTGTGATAAATAAAAAAATCCAAAAGGATGTTCTTGTCCTATTTGGATTGTTCAATAATTGGTCCTATTTTATTTTATTTTAATCTTCTAGCTGTTATGGGCTAATAAAGTGTAATTATCCATTGAATAAAAGAAAATGAGGAGGAACACACAACATTGACATGAATCCATTGAAACAGGCAACATGATTTGGTCTCACAACCCTTCTTTCTCAATCAGAAATCAAATCAGAAACTGAAGAAAGTGGACTGTTACTATTGATTTCATGAATCTCCTCCCTGCCCTCACAAATCCATGGATTCAATGCCAACCTCATCATTAGAAGGCATTCACTCCACCCACTTTCTCCCCAAATGAGAAAAATCTCTCACACCCCCACACACCCCTCTGTTTGCATTACGGACAAATTTTCACTTTCAGCTCTAAAGTTTTGAGACCACAAAACAAAGAAAAAATATCAAATATATTCAAAGTTCCAACATTCACAAGCTCATTTTATTTTACACAATAACAAAAAGAGAGTCACTATATTCTTCTCGTTTAATTTTATATTTTACTTTCCTTACAAAAAATAAAAGAGTCTCATTCTCAGTCTCACATCAATCTCAACATTAGACAGAAAAATCAAAATCAGTGACCGGCATCCTGGGCAAGACATGAACGGCCACCGCTTCAAACCCTTCCGGCAACTCCACCACCGAGATCCGTGGCGCCGCTGCCACAACATCCACGACAGAAATCCCAGAAGCAGAAACAACGCAAAGCCTTCCTCTTTCCGCAACGAGCTTTTCAGCCCCTTTGAATCTCTGAGATTCGACGACCTCTTCCCAAGAATCTTGTTCTGGCACGTATCTTCGAAGCACACCCTTAACCTCATCCACCACATACATCACATCTTCATCCATAGCCGCAACGGGTCCCCTCCACCCACACAACATGCCCTCCGGCATCTCTGTCCAGAAATCACCGTTGACGTCATAAACGGCACCGTCTTTGGCAGCATCGCCTTTAACGTTGACCATGCAGAGTTTCCCTCTCCATCCAACAGCGTCAATTGCTTCTCTAGTGAACCTAGCGTCCTTGAGGTCCATTTTCTTCTCCCAAACGGCGTCGTTCCCCCTGCGCAGGTCCCATTTTTCGAGGGAGCGCGCGACGTCGATGGAGAACTGGGTCCCGATGCCGCTGGCGACGTAGAGCGAGCCGCGAGAGGAGCCGAGGGCGCACCATCGGCGCGGCGTGGAGAGGGAGGGGCCGAAGGACCACGATTGGGCGAGAGGGTTGAAGATTAACGGGCGTTGGAGAGCGGGGAAGAGGTTGTGGGTGGTGGCGGCGAGGAGGACGAGGTTGCCGGCGACGGAGATGGATTGGATGGAGAGGTTCCGGGAGAGGAAGGAAGGATGGCGGAGGAGGAGGTGGTGGAGCGGCGGGTGTGGGTGAGGGAGGGTCCGCCAGGTGGATGAGATGGGGTCAAAGTTGTGGAATTGGATTGGGTTGGGTTGATTTTGGGTTTGGGTTTGGGTTTGGGTTTGGGTTTGGGTTTGGGTTTGGGTTTGGGTTTGGAGAGGAGATAGAATGGCGTAGAGAGAGAAGAATGGAGGGAATGATTGTGAGTAAATGAGGCGTCTGCATGAGTGTGAGATTCTGTAGAGAAGTGAAGGGTTGATTGCTGAGAGACAGAGTTGGGCTATGTGGTCTGGGAGGCCTGGTATCAGTCCTTCTTCTTCTTCTCCTCTTTTCCGTTTCGTTGTGTTGGATGAACTCTTCTCGTGTTCTTCTTCTTCTTTGGCCATGGATTCAAGAGAGAATGTGTGTGTGTGTGTGAGTTTCAGAGATGTTTTAAGTTGTAATCAAAAGCTAAAGTAAGTGAGAGAAAGAGAAAGAGAAAGAGAAAGAGAAGAGAACAGTCTCTACCCGTTTCAGCTTTTTCCTTCATTTAAAATACATCCTACCTTTCCAACTGCTCTGCTGTCCAATTATAACCATAATAATTGACTTTTTTTTTTCTTTTTCTTTTAATTATTCCTCATTTTTTAATATATTTTTCAAATGTTATATGCTTTTATAAAGTATAGTCTCTCATGCACCACTTTTTAAGGCAAATATTCGGCTTTTTTATATAAATAATATTATTTTCTAAAATAATGTTAATTAACTTTTATGATGATACATGTCAAATAAAAAATAAATATTTTATTTTTTAGACAATAGTACTGTCATTAACTTTACAGTAATACTGTAAAAAATGTTGACACGTAATATTTATTTAAAAATAATTTAAATTAAATATTTAGAAAATAAATTTTAAAATAATATTATTTATATAAAGAGGTCAAAATTAAAAAATATACTGGAATTGTAAACACAAATATGGTTCTTGAAAAAGTTGATAAAAAGTGGAACAAAATCATTTGGCAAAGTTTGCTTTTTAGCTGTGCAGCATTGATTAAATTATTTAGGGAATGAAGTTGAATTCGATTGAGTTATTAGATTAATTTAGTTAAATCAAATATATTCATGTAAAGAGTCAAAACTATTTTTGCTTTTTTATTCTCAATACCATAATTAAGAAAAATTAAAGTCTTGATCATTTAAACTGCATGCGAGATGTAACATGTCATTATGTTTAAGTTTCTTTTTATCGTGACATATTTTACAGGGGTACATCCTATTTTAATATATTGTTCATATATTAATTATATGTTTTACAAAAATTATAAATGGTTTTTTATTATATATATATATATATATATATATATATATACACACACACACATGCTATTAATCTTGTTTACAAGTTATGGATAGTATATGTTCTCCTAAGAACTTGTTGAGTGCAACCGCTGATGAAGGGTAGCATCCACTTATATATTATGTCCTCTCTGGTGGTTTGAATAAGAAGATAAATAAGATAATATATTTTATTTTTTGAGTTAGTTCAACACTAAAATATAATAATTTATTTTATTAAATTATTTTATTTTATTCTTATTAATTCAAATTATTATTATAAGAAGGGATAATAGGTCAGGAAACATTAAGATAAAATAATTTTTTATAACATTTTTACTCATTTTTATACTTTTTTAATATTTATAATAAATTATTTTTAAAAATATAACTTTAATACTTTAGTACTTTTTAAAAAAATATGTTTACAAAGTATATTTTTAATAAAAAAATATTTTATTCATTTTATAAATTATAAATTATAATTTATTTTAAAAATTAATTATAAAAATTGAAGAAATTTATAATAATTTAATATTAAATGTATAAAAAATTTTAATGTTTTGATTTATTTTTTATTTAAAAAATAAAAATAAATAAATAAAAAATATTTAAAAAAATTATATTAATTTTAATGAAGATAATTTTTATTAAAATATGTATTATATCTTATTTTATTAATATTTTTATTTGTCTAAAATATTAAACAAAATGATACAATGTTGTCTGCTTTAAGCATCTTAATTAATTTCTAATTAAATAATTGAAAAAGTAAAAGTGGGACAATAAGATTATTGAATTTATTGTGGGTTAACACAAAATGTTAATTGTAAATTTAACTCACATGAGTTAGTCAATTTTCAATTAGGCCGGTTGAAATTAAGATCTAACTCATCTGATTATTCAGATTAATCCGTAAATATCGACCCATTTAACAATTCATTGATTTTTAATAATCAAGTTTAGTTGATCTTAAAACAAAGTTATCTTATTTTAAAAAATCAAAGGCAACTTTGATAAAACCGAGTTGGTAAAACACTTTGCATGCCTTGTCGTCGACTATTATTCATCTTCATTTGCATACAAATTAACATAATAACTAAGAATGCTCTTATCCAATAATTGTTAAACATTTATTCCATGATTCCAAAGACCCAGAGAAGGTTTAAGAGTTGAAATGCAGATAGGAATAATAAAGATGTAATGTGATGATAGATTTGAAGTTTTGCAAGTATGGTAGATTCATGCTTTTCAAAATACGCGTTTCAACGTTAAACTTTGAAGCAAGTTGCAACTTTCCCTGTCCATCTTGTTTTAGGTCCACAGGGTTATCTGTATTTTAAGCAACTTGAAGATAAAAATAAAAGAATAAGAAGTCCCACTCAGCCAAGAATCTATAAAAGAAGATATGTTAAACACATTAAATAAAATTTCTGAATTTTAAAGTTAATTGTATTTATGTACATTCTTTAACATATTTAATAACCTTTTATTACAGTAAATTCAAATTGTAATCTTATGCAAACTTATTTTTTATGTATAATATCATAAGTTATTGCAATCACCGTCTTAAAAGGAAAAAAATTACTTAACTATATGGTTTTTTCTCTAGTTTGAATTTATGTAAGCAGTTATTTAAGACAATTAAATTATGTTAACGTTAAGATATTATTTGACAATTTATTTTGAATTTGTTCTCCATAATTAAAAAGAAAGACTGGGTCAAATAGAATTCTATAAACAAAAGTTTTATTTTTCATTTTTTTTCATTTCAAAAGTCAACGACCGTGAACAGATTATACAATAAATTTTATTTTAAAAAGTATAAATTATTAAAAAACTAACTTTAAATTCAAAACCCTTATTTATTAACTTGTGCTTTGAAAATAGTAGCTTTTAAATTTTTAGAAAAATCAAGTGTTATCTTATCTAAGTAAAGGCAAGCTCTTGAGATTATACAAAAGGTGATTAGCTTGCTTATAGTAATATTCTCTTTGAGGTGAATTCATGAAATTGTATATAATATATAATAAAATTAGTATATACACATCTTTAAATTTGCATGAAAAGCAAGGCATCGATGGTTAACTTTTTAATCTTTTTTGTGGTATTCTCTTATTCTTGTGTGATGATTGTGAAAATTTCTCTGATGGAAGCTCTAGTCTTTCTTAATTATCTTCCATAGCAGTGTTGTTTATATTACTTTCATTTTTTAATGTTAAGTTTTTTTCTTATAAGAAAATTGTTTAAACCTTTTAGGTTTGACATCTTGTACGTGTATATGTAGCCAGATTTGAAGAGTTTAATTTAATTTGGATTTCGATTAATTTGTCTTACATGTTAAGGTAATTAAATAGGAAAAAATTGGCCATGATTTTGATCTTAAGGAGTAGTACTCTCTCTAATCTTTTAAGAGATGCATATATTTTCTTTGTGGATTAGCACTGTCTTCAAAACTTTTGAGATAAGTTGATAACAAATAATTATAAACACTCAATATTTATTCCGATAAATCCTCTTAATTATCATTATAAATGAAATTTTTTATTTAATTTTTACTTTATAAAGTAAAAAAATATAAATAATATAGTAAATAATCTCTTCATAATACTTAAATAGGTCAAAGCTTGAAATTCCATCACTAGCACATCCATTTAAGCTCCATAAATCAAATGTGTCAAGTTTTCAATTACGAATAATTTGGATATCAATAAATAAATAAATATAGAGGGCATTTCAAGTGAGAGATGAGAAGTAAAAGATATTAATAATAAAAAGTAGATAGTAAAGTAATAACATCAAATCTATATTTTTATTTTTATTCAATAGCCATTATAATGTTTCTTACTTCTCATACTAACAAATTCTTTTCATTTGAAATGTCTCATATATATATATATAAGTCATAGATCTTGACATAAATATTAAATCTTAAATCTCATACCTTTACATTAATATTATAACTTAATATTGTGTGAAAATTATATATTTGTCCTTAGCAACATAATAACTAAATTTCTTATGCTATAAATAAAGTGTAAACTACTAGATAAATACTCATAGCAGAAGAAATAAGGAATTAAAATAAATTTATTTTTTTGAAAGTTAAAATTATGATATACCTCAACTTTAAAAAAAAAAAAAAAGTGGAACAAAGGAATTATATTATAACCCAGTTATTTCTTCTGTTGTGCTTGTATTATCTCTGAATATACACTAAACATATCTTATTTGGATTTTCAAAATATAAAGTAATAGTCATCAATATTCTTCAAATCTAGAACAAAGTTGTCAGTAAAAATTAATTGTACATAAACTTACGTTTTATGTATTTTCCGTATGATTTCAAGAACTTGTATGGAATATATTTGAGTTTAAAATGGTTTGAAATCAAACTCTGCATTTATCAAAGACAAAACTCTGCATTACAATAAAGTAATGACATTAAGAAAATACAATGTTGTCGAATATACCTACGATTCTGGTTATCATTATAGTCTCCAATGGACCACAAAGCCCTACTGAATCCACCTTTGCCGTCCACTATGTAAGCACCCACATTGTTATTATTATTTCATACAAAAGTAAATAAAAGTAGTCAGAAATAATTATAAAAAAACTGAAAAATCAAGCCAAAAGGGGAACATATGGTGCATGCTTCTTGTCAAAAGGTTGCTTAGATATGCAACCAAAGTACAACAAAACAAACAAAAACTAAGGAGAAAATATAGTTTTATAATAGAGGTTTAGGTTCTGAGGCCACTTTTTAAGGGTACAAAACTAGTCAATCTTTGATTAAAGACACTAATAGTTTTGGACCCAAAAACAAAAACAAAAACAAAAGACAAAGACAGCATTAGTTAGAGTTTGCCTCCACAGCATGTTTTTGCTTTTATTACTCCCACCTCTCCACATGCTGTTTCACCTGCTCCATTACTTCTCATGCGTGCAAAGAGAGACATCACACCAGAAGCCACTTATTATTTTAAAAATACGTTTATTTTAATTCATATAATTAAATTTGAGTATTTAATAATAGTATAGTTTTATTTAAAATATTTATTATATTTTTATCTTCAACTTTAATGACTTTCTTTGATAAAAATTTATTTATTTTTTATGTTTAAACTTAATTTTAATACTGAAGTTAATGAAATTTATTATTTGATCTTTTATTTTTTAAATTTTATGATCACGAGCTAGATAATGAGTGTATTTTGGTAAATAATCTAATTAAATGCTCGTTTGATAAACTCTAAAGAAGGAATTGTATAAAATTTACAAAGAAATTACAAAAATAGCTTATTACTTTTGTAACTTTTTTTTTGTCTTGTTACATTAAGTTTTTTAGTATAACTTGTTAAAATAATAAATTTTAATTTATTAAAAAATCTGTCAAATTTATTGCATAAATAAACCTTCTTATAAATTTTTTTATTGAATATGTATTTGATTAAGTCGTGTTCCTAGACATACTTTTATTATATGAGTTTGTAAAATAAATTTGATTTCTCGGCATGAGTTAAAAAAAAAAAAAAAACTATTTTGATAAATTAATAAGTTTTTTTGAAATTAATTACAAATTTATGGAAATTACTTTTATTTTTTATAAATTCTTTTAAACACCCTCAATAAATATATTTTAATAAACACAGAATAAGAGCTTTCCTGAAATTTTGTGAATGTTTACAAAAATAGTAAGAAAAATATTAGTCTTCTATTATTTGTTAGGGATGTTATTATTACAAACTAAAAATCTTGATCCATTCAATGTTAAATAAAAAGTAGATATGCATTGTATATGTTTTGGGTCAATTAAAGAAGACTAAGAAAATCACAGTAATTTAATTGGGGTGAATGTTTGATCCAAGGTTAATTTGTTAAGGTGTAATTGTATATATACATAAACCCTTCTAATAAGTTAATCTCAAATGATAAAATCTATGGTGTTATGCTTCTTCTCTTACAAGTTCATAGTCTTTTACGATTAAGAGACGTTAATTAAGCCATACCATGTAAACATCTTAAGTTCTACATAATCTGCTAACATTAAAACACAAAATATATAACATATTTATTTATTATAAAATCTGACTTTATGAGTCAACTGGTCTGAATCACGACCACTCACGTGTGCATTTATGAGTTGTGGATGGAGATGTATGAATTTATAAATTTATTTAATCGTGAAAGTTTATTGAATTCCACAAAATATATAAATTTAATTTTATTCGTAAATATTAAGTTGGAACCAAATCACTGAAGTACACTAAATTGTAATAGTAAATACTAATTCATCAAAACATGAAAACAGTTTCTAAATTAATCCCCAAAACTATAATCGATGTCTAAGTCTAAGAAATAAAGTTTGATTTGCGGTATAATAGAAAAAGACCTTAATTAAGTATGAACAATATGGAGTTTTTTCCTTTCAAATGTTATTTTAAAAAAAGTATAAACTTAGGTTTAAATTTGATTGGTTTCATTATTAAATCTAAAAATCAACATAATTTAATAAAATTGTCTTTAATTTTTTTTAGTTGTATTGGTTCAGATTTGAAGACCATGAATTATTTTTCGACATTTAATGGTGGATAGAAAAAATAGAACAAGATTAAATGAATGGCATGAAATAAAATATTGAGTGGAAGAAATTAAGGGCATTAAATAGATGCAATGAAATTAATTGTAATAATTCTCACTTCATTTAATTATATTTTAAATAATCTGCATAGTATAATCTAATATCATTTAATTCTATTATATTTTGCTCTTTTTTTTTTTTAAGTTTCCATCAAGGTAGGTACACATGACTTGTGTTTAACTAAGCTTGATAACGTGGGTTAATTTCTTTTTATCTAGTCCATGCTTAGGTTATAATTTAACTTGACGCGTATGACAATAAATGAGTAAAGGTGGGAAAAAGGTGTTGGTGTTGTTGACATTGATATTAGGGTGGGACAGTTGAACTAAACATTAGAAATTAGAATACAGAATAGAGAATACGCGGAGTGAGTAGTGTTCAGTTTAGGGTAAGAGAATTGAGTGGTTCCAAAAAGTACCCTCAATGCCACGCATGTTCCTCAGCCACTACCCTATGTCTTTCTGCTATCACAATTTCACATGTGTTTCTTTTATTATTTTTTTTCTATGTTCTGTCTACGTCCACTTTTGCAATTTAAGGAACCACTCGTTAGACCGTAAACAGTTTGTTTCATTTTAAAAAAAATGGTAAAATCACCTTTTTAATAATTCTTCAATTATATTTTCATTTTAAATTTTAAACAAATGGACCTTAGTTTAATGTATTTAAGATTATATTTTGCCCACCCTAAAATCTTAGCATGAAGAGTGTAAATTGAATTTTCTCTACAAATAACATGTTTAGCCAAAAATAATGGTTGAGTATGGTTGAAGTAGAACCAAAAAAGGGTACGTTGGACCAAACTATGAATTGTCAGCTACGTATACAAATATTAATAAGTACAGCTTTTTTTTAATATTTTTTATACCGTTTATAATATTTGTTTTAAGGGCATGCTTCTTAAATACTGAATACTCAGTCAAATGGAAAAGGGTTTTTTTTGTCAGTTTAAGGCATCGATATATGGAAATGGCTTATGTATCCCTATCGAGTCACCGTTCTATCGTTAAGTTCTTTCTATTCATTTACGAAATTTTATAAAATATTGGGTGCTCAATTTTTTTTATAAAGAATTAATACGTTTAGTTTTTAAAAATATAAATACATTTAATTAAATTATATTTCTACTTTATTAATATTCTCTTGTATCATTTAGTGAAAACACCAAAATAATAAATTAACATTTTCTCATTTTTAAAAGCAATAACTAAAATGAAATAAAGGGCAAGATTAATGAAATTACTAAGTTCAAATTAATCAACTATGTTTTATAGATAATAACAATCAAATCCCCGCCATTTGTTCTCCAGATTCCTTTTCCTCTTTTGGATGAGGCAGAAGCTCAGTTTGCACGAAAGAATATACTTAAATTTTCTCTTTTGTGCCATATTTTATAACGAAAACATAAATTGCCTTGAGGGCACCACCAGTTATTATGCTTCATCTTCACTACTCTCAATAAGAACAAGAGTTTTCTTGGTCTTCGACCTCTTCGCAGCTCTACCATCAGTTCCTTGCTTATCGCTTGGCCTGAAATCAGAATACTTTTCAATTTGCTCAAGTATTCTATTTCCATACTTTTGTGTCTTCAATTTTCCAATTACCATCTCCAACTGCACGCACAAAATAAAAAATCATAACTCTAGTTTGGATAACATTAATATTCTACGAGCTGCGGACTGACCACTAATAGAAGAAGCTTTGGGTAACGTTTGGATCAATGGAAAAGGATGAATTGGAGTGGAATGATATTAGGTTTCGCTGTTTGGATTGTTAAAAATTGAATGAAGTGGAGTGAAACCGGACGGAATGCCCTTTCCTTTTTCTTTTCCAATTATAGGATGGAACAATTATTTTTTTTTTCTTACCAATATAAAAACATCCAAATAATGAAATGGTAAATTTGTCTGATAGTTCCATTCCACTATTTTGTTCCATCCCATTTTCCAATTCACTTAATATTAGATATCCAAACAAAACAATATCTCTCAAAATTTTAATTTTTCTTGGATATAGATCAAACAAAAAACATCAGCACAAAACTAAATTGCATAATATAACTTTAAACTTGCCTGTTCCAGTGAGTTAGGTTTTTGAGAACTTATTAAGTTTATCTGCTCAGTAGTTAAGACAGAGTGTGGGAGTATTCCTCCATGGGCGGAAGACAGTTCTTTTCTCAGCTCATCAAGCTTCCGCTCCAAACCAGAGGACCCAAGGCAACGTTTTGCTGATCTTATACCAGCTTTAGTTTTCTGTTCAGTATAAATCTCAATCTTCGCAGATTTCTTACCTGCATGTAAAACAATGACAATCAGAGCAGAGGGAAGCACATCTGGAAAGTGCAACAGATGATCTGCTAACAAAACAGAACACAATCCAAATTTTCCAACTCTGTTGTGTAATAGTGGCACAGACAGCTTATTAGATAATAACCGAAAAGGTTACAAGTACGTAATCAGCAGGTGTCCATGACATTTCGAAAATTGAATGCACTTCATTGATGTGTTCAGTGCTACTAGAAAAATAGGAGAAAGCTTGGCCATAAATCGGAAAAATCCACTTCATTGAATCAGTTTCTCAAATTCCACGGTTGAATAAAGAAACAGCACTAAGAGTCCAGATGTAACACAAAAGACTTCAATAGCTTTTGCCATGATAAATTTAATTAATTTATAGATTAACATCTCTGACTTGTGTACCTTGCAATATTTGCTTGGCCAGAGGCCCTGCAGCAATGTAAGCATTTGTGGCATAAGCTGTATGCTGAAATTCTTCTTTCTATATCAAGAAAAAGTTTGGCTCTAAATTAATTTTGAGAAAAAGAAATCTTTCTTTCAGTATTAAGGGAACAATGCATTACCAAAACACGCTCCAGTAAAAGGTGTAAGATGAGCTGCTCAATTTCCTCTCGTTTCAAATCAGACCCTGAACAATTCAATGCAGCAAAACTCAACATTCATATTGGTGATAAATTACCTTCAGGAAACAGACTAAGATTGATACAAGATAAGTATTGCAATTTTCATGAATTACAAGACACAAAGGAGGAGGGTATTTCTATTGTGAACAAAGTTCATAAAAGCAGTTCACACACATCCAGCTGCTTTGGTGTTCTTTCTTTGTTTCTTCCTTTGGTCTCTTCAGACTATAATTGAAACAGTTGGATTTTGGGCCCCAGCCTACTCCTCCAACCTTATTGTTAGACCATGTTCATTGATTGGATGAAACTGGATGGGAGGACTGATTAGACCCCAAAGGTCAAAGTACTTTATAGAATGTATATATCTACCCAAACAAAACAGAGGAGAAGAAAACCAACCTAGTCCCTTCTGTTTTATTTTCATTTTATCAACTAATTGCAGCATTGTTGACCTTTGATCATTAGCTTGCATATCTTGCAACAATGAAATAATCAGTTTTGCATGACCTGAAGAGCATCCCCATGTAAATGTTTGTGTAGATAAAATGGGCGGAAGAAAAACAAAGGAAACCAATTATCATAATAAGAAATATAGGGAAACAAGGAATACAAGATAAAAATTGAACCAGAAGTCAAGCAACAAACCAGAGACATCCACTTCCTTCACCTCACTTGAAAATGCACAGCTGTCGCACATCCCTGTAACATCAGAAGTACATAAAGCCTGCAACAATGGGGCAAAAATTTTAAAAATATATTTCATCGCTCAGAGGTACCATTGCACTCTTGTAGTGGCTCTGCAAAATGCCGGAAAAAGGCATTTCGTCGGCATTTTCTTTTGGACTGCATTAAAGAGAATGAAAATTATAATTATTGTTGCAAAAAATAAAGGGTTTTGGTAGAGGAGGGTAAAAAGACAGAAAGAAGACCATAAATAATATTCTTATGTATTGTGATGTGAAGCATAATAGTAATAATACTAACTAAATAGTTCTATTTACATTAAAACTAGACTCCTAATCCTAATTAAATAAAAGAACAAAGAATTTCCTGAAGAAAAGATAAAATCCCTGAGAATAAGATAAAGATCCTAAAAAGATAAAATACCTAAAAATGGATAACATCATTTCTACCTATATTTTGTATATATTCTAACAATTATAATTCATAACAAGTCAATGACTTGACTTAATGTGCATAATCATCCTCCATAATCAGGCAAACGAAAGGCACACTCAGTCAGGTCATAGTACAAAATATAGTAGAAAGTACTAAAGCTATTATGTTAGGTCCACTAGTACACATGAAAGAGAAGGACAACTGAAGGGATATGCTAATGAAATCATCAATGATGAAAATAAAACTTCAACATTTGTTGTTTTGTACATATTCATACTTCCACAGTTAGGCTATCAATAAGCTTATAAGTTTAATAACCCTCACCTAAACAAAAAGAGGAAGGAGAAAGAAATCAACATCAACTTTAAAAACTTTGAAGGAGTAAATGAGTATTGACTGAGATCAATTACCAGTAATACAGTTAAATATCGTGGAAGAAAGTACCTGACAATATCGTACTATGTCATAGAGATTCTGCAGTCCTGAATTTTCATAGAAGACCATTGAACTCTGACAAAATTGTTATTATGATATTTGATTAGTAATCCATCAATCTATATGCATGTCTACTTGTACTTATGCATAGCATCTCTACCCAAACAAGCTTGTAAGAAAGACATTAATTCCACTTTTAGTTCCTATGTAACTTTTTATCTCATCCTATATCCTTAAATGTGAAGTTGGGGCCAAAAATAGACCTTGAAATCCAATGGAAAGAGTTCAATATACATAGGTCTTATCTCCAGCAAACTTCAGCTTTTGCGATAAATGGACAGACATATGCACAAATTTGAAGTCAAGAGTGTTGCAAAAATTTACCTGCCGGGGAACATCACCAGGTCTAAAATACAGTAGGCATTCAGAAGGAAGTCCATCTCGGCCAGCTCGACCACTTTCCTGTTGAAAAAAGATTAATGATGTTTAAATAATAACCATAATGGTCCTTTGTATATCAAAGCCTCTTCAGCCAAGTGCCAAGGGGTTCAATCTTTCAATCCCCATTTATCTTCATTAAATTGGTTTTCAGCACAGGGTTTGGGAAGCATGGGCCTTGTCCATTCTTCAAGCCCAAAAGATTTTCACGAGAGATTATGCTAGATAAAAACCATTCCTAGACGTTCTTCCCAACAATTAAGCTTCTAGGATGTTGGTACTTGACATATAGCATGGAGGTTATGTAAAGGAGAAAATCTTATTAGGATCAGTGCAAAACCTGGTAGTATGTTTCCATTGATTTACTCAAGCTGTGATGGATGACAAACCTGACTACATGAAAATATCTAGCATTAGATGACCTCAGCTCCAATGAAGGTAAGGCAAATACAGTATGCATGTCCACCTAGGGACCTCACTTGCAAAAAGTATTCATAAGCAGGCTTCTCTAAGCAACAAAGGAAGCTTCACAATCCACCCATGCAAGCATCAATTTCAAACAATTCAACCATGTAATAAATCTTGAAAAAGATATCTTTTAAGACACCAACAGAATTCAGATTGAAAGAGACATCACATCAATAATTACAAGTCATTACATCAATATCCAAAAAGAACATTGATTTTCACAACCAGGAAAAGAATTCTTGTCAAACAATACATCATCAGTAACATGAAAAGAATTCATGTCAAACAAGTCAAGTGTATGTTCATATCTGCATTAAAAAGCTTGGAAAATAATATGACACTGACAGTCTGAGGGCATTCTATTTCAGTGGTGAAAGTTGAAATTAAACAGTTGCATTGCATTATTATTTTATAGAAATCAGTTACAGTTTCAAAACTGTTATCAATAGCATAAAACATCAATTATAGATAAGATACTGCTGAGGAGTTTTAAAAGAGCACAGCAATACTAACCATCTGGTTTGTTGATTCCCATACCAAAAGCTACCTGAAATCAGTAAAAAAATAATATTTCAATGCTGTAACAGGCCAAAGTGACAAAAGTATGCAACACAGGGTGACAGTTGAAATGATACATACTGTACCAACTATGACCTGCAGCTTGTTATTGCTCCACCTGTGTGATCAACATAAATATCCATTAACTCAATTGGCAATGCCATCATCATATCACTTACAATTTGTTATATCTTCAAAAATAAATATCTCCATTAACTCAATTGGTAATATCATCATCATATCACCTACAATGTGTTATATCTTCATAAATATGAATGATGCACAAAACCCAGTTGTGTATAGAAAATTATAGGATATAATTGGGTGTAAGACAGAAGAGCTATATGCTGTCTCTGACAGCTGCTTTAATACTGTTTAACAGGACCCAAGATTGGCCGATTGGAACCTGTACTCAAATTCAGTCAGTCAAGGCCTTCTAAAATAAGGATTCATGGTTTAATGGGTAAGATAGAGCTCACCCATCACAACCAATATTAAAATCAAGTGCAACTCTAGTCATTTAGTTTCTAAAATGATAAATTCAAATTTCGTTGCATTTATAGTTAGTTATCTAGGAAATTTTTGATAGAAAATTGTAGTTTGGAAGATCAAAACCTCATAAAAAAAGATGATTATTCAAATAATTCAATTTTGTTTTTAGTAACTCAAATTGTTTGGATTTAATAGAATTCTTATGCAAATTTTGTTGTTAAATTAGTTTTGCAGGAAATTTTAAGGAAAAACACGAGTTAGAAACATTAAGAGGTCAAATGGACGGAGCCTACTAACTTCCTCCATAAAAAATGAGCATTGTGGAAGCTTTGAAAGGAGCATATGGTGCATGTACTCACTTTGAAGGCAAAAGGTGGTCACTTTAAGAGTTTTGAAGAGGATATATAATGCACGTAAACACTCTTATCACTGAAAGTGAAAGTTTTAAAGGAAAAATATGATATATGGTGCGCATAAACACTCTTGATATTAAAAGTGAGCGTTTTAGAAGCTGTTAAGAAAAAAGACTCTGCGCATGATCACTTTTAGTGTAGAAAATAAGTGTTCCAAAAGTTGTCAAGAAAGACCTTGCGCATGATCACTTTCAGTGTAGAAAGTAAAAGTTCCGAAAACTGTTATAAGGAAACAGTCGACACATGAATACTTTCAGTACCAAAAGCGATAGTGCCAAAAGCGCGATAAACTTATAAATAGTCAAAAACTCATAATTGAAAAGAGTTTTTCTCTTTTTTTTTTCCCACACACTTAAAGAGTTAGAGAGAAGGATTGAGGGCGAATTTCAAGGCTTAATTCTTGAGGAATTAAGCTTAAGACTTGGATTCATGGAGATTTTCTACACATTCTCTTTTATTTTTTTTTCTCTCATTCTTTTAGAATCATGTTCTAAATTCCTTTTGTTAAGGATTGATGGATCCTATTTGGAGATTGTAAATTAATTATGGATCTAAGTTCTAAGTTTTTTTGTTGTATTGAACATTTAATTATTTCTTTAATGTAATTTTTGAATTAACTATTCAATTGAATTAAAATTTAAAATTTTACATTAATGGAAGTTGAGTGAACATATCATATTTGAATTAAATATCAAGATTAATGACATCTTAGAAATAAACATTCATTATATTATGATCTTTTAATTTTTCATACTTAATGCAATGTTTGATTGATTCACATTAAAAGAATTAGAGTAATTGATTAGATATTAAGATCATTAATGTTGATCATCAATCAATTAATAAACCTAAGAATTCAAATCGCAATTAGTTTTGCAATTGACAAATAGGTGAAATCAATCATAACTTCATTTGATTAAATAATCTCGTCAAACCTTTCACTCTGTTCGTTATTTCTTTCTATTTTCTGCAGTTTTATGCTTTGGTTCTCAAATATTCAAAAATTCTCAGATTTTGATTAAGCTCAAATAGTTTTTAATCTTACGAATTGATACTTAAATGTGTCAATTCCTACGAATAATACTCGGAACTCACAATTCTAAATTTTATTACTTGTTACAACTATCTAGTATATTTGTTAGATAAGATTCTCAGAGCATAACATAAAACACCACCAAGTGTATCTTCAGTATTCTGTGACATATTCACCACAGTCAAGAAACAACTCAACCAATATATATATAAAGCATTACTTATCTTTGGAGAAAATATAAAGTATTAAAATGTAAAGGTGATGACATTTCAATGATTACTTTACCGCATATGAACTTTTTCCCGAGCATTTACATCCATATCTGCATGATAATAATCAGCTGAAATTCCTCTCTCCCTCAACTCCTTTGCAACCTAAAATAATCTTGACAACAAAAGGGATTAGCATCTACTCTACCTCACAAGGTGCAAATGACATAGGGGACTAACATATCCACATTTCAACAAAATAGAGCAAATATTATATTAGAATTATAGTACACGCTGGAAGTGCTTTTGTATTGAAAGCAAAAGATAGGATGCAATGAAACACAAGTTTTTGGAAACCAATTCTCCCTATTTAATGTAAGGCATATAGTTAGCAAGGACCAATAATATAAAATAGTATTTTAAAGGCTTCAAACTGGTAGAAACAATAATTATCTAGTCTTGCTTTGTGCTGGTGAAATTATTCGTTTCTTTCTAAAGTAAAAGAAATTACTACCATTTAACCAATTTTAGAATTTGGCGTTTATGGTCCTTACTTCCCAATGTAGTTTTGGTATGCTTGGGATTATGGATAGTACCTAATTTTTTCCAACCAATAATATCATGGATAATAATTAGAGATTTGATAACTTAAAATATGGTAGGTAGAATATTAGAATGTGTAAGTAATTCAGATACTATACTAATATTTTATTTTACTTGTGAATCTTATGATAAATAAATTTTTTGAAAAATTTATTTTTGACCAATAAAGTTTGTATAATTCATGTAATTGACCTCACCTAGCGAGATCAAACTTTATTGTTATTATCCAATTATTAATAAGAAATTAATAATGAAAGGGTGGCACTGCATACAAGTTGGGAACGTTACAAAACCATTGGAAGAAAACCACAAAGAGCAAATAGATACTGTAGAAATGTGTTCATTGTGTTATGCATAGGGCAATACTGACATTCAAAACATGTATTGCTAACTGTTAGAAGAAAACCATAAGCAGGCATACCTGTTCACATTCCTTCCTAGAGAAACAATAAACAATCCCAGATTCATTATTTGAATAAGATTCTTGAATGAATTCTGCAATTTCATCAATAACTACCTTCCCAACAGATGACTTTTCCTTCACCTGCAGAGTAAAATTCGAAATTATATGATCATGGATCACAAATTCCTTTTTGAACTTGTTATTGAAGCCAAGGGTATAACTTTTGTTTTTTTTTGGGGGGGGTGGGTGCGGGGATGCTATCCAAATAAAAAGTAATCAAAATATGGTTAAAGCAGAGATATTAGTTACAAATATACCATATAAAATAAACTTGGCCTATTGACCGTGCTGACAAATTTGACACATCTAGGAATATGCAACATCTCTATTAGATCATTTTGGACCCTCTGAGTAGCAGTTGCCTGACAAAGAAATTCCATTGTCATAATATAAATCAAAATGAAGTATAGATAGAAAAAGCAACTCTAACAATTTTATGTGTAATACTTAACAGAAATATAAAGATAAAGACTTACTGTCAAAGCAACCATGGGAACATTAGGGAACTGTGTCTTGAGAATACCAAGGTTCTTGTAGTCAGGTCGAAAGTCATGACCCCACTGACTACAGCAATGTGCCTCCTGCAATGCAAACCATAACCAGAAATTATATTGTCATACAAGTAACACCACATTGCTACGAAACTCCAAGACTGCTCAGGATAGAGGTAACAGACTAACAGAGTTTAACAAATGTGGAAAATACTAACACTGAATAATGCTAAAATTAGACATCTTGCTAGAAGCCAAATAAAAGTTAATTAAGCAAGTGTAGGTCCTGAGTCAAGAGCCAAATCAACCCAAAAGCTTAAACTAATAGGAGGAGGCACACAATTGGTTTTTTTCTATACCCCCTCCCTCGCTCCCTTTCCCTCCATGCAAGAGAGTCCATTAACAAGGGCCAACACACAAGCCTACCATAGTTTGTACTGAAATTTAATTTAATTATGAAAAATGGGTGCAGGAAGAATCAAATTCTTAAGCATTTGACTATAGAAACTCCACTACTGTGTCAAAAACTTAAGCTACTAGGTGTAGGTGGAGACACATGAATGGCTTTATCTCTAACATAAATCATCTGATGACATCCAAGTTTGTCCAATTATATAAAAAGAACAATTAGTTAAGAAAGTCACTTGATGTGCAATTCTGTGAAGATATGGGCAAGAACCTTTTATCAAGGCAAATCCTTTCTCCCTAACCATATTGTAAGATAACAACAGCATGGAACCTTTTTATGTATGTTTTTAAGTAGAAAAGGTTTACAGTATTGTTTGGAGGATGATATTCATGTGCCGCTAACTATCTCCACCACAGAAATTCCTATCAATGTCTTCTAAACCACAAGACAAACAGAAAACATGAGTTACTGACAACCAGATAACTTCATCTTCATTGTTGACAATCACAAGTTTACAACTTACGATGTTCCCATGCCTAGATGCATTTAGTCAAAGACTCAAAACAGGCTTATAACTTATAAGTAAACCATCAAATGAAGCAAAATACAACAATATTCCTGGAACACTTCTGCATTCATTCTTAGAATAAAGTCAACAACCATTTACATTCATAAAAATGGTGAAAATGACAAAATAATTCAAAGCAAATCATTATGAACTCACGTCAATTGAAATTAGAGAGAGACGACCAGCATGATGGCATTTTTCAAGTTTTGACATAAACCTCTTGCTTTTTGATATCTTTTCGGGAGTGACATACAATATTTTTAGTTCCCCCTCACCCTTCTCCAAAGCCTTGTATATGAACTTCTCATCATCCTTACTTGTTGTTGAAGTCAAAATATATGCTGGAATGGCCAAAGCAGTCAAACCCATCACCTAAAGCAATTCCCCCACCCAAGGGAAGAAAAAGAGGCAGAGAAACACCTTTTAAATTCAATAAAACTTTCATTGACCAAAATGTTGAACTGGATTTTAACATAATGAAATGCACCTGATCTTGAATCAAGGAAAGTAAAGGACTGACAACTAGAGCAATTCCATCACGAAGAACAGCAGGAAGCTGGTAGCACAGGCTTTTGCCACCACCTGCAGCCATAATCACCAGGACATCTCTTCCACTCATGATGGCATTAATTATCTGTCAACAATGAGACTACTTGTTAGTAAAATTGTACCCCAGAAGTCATCATTCCTCAAAGTCTCAAATTAAGGTTCTTGATGCTGATTGTTTGATAATTTATAAACTGCATTAGAAAACAGAAAGAATACACCTCCCAACTTTTTGAAAGCAAATAGTGTCTAAAAACTGAGTGCATCATAAATCAAAGCACTTAAAATAAGAGTGAAAAATAAAGAAACTAACCATTATAACATGCAAATCACAAGTTTAAGTAAGAAGCCAGCAGCCAAAGGAATAGATTATAAATTACAGGAATATCACATTTAGAGCCATGCAACTTATTGGATACTCTTAAAGCTTCCTTTCTCCCAAATGAAGGGAATGGAGAAAGAGGGAGAATGTGCAATCACAATTCTCAACTTCAAAATAACTTCAGTTCAGAAGAAAACAATGAACCAGTGGCTTCACAGGAACAAGAGTGGGACATTCTTATTTTTCTACCCGCTCCCCCTCTTTTTTTTTTAAGCATTCATTTTACCTCTCTTTGATTTGCACGGTAGGACGAAATGCCAAAGATATTCAACCTAACATCATCTGCTTCAGAATCCCATTCAAATGGCCCACTCCAATTTTCCACAGTGCTTGGACCCACATTATTAACCTGGTTTCCAGATTCTTTACACGCTTCCAGAATAGCACTTAGCTCAGATTTTCTCTCGTACAACCTCTCTTGCCTTTCAATCAAGGCTCTTATTTGATCTGCACATACACATAATTTTATTTTAAAATAAAATAATGAGAAATTAGTCCACCCCAATTGGTGAGCAGCACCATTTCGATAAAGCACAACCGTTTTGTTTGCACTATCTTAATAACTATTGCGATAATCTTAACCTAGGAGTTTCAGTCATTAAAATTCTGATACTGAAGAAACTGGGAGAGGAAGCACCTTGGACATCTTGAATCTCAACCTCGATGTTGAGAAGCTCCTCTAGTATTTCGTTGCTCTCCATCTCTAACGTTGAAACAGTGTGAGTGCAAGGTAACCCTAGAAGCCCACGATCATTTGCGGCATCGTTACAGCTTTTGAAGGTTGATGTTGGTAAGCAAAATTGCAGTGGTGTATGCTGCAATTTTCAGAATTAAATTATTCTATAACATTAGCATCATCGAAGAAATTCAAATTAGTACTAATACATTGAATTTTTTATATTTTAGTGTTAGAATAATAATTTAATGTGTATATACTCTTGTAAATGTTGTGAATGTAATTAATAAATAAAGTAAATTTAACAATATTTAACTTAGAATAATATTTTTATTACATTTTACTTTATTTATTTTTCATATATTACCTCACACTTTCTTTCTTTTATGATGAAATAACAACAATATATATTATTAAATTAACCTTGTTTATATTTTATCAACTACGTATTATACATAATAATTATTTTTATTTGTAACTTTTTTTCCTTTAATATAAATAATAATTCTAACCTTTTCACAACTTTTTTTTTGTTATTTAAAAGTAAAAATAAAAATAAATAATTTTTTTTATCTGATTACTTAAATAATACTGTTACTTGTTATTTGAAATAATTTTTATTATTAAAAAAATATTATAAATAATTTTGTTGATCAGTACAAAATATTTTTTATGAAACAACGAAAAATCTAAACTTTCTTAATCTTAGTAGATACTAATAAATCAAAAATTAAGTAAAGTATTTTACAAAAATACAGATAATTTATCTATTAAAGATTCTTATTATACAATAATATAAAAATTATGCAATTATATATTCGTTTATATGATAAATAATTACAATAAATCATTTGCTAAATTTTTAAAACATTATTAATTGAATTAATTTTATGTGTGCTGCATAATCAAAGATGCAAATCTCAAGGTACTATTTTCTTATCTGGATTGTAATCACTCGTTATAACGAGTAAAAAAATGCAAACAGTCCTTCCATTGTTAGGGCATCCACTTATCGTATCGATAGAGAATTAAAACAAATTTAGCATAAGTTAACTAAATCATTATCAAAGTAATTTTTTCATTAACCTAACCATTATTTAGCAACATTTTTAATCACGGGAACAAAACCAAGCAGAACAGGCCAATGTAACTTAGAAAACGAATACCCTTTTTCCTTTGCATCCATCTTTTATCACATCAAATTCATGGAATAAATTCTTTAATTCTCTGTGTCTGAGTTGCTCATTATATATAAATTTTAAATTTTATATTTATTTTATTTTTTTATCATACACACTTGAAGAAAATCGTAAAATCTCAAGCATAGTGAAAAACATGGAGAGGATCAACTACGAGGCGCTATCTGTAGAATGAATCGTTCTTGAGCAGACAACACTAGCAAGTGTCCGAATAGAACATATTCTTCCACTCACCATAACACATCATATATATATAATTGATAATTGATCAAATAATATTATAATAATAATAATAATAATAATAATATGAAAAAAGTGATATAAATAGTGTGGAAAAGGCGAAAAGCAATGATCGAAGAAGCACTAGTGTTGAGTAGTAGCAGCATCACCAAAGCTGGTGTCATTCAATTTCCATCGCTGTTGGTGTCACCATTTCACCATCATCGTCTTCTTCGGAACAAGCCTTTCTCATCTGCGATAATTGCTCTCAGGTTCCTTCTTCCGTTCTTCGTGTCGCACTGTGGAACTGCGAATCCTCTTTGCAATCAATGCCATCGTTGACTTTGAAATTTGTTTTAGTCTTGTGCGTTTAATCGACAATCGGAGTCAGGTTATGGAATTTTGAGTAGCATTTTAATCAGCGTTACGTGATTTCCACTGAATTGATAAAGAGACTAGCCAATTCATTCATGCTTTTACTTCATCATTGTTCTTCTGAATTTCATTTCATGCAGTGAAAGTGTTTTCATGATTATATATATATGTGTGTGTGTGTGTGTGTGTGTATGTATGTATATGATTGGACAACAACTGTATTGAAAACTTGCATGGTTGTCACTTGTGCAATTTTTGGCCTGCAGAAAAAAGGAGTTCTGTGAAAAGCTTATATCCAAAATGGCAAATTATGAAGGACAGGCATTAACTAGTGGTAGCGATGTCAGATCAGGGAATATGAGTTTTGAGCCTATTTTGGAAGATGGAGTCTTCCGATTTGATTGTTTCGTAAATGATAGAGATGCATCATATCCCAGTTTTTCTTTTGTGAATAGCAGGGTTAGAGACACGCCCATCGCTACTCACAAGGTTCCTTCATATACCCCTACTTTTGAGTGCCTTCTAGAGGAGCAAGTTGTCAATCTTAAGGTCAGTTTCTTCCTTAGCTTCTAAAATGAGAGATCTTTAGTTTCTTTTTCCTGGCCTAATTTGTTGCCCATGCCATTTCCCTGGGCTTCAAATATTGATTGGATTTGTTCCTGAACCAGCTGCCTGTAGGTTCCTCCCTTTATGGAACTGGAGAAGTAAGTGGTCAGCTTGAGAGGACGGGCAGAAGAGTAAGTAAATCTTATGGAATTTTAAGTATTTTAAGTTTTGAAAAGATTTACTTATTATCTATGTACTCATCAGCTAAATTTCATTTGCAGATTTTCACGTGGAACTCGGACGCATGGGGTTATGGACCTGGAACTACATCTTTGTACCAATCACATCCATGGGTTTTAGCTGTTCTTCCAAATGGCGAGGCGCTAGGAATTCTTGCCGACACTACGAGGCGCTGTGAGGTGCTGTAACAATTGGCTATATGTCATCCATCTATAAACTTGAAGAGACATTCATGCTTCTATATTAGTCTGTTTGATTGTTGTTTGTTTTGCTCATAAGCAGATTGATCTCACAAAAGAATCAACAATACAGTTTGTTGCTCCGTCCTCATATCCTGTCATAACATTTGGTCCTTTTGCTTCACCCACAGCAGTTTTGATGTCTCTATCAAAAGCAATCGGTAATTTTCTAAAAAAAGAATCCAATTATAAATACTCCATGGCAATTATGCCCATTTCATTCTTGTTGAGGGACTTGACATAATATTTTATACAATTATTTTGTTTTGAAACGCTGAAATTTATCATCGCTTATGGAGAGTAGTCCATATCAATAGAAGAACCTGGTACCTATCTATAGTTGACCCACATGAAATAAGGTTTCTTGTGCAACGTAAGTTAATCTGTTATGTGTGTGCATAAACATTAGTGAAATGTATGGTATGCTTTTATTACATAGGAGCTAGTCAAATTAATGTCTAAGAGTAAAGAAAATATTGTCAATATTGATAATTTTATGATTATTTATATTTAATCTTCAAATTTGGAAAGCATGCAATGTGAGTTTACTATTATCTTTTATGCTATATCTGCTAAACTATATAGGTATAAAATTTAAGGAGAGATCCTTTTTAAATTAAATTCATGCATGCATTAGGTAGTGAACATTATTCTATTCAACACTGTCCAGGTAGCAAAAAGATCTTGCTTACAGATTCATCATTATTATTATTTTATCAGGAACGGTGTTTATGCCCCCAAGATGGTCATTAGGCTATCATCAATGTCGTTGGAGCTATTTATCTGATCAGAGAGTTCTGGAGGTACTTGCTGCTCTCTTAGCAGTGGTGACTCTTGGACTGTTTGCATTCATTTATATACAAACCTTGAGCTGGAGATTCTGAATATGAATGATTTCCAAGTTCTGACTGTTGTTGTTATAGTCTTTTTGCCTCTACTGTTTTTTTGGTTAAGAAAAAATGAAATCCTTTTAAGTTCTATTTGGCATACCTGTATTTTAATGTGTAAGAAATCTGGGTATTTTGGGTGGGAAGATATCATACCTAAACTTGGTGTTCACCAAGATAATATTTAAGCGCAAAAATGTGGATGCTGCATGATATCAAGTTTCTTCATTATTGAGCACACATTTTAATAGATATGGGGATCCTTGATGCCTGGGAATCATAGATGTATAAATACAGTTTAAATAATGAATTTATATTTGAATATGAAAGACCTTATGTACAACAAAACATAGACATTAGACAATTGTGGGAATCTTGAAAAAATTATGTCATGTAGACATTCAAAATACGTAGGAATGTAGGAGTTATCTGTTGCTACCATCTTAATTTTGTATGCTCTAATGCTACTGATTGTTAGTTTTCAGAAGCATGTTTCATATTTTCTTGACTTTTTAACAATTAAATTTTGCAGGTTGCAAAAACATTCCGGAAAAAGCACATACCTTGTGATGTGATATGGATGGATATTGATTACATGGATGGTTTTCGTTGCTTTACCTTTGACAAGGCAGGTTTTTTTTACCACCAGAAAAGGATTAAGTATTAATTTACTGTACCATAATATTGATTTTTGCATAAGATCATTTTTAGTTGTGCACATGAATTGATTTAGTGATGAGTGAGTACATGTAGTTTGTGGTTCATAAATTAAAGTGATGTATTTCATAGGTTGTGTTGAAATTATAGGTTTTGAGTATGAGGGAGGAAATTGAGAGAATAGAAACTAGATACTCTGAAATTGATGTTATATGACGGGTTGATAAAACCTAAAGCAATAATTTTCCTAAATAAATAATGAGACAAATCATGAAATACAAGGAAATCAAGAAAATAGGGAAACTAATCTTAAGATATAGTAAGGAAAAAAGAAAACTGATTCCAAAGGATAATCTACGCTACTCTAAGAAACAATAAAGATTTTTCTTTTATTCTAACATTTTGTTTAATATAAATTTCTTTTGTTGGTTAGCATTAACTGTCCCACCTGCACTGTTAATTTGGAAATTGCTTAGTTAAACTTATTTGTTGGCCATTTTAATGTCTATAACAATCCTTTCTTGTTTGAAAAAGTAAGTATTCCAACATCTTTCAGGAGCGTTTTCAAGACCCAAAGTCGTTAGTGAAAGACCTTCATTATAATGGTTTTAAAGCTATTTGGATGCTTGATCCTGGAATCAAACAAGAAGAGGGTTATTTTGTATATGATAGTGGGTCTAAAAATGATGTATGGGTTCAAAAGGCAGATGGAACCCCTTTTGTTGGTAAGCCTTTATACATTAATGTTTCTGCACTTCAAGCCTTCTTCATCTGTCCATTCACTGTTGCATTAAGCCAATATATCCTTCTCAGGGGATGTGTGGCCTGGGCCTTGTGTCTTCCCTGACTATACACAGTCAAAAGTTCGTGCATGGTGGGCAAATTTAGTTAAAGAATTCATTTCTAATGGTGTTGATGGTATATGGAATGATATGAATGAACCAGCAATCTTTAAGGTAATTTATCCCATTGGTTTTTTTTTCCTTTGAACATGAAACAGTATTTGATCCAAATCTTACTAATTTGTGACTCGAGTTGTTCCATTTCTCTTTTGTTTTACCTATTTCTTTTGCAGGTTGTAACAAAAACAATGCCTGAGAGCAATGTTCATAGAGGAGATAGTGAACTTGGAGGTTGCCAGAATCATTCTTTCTATCATAATGTAATATGCTTTGCCTTTTATTCTGATTTTGGTGTCACATGCTATTTTATCATAAACTTTTTGACAATATATATGAGGGGATGCACATGATTATATAATTACACACTGCCTGCATCTTGGTTCTGATGTTGATTCATGAATTTAGATTTGTTAGTGTTTCAATGTCTTACCCTGTACGATAGGCCATAGGGTACTATCAACTTTTATCAGTTGTTTTGACTGTTCACTGTAGGTGTATGGTCTATTGATGGCAAGATCAACCTATGAAGGTATGAAACTAGCTAATGAAAACAAGCGTCCTTTTGTTCTCACGAGAGCTGGATTTGTTGGCAGCCAAAGGTATGCTGCAACTTGGACTGGAGATAATCTTTCAACCTGGGAGCATCTTCATATGAGTATCTCCATGGTACTTCAGCTGGTAAGATTCTTAGTAGCATAGATGCTACTTCCCTTGAGCAACATTTTCATTTCATGTCTTAACACCATTTACATCTGGAGCTTCTTGTGAAGCATTTAAGTCGTTGTAGTCCTTTCATCATGGCATTCTATATAATGCACTTCTTTGTGTGCGTTTTTCTGGTCTAGTCAATGCAGTGTATGCCTAGCTGGGTATAAGTTGTTATAACAAATAGTTAAGTTTTGGAGACATTAGTCACCCAATTGATAAATGATACTTTTAATTGGCAGTACTCAATATTACCTCTTTAGACAAAAATGATTAATGGCAAGCAGCAGTCTTGAACACTACACTAGATATTGTCATTGACTATCCTTTCCAAGTTTTCTTAGAGTTGTGGTGAGCTTGATTCTTTTCTATTTAGAGAACTGTACCAGGGAGGGCTAGATTATTTTCTTTGTAAACTTTATTCTTTCATTGGTTGCAGATGCTTTTTTAATAATTTCTGAAAATGTAGTTAAGTTCCAGAAGAATTATGATGTTATCATCTTACTATAATATAGTATTTATAACAAATTTAAACATAAAGCCTGAATCAAAGGCCAAAAGGGAATAATATTACCTCCGAATAATAATTCTAAAAGAATAGCAAGACTGTATATACAGTGCAATATGTAGGCAAAACTAAGGGTGTTAACGAGGTAAAATAAAACCATTTATGTGTCTTCAACCCTAAACCCTAAACCCTAAACCAAATAATACCTCCTAATTAAGAGATGATTTTTTCTTACTGAAGACTAGTAAACCATGTTGGATGGCTCTTGTATGGGAGGGCATGTGAGCAATATAATATAAAACCATTCATATGTCTTCATCTAATTGCTGAAGCTTTTGAGATTGTTGGTTCATGACAACAAAAAGGTCACTTTGAATATATATTATATTTTCCTCAATAATTTGCATTCCTCGTGTTCAGGGACTCAGTGGTCAGCCACTGACAGGTCCTGATATTGGTGGATTTGCTGGAAATGCAACACCTAGGCTTTTTGGAAGGTGGATGGGCATAGGTTCCTTGTTTCCTTTTTGCCGTGGGCATTCTGAAGCTGGCACCACTGATCATGAACCTTGGTCTTTCGGGGAAGAGGTTAGTTTGTCTTTGGCTGTATAAATCAATATTCTTGTGATTTCCAACTTTTTATAAGTTTGAAATTTATCTAAATTCTAATTTTAAATTTTTTGTCATTAAATATGACGTGGTGTAAAAATAATGAAGTCTGTATATTCAGCCTGATCATTAGCTTGGAATAAAATTAAAAATTTTGAATGAATAGAAAATAGTAAATAATCTCACATATTCATTTCATGTTAACTGTGTGTTTACTTTCAAAGTTGTTATGTGGTTGTCTTTTCCCCCTAATGGAACTTGATATCTTTTGAATTTTTTTTAAATTGTCTAAGACATCCAGCACATAAAAAAAATACTGGGCTTATCATGTGATGTTTTTAAGAGCATTTACAATTGTATTCTGCTTCTGGCCTTTGCACAATTTTATTCTTGTAATGGTAATTTGTTATTAGTATTTGCTAGCACCTTCTGACTATATTTTGAGTGCTGGTATACTTCTTTATTAGAGATACCTTCAATTTCTTTTCTATGTGAGCTAGCACTGACTGATATAGGCTGAGGACAAGTTTCTTTGATGAATGGGAGGATGGGACAATTTGCATTCCTGAAAATATTTGTTGGTAATGAAATAAATTCAATAATTTGTGCATTGCTAACTACAGATCTAAATTTTTAGTGTGAAGAAGTTTGCCGATTGGCATTGAAGAGGAGATACCGTCTGATACCACTTTTCTACACACTTTTTTATTTTGCTCATACTAAGGGCACTCCAGTGGCAACCCCTACTTTCTTTGCTGGTGGGTTCTTGTCCTGTTTACTAGTTCTATTGTCATTGGTTTTATTAATTTTATTCAAGCTTTCCTCATATACATCACATTCTTTTTCTTTTGCAGATCCACAAGATCCTAGCCTGAGAAAACTTGAAAATTCGTTTTTGCTTGGTCCAGTTTTAGTTTATGCAAGGTTTGTCTATTTCTTTATTTGTCTATCATCAATCTAGATAGGCCTTTGCAGGAAATAGACAGGTTTTCTGGATGCTTCTATGAATGCTGGCTGCAAATTTGATATGTTCATAGAAAGGGGAACGATAGAAAAAAAATCATTTTTTTTCCAGTTGTAAAGCAAAATTAAATCTTGTCATGGTTAATCCAGTTCAACCATACTATGTTCATCCTTCTTTTTTTTTTTCTTAATTTTAAGCGGAAAACAATAAATTCATTGACAGTATGATACTGGAATGACAGTATGTATATTCACTATTGGTTTCTGCTCTTCTTGTGTTTGTGTGTAGTTTTTTAAAAATTTATTCCACCTTATCTGGCCTTATCCATTTTGCATTAAAGATGTAAATATTAAAAATGTAAAAGTAATGTTTTCCCTTATTCACTAGCAAAGAAGAAATCTGTGTTTTGTAAGTATTTTGGTCTTAGGAGCTCTGATGTTTTTTGGGGTCACAGCTCTCGTGATTAAATTTACTCAGAAGTTTGATAGAAAGCTCTATTACACATATTGTTGTACAATATTTGCTGATTTTAACGTGTTTATATCTTGATCAGCACCTTACATGGTCAGGGGTTGGATAAGTTGGAGATTACTTTGCCTAAGGGGATATGGTTGAGATTTGATTTCAGTGATGTGCACCCGGTATATTTTTCCCTTTTCTTTTTGTTTTCATTTTTATTGTGGTAGTATGGTAACTTTTTTTCCTGTGAACAAAAAATAATTGTATTTGTTTGTTTTCGTTCTGTCTGAGACATTTCAGGATTTGCCAGCTTTATACTTGAAAGGTGGCTCAATAATTCCTGTTGGCCTCCCTCTTCAGCATGTTGGAGAAGCTAATCCCTCAGATGACTTGACACTTCTCGTGGCTTTAGATGAGTTTGGTAAGTCAACGTATTCAACTTTCCCTTGTCATGCTTCTACTGCTATCTTGATAAAATGTCTACTACTCAGATTAGCATCTTGCTGTGAAGGGCTATATTAATAAGATTGAATAATTGACAGGGAAAGCTGAAGGTGTTCTATTTGAGGATGATGGTGATGGATATGAATTCACCAAAGGCAATTATTTATTAACACATTATGTGGCTGAACTTCAATCGTCAGTTGTTACTGTGATTGTACACAAAACTGAAGGATCATGGGAAAGGCCTAAACGCCTTGTGCATATTCAATTATTGCTTGGTGGGGGTGCAATGGTATGTTATTTCTCTGTGAGAGGAAACATATGAAACTTCTGTATAGAAAAAAAACAACTGTAAAAATTTGTGTTCGGTTTATTCATTTATTTCTCTTTTAGTGTGTACTTGATCTTAGTATTTATATAGTTTGGTTTTATAAACAGCTTGATGCATGGGGAATGGATGGAGAAGTTTTGCAAGTAATTTTGCCTTCGGAAGAGGAGGTGTCAAAGTTGGTATCTACTAGTGAGAAGCAATACAGGGAATGTTTGGGTATGTGTTTGTCCAAGTCGTTTACTTGGTTAGGTTATGAATGTTAATTTATAATGTATCTATGCTTATATTATACCATTTCTTATTTGCTTGACCATCCTTTTCTCTGTTGATGCTATATGTTACCCTTTGGTATAGTGTTTTAGTTTGTTTATCTCTTGCAGACAATCCTGCTTTTGAAGGATATGTGTATGTTGAAGATATTTCTCGGTTTGGATGTTCGACTTGCTATTTCTATCCTATAGTCTCATGTCTTTATTATCTCCCATATGGGATTGTTTTCCTCTGTAAAAGAACTGAGATTTTTGCATGATTTTAGTTCTCCCACCCCCTTTCCATGAGCAGAGTACAGGCTAGGCACTGGTTCTATTCTGCAAATAATGTTGCATTTTACTTCTGAATTGTATCTAACATGCATGCAAGGATCCTAAAATTGCCAATTCTATACCAAAGTGTGCTACTTTCTTCTTTTTTATTTTATTCAATATTTGCAGAAAACACAATTCCAATTCCTGATGTAGAAGGGGTTTCTGGACCCAAGGGAACTGAGCTTGTAAGAACTCCCATTGAACTGAAAAGTGGCGAGTGGGTTCTTAAATTTGTTCCCTGGATTGGGGGTAGAATCATCTCCATGATGCACATTCCTTCAGGTAAGCTGATTGTCCATTAGCAATTTATTTACTTCGTCTTTTAAATGTTTAGAAATGTACCAGTAGCTTGTGTTTTTTAGTATGCCACATGGATATGATTCATATTGTTTATGATATCCATTATAATGTTGATGATAGTAAAAATCTGTTTTCAGGAACACAATGGCTCCATAGTAGGATTGAGATCCATGGGTATGAGGAGTATAGCGGTATGGAGTATCGTTCTGCTGGGTGTTCTGAGGCATACTCTGTCATTGAGTGAGTTTTGTATTGCATGACTTCATTGAGGAAACTTAATTGTTTAAAGCCGCTAATTTAATCCTAGTATATACCCTTTTTTACCATGTAATTTAGTTCTTGCCAGTTTCCACAACCCCCCCCCCCACCCTTTTCATTTGATATTCAGTATGTATTTTGTGACAATATTTTTCTTGCAGTCGAAAACTTGAGCAGGCAGGGGAGGAGGAATCTGTTGTAGTAGAGGGTGATATTGGTGGAGGACTGGTTCTTCAACGACAGATATATTTTCCAAAAAATGCCACCAATGTCATCCAGATAGACTCTAGTATACTAGCCCGCAATGTTGGAGCTGGTTCTGGAGGGTTCTCAAGGTTATATGCGAAGCTCTCCCTCTTGTATCCTTACAATATTGTATCTCCTTATAAAGATAATATTAAATATATGAAGTTAATTTAATCGTGGGGTCTTCTCCAAGTCTGATTGGTTGAAATAGAGGACATGGTCAATGTTTCATGAGTTGTTAAGCCATAGATAAGACTATGAAAAAATCTTAGCTTGCGTCAGGGGGGTTAAGGCATGTTTGGTTATTGAGTGCCACTGCACATTTGCACTTGGAAACGTACTCTTGGACAAGCCCAAAATTAGTTTCAGTCCCAAATGTTAATCTTCCAGAAGTAACATTTATTAATTTCTTTTCAGTTAGTTAGATTTTACAAATTTGTTGTTATATATGAGTTTAAATATTTTAAAAAATACAACTTATCTGTTTTGGACAACTTCATGCTCAAAAGTAATTTTACTTAATCATATCCAGACAAATTACTCTTTCAAACTTACTTTTGGGTGGATATTACCCCAATGCATACCTCATTCTTTCAAATCAAATCTTCCAAAATATATTTTACTTACAATCGATTATTCATCAGTCATCTGATCCGGGACATGGACTTAAGATTGATTAAAGTACGTTAGAAGAATATTTGGTTAGTGTGTACGAGGATTCTGGTGGAAAGCGGGGACACTAATGATCAAAACATTCTTCATGTCTGTTATTTTCTAAACTGAAAATGTTTTGTCAATTGCCAATTCAGATGCTCTGATTTCTACTCTGCTTTCTTGTATGTTCTGCAGGTTGGTTTGCTTAAGAGTTCACCCGACATTCAATCTTATGCACCCCTCAGAATCTTTTGTCTCATTTACTTCGGTTGATGGATCAATTCATGAAGTCTTTCCTGATGGTGGGGAGCAATTCTTCGAAGGAAACCTTATTCCTAATGGTAATGTTCTTTTTTATCTTACTCCTAATTCATTATTACCCATATGAAATGTTGGAATTTCTACTCAGCCAACAACCAAGCAAGTTATTGTTATGTTCTCAACTAAAGTCTGATTCTTGATATTTTAGCATGACCTTAACATTACAATTACTTAGTGCCACCAAAAAATTAGACAAGGGACATTTTGTCAAGATGCAACTTAATGTGATATTTCAGCATTCCACTCCATATCTGCTATTGTTCAGAGATTTTACTATGCAATTAGTATTGTTCCAATTAATTATTTCATTCGTTAAAATGGGGCTTCAGTTTGGAATGTGATGACAGCCTTCAGATTGCCTTCTCTTGAGAGCTTGAGAACACTTTTATTTATACAAGGAACAATCATCAATAATCTTAACAATTCATCCCACTAGTAGAACTAGAAACTACCCTGAACAAACCAATAAGAAATTGGTGACATTCTTCTCTTCCACATCCCATTCTTTTCTATTTCCCCACCCGGAGGGAAAAAAAACGAAAAAAGAAAAATTCCAACATTCATTTTTAAAACCAAAATGTTCTTATAGAGAGGTGTCTAAGATTTTAGGTATTTTGTTAACTATTTTCATGTTGTAGTTTAATTGTTCAATCCATTCTTCCGAATCTACACTGCAGATAATAGTGTTCCTTATAAAATTTTCATTGTAATTTCATTTCAGGCGAGTGGAGGCTCATTGATAAATGTCTTGGCTTGGCACTGGTCAATCGTTTTAAAGTTAGTGAGGTATTCAAGTGTCTTGTTCACTGGGATAGTGGCACTGTGAACCTAGAGCTTTGGTCCGAGGATAGGCCTGTTTCAAAGCAATCCCCTCTCAGAATTTCCCATCAGTACGAGGTTATAAGAATTCCATAATATTTTAACTGCATATTACGGGGAATGTTCGAAACAGCAGCATCGTGCTACAGAACATGCACGTAATAACCATGCGTCTAAATTCAAGTGTTATTTCGTTCTTCCCTAAATGCGTGTATCATGTATATTTGAGGGGGAATTGTGGAGGAAGGATAATGAATAACAACACATCTGAACTTCGAGGTCCATTAGGATCGTTTTGTATTGTTATAACCAGTAATGGTATATCTCCCTGAAAAAAGAGTAAATTGTCGCTACTAAAGAATAGTTTTAGTATGGATGACAGAAATCATATTCTCTATAGACCAGATGAATTCACAAATTTTATATTTCCAAATTTACACACCAATTTCTATTAGCCTGTAATAAAACTCTTCACTTATATATTATTTTCATCTAAAAGTGCCGAACTCTTAATTGCAATATTCTAAATTTCGTTTGATGTTGACTTGTATTTAAAATAACGAGCTAGGAATGCCTTTTTTTCAAAAAAAACTAGCAAGCGTACAATGTTGGCCTATTATTATTTTTGGCATTTTTAAAAATATTACTTACTGAAAAAAGTGAAAATGTTATCATTTGGATTATTTTTGTTACATGATATTTCACATCATTTTTAAAAAAAATTTCATGTGTATTGTGCTTGTGCAATTAACACAAATATTAAAAAAATTAGATTTTGTTAACTACAAATTAAAATTTTTATAAAAAAGAATATACAGTTATTGTAATGAAGTTATAAATATATAATAAATATTTTTTTTCTAATAAATTTTTACTATTATTAGTTATTTATTTTCGGTTTAACAAAATAAAAAAAATTATTGATCTTGTACTTCTATAAAAAGCACAATCCAAAATTTAAAAAGAATGGGTGATACTAATAATAAGTGTTTCAATTAAAAAGTTGAACAGATTTATTATGTTACAAAATTAGAAAAGTAACATATTTGTAATAGTATAATATGTGATTATTAAAATTTATTATGAATAATTAATATTTAAATGTAAAAATTATGTGATCTTATTTAAAAAATGTAACTTTTAAAATCAATCATGTAATTTTGTCATGATATAAATTTATTTATTTAGTGTTTTAATAGTACTAATACTTTTGTTAAAATATTCTGTGTTACACCATCTATAAAATCATAACTCAAAATTATTTTAAATCGATTAAATACTTTCTTTTTTATAATTTTTATCAACAATTTATAAAATTTCCTTATTTAGTAACCAGCATACTTAAAAAATCTTGTATGTCTCACATTTTATATGCCATGTCTTTGCAGTACTTTCCTATGTTTCCACTCTCATTGTCTATCCTTTTACAATCTTCACCACATAACCCCCTTGGGAAAAAGTGGCCAAGATTGATTACATTTTAGATTATATTTTCTGATATTGTTCCTCAAGCAACCAAACTTTACAACTTAAAAAAAATTAGAAAATTGATAGAACGTTCTCTCTTTATCTCTATTGTTTCAATTAGCTGAATAAATATTCTAGTCAATAAGTTTGTGTTAGCTACTTAGGATAGCTACAAGCTTGATAGAATATTCGTTCTCTGTTTTTACAATTACTATAAATGTAAAGGTTGGCTGGTGAATAAAAGTTACCATTGCTGCATGATGCATCTTTCTCATTAAATCTAAACATTCTTGTAGTTTTTGTTTCTCTTGTTTTCAAAATTTCTGCTAAAAACCCAACAGATTCAACATGAAACTGGAGATTCCAAAGTCGGAGAGTAACAATATACAGGAACAGATATTATATAATATTTCTACCTACACTGCATCCTACTTAACAATCACCTCAATTAAGCAAAAGAATCCATGGTTGTATTAGCACAAGCCCACTGTTGTCAAGCTAAGAAGAAAATGGGGGTAAAAACTGTATTTTCTGCAGGAGAATTCTCCCTTTTATAATGTTCCATATAACCTAATTTCAGCTTCTTTGCCACAGATACACAATTAATTACAAAAATATTTTAGAGTTACATATTTACAACTGTAAATGCTGATTTGGGATGAGCAGCCCAAATCATGGTAGGGACACTCCCAAATCTCTTTGACTACCGTGACTTTGAAGTAGCATACCTGGTAAAGAACACCGTCACGGTAGCTTATGTAGCACCTGGCAGCATCATGGTCAAAGAACAATCTATTTGTGGAAAAAGTCAAGTTGTTCTTCAAAGAAGATCCTCAACAGTCTGATTCCAACCACATATTATCTTCAATTTTTTTATTTTTAAACATTTTCCCTTCCCTTCAGCGTTGTTAAGTGCAGGGCTGCCTTTTTCCATGGTTGTTGCTCCTTCAGTTTCCCCATTGATCTCTTCCTTACAGTGGTAAAAATATTTACATGTGCCATGTAACAAATTGATCAAGCTGTCATGGTTTATAAATTTGGCGTGCCATGGACAAAAAATTATTTTTGTCCAAGCCAAAGAAATTCCTCAACATGGATTGAATGTTCATTTGTCAATCACATACACAGCATCCTCATATTGATGCCATATTTTCTGATGCTTTTCCAAGACATTAATTAGTAAAATTCTACTTCACCAATTCTTTCTGCTCATTGATCTCCTAAAAGGTGAAATCCAAGACGAAGTAAAAACCAATTAATAGAAGCTCTTGCCAAAAGGAATAAATCGATGAATTATTTAGCAAAACATATCATGGAGCTCTCTTGGATATCATATAACTCCACTTGTACCTTCAAGCATGTACAGCAGAATTACAAACACTCCATATGAATTTGAACAAATATAGACTCCACCACACTATTTACACTGTCATCATTAGACATAACCGAAAAAACACTGTATAGTCAGTCCCAGCAATTTTATTTATTTCTATAGCCAAAAGACATCAGAATTTGTGTCTAAATTCTCACACTTCAACATCAAAAGAGGCCAAAATTTTAGACTCTTAGTGATAACCAATTGGAGCCGCAGCCTCTCTCAACTCTCGTCCTTGGTAATGTATGTCCTGCAAAACATTACATTAAAAATCCATTAGCATTTTTTACTTATATAAAAAAAACCCTTAAATTTTTTTGACTGTTTTAAGTTCAATAAAAGGGTATTTTGGCTTACTGAAGCAAAGTGGTTGACATCACGATGATGTGCCTCATCAGCCCTCACAACCATGACCACATCTCGTAGAGTTGAGTTAGGTGGCAGCTGCCAATAGTCCATAGCAATGGCTGGAGCTGGCACATTTTCTATGTTGCCCTTGTCTAGCTCCTTCAGGAACTCAGTGTAGGAGTGTATAGCCTCTTCCTCAAGGTAACCAACCATGCGGTGGGCAAATTTAGGTGAGAGCAAATAGCCTAAGAAATATGCATTGAAGAAAACTCCTTGGACAGTTATGACTAGAGCACGCTCATACCACTTGGGCTTTGCAACTTCCATGAATGTCATCAGGTGCATGCGCTCATTCTCTGCTTCTTCTATCAGTGCTTTGATCCAACCACCACTGTGCTCAAATCTTCTAAGGGATTTGCAATGTAGTAGCATGCCTCCTACCATGCCAGGAACAGCTGCCACTGTCTCAAGCATCATTGCCCGGCACCCATATCGTCTCTGTACATTTGCATACAATACAACATAATTAAGAAAAAATAAACTTGTAACGTAACGTATAGAGTACAAAACTCATACTAAAACAGTGTAATGTTAGCTATCTATCTAACACACTTTTTTTTAACATTTTTAATATCAGTTAAATTTTTTTAAAATTATAAACACAGGAAAAAATATTAAATTAAAAATGATAAAAAAAAGTAAGAGTTACTTAGTTTTTATAGTTTTTAATATATTTTAACTACAAATAAAGAGTCTGTTAAAAAATATTAAAAAATATATTACTATAATTCCTCACATAAAAATGAATTTTTCATACAATTTTTATAGCACATGTACAAAAATATAAATATATTAATAATATTACATATTACAAATTATAATAAAGATTTCTTATTTTGTGTCCTTAAACACAACTTAAAAAAATAATTATTTATTTAATTCACTTAAATTTCATTATTAATCACGTAATAAACCTATATTTGAATAATATATGAGAAAAGAAGTTAGATTAAGTGTTAATTAACATGGCAATTATTTTATTCTTTAGGAAGATTGTTAAATGGTAGAGGTAGCAAGTGGAAATTTGAAAATAAAAATCAATGGAGTAGGAACCCCATGCATCTTGGGGTGGAGTTTATCAAACAATATCGGATCATTCTCTTTAATGTGATATTTAACCAACTGACCTCATCTCTAACCAAACCACAGCCAAACATCACATGCACTATGGATGATTTGATTTTAGGTAAAACAAAATAAGACCTAAACGTATGGCCAAAAACAAAATGAATATGAAAATAATAACCAGTAGTATACAAGCACTCTTCAGTACTTATGACAACCAAGAATTATTTTTAAAACAAATACCAGAATTTTATATAAATCATTCTATTTAAAAATCAATTTAAAGGGGAACTTAATTAATATGTAATGATTAAAATTAAAAGTTGTATTATTATTATTATTATTTAACTTTCAATGTTCTCATAAAAAGTATCCAACTCATCTCTCACCGTGAAGATATATACAAATCAAGAAAAAACAAAAAAAGACTACATAAACCCAACAATATATAATTTTTAAAAATTTGTGTTTGGCATGAAAATAACTTAGAAAGCCATAAAACAATCATATACCAATATAATTTATTCTGTTAGAAGGAAAGTATATGAAAAGAACTAAAACGACACTTTTAACCATATAGTTGAAGATAACTAAGGGAAAAAAACGTTAACCATGTAATTAATGCAAATACCTACAAAGGAGGTTGCAAGAAAGAAAATGGAAAACAATGAATGTAGAACAGTGTGTGTTAGAGAGAGTAAGAATTTGGGCTATGAAAAGTAAATAAATATATATGTATAAAAAATTAATAACGAATGAGTTTTATTAAAAAAAAAATACATCATTTTTAAAATTTATGTTTTCTAATGAGAATAAATTATATAAATTTTTGTTCCCACGTTAAAAAACCTAAAAGAAGATACAAAATAAACAGGAGTAAAAAATTGAGTTTTGAATATTGATGTAATAATTAGCATATTACAAATATAAAAAATATTTTAAAGAAAAGGCTTATGTTCACAATAAAATAAAAAACTAATTAACCTTTGTTTATACAAGTAAAAAAAGATATTCCCCTCTTCATTTTCTTTTCCTCCCAAGCATTCCAAAATACCTGGAAAAACAAGTCGGTGGGGTATCTAAGAGACTTGACAGTCCAATAAGCCATTTTGTCCAGAAAAGTGAGAGGCGCGTGATGCTTCTTCAGATCAATGGAAACATTTGCTTTGTATGTGTCCCATGGCTTCAACCAAACACAAAAATGATCATCCATCATTTTCATTGTTCATTAACACAACCATCAAATAAATCTAATTCAAAGAAAGAAGACAAAAACATGCACATATGTTTATACATATAAGAAGCTACGTAGCATACCCTAAAGCAATTCCACTTCCATTCCGTGCCATCCCCTTTGGTGATCTTTGAAGGTTGAACACCCCAATAACTCACAATCCCCTTTTCCTCTTTCTTCCCACTCTCAGAAGACGATTCAACCTTCTTATCAACCCCATCGTTATTCTCCTTCTCTGACATAGCCAAAGTGCTCCCATTTCTTACACCACCTCCATAAACCGCTCTAACCCAACAACCCCATTGGCTAGGAACACCAACTTCACCACCCAAACCCTTCGCCATCAACAGTGCGGTGTTGCCCACACCGTTGTTACCACCACGAGTCATCATCATCATCATCAACAACAACACGCAACTCTTACACCACAATCTGAGGAATCCAGAAAGAAAAAAAAAAACTTGTATGCGTGATCAGAAGCGAGAAAGTTTTTCAGAAAAGGACTTGTTTGGTTGTGGAAGAAAGGGTTTAAGGAGGGTATATATATATATATTTATGATACAAAGGGAACGTACTTAGTTGGCATGAGTTTTCAACAACTCGGATTCCTTTCATACATAAATTTTGCTTTTAAGGTTCCACTTGAACAATATTTTAAAAGATATTTTTATTATATATTTGACAAGAAGGATAATACAAATCAAATAATTAACTTTTACTTATAAATTGCCTTAAAATATGCACAATTGATAATATAATTAAAAATATATATATTTACTTATATATATATATATATATATATTCACAAAAGAAATCAAACTTGTATACAACATCTTTATATTATTTAGGTGGGACTTAAGTTTAAGATTTGTATTTTAATTTTTTTGGTAAGTTGTAATTTGATATTTGTATATTGGAGTATTGTACTGTCAAATTCGAGTTACATGGCTGTCGTAATAGCAGCAAAATTGTACTTCTTTGAGATCATAGTTGATCATTATCATTTACCATATAATAAAAGTTTGCTATTTCTTGGAGAGCAAGTAGATTGGAATTGATTTTTCCCAGAAAAAAAGGATGGGATTTTCGTGCTGATCAAGTTAAAGACTGTGGCCCACGTTGGCTGAACGTTTTAGAACAAAACAAAAATATCTTTTGCGTGGAAACCGACTTGCATAATTATATGCATTCATTTAAAAATTGTATACTTAATTTTGTCACATTTGTTTTTTTTGGTAGATATCTTGCCACGTAATTAGGCAACTCATTCTTGAGATTAAAAGGTTGTAATTGATCTTGTCACTTAATATTATTTTCAACAGTTTGGTTAAGAGAATCAGAAAGTTAACTGATAGGTATTGGTGTGCTACATTCAAACACACCTACAGAGAAGGAAAGATCAGTGCATAAATAACATAAGTCTTTATGGTGTTGTTTCATGATAATTCTGGAGTTGCTATATCCCAGTAATGGGTAGTCTCTGTTGCACCAAAAGAAAAAGATATCTTGCTACCTATATCAATTACCTTTGTAATTATAAATATATATAAAAAATATTTTACAATAAAAGTGAGATTGTTTAATATGAAAATATTTAAATATAATTTTTTTAAAATTTACAAAAATATAAAAAGTTCATCTAAAAATTGTCATTAATGAGTTTTGATTCTTAAAAAAATCATCACTAAAGATTTTTATTTTTTTAAAAATTATCATCTGAGTTTTGACTTTTAAAAATTTTAATTTTTTTAAAATTCATTATTGATAATTTTTAGTAATTTATCATTTTTAGATATTCTATTTTTAATTTTTATACTTATACTATTATTAATTTTTTAATCTCATATTTTATAATTTTCTCAAAAATATTATATTTTAATAAATATCATTTTTAAATATCATATATAAAAAAAATAATCCTACGCTTCACATGTTACAAGAAAAATTACTTGGCACTGAGCTCGTCTTTTTTGTGTTTAAATTAGTTTTTAGTACTCTTTGACAGGATTTTTTATTTTTTAAGATCGACTTTTCATTTTTAAGACAAAAAATAATGCTGCTACGATAATCGAGCAAATAATAATGACTAACGGCCACAATGATAATTAGTAAATTTAGAATGTGATTAAGAATTTTTTTTTTAGGAAAAGTTATATAGATTAAATTTACAGATTTTTGCATAATATATATAATAACAAATTAAATTTATAAAATACTTTAAATTTAAATTAACAGTAAATACATCTTGATTTATTTTTTATTTTACATATTCCTCACACACACTAATTTGGGAACATTATATTAATATGTTCATAAATAAAAAATTCAATGCAAACCTAACAAACCAGAAAATGAATACATCAAAACAATTTTTAGACTGGACCACATTTCAAATTTATTTTTATAAAATTAATATAATTTAATTCATAAGCAAATTTATACACATAAAAAATCTCATGTATGAAATTATTGTAATATTATTTATATTATTAGATATTTAATCCATATGCAAATTTATGCACTAGACCGTTTTTGTTGGATTAAATTAAATCAAATTTCAATTTAGAATCAAAACAATTAAATTGAATCTAATAATATTTTTTCTTCAGAAAAATCTATCAATATACATACACGTCCCTACAATAAGAGAAATTTCAATGGAAAATGAGAATTTTAGATTACCAAAAATTATCCTAATACTAGAGTACAGTAAGGACAGCGCAGGTAATAAAAAAGAATTAATCACATTTATATTAATAATTAATAATCATTAAGAGACAAATTTAATAAAAATATACTTTTAATGATTTTCATAAATATTAAATCTTATATGGAAGATTGAAAATTTATATAGATTATTCTCTGCAATATGAGAAATTTCATAAGTAGAGAATTTTACATCCTAATACAACTATAGAAATTTAGCAGTGGAGGCATTTGAAAACACACACAGAGCAAAATACAGCGTATCTCATGAAATCAGCAAGAAAGTGAAAGTAAGCTAGTTTAGGAGAAGTACCCTCATGATTCAAGTACCCCTTGTTAAAGAATATGAAGTTAATTTATAGTACAAAATATCATACTCATAAAGGTCAACTATTTCTGCTAATAATTTAACTAAGAACAATAATGTATTACATTAATTTGCTTTTGGTATCTTGGCCATCCAATCAGAGAGACTCCTTAGTCTGAGAAATGCAAACAAAATAGCAAGTGTCCAAGAAGTCAACACTTGTACTAAAAGATAAAAGGAATCAATAGGTAGATTCCTTCATAGTTTGATTTGCAACTTTCCCAGTACCCAGCTAGAGATAAGCCTCAAAATTTCCATTATAGTTTCTAAGAAATGGAGACTTAGGAATAGCTGCATAATACATGGTATTATAATTTTAAGGCAAGCAGTATCTTTCATGGCTTCTGCATTAAGGTGTCCACCGTTTGAATTTTCTGGCAAGTACTATCATGTGTCTGAAAATGGAGGTGGGTGTATAAGGCAAACCAGTTTCTTTGAAGGCAAACCAGTGCTTAATCAAGGAATAGGCTATTCTGTGATTCTTGGTTTTGGAGCTTTCTTTGCTGTCTTCACCTCTTTCTTGGTTCGTATCTCTTAAATGTGTCTTTCTCTAGTTATTTTGATCATATGTCATGTGTGCGTAGAAGTAGAAAATCACTGCCAAACCTTCATATATACTTGTAGCTCCACCACCCTTTAGAGGAGCATGGAAGCTTGTAAGTAATGATCATCAAGTTATCACAATCAGTTTATTTGATACAAAATTCTTGTGGATCAGGTGTGGCTGGAGAAGCGGTATGTTGGGTCCCGCCACACCTCTGAATGGTTCAACACAGCTGGTAGAAGTGTTAAGACAGGGCTCATTGCTAGTGTCATTGTGTCTCAGGTAATGGATTTAGATAGCCTCAAATTGGAAACAATTAATGATAAACCTGAAGTGAAGTTCAACTTTCTTATCTCTTTTCTTGCAATGAATTTGTGCAGTGGACATGGGCTGCTACAATCCTACAAAGCTCTAATGTTGCTTGGGAGTATGGGGTTAGTGGACCTTTTTGGTATGCTAGTGGGGCTACCATTCAGGTATCAATCTTATATTATATATTATATCTCCTCGGATATACCAATTTTTTTGGATGCCAATCAAGGGAATTAGACAGTGTAGTTCAATTTTTACTGAACAGAAATTAAATTAGCTTGAGCTAATCCCAAATTTATGAATTCTGTGCAACTGTTAAGCTGTAATTTTACTGTGCAATTCATGACCTCACATGCAATTATTTAGTTCATATCCCCATTTTCAACATCCACTGTGTTGACATTGGACTACCCCGAATGATAGATATTATTTCATTGTGCCAGTCATGAGTAATAATATATTTTTTAAGTATGGTAGCAAATTCTAATTATGATTGTCTTCAAATATATTAAAGACTTAGCTTGTTAACATATTTTCACCTAAAAAATTAAGAATATATTAGTATATAACTAATATACACACTTATTTACTTTTTAAAAAACTATGTTAGAGGTTATAGCTTTAATTTTTTATGTTAAACTATAAATTTAGTCTTTATTTTTATATATATTTTTTTAATTTAGTTTCAACATAAAAAATTATAATTTAGTATTTATATAAATAAATATTTTTAGATTATTTTTTGCTGTTAAAAATACATTGACAATGTTAGATTAAAAGGATCAAAATTTTTAAAAAAAAATACTTATATAATGACTAAAATGTAAATGTTAACTATAAAAATTAATTTATAAATGTCAATTATAAAAATTAAATGTATATTTTAACTAAAAATAAAAAAATTATATTTTTTTTAAAAAATAAACAAGGTATCAAATGAAAAATTGACAAAATTTTAAAAGACTAAAAATTTATCTTCAAATAAACTTTCATATCTTAAAGATAGTAAATTTTTTTTGGTTACAAAAAACGTATTTTATAAATATTTTTATAGAAATTAATGAATAATAAAATTATAATTAAAAAATTCATGTTGATATTTTATTTATTCATTTAAAGATAAAATTAAAGACAAAAAATAAAAAAAATATTAATTTTAAATTTTAAAACTAACTGTGAGCAATTAATTAAAATAAGAAACATTTATTTATATTTTTATAACTTTAGTATAATATATGTTTTTTTTTTTCAATCAAAACTTCTTAATTTTAAATACTTAACTCAACTCTAAAAATCGAAGTTAATATAAAATAGAGTAAAATTTTTATTAGTTAATAGTCAAATATGTTTTGATAATGCATTGGCAATGAATAGGTAATGTTGTTTGGAATCATGGCTATAGAGATTAAAAGAAAGGCTCCTCATGCTCACACTGTGTGTGAAATTGTCAAAGCCCGGTATGTTCTTGGTTTGGACATTTAAAGTAATTTTTGTTTCATGTTTTGCTAAATGCTCAAGTGCAAGATTTTGGCAATTCTAATGATAACAAAGTTTCTTTACCTCAGTTGGGGAACTTCTGCACACGTTGTTTTCCTCTTTTTCTGCTTCTTGACCAACATAATTGTAACGGCTATGTTGCTGCTTGGTGGTTCTGCGGTTGTAAATGCATTAACTGGAGTGAACCTTTATGCTGCTAGCTTTCTAATACCACTTGGAGTAATTGTCTACACACTAGCGGGTGGATTGAAGGCCACATTCTTGGCAAGCTATATACATTCTGTCATAGGTTTCTACTTAAATTTTGGTCATTTTTTCCTACAATATCTGCATTTGGCTATATTCATGTATGTTAATGTTAAATTGGGATTTTGTTTGTTTCATTTTTCAGTGCACATTGTTTTGGTCATTTTTGTCTACCTTGTCTATACGGCTAGCAGCGAGCTTGGTAGCCCTTATGTTGTTTACAATCGCTTGCTAGAGGTTGCAAGCACATCAAGAACATGTCAGGATCCTATATCACATCATGGGCAATCTTGTGGTCCTGTTGGTGGGAATCACAAAGGTTCTTACCTTACAATGCTCAGTTCAGGTGGCTTAGTTTTTGGGATTATAAACATTGTTGGCAACTTTGGTACTGTGTTTGTTGACAATGTAAGCAGGCATTAAGAGATGTCTTTCCATCTTAAGTTTGTTTGATTTCAAGTATGAAAATATTGAAGTGTGCACTGAATATGTATGGTTGTAACTTGTGCTCCTTTTTACTCTTTTTTTTTTTTTGTTTCCTGTTATTTGAGTTTTGTCACTATTGATTCTTCAAATGGGGAATGTTTAGGGATACTGGGTGAGTGCCATTGCTGCAAGGCCTTCATCAACTCACAAGGGCTACTTGTTGGGAGGTTTGGTCTGGTTTGCTGTGCCATTTTCTTTGGCTACATCATTGGGTATAGGAGCTTTGGCCCTTGATTTACCAATAAATGAAAGTGAAGCAGGTCGTGGACTTGTTCCCCCCGCTACAGCTGTAGCTTTGATGGGAAAAGGAGGATCTATCCTGCTTCTTACCATGCTTTTTATGTAAGTTACAATCGTCATACTATTGGAGATACTTTTAAGTTTTAATGTCTTGACAAGATTGGGATAATAAAGGGGTCAAATATCAAATTAGTCCCTCAGTCTCATTAGATATCACTTGAGTAACTTTTATTTGTCTCAAATTATTTATCACTTAGAATATCAAAAAGATATTAATTACTTTTTTCAATAACATCCGTATTTATTAAGGATAGATTTTGCTAACTAACTACTAAAATAACTCTTAAGATTAATTATCATCTAATTACTGCTATAACTTCACTTTTAATAGGAGTAATTTAGTGAAAGTAAAATATATGCATCAGTACTAGGTGACATCTAGTATGAGACGGAGGAACTAGCAATTTGATTTGCTATTAGGCTTGTAACAAAACTATCAAGTATCTTTGTTTTTACTTCTTGATGGTTTGGACTTTTGATATTCTTGTCAGGGCTGTGACTTCTGCTGGTTCATCAGAGCTAATTGCGGTGTCCTCATTATGCACATATGATATTTATCGTACTTATATAAATCCTAATGCAAGTGGAAAGGAAATCCTCAAAGTGTCAAGGGGTGTTGTCCTAGGCTTTGGGTGTTTCATGGGATTGCTAGCAGTTATACTGAACAAGGCTGGAGTTTCTTTAGGATGGATGTACCTTGCAATGGGAGTTCTGATTGGCTCAGCAGTTCTTCCTATTGCTTTTATGCTTCTATGGAGAAAAGCAAATGCAATTGGAGCCATTTTTGGAACAATGGTTGGTTGTGTTTTGGGAATCATCACATGGTTGTCTGTTACAAAAATACAATATGGCAAGATAAACCTTGACACAACTGGCAGAAATGCACCAATGCTTGCTGGAAACCTTGTATCTATACTAACTGGAGGAGTAGTCCATGCCATCTGCAGCATGTTGTGGCCTCAAAACTATGACTGGAGTACCACCAAGCAAATCACACGGGTTGAAAAGGAGAAGGCTAACCTGCCAGCAGAAGAGTTTAAAGAAGAAAAGTTAACTAGAGCTAAAGCATGGATAGTGAAATGGGGTGTTGGTTTCACTGTTTTGATAGTCATACTATGGCCTATTGTCTCCCTCCCAGCAGGTAATTTTTTAGTTGTATTAGCAAAGTCTTTATTTTCCTCACAAGTGGTAACATATTTGTTTTGGTCTCTTACATGTTCCAATTCCATTTGTTCCTTACCACAGGGGAGTTTAGTAAGGGCTACTTCTATTTTTGGGCAGTGATTGCTATAGGATGGGGTACTATTGGTTCTGCAGTGATAATTATTTTGCCACTAACGGAGAGCTGGGAAACCATTCAAACTGTCATTATGGCCATGTTTACAAATGACAGGCTCATGGAAAAGGTGGAGGAGTTAAATTTCAAGTTGCACACAATCATGCAGGCAATACCAGAAGCAGAAAGACTTTACTTACTTGAGAAAGAGAAGGCCAAAAAATTAGAAGCCTCAGAGAGAGATGCTTGTTCTCTTCTTGCTTTTGATCCCAATGGACCAAAGGAAATTCAAGAGATAGTTTAGCTTTTAGAAAAAATATTTTCTATTTTTATTATCATCTGTATAAATTAGTCAACATCACCTAATGAAACAAGACTATTGTTTTTGTACTATCATCTATATAAATAATTGAAAATATGAAATAAAGTAAAAATGAAGTAATATTTTAAAAATTATCTGTAAAAACAAGAAATATTTTTTCAAATAAAAAAAATTTTCAAGTGTCATAGTAATTAAGTTCAAACATAGCATAAATAAAATACTACATTTATCTCAACATTAAACACGAATCAAATGTTACAGTGAATATATCAAAATGATACCGTAAAACTGAGAACTGTATAATGATGGATAGGTTAAACCATCTCACAAGAAAAAAATATTACGATTGAAATCTATTAGACATTGTCGAGTTAACTATAAAAATTCATAGTTTAGTTTGATGTCGGATATTTTTTAAATCTACTCTCTCTCTTGCATATCTTCACAATGCTGTGCACTTGAGCTTTCCCCCTTTTCCCTTCCAATTGTACCTTTTGAATAACCATAACTTCTATTTTATCAAAGTAATCATTATTAAAATATATTGACAACATAAAATAATCTACTTAAAAATATCCTTATACTTAATTATTCTCATATTTATCAATTCCCATTAAGTTCAACTAAAACCAATTAAATTAAGGAAAGGGTTTTGGGATCATAACAGAAGAATTTGTGAAAGCTAAAGAAAGATACTCCTGGCATGGGGTCTGTTTGACACCTTCATCCAGCTGTAATAATGATTGCTAATTATGGTTTTATATTCATACATGGAAAGAATTCATTATCATATACCCAAAGCATTTTTGAATTACAAAAACTTATCTGCAGCTAGATTACAAATTGGGAAAGTTCGATATTCTAAAGCACAAGTAAATTTTAACTACAAAAGAATTATATATGGCCCCTATTTTAAAGAGGAAACAAAGCATGGATTTTCTATATTAGTTGCCTTGTGGTATAATTACAAATGGCCAGCAGTCTGTTGATGTAATTCTCCTTTATCAGCACAAGGGGAGAGGCACGTTGATCCAACTAGAAGGAACTGATTAACCACATGCATCCAACAGCCAGTATTATCTTTAGAAGGATTAGATCCCAATGATGCATGCAGATACGCATGAATTGCATTTGACATAGTCGAAAGTGTATAGTGCAGAGTGCTTGAACTGAAAGCAAACATGCCACTTGCTAATTTTAGCATCTATCGAACACCATCTCGTTTGGAATGCATGTTATTTGCTGTTCTTTCCTTCATGGCTTCTTTCTCTAATTTCTTTTTTTCAGCATCTGCCTGCCTTTCATTCTCCTCCCTTGACTTGTTGAACATCTTGACAAAGACAACAAGGATTTGTGTCACTGCAACATGAACACAACTTTAGCAATCAACATAATCTTGACGGAATTTTTTAAAAATAAAATAAAATACTGTTTTATGGGTGAGAATAGGAACAAGGCAGCCCAATGCACGAGGCTCCCACCTAGTGGAGGCTAGGGAGGGTAAAGGTACACAGTCTTACCCCCGCAAGGCAACAACTTGACTGTTGCACCACTAAAACCAAAGCAAAAAGTTAGCTATAATGTGGGAATAAATCTTCAGGTCCCTACTTGGTGATGATTTATTCTAATTTCTCAGAGCCCAGCGAAACTCTTTTACATTAATGAGGATTTATGCTGTCTTGTTCTTTAAAAGGCTACAAATCACAGATGCTATACTTTGCATTTAGAATGATATAATAACGCAAATCACATGGAACCTGGTAAAAAGACCACTTTAATAGATTAAGAACCAAAAGGCAAGAAAATATGGTTATTTATCTTCCTCCAGATGTATTCGCACTGCTTAAGCAACGCAAGATTTTGAATTTCTTAAACCCAAACCAAGGGCCCTTCTAAGTAATCCTTGCAATAAAAAAAATAGGGTTTAAAGAACTCGAGCCTTGTGCTGTGTGTAAACTGTAGAGAACATCAGACCTTGTTCAAAGGGGCATCTAGCTGGATCCTCTCCAAAGTACTGCGACAAAGAATCTGCATTTCTTCCCTGGAAGAGAAAGATTAAAGACCAAAACCAGGAAATAAGTAGTTGGCAAACTTAGTTATCAACATAATGCTGACTAACGATTATTATCTGGGATGGCACATCAAACTCTCCTGAGCATGCAGTATCCCAGCCTAGAACAACACCCAGAAAAAGGAGAAAGAAAAGAGGAAATATAACTATAACAGGACTCACCACTTCAGAATACAATGATATAAGGGACCTCACTTCAGCTTCAGCAATATCTAGAAAATTCTTCAACACCTGAGCAAGAGAAACCTTACTGAGAAAATCATGAGCATATACAACTAAATCTCTTGTTAATCAAATCAAGGTTTTCACCATGGGGCCAAAGAACAAGTCACATAAAATTACCTACATGATAGTTACGAGTTGTTAACCTTTTTATAATCTATTGGTGAGATCGCAGCACTAGTTTTCATGCAGATGTTATCATGTAGCAATGTAACCAAAGGAAACATCTAGTTTAACTTTAATAGTCTTTTAATAGAAAGAATTAGAGTCCAGCAAGAGTTGTTGCTGAGGCTTCTGTTTCTTTAATGTGTACATGTTTGTGTTGTGGGATTGAATGATGATGCTGAGGAATGGATTAAAAACCCAAAAGAAACATAATACAAGCATGTTTTAAGGCTGCTGTTATTGTGCCCAACAGGACAAACATTCTGTTTTCTCTATCTTAATTATGAGCAATATATTTTGTATGTGCAAAAGGCAACATTTTATATTCCTCACCGTGCGAAATCCTGTAGATATTACACCGTCATTTTCAGAAGCAGTCAGTTCTTGCACAACTTTCTCTAGACCTTTATTCACAGCTTGCATTTCTTCAGCTAATGCTTTTAGTTGAATCTAGATATTGGACATAGAGAACACAAATCCATGAGCAAATCATCTTAAAAAGATCATCTGGAATAAATCTATCATCAAGAAAGTTAAACATTAATGACAATTAGAATACCTTAGAAGCTGCTTCCAAATGGACAAGATCCTTATCAAAATCTAGCAATTCTGGCATTTTCTCCGCAAGAAGCTAAAGAGACAACAATAAATTTTGTAAGGTATCATATCAAAAGCAGCGTCCATGGCAAACAAATGATGTGTTTTTACTATTCTGATATTGATAAGGAATAAAACATTTTCGACCAGAAGAAGCATACACACTGTAAACAACGGATAAAATACTCCTAGAGTTGAACAAAAAAGGAAATGAAAAAAAATGATGTTTGAACTTGAATATTGGGAAGTTAATTTAATTAAATAAGATGAAGAAAATAAATCTTAAAAGTTAACAAATTATTAGTCTCCCAAGCACAAACTACAATCCCAATCCTATACAAGAAATAGGGCTTCAAGTAAGAGAGAGATGGAGCCAAATTAAAGGAAAACGGGAAATTTAGATTCCTTTCATAAGCCTTGAATAATGCGCAGAAACAGAGTATAAGGAAATTGAGATTTCTTTTCTTTCACACAATTTTTATCTGAGTATACTGTGATAGGGAAGACCACAACAACCTTAAAGATACAATAGTAAAGTGCAAAATACAATTTCAAGATTTTGACATATCTACCTTACACAAATAATGCATTAAAGTCATTTTGTTATTTCTTGCTCGAGTATCAGATAATTTAAGAAGGCTGTCCAGTTTGAACCCTACTGCTGATCCTGCAAAGAACAACATAAAAATATAATCTAAACAGCATTGCCAAAACTATCTCAATCTGTGTCAATGACATTGACCTGAAACTACAAGTAAAAATCCATCTCAAATTAAAATATGCTCAAGTAGGATTTGAGTTAACCAAAAATACCCCGAGCTGTTCCCTGATTCAAAGCATTGCCCAAAGTAAGAATAGTCTGCATTATTTGACGCAATTTTCCAGATTCTTTCACCTGTAAGCATAAGTACTAACATAAAGATGCAGCTCAAATAAAGCGATTATGTTCGTCAACTAAGAGCCATTAAACAGTACCTCTCTGGCTGCATCATTGATTGTATTCAAATTTAACCTCAAATCGTTAACCTGAAGAAGCAAGAACAACAAGTCTTTAAGCTTGAAATATTATTGATAGAACTAGAATGCAAAACCATACAGAGACAATCATCACCAAGATAGCATACCTGAGAAGAAAAGGTGATTTTAAAAGCAAAAACCCTTAATTTAGATTCTACACGCGGAACCTTCATCAGCTCCATAAAAAACTGGCAAAGATAAAAATTTTATTAGAATGAACATATAGAATTTGCAAGGAAGACTAAAGAGTATCAAGGAGTGAACCTGTTCACATTTTCCAAGCATTTCCTTGTTTCCTGTATAGTTCTGAAAACAAAAAGATTATAGCCAGTAAAAATAAACAGACATATTCCTTTTACCCCCATTACACAATGCAACATCTAATACATTTTTTTAGAATTTTTAGATTAAATTTGAAGCTGAAATTTTCTCTACATAAAGTACTTGTTCATATAAAAATTTCTATTACAGCTGTGTTTTCTTCTGACCAAAAAGGAGCAGCCCAACTGAATATATTAATATTTGAAATCCCAGCAAAATAAACTAAATTCAAAATCAGGAAAATATGCTTCCTGTATTTTCTAAAAACTAAATGTCACTTCATGATCTAAAGATGACAACCTGCATCTATAAAAAACAAATATATAATTATATGATTCAAGATTTTGAAGCTGGAACCAAGTAAAAAAAAACATGAAGGTTAAAATATTGCAACCAAGAAACAATTCAAGAAATACCAAAATACTGTGATATTAAATGATGTCACACACACATTACAGTTCACAAATTTTTATAGGTTCCTGCACAAGGGAGGAGGAGAAAGAAGTACCTTCAACATTTCCATCTCTTCTTTTGTCGGACAGAACTTGATGAGATTCTCAACCTGATCAATATCCAGAACAGAAGAATCCAATGCCAGAACTGCATTCTGAAATAAAAAAAAGAAATCAACAAAAATGACAACTGTTGGAGTTATGTAATTATAGTAATACTGTAAATAGGAAAATTAGTATCTTTGTAACTATGATAACTCCATAACTATATATTCTATGTCAATAATCCTTATTATAAATATATGTTGTGCTGTGTAGTCAACACACTGATTCATCCTGTGTTTTTCATTCTATTTTCTCAACAACTATTAAGAGCATACATAAAAAAGAAATGCCATCTAAAATTAACCTCCATCACAACTGAAGGTGTAAGTAAGTAAACATTTAATATTTACATAAAATTCCTAGCTGAAATGTTATTATTAAATAAGTTTTTATCAAATAAAATGGTAAAGTGCAGACAAAATCCGCCAAACCATGAACTCTCCTGAAGGATTATTAACCTTACTTTGTGCCATAACTTTAAAACTTCACCTCAGTTAATCTTCTACAAAGTCCACTCTAGTCAATTCAGAGGAAAAACTTTACAATGTCAAGTGGTCAACAATGAAAAATCTCAAACACACGGATGATGCTAGCTAGAATCTCCAAAGTAAACATTTAAAAGTAGAGGGATGAAACATTATAATAATTATACCAAGTGCAAGTTTAGGAAAGGTTTTTGGGGGAAAATAATCTCTTTTTAACAGAAAGTCAAAAACTCTCTTAGGATGTTGTCAAAAGAGAAAAGAAGTTGTTTGCACCTCAAGATAAGCTAATCCAAACTCACATTAGTTCTAATGCATAGGCTACTAGGCTATGAAAAGTGAATGTAGAAAAACAGACTTCTAATTCATATACAAATAAATGAGAAGTGCACAGAAAGATATTGAAAGTTACTTCTAAAACAAATCAAAGAACAAACTACTTAATCAAAGAAAATTAGAGCATTAAACTAATGACATTTGAAGCTATATTTGAATACTTATGGTTGGACTCCGCTTTCAACTAAAACAAGTAGTAAAACCAATCTGCCAGGTAGTTGTTAACATTCCATTTTTGCTTGAAGATTCAAAATAAAGTAATCAATATTGACAGATTGATCAAACTTCCCATTCCAGCTAGCCTTCAAGAAAACTGCAATGAATGCCATTTATACTGCATTCAATACTGCAAAATGTCCAGCTACATTGCTACACTAGAATACTTGGATGCATCCACACTAAATAAGAAAAACAAATACAAAATGCATATTCCTCCCGTTAGTTTTTCTTAATCTTTTTTCTTGCAATAAAAGAATAATCTAATGATGGGACAGAGAAAAACGGAACAGGAGCATGAGGAATCCTCCTATCAAAATCCAAACCCATTAGGTATCTTTTTAGACAATGGAGTTGAGCCTTACAATTTTGTCAATATGATTTAGCATCTACACAGATAAATCAACATCGATCTCTATCAAAATATAATATACCTGTATTTTTTAGCTCAAAAACAATATGATACAGCAAAGAAAATTTTGAAACTTAAACAGAAGAGGTAATTTCTTGACTAAACAAGTAAACTGAATATGAGGATGGAAAAACTTACAAGCATATCTGGCAAAGGAATTTTGATTTTAGAGAGCATTATTTCACAATTATATGCTCTACGCAAGTCAACCTGACAGTAAAGACAAAAGAAATATGGGTTTATTAGTTGTAATGTAGATTCCTTTGATCAACTAGATGCAACAAATAGACAAAATTTTAAAAAAAAAAATTGTTACAGTATCTGCATCTAATTAGGTTTAGACAGCACATAATCACACTGAGGTACCATATCTTAACACCCAAGCAAACTGCAACACGAAATATTTATTTTAATATAAAACTCTATCAATTCAATTCATCCAATATAAAAAGTTTTAGCAATTGACTGTGCTTTTTTCTTTCTCATTTAACATGCAAGTAGCAAGACTAGACAAAATCTATCAGAGACAATAATTTGGACGGTTATAGTCTCTTGATGACCATTCTAATATCAGAGTGATTCCAAATTAACATTATAGGATATTCTAATCATGTCTATAAACTCTTACAAATTATGACAAAATAATTAATGTCAGCAAGGAATGGCTTACCAATTGTACTTTCTCAGGTTTGTTGATATTAGAACCACGCCGAGCGCCACTTTTAGTACTGCTCCCATCAGAAGTAGATGCTGCTGAAAACAGGCTCTCAAGTTCTGATATATCTATTTCAGGGGCCCTAACAAAAACTTCCAATATTTAAAAATCAGAAATGGACATTGTATCCCACCCTTCCCAAGTCCATCCACAGAAGGGGTTACAGAAAATTAAACAAAATTGCCCATTATTAAAATACACAATGTGATAAAAAAATCTTTAAATGAGAATTTCTGGTGTTTAAGAAATAATTCTTAGGAAAATTAAGTCTGATATCTGTATGAAAATTCGTACCTGGTTTCACTATCCTGTTTCTGCGAATCAGCCCATAGACTTCCTTGAGTTGCTCGGGCAACTTTCACCCAATGTAGGGGTTTTAGCACAGTTTTCTTAGGAGCATTAACAGTCCCACCAGTTCCACGACCTCTTCCAACATTTGTTGTTGAAGCTTTGCCTGGCAGTGGTGCCACACCAGAGGCCCTAGCTGCAGGAGGTGGAGGTGGCACTGATGCACCATGGCCAGGTGGTGGAGGAGGAGCATTTGGAGGCTTTGGTGCTGGTGGCGGAGCTGAACCCAATCGTACAGGTCCTGGAGGAGCTGGAGGTGGAGGTGGTGGAGCTGAACCAGTTTGTACACTTGGCAGGGGTGGAGGTGGTGGGGCTGAACCAGTTTGTACAGATCCTGGAGGAGGTGGAGGTGGAGGAGGTGGAGCTGAAACTGTTCGTACAGATCCTGGAGGAGGCGGAGGTGGAGGAGGCAAGGTTGAACCTGTTCGTGCAGGACCTGGAGGAGGTGGAGGTGGTGGAGCTAAACCTGTTTGTACAGATCTCAGAGGAGGTGGAGGTGGAGGTGGAGAACGCAAGGATGAACCTGTTTGTGCAGGACCTGGAGGAGGCAGAGGTGGAGGCGGAGGTGGTGGAACTGAACCTATGCGTGCAGGAACTGGAGGTGGAGGTGGAGGTGGTGGTGGTGGTGGAGCTAAACCTGTCTGTACATGAACTGGAGGAGGAGGTGGCGATGGCAGTGAGGCTGAACTTGTTCGTACAGGTCCTGGAGGAGGAGGAGGAGGTGGTGGCGGTGGCACCAAAACTGATAGTACAGGTCCACAAGAAGGTGGAGGTGGACTAGGAGTACTATTGACATTATGACCCATCAGAGGGGGAGGGGGAGGGGGAGGACGAGCTGAAGCCAACATAGAAGCATCGGTAGCATTGTGAACTATGGGGGGTGGAGGTGGGGGAGGGGGAGGGGCAGCTAAACCTGATTGTACTGGTCTTGATGGATGTGGAGGTGAACTAGTAGCCTTATCAGCATCAAGACCTAAAGACAAAGGAGCTGGTGGAGGTGGTGCTTGTGATGCTGTTGGATGTGGAGGTTGAATAGGAGGAATCGGGGAAGGCGATGGTGGAGATGAACAAGGAGAAAATTCCTTGCTTTGAGCATGATGAGGTGATGAAACAATATCAGTCAATGACTGATCAGGTGTTCTTGAAGTGAGATTTACATAATCTCCACCATCATTCTCAAAAGCTAAATGAATCAAATCAGGAATATCAGATGTCAATAATTTCGAAGAATCAGCAGAAGACTTGGGAACAAAATCAAAAGCCTCATCTGCACTGTCAGCAGCGCTTGATTCATTATTTTCCTCTTCAGAGTCAGCAGGTGATGAATACCAACTTCCTTTACCTTGAAACCTTGATAGTTCTTTGGCATCATTTAAGACTGTAAGTTGTTTGAGCAACCAGACAGCAGCAGCATCACCACTTTCAACCCATTCTACACCACTAAAAAGTTCTTGAACCCTTGAAAATGCCTCTATGGGCAATCCACCTTTCTCCTCACCATTTAAAATGGTTGTTGTTGGAACCCTTGGAGGACTTATATTTTCAACCTCCCCAAACAAAACCTAAATTTCAAGCTTTTTCATAATCAGACTAACCAATAACCTCACTAAGGAAAAATCACAACCATTACAACAAGTGGTCAAATCAAAGTTTCAATTTTCTATAATCATACAATACTAAAATTTGAACTCACCTCAGCCCGGAAACCTTTCGGATACCTCTCCTTCGAATCCCAAAGAATGTCTAAGTTTTCAGCGTTCAGCATCAAAATGTTGGACCGAATGAATGCCGTGTTGAACATCACACGAAACATCATCACTTCCCTTTCCGGATCCAAATCCAAATGGACACACTCTAGCACCACATCCCCTTGCACCAAACATTGAATATCAATCTTAATCACATCACAGTCTACCTGAGATTTAAAAAACAAAACACATTCTTGCATCACTAACAGTCACGCAAAGCATAAAACAAACTCAACCAAAACCACAAAAACAAAACAAAAAACCGTGGAACCTGTCGGTAATGCCTCAAACTCTTCTTCTTCTTGTGCATGGAATAAATCGTCTGGGTTGAAAGCCCACCCTTGCTAAGCAAATTCCTCCCAAAAATCCTAAACAAAGGCCTACACCCATTCTGAGAATCAAAAGCAGGAATTCCTCTAAGAATAACACAATCCAAAGACAAAGCTCTCTCAGGTGGGGGCCACTCAGGAGCAATGTTCCTCCTTGCCACATACTGAATATAACGAAGCTGAGAAGGTAAAGGATTCAACGGTGACAACAGCTGCAACAAACCCTTAGGTGCCTCCCTATGAACCATTTCAAGTGTCCTACGTTCACCACTGTGAACCCTTCTGAAAATGAGGAAACCTGCAAGTAGAAAAGCCAAAAGGGGCCAACCCCCTCTTTCACAGTGGAAGAGAATAACGTTGTTGTGATGATTCCCAAGTGAGAGCCAACTCTCACAAACGCGAAGAAAGTGCTGAACCAGAGACAGTGGCAGAATGGGACAACCCTCGTATTGTTTCGGATAATCCATCACGGTAACATCGTACTCGCAGAGAACCTCAGCGAAGTGGCTACGCTTCTCGCCGTCGCGGAAATTGAAGGCGAGGAAGGAAGATTCTGGAAACTCTTCGTGTAGCTCGGTGAGAATTTCGTGTAGGTAGAGTTGGTACATTCCGTCGGGTAATGCTTCGGTGGAGAAGCAAGAATCGAAAACTGCGAAAAGAAAAAAATTGAGGAAATGAAAAGGGTTTGGGAACCAAAAATGGGAATGAAAAGGAGGGGTTTTTACCGTATACTCTGTCGATGAATTCGAGTAAGCCATCTGGGGGTCGCTTGTAGAAGAATCTGCTGAGGAGGGACATGGTTATCGCATGTGGGTCGGTGGAAGGAGAATGGAGCTCAGAAGGTTGAGTTCGTAGCTACGGAGTTGAGAGAGAGAGAGAGAGAGAGGATTTGAAATTTGAAAATGGGATTCTAACTAAACAGAAAGAAAAACTGATTTTGCTGCTGCACCAACCATGAAATTCAACCGAGTTCTACTGTTATCTTACATTTACTTAGTTATGTTTGGTAAGAAACAAAAAGGTATCAAGGGTAAGTTTGAGCATTGCTTTGCATTGTTTCTTGCTAGTCTTCATTTTCCTTTTTTGATGATTTCAGATTTTTGGTTATAATATCTCAACCTAGTTAGCTAATGAATGTTATACTAGATGTCAAATTTTTATGATTCCAATTTCAAAATCAAATTTGGTAAATAATACGAATATGCATTTTATATATTTTTATTTATTATTAGGTTAAAACTTTATTTATAATAAATTTAATTATATTATTATCAGTCATATATGTTTTTATTATTTAACTTTACAGCACTATGCTGCTTTTGAAACACTTAGATTACTTCCTAATATTTAAACAATGTAACTAACATAAACTACAATAATCTGATTCCTAATATTTTGTCAAATTAACAAACTTTTCAAATTGTGTGAATAATTAAAATATATATTTAATCTCTATATTCAATTATAAATTAATCCGTGTATTTAAAATATTTTCATTTTAATCTTTATACAAGTGTTTTATAATATTTTAATCCTTATTACTGTAAAATTAATGATAAAAGTTATTGTTTATTAAATTATATATTTTTTAATAATATTATCATAGCAAAAACTATAATATAACAAAATATATGTATAAATACTAAAGTGTAAGTTATTAAAATAAAAAAATTAATTCATAAATAAATATAAATATCAATTGTGTATTTAAATGTTAATTAATCTATACACAGAGATCAGGCTTATATTACATCAACACTTTTCTCGTCATATATTTGCTCCGAAGACAAAATTACATTGCTGTTTTTTGAACAAATGGACTTCTAATAGCATACTAGAATCCACACTACGTAGCAGTTTCCATCGGAGCATGCAAATCTGATGCGCATCGATCGCCCGATTTCAGCAGGACCACATTTGCTTGCATCACAAATGGTGATAGTGTTGATTAAAAAAAAAAAACGAATAGTGAAAGTGAAAAATAGAGGACAAGAAAATGAGAAGCGCTTAAATTTAATGCACTAAAATTCCAATATTATCACGAATCAACGGGTGGTGCACTTCTGTCCATTTAAATAGAGTTCTAAAAAAATAAGGTGCAGATGAAAATCATATTCGTGCAGGAAGGACAAGAGAAGAGAAATAGAAAAGCAATATAGAGGAAAAAAGAAATTGATTGATAAAAGTAGGGAAAAAAGAAACAATTAGAATTAGAGGAAAGAAAGAATAACGTAAAGAACATATGACGGTTTTTCTTTTGTGTGATTTTGTTTTAAGAGTAATGACCTAAAGAACAATTAGAAATTAAATTAGTTAAAAGATAATAACTAAGATTGATCGAAAGCTCTATTCTTTTATAGTTAAGTAAAAATCATTTTTCGAGTTTTCTCATGTCCATAACTAGTATGAATAAAAAGATTCTCATGTCCACCAACCTGCTTCTGCTTGGTTTTTCTGACTATCTAAAAGAATTCATAAAAGGGCCTCAATCTACAATGTTACACGCTGAAAATTCAATGAGTTATATGGTGTGATATATCACCCGTTTCCATACAACTTGCAACCTCTTTTCATATCAATAAAAAATACAAGAGGCAGCATTTTCTTATCTTTTAAACCAAAACTTACACTAGATTCGATATAATGTAGAACAGCCCTATCTAACCACCAGATCATGATCTGAATTTAACATCATTTAGAAATCTCTAATTTCAATACCAGCTTCTGCTGCAGTGAGGCTATCGTCATTCTCATTCAACAAATAATCACAATATTCCAAAAGCATATCTGCAAGGGGAGGAATTCCCGGATTTCGCCCATCATTATATTTATGGGCATTATAAGTAATCTGCCAGATATCATGCCTGAAATCTTCGCGGCTCTTGTACTCCATATTCCGTACCCTCTCCCTGATTCTGGAAAGATCCATAGGCGTCTCTATAATGTCCAGGTAGTCGGGAGCCTCCTTCTTGGACACTGGTTTCAGGAAAAGGTAAGACAGTTCATACTTCTCTTTCACGATAGTATCCACTATGCTCTCCAAGATATTTGCCAAACCAACCTATAAATGGGAATATTGAAGTCAACATAGAACTAAAGCCAAGCGAAACACACTAGTTAGGCTACACAGACCAAAAAACAATGACTACCACTGCAGCCATACAGATAAGTTGAAAACTATATCTTATTAAAATCATATATCATAATTTTACTAATAAACAATTAACACCACAACTAATGACATCCTTTCTTTCCAGCATTTGCGCAGTCTATTCACTCAAAAAAATGCCACTTTCAAAGCCTCCCAAAAAATTCCCAAAGTAGAGAAAACAGAAAAACAAGACTGCCCAACAACAAAACAAGATCAAGCAGCCTCTGTCAAGGGATGACGGGTATATTCCTTGCAGGAGAGACCTCCATGCATCCACATTGTTGACATCCCAAACCTAAATCATTATGATTTTCATTTGGCCGAATGTAAAGCAACTTTTAGCATAATTTGAACAACTAAAGAAAAAATAGTAGGCTGCCAGAACTTGAATCACAGTTATAGACAAAATCTTGAATTCATAGCAAAAATAATCAAGGAATGAATTTGGTTCCAGAACTGTTTACTTCCCAATCATCACATTTTTGTCACCTTTCCTCAAAATTGCTGGAAAGATGTCAGTACTTTCATAGTTTCATGCCATAAAGGATTGCCAATTTGTTCCAATTTGACATCTATGAAGATAAAGTACATGAATGCAAAACAAGAACTAAATAAAGTAAATAACAAGCATAGAAATATACCTCTCCCCCTCCCCCTCTTCGGCGTTTTGTTGGTGGCATATAATCTGCACTAATCTTTCCTAACTCAACAACAGATCTCCTTTTTCCACTCCGGTCTCTTTCTGGCACTCTCTTATCATATCTTCTGGTTCTGGGGTCATCTAAATACTCATCTCTTAAATCAGGCTTCTTCTTCTTCTTTTTCTTCTTAGCTTTTTGCCGTTCTTCCTCCTCCCTCTCTCTCCTAATATCTTCTTCATATTTTTTTATCTCATCCAACCTTTCTTGCTCTTTGAGCATCCTGATTTCTTCTTTGTGATGCCTCCTTGCTCTGTCTTCTCTTAGTCTCGCTTCATTTCTTCGTTTCTCTTGCTCTTCCCACCACCTTCTATCCTCCTTAGTATTCCATTTCACCAAACCTTCAGTTCCATACATGGTCTCTGGTTTTTTGTGTTTCTCAAAGTTTGACAATTCAACGATTCTTCTAGTTTTTCTGTGTTCAAGCCCTGTGTTTCCACCTGGACTGTCCAATTCCAGATCAACAACCTCTTTTGTACGTTTTATAATAATCTTTTTGTGACTTTGCTCCCTATCTATTTCTGTAGGTGGGCGTATTTTAATAGGGAGCTTATGAGAATCAACCTGACCTCTACCTGAATCAGTAGGAGGCCGTATAACAATAGCATGCTTATGAGATTCAGCCTGCATATCATCTGGTTTCACTTTGTTGGGAATAATTATTTTATTAACCTTGGCAGACTTTGTAGTTTCTGAGTCAGAAGTAACTGGTTTGTCAGAACTCTGCAGGGTTTCTACTGCAGGTTTATCAGAAGATTTCTCTGTGGAGCTGCATTTGAATTTCAGTGGAATTTTTGTTGAATTGTCAGCAGGAGCAACTTTTGTTGCACTTTTCGATACTGACTTTTTGGAGGGGGCTTTATGCTGGGACTGACTAGAGGGATCTACAAAGCTGGATTTTCCAGATGATTTTTCCATATCTGTAGATTCAAGTTGTGCTTCTAGATCTTCACCATATTTTGGACAGTTCTTGTTAGTGCGCATGTGCCCAAGCTGGTTCATCAACAAAATAATTACAATAATAAAATATATCAAAGCATGGAGTGCAAGACTTTAACAGAACTAAAATATCCTTCTAATTTACATTAATTTCTATATCTTTGTTATTAAGTAGAAAATATAGAATTGTTTTGGTTTCTTGAGCATGTTTTATTTTAAAATTACAAAATTTAAAATTTAACTTCATACATGCTAAAGTGATTTTAAAATTATAAAAAAAAGGTTATCAAAAGCATCAAAGCTCAAGCAAAAAGTGTCAACAACTGGTTTTCAAAGGCTAAATAGGCAATAAACTCAAGTACAAACCTGACCACATGCCCCACAAACAAAACTTTCCCTTGATGGCTTTTTCTCCTTAAATACCTGGTTCTGCAGACATAAATCAAAGATACTTTCAGAAGGAGTAAAAATTTAAAACATTATTACAATCTTCCTGAAAGAATGCAAACACAGAGAGATCAACTTAAAAAATATTAGCACATCCTCAAAACACAATAAAGTATTGCTATCTGAAAAAGCATCTAGAAGACTATTTTGATGTATTTGGTTCTGTTCAAGCAAATTACTGATAAAAATCATAAAATAGACCAAAAAATTTATCACCAGCGTCTTATAAAAAGTTTCAGACAAGAATGTTATCATGTAATGGAAGGAAATGCAGTTACAACGTTATAAATTGTGGATTTGAACTTCATAGTCAAATTCCCCTTATCAGTCGCCAAAGGTTGATCCAAGTTTATCAAGATCAAAATCTTGTGTACTTATGGGAGGGAAAGCTTGCCATGTAGAACTACAATTAACATTTAACTAAACTCCAATTGAAAATACATGGAACATTCACCACTCAAATTAATGTTACAATTCATAATATAAAAGAGATAAAAAGTTTTTTTGTAACACACAATACTAAAAGACAAAACAATAGGCCAGCGAAAAACAGTCAAAACTTATCTCTCTCTTTATCAACAACCATGCTATTATACAAAAAAAAATTCAGACATATATGATATACTATTTCTTTTTACATAAATTCAACCATTGGAAAAGGTTTTTCCTATCCTGGGCAAGAGAGTCATGAAACACTAAAATTGATGACTTACCTTAATTCCTTCTCCCATATTTAATTTGATTTTTTTATTGGGAAGACTGATAGGTGTAATGTCATTCTTCTTGGCTTTATTGACCTTCAGTGATTTGCTTTTTTTCACAGGAAAGTTTTCCTCCTGCCAAAAAATAATGTAATAAATCAATTAGGCCTCGTTGGTAGGTAATTAATTGTTTGGATGACTATTATGATCTGATCTTCACATAAATTGTGAAATAAGTGTATTAAACAAAATGAGGCACATGACAGGATAATGTGAATAAACTAATTATTTTTCATCTTACCTCCCTAAAATCTGTGACTGCATCCCCTTTTAAATGATTAGTTCCGTCCAGTTGTAAAGTATTTGCTATTTGCTTCACTTGCTCAGCATTGTCAAAGGCATATTTTGATTGCAGCTTCGGTACCAATCTTGTTTCTTCTACTATAACTCTAGCTTTCTTCCTTTTCTTCCTGTCAGCTTCGTCATCTGGATTATTGCCAAAAAAAAATAGAGGTCAAATATAACAAATAGCAGCTTTGAGTCAAATTTCAAAATATTGATCCAATAAACAATTGCTAGTCATTGCACTAGAACACACTAACAAGATCAGTGTTCCCACGTTCAGTACTAATAAAGGTCTGGAAATAATACTCCAATGATCAGAGAGATATCATACCATCCATAAGCAACCTGCATAATTCAGCTGCCTCAGCAGCTTCATCTTCTATTTCCTCCTCTGCCTGAGCCAAAGTTGGGCGTCTTCTCATTTTAAGACCCTTAACACCATCTCCCTTATCACGTTTTAAGTCATTGGTACCCTCGTCACCCTCTTCACACTCCTCAGCATCAAGTAAATTTTCCAGATCTCCAGCAAAAGAATCTAGATCACTATTCCCCTCTGAATCACTCTCATTTTCATCACCATTAACAGCTGACAGACTCTGCACTTGTCGATCCCAAATCTCCTGGCATTTCTCTCTGGTCTGCTGTTGTAACTGAAGAAAGGACATTCGCTGGCCACGAGCATATTTACTGATAGTTGTTGGATCAACCTTAACCCCAGATGCAGCTTGCTCACTAGAAAGTTTCCGTATCATAGCAATGCGATGCCATCTGGTTTGTTTTGCGATGACCTCCTCAGGAACATTGAACTTAAGAAGAACCTGGATAAGAGCACAATTGAGATTAAAAACAGGAATCCCTATGTATTAAATATGCTACACTGTTGCATCTTTATACTTGCAGCAGGAGTTAACTCAACACTAAGAAAACAAACTCAACCAAGATCAGTTTTCTTTTCTTGGGTTCATATATATGAAAAATTAATTTGCTACTTAACCAATTAATTATGTGAGAGAAAACAAACCAAACAAACTAGTGTTTGGAATAAAATCTGGACAAAAGGAAAAATACTGAAAATAGATATAAAAGAGAACACCAATACGCAACATAGTCATGTTTCTCAGAATCAATTACACTTATCAAATGTGGGTCTGAATACAATAAAAAAGATAGGAGAATGAAAGGTAACCAAAAGGTGCTTGTGAAAAACTTGCTTATTCATGTTCAAGTAAATGAATTACTAGACTAAGGCATCAATGAATAACCACTGCTTTTTTCAGACACCATTATTGATTTCATTAAAGATGAAAATTGAAAACATTTTTCTGCACTAACTTTTATTTCTCAAGCGCAGCATGAAAATTGTTTCATTCCAAGATTCTCTACTAATCTCAGCTTTATTATTAACAACATAATCAACAAGTACAAAATGAAAGGAGAAATTTCACCTGCCAAAATGATTTTATTTTTTTTTTAACATTAAACTCTATGGTTTACACAACTACTACACACACTTCACAGCAGATAACCAAAATACCACACACCTCTCGTGCAGCCTCCATGCTTAATCTACGTAGATCAGCATCTGTACCAGTAACAGTGGAACCTCCACGGCCAGCAGCTGCTTTCTTCTTCACCATTGCACTAGACACTGGTGCCTTGGGAGGTGCCCGAGCATAGCTAAAACCCAAGCCTCGTCCAGATGGATCACCAACACCAGTAATTTCCATTCGTTCAATATTTTCCTTACCCTAACCAAAAAAATACAGTAGAGAAGATAGAAATTATCATGATGTCAATCACTAGAACAAAAAATAACAAACTTTTTCATGGCATCGTAGCAAATTTTCTTTGAACTGAAGATGTTATAAAAGTCCCAATCTTTTGAAAATATAATTCTTATTTCAAAACACAAACAAAACATAGAATAATGAACTGCCAATTAATTCTATCAACACACAGAAGAAAATAATCACTAAACAATTTTAAACAGATGCAAGAATTCCTTTGCTGCATGTTTCTAAATCTAAATTCAATTATAAAATCTATTTTCATTTACATTCAAATTTTATTGGATTCGTATGACTCTCAAAGGGAAGATTGCAGTAATTCTAGGCAACTCGGGAATGCAGAAGTAATATCTTTAAATTATGCATAGTTAAATAAACAAAGCCATCTTATAAACATGACATACCAGAAGAGGTCAACTTTATAACACACTGCTTTAGACTCACTTTTCAAGTTGCAAATTATAAAAAAGTTCAACAAGGAAAATATAATAGAAAGTTTTATTAGAAGACGTAAAATGCACCAACTCTCATGATATTTCAGGCATTCCAATGTGATTTTCAAAAAATAAAAACAATAAAAAACTTAATATTAATTGATTCCTTAAACAATATCCTTAATACACTAGTTAGCACTTAGCAAGACCCACAAGTAAAAAGGATAAAATTCTACTTTTATGGGATGTGGAAAGAGAGGGAAAAGTAAAATGTTTATCCTCTTGCTATTTTATTAGGCTTGACAGCACTTTCAGTTTTTTTAGTTTGAATTGTGTGCAATTTTGGTCTCTTGACTTTTTTTTTACTCAATTGTGTTTGTTTTACCAAAATTGATCCAGCCTTTAATTTTGTTCTACCTAAAATTTTTTTTGTTACTTATGATAAATTTGAGACATGAAATCTATAAAAAAACTTGAGTTTAATTCACTCTCAAAAGTTTAGCTTATAGGAGAACTACCCAAACCCTTATAAGGAATATTTTGACTCTACTCCTTACCAATATGGGACATCTTAATACACACCTTTCACGCACAAGATTGGACATCTAGTGCATGAAGTTTGCAAAATTGGACATTCGTAGGCAGTCCAGCATTCAAACTAGATAAGCTCTTATACCATATTAATAAATTTGGATTTAACTCACTCCCAAAAGCTGGTCCTTAAGAAGAGGACTATCCAAGCTTTTATAAGGAGTATTATGTCTCTATTTCTAGCCAATGTGAGACATCTTAACAAAATCATTTCAAGAGTTTAAAAGTAACATTTAGTGAAAATATAATAAAATTTGAAGAGTTTTTTAAGATCTGAGACGACAGTTTGAAGGAGGGGGGCTTTGAGATGTTTTGATTTTGGGTGAAATTTAATGCTTTGGTTAGTGCATTTCAATAGAAGGTTTAAAACAATTTAGGTTGTGTTTGTTTTATGTTACAAAGTTTCCACATTTTCCAAGGTTAAAACACTTTGTTAAACACATTTCTTTACAACATTTTTTTTCTACTTTATGGAAACAGGTTTTGATAGTTCACACAAATGAGCCCTTAAATCAATTCAACTCATCAAGATTTTGAGTAAAAATTAAGAATTTGAATATTTTAAGTAAAATAAAATCAACAGCAACACCGTATTTGCTCAATTTTAAAAAAGAAATTGATTTATTTAATTGGCTAAAGAAAACTTAATTCCAAAATTACACCCAGTTCAAAGTTCAAACCAAAGGAACCAAAAGTGAAATTAAGTGGTATACATATTCTTTGCTTATTAAAAAAATAAAAAAGAAAAGATGTTAGAGGACACATGACCCTCAAGCCTGGGTCAAAATTTAGAGAGAGAAAAAATAGCAAATTTTCAAGCTTCAAATATTTGTATAAAATTTAAAACAAATAAAGTAAATGTATGACTGTGAAGGACCTATAGATACAAGTCAGCAAATCATTCAGAGTAATCATTATGTACATATGACTAGAATACCTAAAATAAGATCAACCTATAGTAGTCAGAGCATCCTCCATCTTCTACAGTCAATTATTCTATTCTTTTTTCTTTATTTTCCTATCCTCTTTTCTTTTTACATTTTAAACCCTTTTTCACTTCTACCTTCAAAAAAAATCTAATTGACATGCATTAACAAATTTTCAATACACAAGCAGGATAGATGCCAACACTAAATAAACTCAAAATCAGATTGAACATAGATCACCTGGCTTGTACAAGCAACAAAGTTGCTACTCAAGTTCCAAGGAGTAATTTGCAGTTCCCTCTCAATATGTGATGCAGCAGCCAGTGCTATTGCCTCATCTGGAAGCCGACTCATTGCAGATGAAATACTAGTAGGATGTGTTTCAGTTATTCCTAAATGTTTCAGACGGTATAGGCCAGCTTGCATGCTTTCATAGGCACAAACCTTAAAAAATAAAACAAACAAGACAAAGCAGGAGCCATCTCAAATGAAGTAATGATAGATACATCTTATAACAAAGAAACAACAAAGTATAAGTACCCAGTAGCATATATATTATATAATAAAATATGATTGTGAATTTCTAGACCCTGAAATTTAAAAATAAAAAAAAAATAATACATGGAAAACATTCACAAGCAAATTGAGTGTCTAACAAAAATGCATTATTCTTTTTGAAAACCTTGCTTTTATCCCAAAAGCATGGTATATCAGGTATGCACCAAAACAAACTCTAAGAATCTTGCAGTTGAAGGCATAATTTTAACAATGCAATTTCCAATCTTCCTTCCATAGCATGTTTTAAAGATGATTTTCCCTTTTACTGTTAATAGTTCATTTTACAGAAAGAGGTGTTTTAATGCATCAACTAAAAAACTGAATGTCATATGATATAACTCACAAGCTCTGGTGTCACCATTTTCCTCAATTCATCCTCTGACCACATGCGAAAATTTCTCTTTTTAACCAAAAGAGACTGTCCATTTGTTCCCCTCTGCAGTAATACATATTGAATAAAACATTCAGGTACACAGAAAACATAATCAGAATCAAAAATAGGATTGTAATAGATAAATTACTTAAAGTCCAACATAAAATCATCTTCTAGAAATATTAATTTTTCTCTTTCTCAAAAATACGACAGCATGTTTGGTTTGAGAAAATATTTTGTTTTCACTTCCTGTTTTTAACAAATAATTTCAAAACTAACACCTTGTTTTTACAGTGCTCCTTGTTATCAAAGATTTGTATAGGAAACAATCAAATAATTTTTTTTGTTGCTTTTATTGAATCCTATACAAACCATCGAACAGTAAAAAAAAGAATGGCATTTTTTTAGTATTTTATACAAACATGAAATGAAAATAGAAGATGCTTTCTTAAACTAAACAAGCCCGAAGGGATTCTATTAGCATCCATTTCTTATACATCACTTCGAAACAAGCACTGTGACCTACAATTTACCTGTAAATTGGCATATTCCTTGATTTTCTTTCGGAATGATGCTTCTGATAGGTAAGGAAACTGTGACAGAAATTCATCAATACGGATATATGGAGGTAAGTGTCGCTTCTCTGCTGCTTGGAATTCACGACACATGTGCACCAATAGCCTGTTCATCATGTAAGTCTGAAGATTCTTACTTCCAGGGGCTAATACCTCCATGAGAGGCTCCTGCAAGGAGTAATTAGAAACCCATTAGCACGTGACAGTTACATATTGTACCTTTTATGTCATTAACAAATTTCCAGTGATGTAGCTTTGGTTGGCAAATTGCAGTATCAAACAAGGAAAAACTAATAAAGAGATAAACAACACATTTATGACTGCTCAAAACATCCCACCTATTAATATTTTACCAAACAATAACTCAAAGACTTAAAAGAAGTAAAGAACTCCTTTACTTTACCATTAACTGGGATTCAAAGAATTAAAAGAAGACAATTAACTCTAAGAAAAAAAATACTTAGAAAGACTATGCATACCTGCTGTCCGACAACATTAATTTTATCAATGCGCCTTAATGATAGCTTTCCCTTTGAAGAACGAACAAGCAGGTAGTCAGTTAAAGGAACTTTATGAGGAAATATGGGTGCTCTATACATATTTGTCTCAAGTGATGACTGGCTGCAACCAGGTTTTAAATCTCCAAGAAAAGGAGATTTATCAGCAGGATCCAGAGAAATGATATGGCCCAAGTTACCATCTGTATTGCGTAATAACGAGCCAGATTGGTCATCTGGTGAACATTTTTGATAGTATGTACAAAGTCTTGAACCCATTCCAACATTGCTCAAAAGTAAAGGCCTTTCTTCACAATACCTACAATGAGAACATATTCAATATGCTTCCTAATGCAGTATCCATTATCTACAATCCTCATTCATTTAGTAAAGTACAAAAGAAAAACAAAGTAACAAGAGTATCACCATTTCAGACAAAAAATTATTAACAAATATCAAAATTGAGGCAGTGCAGTGCGGAAAAACATTGCTCTTGAATTGGATACATTAGATTTGGAGCCATGAGAACATGCTCACTGTATATTCTATACAGAAAAAATACATAACTCAATGCTCGGAATAATTTGTTTTGAGATGAGGATTAACCATTACACAGCACCATCTCAGTATTACTTAAATTTTGATGAAAGCTGAAAAAATAAACATACGTAATTACATATTACTGCAAGCAGAATAACAAGTTGGAAAGCCGATTAGTAAAAACAGATACTTTCAACATGTAGTCACACAAACTAAAAGTTCCAAAACTTCAACACAAAATCCATAGTTCCATAAGTCAATCAGGCGATTGTTATAGGATGGGAGTAGATGTTTGCTTCAAGACAAGTGACGGGAGCCAAACATGGAAACAAACAAATCACTGGACAAAAAAGACATGAATTGAGCATCAGGAATATCTGCACAAAATCAAGCAAGTAGGTTCAATTAACAGGCATGGAAAAGTTTTTCTGGCTAATTGATTAAGGAGGTTCTAAGATAGGAAGGATGATATTGCATATTAATCAAAAGAGAACACAGTATGGCATTGTATCTCTGAAAATAGTAACATAAATTGTCACTTCTATCTTCAAAATGAATCTATGTCATTGTATCATCTTCCTCCTTCAAAACTTCACCCCCACCGAAAAGCATGCACACACCAAAGAGGAGAGAGAAATTTGGAAAAACCTTACGAATATCAAAAACAGAGAGGAAAGAAGCCAGAAAATAGCTACTTGACCATGAAAGTATCTAAAACAGTAAAAGCAATCAATACCTCAGTCACCCATTTCTACATAAGTTGATCGACAGAGCTTATATTGCTCCTCTCAAGTAATATGTTTTCCGTTCAAGATTACTTTGAATGAGTTTACATTATACAGACATTTGATATATTTATTGGGTCTTTTTACACTTTATTTCCTCTTTGTCTGCTTTTGTTTGTTTGTTTTGGAGCCCCATTTTTGTACTTCCTCTATTTTCTTGAAAAAAATTGATAGGAGTCAGGGTCCTAACCCTAATATCTTTGTAAGTACTAACTTAGACAAGGCCAAACCTTGGCTGGTGTACTCTAGAAGAAAGAGGACAGTTAATAATGTTAATTAGCAGTTAGCAGTTAACAGTAACAGCTAGGAGTTAGTTTTCTGTTTTAAGGCCCGTTATAAATAATAGCTGGGAGAATAGTGAGGGGTCTTTTTTGAAAAGTAGTTTCTGAAATTAGGCAGAGAAAATTCTCTGAGGAGCTTTGCTCTGGGAAAAACAGAATTGTATACACAATATCCAGCAATTCAATAAAGAATTCATAAAGATTGTCTCTCTCTATCCTCTTTTTCTGGTGAACACAACATTGGTCCGACCTCCGGATCCTTGGGGGAGAAACAGAAAGGTGTGCTCCAGCCAGAAATTTCAAGATGACGAAGCGTGGTGTAAATAAAGGTCAGCACAGTGATGCTGTTGAGGAAAGAATGAATTCCTTGGAGGAAAGATTGGATGTATTTATGGAAAAGCTGACTGGGAGGTTGGGAGGTCTTGAAGATTTGGTTCAGAACTTCATTGCCAAACATGATAACTCATTGGGACAGAATCTGGGACAAGGTAATTCAGGTGCTGAAGAACAGGAAACATCGCATAATGCGGACGCTGATGCGTTAACTGAGTTCGTTTGATGGCAAAGAAAGTGGAACTGCCGTCATTCAATGGGACTGATCCAAGGGGATGGATCACGAGGGCTGAAACATATTTTGAAGTTCAAGGAATATCGGTCTCCAACAAGATTAAACTCGCAAGATTAAGCATGGAGGAACGATCTACTGGTTTCAAACTTGGCTTGATTCTGAGACTGTTCCTAGCTGGGAATCTTTCAAGAATGCGCTGCGATTACGTTTTGGAGGGGGCCGTTTGGAGGATCCTTTCGAAGAGCTTGCTGACCTAAATCAGAAAGGGGCTATGGAAGAGTACATTGAAGAATTTGAATTTCTTGCTGCCCAAGTGGGACGTTTGCCGGAGAATCAGTTTGTGGCATTTTTCATGAAAGGACTGAAGGAGCAAATCAGGTTGCGGGTCCGTACACTTCAGCCCAAGGATCGTTTGGATGCTGTTCGAATGGCTAGGTGTGTGGAGGCAGAAGTTGTTGGGTCTGTGGATAGCTCAAATGTGCGTAGCAGATTATGGGGTAATAGAGCTCTTTCTCGAGGATTCAGGGGTAATCTAGGGCGTTCACAATGTGACAATGCTCAAGCGCAGGCTGAGACAAAGTCTAAGTCCAATTTTGGAAGTGATAATTCTTCATCTTTCGCAGAAAGGGGACCAGTAGCCTCAGTGGGTTCTTCCACCTCTGTCAATCAAAGGCCTGTCCATTCCACATACAAGGATAGGGGAGTCAGAGACTTGTCTAATAGGGAGATTCAGGAAAGGAGAAATAAGGGCTTATGTTTTAGATGTGGAGAGAAGTTCCATCCTCTTCATGTTTGTGCAGATCGACAAGATAGGCAATTAAGATTGGTAATTCTGGGGGAGGATGAAGGAATTAGTGAGTCAGGAGAGATTGTAAGATTGGAAGTGGTATTTGATGGGTTTGAAGAGGAATTGGGAAGATGAAACTGTGCTGCTGAGCCAATTTCCTCACTTCAGACTTGAGGCCAAGTCTGCTCTTCTAGAAGGGGAGAATGATAGGAGTCAGGGTCCTAACCCTAATATCTTTGTAAATACTAACTTAAACAAGGCCAAACCTTGGCTGGTGTACTCTAGAAGAAAGAGGACAGTTAATAATGTTAGTTAGCAGTTAGCAGTTAACAGTAACAGCTAGGAGTTAGTTTTCTGTTTTAAGGCCCGTTATAAATAATAGCTGGGAGAATAGTGAGGGGTCTTTTTTGAAAAATAGTTTCTGAAATTAGGCAGAGAAAATTCTCTGAGGAGCTTTGCTCTGGGAAAAACAGAATTGTATACACAATATCCAGCAATTCAATAAAGAATTCATAAAGATTGTCTCTCTCTATCCTCTTTTTCTGGTGAACACAACAAAAATTCTTTTATCTTAGTTAAGATTCTTATAAACAAAAATCAGACAGAAAATAGTTTGTTCCCTGTATACAAGACACGGGAAAGAAAAAACCAGATCATACATTATGCACATTAACATAACCTGGAAGGAAAATGATGGGACAGTCCCCATAAGAATAATTTGAAGACAATTTTCGCAGCATGAATGCTGAGAACATGCTGAAAAAAATAGTGCTAAAAGCAAAACACAGACAAGAAACTTAGTACATGGAATGCAAAGTAGTACAGTGTACATGCTAGCAAAATAAGAAAATGTAGTGCAGCAAACATAGTAGCACGATTAAGTCACTTACTCCATCAGAAAAACATGTCCATCTTTTACAGACAGATCAGACTTTTTCTTGAATGCACCTGGAGGACGCAAGGACTTGTTCTCACCAGGAACCCTTTGTGCCTTTGGCCACAAATTTATCTTTGTACGAACAAGATGTAACAAGGAGTTTGGTTGAACATTTTGTGCAGCAAGTGATTGGTGATCTTCAAGCTCCCTCCCTAAATAAAAAATCTTTACTGTTTCTGATGCCTTAAAATCTACCAAAAAACAAAAATCCCTGGTCAGTCATATAAAGAAACGAAGAAAGTCTGTTGAAGACTAGAATAAGACCCAAAGAAAAATAAAATATAAGGGAACAAAATGAAACTTGCAGCTTAGTTATGATTCTAATATGCTTTATTACAGAAATAAGAAATTTTATAAGAGAAGGAAAAAAAAAAAAACAAAATTGACAACCTAGCTTTTTGGAAGCTTTTACTTTAACAGAAGAGAGAGTTTCTTCAGCATCAACATGCAGTTTACTCCCCTTGCCACCCAAGCTCTTTATAATAACTTTCATGGGTCCTTGTGTTGGCAATTTCCCTTGCTCTTTGACAGCCACCTCATTGTCATGGGGATACCATAATGCTTTAGGCCGGTGAAAATTTGCAATATCTTTACTGCAAAAGAGTTACTATGATTATTGATAAAGACAGAAAAAATCTATAATGTACATATAGATTGTAGACAATACATATTAAAGGACCACAAAAAATAAAGAACTGGTATGGTCCACTCACACACAAATCACATAAGTTTTGCAAGAACTAGGCCAACATTATTATAGTTAATAAATAGATCAAAGAATGGTCTGGTGTAATGGTGTCTGATTATGGACTAGCCATGGAATGTCAGATATTAAAAGTTACGAAGCCTTCATTACAGTTCACAAGGTTAACATGAAACAGATGTTAAATTACAACCATGAAACAAAAACTGGCTGCAATATCAAAAGTAGCAACACCAACGACATAGACATTGGTAGAACACCCAAGTGATCCCATAATAACTAGTTTGGGGTCAAAAAGACACCCTTAACTCATTAGTAATATACAACAACCACCAATCCATATCCCACTAAATAAAGTCGGCTACATAAATCACACAACATCATTAAACTCAGTCAAAAATCAAATTCTCTAAAATATTAGTAATACATGCACTATTATTAACAACACATTTACTTTATTTTCTTTCCATGTACTTGTAACAACCCTGTTATTTTAATTTTAATCTTTCAGATGTGTGGAGACTAATTATTTATTAAAACATTAATGTACCGACAAAAGTTCACTCACATTGAGGCAAGTGAATGAATACAATTTTCCAAAAGAATCAGACTCATAAAAAACTATAGACTCAATATTATATTCTTCAAGAATAGTGCAAATAAGCCAAGTAAAATAGAAAGCCCAAGAAATTAGGTTGGAGATTGAGAGCCAACGTACTGGGTATCAAGTACCCACACAAACATCAAACAAGCTTCCATGTGCTAGTTAACTATAACTTCATTTCAAAATAAATAATATTCTAAGCACAAATAAACAGGGTAAGACACACTACAAATCAAAAACGATGCTACCAAAGACAAAACCCTGCACTGCAGCCAAATAAATAAATATGTTCTTACTTGCTCAACTTCAATTTCATCGTCTGCAGCTTCAGTGCAGGTTGGGAGTGAAAAACTTTGACACCATGAGCTGAGCGTTTTTTGGAATTTGATTTAAGTTGCTGAGAAGTTTTACGGTTAGAATAGTGTTTGTCATTAGCAACGTATCGCCATCCATATTGACTTCCATGTCCCGGTAGCTCAGAAGAGTCTCCACCACTCGATTTTAAAGAACGAGTTAAAATCATAGCCCCAGCATGGAGGCGAAGATGTGTACCATCCTTGCTCTCTAAAACTTCAAAGTGCATTTGATCATCCTGAAGATCAAAGATAAGCTTTTGTTTCACTGTAGCCCGATCAAGATCCTCCCATATTATATTGTCTAACCAGGATCCCTCCATCATGTCTCTGTTTTGTGATATAACCTTGGTAAATCGCTTTATTTGACCATTTTGAGTATGCTTCTCAGATATATCTGCCCCTTTTCCATCTACAAGATTAGCAGCATCCACTTCAAATCTGGATTCTAGCCTCAATAGTTGGGGATGAAATAGACTTCTGGACATTGAATTGGTTTTAGCTCCAGAAGAATGCCTTGAGCCAAAGGGCTCCAATGAGACAGGGGAACTGCATTTGAAGACAATATGATCATTCTCCTCCAGCATCTCCTGTGGCTCTATGTGAAGATTCTGGATCCCACTTTCAATTTCTATTTCACTTCCACCGGATGCTCCCAACTCAGGTCCAGAAATTTCACAGCTTTCAACATTACTACGACTTTGAACAGGAGAATTGCCCCAGAGGATTTCATCTTCCCAGTCTCGCTGATCAAGGGGATAAAAATTGGCCCACATAAAAGGATGGTCTTTCCCAGAAATATCTTCTGTCAAATCCCCTTTCATTGGTTCAGCACAAAGACAAGAGTCCTTTGGTTGTCGATCATCTTTCCCAGCCATTGAAGCATCCCCATGAAGAAATCCAAATTTTGGAAATTCCAAGTCAACATCATCAATTTCTGATACATCATTATGGACTACACAAACATGTTTAGTAAGTGAGAGACTATGAGAGAAGCCCTTGAGGAAGTCCTCTTCATCCTCTTCTACGATATCATCAGTTAAATCCAAAGACTGGTATCTATCTGGAAACACAAGAAAAAAAAAACAGCCAATTAGGACAGAAGCCACAATAACAAGCACTACAGAAAGATAGCATATCATTTTGCCATTCAAATCTCAACACTGATGGTTCTAAATTTCATTAAAATAGAGTAGAAAATGTGACAACTATTTAAGTTTTTCCAACCATATCACTCCCAGAAGATTTAGTGTGTTTGGATAAGCTGAAAAAGTAGATTATTTCAAAAATAAATTATATTTACAATCAATTATTGTGAAAATTGTATGATATAAGTTTTGTGTTTGGAAATGTTACATGAAAAGTGATTTTTAAATAATCTGTTGTGTTTGGATTGTATGAAATAATCATCATTTTTAAGGTGAAATTACAAAAAATATATAAGAAGTTATGTTTAATAGTTAGTGTTATATTTAAAATAATCAATTATAAAGAATAAAATGGGAAAATAAAAGCTAACTAGAAAATAAGCTGATAGATTTTAATCATAAGATCTGAAAATTATTATTCTAAATAAGTTGTTTCCTTTATAAAAAAAAATCAAAGATTATATGCTGATTTTCCAAAAATTACCAAACAAAAGTGAATATTACTTTTTAAAGTTTTTTTCATATAATCTACAAAAATAATCTTATCCAAACACACACTAAACAGACTCTGACGCATGAAAAAGAATTTCAGGTAAACATTCCCTATCTTTGAGTATTACCTCTAGGAATGGGATGCCGATGCTCTCTCTTTTCTCCTTTTCTGAGAGGTTCGTGAATGCCAAAGATTTCAGAGAAGCGTAAAATTGTCATACCATCTTCCACACATAATACGGGCAATGGCATAGACATGGACCTTTTCTGAACTTCAGACCCTTCCTGTTCGTTTCATCAATTAAGACATTAACATGTCAATAGAAAGTCAATCATGGTAATTTTATAATCCTGTCAACAAAAATTATCATCAATGTTAGAGAAAGATGTTAGTGTGTGTATCTAATTGGACTGGGCTTGCACCAGTGCACTACACTCATAATACACCTAAACCTACAATCACAAGTACGAACACAAACATGGAGCCAAGGTAATCAAGTTAATGCACCTCAACATACAGAAATCCTTTTACTCTTTCCATTCCCCAGGTCCATTTATAGCATTTTACAATCATTTCAGGACCAAACTGAAACAGCACCCTAATATGTGTGGACATAAGGATCAATGACACCATAATGTCCCCAACAGCATTTTTTAGCTAAAATTTGTCTGTTTGGATTGAATTATTTTGTGCTCAAGAATTTATTATTAAACTGTACTTGCAGACTTTTTTTTTTTTTGGGGGGGGGGGGGGTCTTCTGGGGAGCTACGTTTCCCTAATACTAAAATCAAAACCAAAAATGCACTTGCTTCAATTATGAAGAATGAGAGGGTCATAGGGTGACATTGGCAAGGATTGAACTCCTTCACACATGGTCATAGGGGCTCAAGCCACTCACCTACAAGTTTATTTGATTGCCATTCACATCAACGTAGAGTGAATACTATTGATGCTAATGTAGCATATATTACTAACAACTCAGGCAGCTTTATTTTAATATTACTTATTACATAAGAGTTATGACTTGTATTTTCTCATTGTACAAGTTTTACCTTAGATGGCTAGGAGTAGACTCATTCTAATGATTTCCTTTCTCTTAATTAGGATTTCATCAATATAAAGGAATTTGAAATATGTATCAGGATTCAGTGCCAATCAGCTTCTCAATAACAGAAACTGTTCTTATATTTACCTTGCTGATTAAACAGAATATCAGCCCTCCTTTAGCAAGTTTACATAATATTAACTAGATCCATCAATTTTTCTACCTGAAGTGTAGCATTCATTTATAATATTGTCTGCAAGACTACGAGTAATCTAACATGTATTTGTTATACAACTTGAAGATCATATATGGCTGCTGATTCAAACCAGTATTTATATTCATGTAATCAACAGAAAAGTACAAAAATATAATTGACGAGAATTGTTAGAATAGATGAAAAATATCCAACAACATATTAGATTGTATCTTAGTACCAGTTTCCTTATGATTTAAAATTTCATGATTTATTTCCTTTTTTAGTTGGGATTATGATCCAGTATTAGAATAAATAAGGGTTAGTGCTTTATATTTTGTATCATATCAAATAAAATCAAATATCAATCTGAGTGTGTTCAGTTTCTTTTTTCCTTTTCCTCCTCTACCTAAAATCCTATAATTTCAACATCAAAAGGATAACAAGGAAAAAAACAAGCATTTCAGACATAGCAAAAAAGAACCTGACCTCCTCAAGTTTTTGCACATCACTGTCCAATTCTTCAGTCTGCAGTGAGCCAACTTGTAGTTCTTGTTCAAGAGCACTCTCTTCTTTAGATGCATCTACAAAACTCTCTTCCTGCTCCCCTGAAAGAAAAAGGCTAACAAATGTGAACTGCAAGACTCCAATACGAAATTAAGTTCACCTACCATTTGTTAAGGAAAACCAAGGATTTTAATTTTTCTTCCCTAAGATTCCAGTTGTCAAATTGAGGAGCTGGGCCAAATACAATGTTTTAAAGCTTGCTCAAACACAAAGCTATTATTGTTAATGTTTAAGTCCCACATTGATTATAGATATAACTAAATAAGAGATTATAAAGGCTAAAGCAATCCTTCCCTTACAAGCTAGCTTTTGAAGTTGAATTAAGCTTAAAGCTCAAATTCAATAGCTAAGATCCAACATGGGTTAGGAGACTAAGTATATAGCCAAAGCTCTCTTCATTAGACCCATTGGGCAATCCTTGAGGATTGAATTAGGTCTAGTCCAATCTCAATTTTAATATGGTTTTGATGCTGAGCCTAAGCCACCCAAATGTTTCAAATGTTAAGTACAGGGCTTGAAATGGGCATGTTAAGATCCCATATTGACTAGTTATACTGTATATAATCAGAATACCCCATATAAGGTTTTGGGTAATCTTCTCCCTTTGAACTAGCTTTATGGCTGAGTTAGGGATTCAAGCTGATTATAAGTTTGAAATTCAGGTCCAAGTTTGGCTCAATATAATACCAAATCAAACAAATAGTTAGTGTGAGGTCATTTAAATTTACTATAATAACAATCTATAATATAATCTACCAACTATTTCTCAGCCAATCAGCTCACAAGACAATGAGCCAAATACAATTCAAACTTTGGATCAATTAAGAATTGAGCCTCACATACAAACTTGAATTCAAAGTAATCAAGCTTTTATCAATTCAAACCTATGAAGCCTGTACAATACTTGGATTCAAATCCACCGTCCATAACTAGGATTTTAAATTTTTTATATGTATTTTAAGCACAGTGCAAATCAAAGTCTCAAAGGACAGTTGTTCAAGTATCTTTAAGGTGTAAATAAGGAAACCCACAAAAATAAAAATATTCAAAACATCATCATGCAGCATTGGTAATAGATGTTCATGTTCCCAGCCTATATCTGAGCAAGGCAGCAAATAAAATAACAGAGCTGGATTACAAGGACCAACTTTCTTGCACTTTTATTAGGACTGAAACCAACATAACACATAAATCCATATCTTCAGTTAAAAGCATGCAGATTACAACAGCAATAACAAAATGGTGCAATTCATGCAAAAATAAATATTACCAGCTAAAGATATGTTATCACCTTTAGAATCATCATTCACTATGTCTTGTTCCTTTTCAGATTCTTCATCATAATTTTCATCATCAAAGACAGAAGTTTTGGACTCCAAAACTTCAACAGCAACTTCAGTGGAGAAAAACTCCTTTTTTGGCAATAAATGGTCCTCTTCATTGGCAGCTTCTGTCTCTGGACCATCATATTCTTCATCAATATCTTCATAATCAACTGCATCCTCAGCTTTTTCATCACAGTCTAAGATTTAAAGAATCCCAGTTAGTAAACTAAAGAGCAGACTTCACCAAAAAAAAAAAAGAACCACACAAGAAGCAAAAAATGTACATAAGTGGTTTCAACAGAGATTTCATTGATTCGTAAAGGAGGATTCATGAAAACTGTTAAGAAACTTAATGCTGAGTTTCATACTAGATTAATTTTTCAGCTAATTAAGAAAGCCAACACATGATCCCAAATACACACACACACATATATTTATTTATTTATTGTCCAGTTGTCACATGCGACAATAGACACAAGAAGTACTTAACATTAAATTCAAAGAATAGACTATATAAACTAGCTCATTAACTTGGAAGGGGGGGAAAAGAGAAGGCTCATTTCGCTCTTCTGCTTTACTTCATTAAATTCAAACTCTTTTACAGACAACAAATGCCTTTGAGGTCCATTATCTTTGTCAAATGACATTTCCAAGACAGAAGGAATGTTAGAGTAGAAGGATAAGGAATCTTCTAACAAAGCTTTACTTCATTAAATTCAAACTCTTTTACAGACAACAAAATGCCTTTGAGGTCCATTATCTTTGTCAAATGAAATTTCCAAGACAGAAGGAATGTTAGAGTTGAGGGATAAGGAATCTTCCCAATAGAAAATTACAACAACAAAATAATTAAACATCACTAGCAGATGCCACCCACTATAAAATCCAGACACACAAAATCCATGGAAATTATCCTGACCAAAATAAAATTCACTAGCAGAAGCAACTCACTATAAATATCTTGCATGTATCAACTGCACAAAACCTTAACCTCCTTCAATTAATCAAAATCCCAAAAAGAGTCGAATGAAGTTTTTATAAATAAATTTCGTTTAGACTAAAATGAACTTCACCTAAGAAATGAAATTCATTTTGGTGCAAACAGAATCCAGGAGCACCTACCACTAATCCAAGATTTTAGGAGCCAACAAATAGCCATGTGACACTACATGCCTGCTAATGAATGACTATTATCCATGCATGTACTTTAATACCATTTGTGAGTCATCATATATTCATATTTAAAACTTCATATCAGCTTGCTTATTCATTCTACTTATACTGACTTGTGACACCAATCCTTACTAACCCCTAGCATCAAGCATAATTAATCATAATTTAACAAAAACAATAACTTTTTATAAAATATATTCCAGAAGGGAGAATAACAAGGATTGTCAACTCCAATCCTCCAGTACCATCATAGGATATATAAGATGTAAAAACTTCTCTTCTTTGACAAGGAAATAAAATTAGCTGCTTCTTCATATGATATTTTCCACCAAGCATATGTCATGTGGGAAAGAATTCCAGTATAAATAAAACACAGGTGAAGTGCTCTCAGTTGATGAGGGAAAAAAATGATACCAACAGAATATCAAAAACTGCATGATATAGTTTTTCCTGGCAGACAACTTCACCTTGTTCAACAGCATCAGGTGGTGTTTGTGGTGATTTTCCTGACAACTGCAAACAACACATCATTATTGTCATGTCAAAATAGATGTCAAAGAAATGAAATACAGAAGGACAAATCAATAATTAGATACTTGTTAACCACCCAAACAAACAGCATTTGGAATTCTAAACTCAAGCAACACAGCCAGATAATGATATTTAGATTTGCTTACATCTATATCTGTCAGTGATGGACCCAGCTTGTCAGCTAATGCAGAAAGATGCTCCTTTGCATCCTAAAAAGAAAATAAGCTAATTTAGCACCAACTTTACAGTTTTTCAGAAAAACACATTAACAAAAATAAATCAAGAAATATAACAACAGCATAGAACATGCAAATGCTAATTCCACAATCAATATAATTCAATCTTCAAAATGGGAATACATATCCTAAAAGATGCAGTTATTTTCTAGAAACTTCAACAGATGCTTCTTTCAATCTTTGGTAATCTGTCATGCCCACCTCAATCTTATTGTACATAAATTTCAGGTCAAGTTCATATTGCTCTATAAACTCAGCTGTAAATTTTGATGCATAAAACAATTCATAATGATCAATTTTATCTGCAAAGTAACAACTTACAACCATAGTAGCAAATATTCAATGAATCTTCACAGTTTTCACTATAAACTAAGTCATCCAAAGTTGAACTGCATATAAATTTTTAGTTTAGACTTTATACATCCATACTGTACATGAGCATCCAAAATGCCTCCATCTTTGCATTTTGAGAAGCTACAAGAAAGTCTCCAATAAGAATATACATTCCACTAAGTGTGCATACACAGTGGTTTTAAATCTTCTAATAGAAGTTTAGCAACTTAAAAACCCCTCGACTTACCTTATACCAACTACAACAACATAGAAATTTCAGGAACGTTGAACTGTATAACTATTTAAGATATACATAGGAAAACAAGGAAAATAAAAGACAGCTAAAAAGATAGACAGCAATCCCAACATAACATGTATACATGCATCAGCTTAATCTTGATTCTCCAAACATTTTGACCACCAAGTTCACATGTAACATTAAAGGCTGCATAGAATTACCTCATCAAGATAATCAACATCGAGATCACCAGAATTATCAACATTTCCAAACATGAACCCAAGAAAACGATTGCCCCTGCCAGACTCCTCATATTCTTCCTCGTCATCTATCAATTATAATTTATCAAACATTGAGTTAACCAACTGTACCAAACGAGAAACTAAGGAATATTCAAGAACGCCCCTCAAAACACACACACGAACTTTTATTTACAAATTCCACCTCATAGCCATAAACTTACATGCAATCCACTCAATACTACTTAGAAGACTAATCTAAAAACAAAAGAGAGAAGAGGCTAAATATGATAAACAGCTAGTAGAAGCAAATGAAACACGTTCCAAGCCTACAAAACCTATAACAACTAGACTATACATCGAATTATGCAATCCGGTGACCCTATTGTAGGCTTTTCTCTTTTTCTCTTTTTCCCTTTCCTCGCTCCTATCACTTCTCATGCTGCTATTACACAACTTTGATTGAGCAAACTTACCTTCATCCCTCCCATCCTGCGAGGGGCTATCCGAATCGTAACCCATGCTGTGTGAACAACCCTGTGTCGCAATCCAACACGAGAATCAACAACTCATAGCGAACGGTTCCAGCAGAAACCAATTTCAATCACTATCCTCTTGCCAAACCTTCTATGCCGGTGGCTCTTCCACCCGATCAAAGACAGAGACCTCGAAAACCCTATTTAAACTTCAGTAACGCCGTTTCATTCGGCAATTTTCCTCTTCATTCCAAAAAGAAAAACGAAGTTCGCAAATTAGGTTTCCTTCCCTTGTGAATTCACCTCCTCCAAGTTTCTCAATCCGTCGTGAGCAATCAATTCGAGCTTGGAAAGTAAACCGTTCAATGCTCTCTTGGGGGAATGAAACCCTCCGATTCGACGCAGTTTTCAGGCGGTCGAGATTCAATTTGAGGAAAAGCAGAACGGAGCTACGCTTCGGTGTCCGCGTAGACGAAGGGTTCCGTAGAATCAGCGTTGATGGCTGATCGGAGATTGGAGAATTGAGGTAGCGCTTGTTGTTGGAGCACGGGGTTATTATTTGAAAGTGAGATCGTTGGTAAGGGAGAGAGGGTTATGGTATGGTGTGGGTGATTTTATTCAACTCTCTCTGTGTGCGGGCCAAACACTGTTATAAAATCTCCCTCGTTCATGCTCAAGCCTACTTTTTTCATTCCTAAATAAACTTTTTGTTCAAGTGACGTTTTTGATAAAATAATTTCATTTTTATTAAAGTTTTATGTTTTTAATTTATAATTATATGTAAACAAAATTAATTTTTTTCATGTATATTTTAAATTTTTTTAAAAATAGTTATCAAATTTTATCTCTTTCTTTATAATATATAAATACATATATAAAAAAAATAGAAAGAGTTTTTAAGGACAACAACAAATAATTTATTAAAATAAAATATTTTATTTAATATTTCAATAAAATTAATTACATCGATTTAATTTATTAGTCATTTTTATAATAAAAAATATTTATACTTTTTATCATGTGTATTCAATGCAGAAGAGATGAACCTTAAAATTAAAATTATTTTTTTAGTATTTTATTTTATATAATATTCATCATCCGATGCAAATAACTTTTTATGAATTAATTAATAATTAATAAATTAATTCATTTCTCACTTTTATTTAAATATTCTTTTATCATCCTTTTGTTTATATATTTTTTATTATTTACCAAAAAATGCATAATTTAACATATATTTATTTTAAAAAATTATAATTTTTAAATATATTTCATATTAAGATACTAAGTGAAAAAAATATTTTTAACTAATGCATTTGACATGGATAAAATATAAAATTCTTAATAACCTTTATTCATAATAAAAGTGAAAAATACTTAAAATATTCGATCTTTATAATCAATAATTATAATTTTTAATTAAATGTGTTATAATTAATATGACTTTTACATGGTTGATCCACTGTGGTATTTGGATGTGCTGTATTGAGTTTTTTTTTTTATAGGTTTACTAAAAAAAAAATGGTTTAAATAAGATATAACTATTACGAGCAGTGAAATTGTTTTCTAGATATTTAAATACAATTATATTTATCAATATTTAAAATTATCAGAATAACTATTAATAAGTTATTTCATGTGTTCGGAAATTTTGCATGGTTAAATTTGATCATTAGTGTCTTATTAATTATTAGAGATTTTCTCGACAAATAATGTTAAAATAAAAATTTAAATACAAAGTATATCATAATTTTTTGAATTAATAAATATTCTAAATTTAAAAATGTCAATATTTTATGGCTAAATAAATTAAAATTTTATTATATTAAATAATACTAAATTAGACAGTATTTTTAAAAATTAAAATAGAATTATGATTAATGAAAAATATATATTAAACACTGTAATGATTATTTAGTAAAAGAAAAAAAAATACATTTGAAAGTTGTTATCATTTTAAGCTCCCCAAATACGCACTCATTCAACCCTTTTACATAATTTATTAGAAAAATAAGAATAGTTTAAATATAAATAAGGATATTGATTATACTGCGCAACACGTGTGCATAGTGAATAAAACAAAAAAACAAAAGGACTATGTTTTTTCCACGAGAATTGTGAAACACCAGACATCTTCTTTCTCGGGAGTCAACGACAATATCTAAGTTTTAGGCTTTTAAAGGCTGGTTTATATTTGAGGATGAGTCATTTTTTATGCTGGTTTTTATCTAAATTTACTCAAATTGGACATAAATCTCAATATTAAAGAGTATTGATCCAACCCAACCAGCTCACAGTAACTCAGTGAAAAACACAAAACTTACATATACTTTGTTAAGGGAAAAAAAATATTTATGGATCAAAATTTTTTTTTCTCTTTCGTATTTTAAGTTTTTGTTATTATTTAATGTAAACAATTACTATTATAATTGTTTAATTTTAGTGTATTGTTGTTAAATGTCAAGTAATTATAATATATCGTCAGTAGATTTTTAGATTAATTATTATAAAAATATAATATTTTATGTTATAATTTATAATAAAATAACAGCAAAAAAGTGTATATTGTTAAACTATTTAATTAAATTATTATTTATGAAATATTAATGTCACTTTTCTTAGTAATAATATTATAATTTTTGTTATATTCAGCATTGAATTGAGTTTAAAAATATTGAGGCACTAAATTTTTATCGCAAGAATATTTATTACGATCATAGTTTTGAAAGTTTGACAAATACTTTTTTTAATAAAAAACTATAATTTATTTATATTTTTTAAACAAAATTTTATACGTTTTTAATAGAACGCAATAAAAATTAATAAAATAAATTTTTATATCAAAAAATATAATATTTATTATTATTAATTATTGAGTACTAATTAAGATGTTAAGATTAAAATCACGACATTAAATATTTATTCAAATTATGAACATTAAATAACTGATCATCTTTTTCATCATTAAAATTCTCTCTTTTACTATTTTTATTATCATATTGTGCTATAATAAAATTAAAATCTTTTACCAATCTATTTTATGCCATTTTTTATGGATTTAATAACAATGACTTTTTAATCTGTGTAACAAAGTATTTGAAACTTAAAAAACTTACTTCATTGTGTGAATTATATATATCATGACGGGACATTTCAATTATTTAACTTGAATTAGATAGACAACATAATAGATCTAAAGTTTAACTTTTATAGCTAAAATAATCATACTGTAGTTTGACAAAAAAACTATATATGAACTTTAGTAAACAAATTAAAATAATTAAATAAAACATGTAATTATTGTGTTTCTTTTTTTAAAATTGACACGTTTTATGTCGAATACCATTTAACTCAATTAATTGACATTATATAGAATATTTATAAAACTTGTATATTTTGTTCCATATATTCTTTCAATATTCAGTTCTCTAACTATAGTAAAATAACTAACAAGATAAATATATTTATCTAACAAGCATATATCTTTCATCTTTTTAATTGTAACTATAAAATATCTTTTTATCTATTAAGTTTACACTCTTACCATTATAGTACATAAACATAAGAATATCATTATCTATTATTTTATTAAGATTTTCACACTGAATCTCATAAATTTTCATACAAAATCATGTAAAGTTAAAAAAATGTATATATTTATTTATAGTGAACTAGGTTAATTTGTACATAAATTTATTTTAAACTAAAATATATTAAAATTAATTTTTGTTTTAAAGAGATATATCTATTTAAATTAGTAGTATAAAACAGGTATGCAAAAGTAGATTTAAAAGTTGATCTAAATATACTTATGTATAAGAAAAATAAAAAACTTTAATAAAAATTGATTATAGTCAATTTTATAAACAAATATATTGAAAGCGAAAGTATTTTCAGCTAAATATAAAATTTTAAGCAAAATCAATTAAAATTGAATTCTATTTTCATAAATTCAGCACAATAAACGCATCTAAAATCGGACACTAGCGTAATAAATATTTTAATCTACTTTATTTACTTAAAAATCCCAAGGTCTCACCGGTGAAAGAATTGTGATATAATTTTCCGGCGACAAAAGCGAGGCGAATGACATGACTACTCGAGCGGTGGCTGCAATGTACGTGCTCAGTGCTCATCTTTCTCTTTCTGCTTTTTGGTTATTTCCCTTTCATTTTGCCTTTGCTTTTGGTATTGGTTTCCAATGAAAAGCTAGGGCGTACGTACAATTATGATCCCTTCAATTACCACAACGGGCAACTAATCATTCCATCCCAAACATGGCCTTCTACTCCACACAGTCACCGTCACTGCTCTGTAACATTTCCACCACTTCTTTTTTCGGCTCTTGACCTCTCCATTTCAGTTTTATCCATCCTTTTTAAAACCTCACATTTATTTAGAAATTCAACCTTTGATACCTTTTTTTTTTTTCATAATAAAAAGTTTCCAACGTTATTATAAATATATTATTATTATTAATTTTTTCTTAAAATTTGTATTTTTATTCATAATGACTTAATGATTAAAATTTCAAACATATATTTTTTAAAAGAAAGGCAAAAGAAAAGATAAAAGTAAAAATTACAATATTAAATATTAAACCGACTGAATAAGTAATTTTAAGTCTGCACGGATCAGACTTAATTTTAGAAATAAAAAAAAATACTGTTATTTTATTATAAATTATAACAAAAAAATATTTTAAATGAAAAGAGTTAGTTACACCTTTGTCTTTTATGAAAATAGCACATGTTACACTGTAATTTATTTTAATATAAATGAACTTTTTAATGCTAACTTTTGATGACTCTTGTAATGATTTATTAAAAACAAATTGAACGCACGTCACTTGCAAAAATTTAAAGCTGATTGTGAGAATATTTAAAAACATATTTGATCAATTAAAGAAAATAGTATTGATAGTTGCTTTAGTATACTATTTTAAAATTAATTATTAATAACCTTAAGAGTTACCTAAAAAAAGTATTTTATAAGTTCATTAAATTGTTAGTACAAGAGTAACAGGATAAAATACATTTATTATTTCATGTTTTAATTTATTTATTGATAAGTGAGTAAAATATGTCAAAATTATTTTTTAATGATATTAGTTATAATAGAGAAATATTATCTTTTCATATGTAACAAGCAACTTTTTTCATTTCAATAATTGTTTATATTTATTTTAGTTAACTGTGCTACCATCGCACTGTTATCATAATTATAACTATTATTATCTTCTATTATCACTATTTATATTATTATTATTGTTAACTAATTTAATAAGATTACAAAATCATTTTAATAAAAATTAAAATTAAAATATAATATATTTTGAAAGATAAATTTAGTCAAAAATATTATATTTATCAATCAACTGAGTAGACTCTTTCTTTAATTATATTTTTTTCATAAAAAAATATAATTAATAGTTATATTTTTATTATAAAAAATTAATATAATTAGTTAACTTTTTATATACTAATAAAATATTTAATTTAATTAAGTATAATTTTTTGAAAGTAGCTTGCAGGTAAATTATTGAAAAATTGATTACTTACGTGAATTAATAATCTATTGATATATATTATTAATTTATTTTAAAGTTATAACAGATTAGAATAATTTTATATTTTAAATTTATTCTTAATAAAGTATTAATATTTAAAAAAATTAATTAACTTTTAGTTTTTTTTATTGTGATTAACTTTTAATTCTTAAAAAGTATAATTTGTTTTTAAACAATAATAATTATTAATTAATTTAATTTTAACCATTAATAAAATTAATTACAATGATTATCGTATTTAGGTAAAAATCAAAATCACTTTAAAATATGCATACTAAATTAATTTATAATCATTGAAATAAAAACTTATTTCATTTTTCATACATAATATTCAAACATAAAAATTATATTAAATAAATTAAATATATTTTATTTGAATTATAAGAATTAAAATTTAAAATATTTACTAACTAATATTATACTTTTTTTTTCATTAAAAAAATTACATTTATCAATCCTTTACATAACATGGACTCTGAGGACTAGGAGTGCTCTACTTTTATAACAACAAACTAACAATAATTGGTTAATTTTGAATAGTTAAAAAGTATTAATTTATTTTTAAAGTAATTATTATTAATAAATTTAATGTTATTCCTTAAAAAAAATTGTAGTGATTGTCGTATTTGAGCAAAAATCAAAACCACTGTCAAATACGGACTAAATCAATTTACAATCATTAAAGTTAAAAAATAATTTTAATTTTTCATACGTAAAATTTTACCATCGTTTTAAAAATCAGCATTATACATTTATAAGAATTATTTGTAAAAAAAAGTCATTTTATATTTTGAAATAATTTTTTAAATATACCCAATTAGAATTGGGCAAAATTAAAGGGAAGAGAATTGTACCAAAATTGATCATATACCTTTGGTAAATAGGTACTAGACAGAACCACATTTAGCTCCCCACAAATCAAACGACAAAAAGGCACTGTTTCCCTTTCTGTGAGTTCTTCACACTTCTCACTCTCACATTCAACAAAACACAACACACACCACTTTTCCCCTTCCAATCGCAATGGCAGAGGAAGAACAAGACCCCTACAACGTGCTTCGTTCATACGTAGGCCTAAGCTTCTCCATCTTCCTCGCTATGCTTCCCAACAATTCAGTGCAGAACCAGCTTCGCCGCCTATCGCTCAAGCTCTCTGAGGCCGAGGAGGAGCTGCGCCAGATGAAATCTCGGAGGCAAGAGGACTCGAAGGCGAACGCCAGGGTCGTGGAGATCTTCGCCTCGCACCGGAACACGTGGCAGGCGGAGGAGAAGCGGTTGCTGCAGCAGATCGATGCCGCGGCGGAGGAGATCGCGAGGCTGAGATCGCGCGTGGCGGAGCTGGAGGAGTCCAAGGCGCGTGTGGAAAGGGAGGTGGCGGAGAGGGACGAGATGATTAGTTTCATGTCGAGGAGGATTGAGGAGGAGGGATTGGGTGGGTGCCAGTCCAGGGAGCATTATGGTGTGGACGAGGAAGAGGAGGAGGAAGAGATGGTGGGAACCACTAGGAATGTGGAAGAGCAAGTTGAGGTTGTTTATGAACAACACCAACAACAAACTCACCATTCTGAGAATGGCTTCGATTCTGAGTTTATGGCTTCTGCTTCTAAGTTTTGGGCTGAGAAAGCTTCCCTTTGGCAGGTTTCTAGAATCATCTTCTTTTTTAACCAAAAGTAATTAACGATTAGTGCATGTTTGACTTTGATTACTACCTTTTTAAAACCTTATCTCTAAGAGCGTGGATAGATTAGGTATTTTGATATAATAGTAGCTTTTTCTTGTCTCACTTTTGGGTGTAACTTTTGAATAAAAAAAAACATTAATTCGAGCTAAATCAAACGCATGCAAAAGTCAGTTGAATCCATTCGAAGTTTACAGAAGAAAATGGCGGTTACAATATTGAAGTGGTTGATAATACTCTCTGGACCTTCTTTACTGTAATGTTTACAAGTTACGTACCCATTATTCATTTTGATGAATTAATTATGTGTTTCTAATAAAAAAAAAAAAGCTATGAATAAAAAGTGGTTCCCTCGTAAAGTTTGGTTCTTTTTCAAGGGATGACCTGGTTTAGGATTCTGGGGTCAAGAAATATCTGCTCAGTCCTTATCTTGTTTCCTGTTCTTTTACCGTTCCACTTTTTACTCGATTATCAAGGTATATAGACTTTAGGAGGTTCCTCTGGGTGTGTTCGTACGGCAGAACCTTTGTGTTAGACCTGGCTTTTCTATGAAGAAAAGGAATGGTATTTTTAATGGCATATGGGGTCCGAGAGGCCTTCTTTTTCCCTTTCGAGTTCAGATGGAGTTGGTTAGGTTCGTAATGGTTCATCATGGTGGAGCCATGGACCATCCATTTGTTATTTGTCTGTTTCTGCCTTTTGCTTCTTGCAATCTGTACCCATTGGATGTTATGTTGCTTTGCATGCCTGGTCCACTTTTATTTCAGCAGGCACTAGTCACCATTCTTATCCGATGCTGAAATATAGGGGGGTCATTCTCCGGGTTGTTTATTGTCTGTGGTGGTGGCATGGTTGGTATTGTTTAAGACTCTTGTGTTGTTGTTTGTTTGTATGTGTTGATTGAGATTTGAGTTAGAAAATCATCTCATTTCCGGTCTCTTGCAATCCTTTTCTCTTTAGCGCTACAAACGGCAGTTGGAAAGCACACGTTTTTGTTCTCCATGAGTGGTTGACTAAGCTAAACTTTCTGGAAATTACAAGAATATTGTTAAAGCCCCCACCCGGGGAAATGAGCCTTCTATTTTTTTACAGCCCTGGCTCTGGTATAATTGATGCTCTGGGTGTTAACTTTAGTCATTTTTGTGCATAAAATACATGTTTCTTTACTCCTTGTTCTGTTGATTAAATTGTCCCTAGATCGCTTTTGTTTTTTGTTTTTGAAAGATTGATTTGCCAGTAATCATCAACACTTAATATATCACAAGGATAACCTAAGCTACGTATTTATTAAAATCCATTGACTTCCCTTCAAGTATTTGACGCTGCAGATTAGTGATCGTCTTTAGTCTGAACACAACTTTTGCTAGGCATTAAAGAACCACTCTACCTAAAAACTTATAAGGCATTAGGGGTCACTTTCACTTTGATAAGTAACATTAAGACCTTAGATCATATGACTCTATGTAAAAGAGTTCATTCCACCTGAAATAAAAACTATATCATTGGGTTTTCTGATTTTCTCAATGTAGTTTATTTGGAAACACAAACATGCAACTACTTTTTGGCTAAACAAATTTTCAATTTCTGATCTATAAATGTTTACTCTTGCAGGATGTACAGTATGAATCCCTTGAATCAATGTATAACACAAAGCATTTTGTAGCAAGGTAAATAATTGATAGTCTAATTGCTGATAACTTCTTTAGCATTTGGCTTTATTCTTCAGCTGAATGAAGGGTAAATTTTTCCCCCCAGAAGGGAGTCCCCCTGGAAGGTAGATGGTGATTCCGATGGAGTTTCCTCGAAACTTAAATTGCTTGAACAGGAATTATTAAATCTGGAGACGATTGGTAAGGGTGATCCATCTAAGATGTCATCCTTAATTAAGAAGCAGGCAAAGAGATATCAAGCACTTTCAGAAAAAATTGATAATTTATGCAGAAGAATAGTAAGTAACTCACGTTTTATTGCTTCTTTTGTTTCCCTGATTTTACTATCTTGCAAATTGTAATTAATCCATAAATTTGTATATTTTTCACTTTTGCGTAAAATACTTGAACAACCATCAATCATTTTGAGACAGCTACCTGTATATTTTGATGTCAGCTGATATGTGAAATGCATGATGTCAACAGCCTTTCAATTAATGTGGTTGGTACATTCTATCCATTAGGTCACGTCCTATAAAACTTTAGGAGAACAAAGAATTATGGTGATGCTTTTGTAATAAATTCTCTGATATGTCAACCAGCTAATATAATTGATCATTGGTCCCAAATTGTGGGTTGGGTGCATGAAAATAAATTTATTCCATGTGTTAAGTATTCGGATAAACAAATGATGGTTGTTTGTGGGGTGGGAAAAGCTTGGTGCAAAGTGATTGTCGATTTAAATTTTAAACTATAACTGTTTTCTGTGTCGCTATCAACCGTTTCATCCCAGTAGATGAGAAATGATACCTTGCATTATTTTCCATTGTGCATGTAATTAAAGCCAACAACTGAATCACAATTAGGTACATCATGCATGCAAGCATGATGCAACATTATGGATAAGGAGTGTAAGAGGTACTGAAAATCTGATATTAATATTTCTTTATGTAGTGTGGATGTTCTAATCTAATCCCTTTTGAAGAAAGTTCTATTTGGAGTTTATGCTAGGTAGAGTAGAGGCACCAACTACTATGCGTGTATGTTTCCCTAAAACAACAGGCCCACTGCAAAGCCTGCTTCTGCTGACATGATCTTTTATTGTTTCATCTACTTAAACTTGGACCATGTTCCCCTGTCACGGGAGACCACCACTTTTGGGCCTGACACTACCTTTCTTTTTGAGCAGGCTAGTGATCCCTGTGAACCCTCCCTCAGTTCAGAATTTCGAACCCAAACTCAAACAGAGTTTTTACTAGAAGCATTTCGGCTCCAACAGGGTGCTTCTGAAACTGGACAGAAGCTAATGGCTTTGCAAGCTGAAATTGGGAAGAGCCATTGCAGGGATGAATTGAGAAGCGAGACGACGCTGACCACAAGACGGTCTTTGGATTCCATTAGGAACAACTTCAAAGAAATTCAGCGAAATTTGGAGATATGGTTGGCCAGAATCATTGGTGATCTTGAGGGGATTCTGGCAAGGGATGGTGCATCTCGTGTAAGAGAATATTATATTTCTAGATATCCTTTTGTTCAATAGAATCTTAGAGACTGGTACGAAGCCTCACCTCTCAACCTAACAAGTTATCTCTTTTGGTATGTATATTGTTTCAATTCATAAAAGTGGTAGTTGGATATCCTTGTGAAATGAAATCACACCACTGCTGCTTTTGTTGGCATCTTAAGTATGTTCTTCGCTCCCCCGCGAGAACTTCCATCTGAAATAAATGCCTTTGTCCATTTGCTGATGGAACCATACAAATGTGACAGCCAAAAACCAAGAATAACGGTTAAGATTTCTTCATATCACAAAAGAAACACGAATTCTCATATAATGCCAGCTACGCTTATAACAAATGTTGACGATACTTTTTACAATTTACCTTTCTTAATTTTTTTCTATTACATCATCCATCATATTCTATATTTATAATATTTTCTTTTAATCTCTCAAATTGTACAGTGAAAAAATTGTGCCCCTTTGTTTCTTTTTTCCTTGATATACTTCTTCAAATTGTGTATCTCGTGTGCAATTTGCATCTATCTTAAGAAGGATTCTTACCCGCTTCTATTTTACACCTGTCTTCTCATGTCTTGTATTATTTTGTCTCGAAGAAAACAATGAAAAGGCTAAGAATACTGTTGCTCGTAAATCAATGAGGATATATTGGATGGTTAATATCTTTGGAGCATTCACTAATATTTATGGTTATAAAATTTGTATTAAGAATATAATGTGTTTTTAGTCTTTGTAAATTTGATTTTTTGTTTTGATATTTATAAATTCTAAGTTTTTAGAAATAATTTTTACTGTTACTGTCTGATATGTATCTAGATGTTTTAAACTACGAGTTACTTCAGAATAATTGGTGATATAATATAAATACATGATGTATGTTATGGTATTTAGGAAAAACTAAAATTTATATAAAAAAAATAGGAAAATATATAAGCTATATTTATCATAAGACTAACTACATGTAAGCTTTAAATGATGATTATCAAAGGGTCTGCCGCAGAAGATGGTTGGGTCTGCAGTCGGCACCCATAAATTGAGTTGTTTTTTTATAATATTTTCGGGTGTGCGGTGTGGCACATGGTGAGCGTTAATACTGACCAAGGAGAATCTGACGTCTATGGTCCATCTATACGGAGGAATATTATTACACTGTCTTCTTATGCATGGAAGGAAATGGTCGCACTTTTTTTGTGGTATGCACTTGCAACCAGTTTTGTTCTGCTGCAGACCAATAATTTTATATTCTACATTGTAAAGGGTTTGAGCGAATTAAACCTTTTACTTCTTATTTTGTTTGTGAAGTTTTGTCATTTTATATGATTCACTTAGTATGCATTAAATTCACGGACACACGGAAAGCACTTACTAATATCCTTTATATATAAATATTAAAAAACTAATAATAAATTGTTTTATTAAAAATTATATTATACTACACTTTTATCATAGTCTTTAAAATATTAAGTCTTTTTAATTTTTGGTTTCATTTATCATTTTAATCTTTTAAACTTTACATTGTTAACTTATAGTAACAAGAATGACATTCTGTATGATGTAATATATGTTTTTCTTTTTTTTTTTATATATATTTTAGAGTTAAATTCTTAACATATTTTATATACTCATTTTTTTATCTTTTATTGCATTCTTTTTAAAACTATCATTGGTTATCGTTTTTGTCCTTTGTCGACAATTTCTCTACTACCACGTCACACTTCTGTGATATTATTGTCCTCTCCTCCTCCAACCATGAACTTTCACTTTTAACTCTCTTTCTCTTACATTATTCTTGTTCTTTACTCTCACTTTTTATTACTCTGTTTTCTTTATCTTTTGTTTCCACTCACCACCACCCATATGCTGCCATTAACCATACCATTCAGGTCTAAAAAATCATGTCACCAACTTAGATACTTGTGGTGAGTTTATGCCTTCTGTCATTCAAACTCAAATTCCATAAAATGTGTTTCTTGCAATTGCTACTAGAATTTTTATTGCAAGAAATAGAAAAAAACTACTTTTCTCCTCAATCACTCATTTCCGTTGAGTTGATTTGAACTCTAATCCAAGTAAACTAAATTATATACGGCAAAAATAGACCCTCGAAGAAGATATCAAGTTTGAGTGAAATTAAGGAAATTTTTTTTAGTGAAGTTAAGTTTCTAATGGAAGAAGATATGTCACCTTTGAATATTCAAAGAAAGCTTCAAGATTTTGAATTTATCAAGAATAATGGTGATGAAAAATGTAAATGATGATAATGTTAAAAAAAATAAAGAAAAAGAAATATAATAGATAAATGAAATATTTCAAAAATAAAAAATTAAAATGTTGGATGAATAATAATTTAAAAAAAATATGTAAAACTTTTTTCTCATACAATGCATTATACATGTCACTTACAATATTTTGTTATTTTGTATTCACAACATATGATTCAAATGATTAAAATGATAGATAGATAGATATAATAATTAAAGATCAATATGATATTTTTAAGATTTTAATGATTAAAATGTTCGACGTTTATATATGCTGCAAATTATAATAAGAACACATTAATAACATTTTTTAATAAAATTTTTTACTTAAGAAGACTGAGCAGTATTCGCCTATATTAAAAGACTGTTTGAAAATGGAAAATCATCGTTACCCTCGTTGCTTCTGGTTTTTCCCCCTCCCACTCTCTGTCATGAATTCCATATCAATTGTAATTAATCCCATTTATATGTCTTTACCAAATCAAGAAAAAGACACAAAAAGATTAATAAGAAGGAATCCATTATTTCATTAAATATTTAACAATGCTCTTGCATTCACCGCCACCAAATGGGCAAATTTATTGGCACAAGTCCATGGAACTTAGCCGGCTTTGACACTTTTTTCAAAGCTCAATCCATATCGATATTTCACTGCTATCATTTCTTCTATCTCTTACACAATCGTTGATCCATGGACGATGACGATGGACACTCCTTCGCCAACAACGTTATTGTCATACTAATTGCCATGGGTTCAGCAGCTTTTGTGGTCTCAACGTACCAAATCATAGCTACCTTCTTATGCAACAAGCGCATCATCACAGACCAAAACCCATCACAACAACAACACCCACTTCCAACAATAACCACAACCACTTCCTTCGCAACACAGCCACAAATGATTCCAACCCACAAATACCATAAAAAGAAAGTTGATAATGTTTCAGGTGATGGTGATGAAGGTGACACGTGTGCGGTTTGTTTGGGAGATTTTGAGGAAGGTGAGGAGTTGAGGACTATGCCCGAGTGCCTGCACTATTTCCACGTACCATGCATTGATATCTGGCTCAGTTCACACTCAAGTTGCCCCGTTTGCCGTGCCAGTGCCACGCCTTCTCTTGAGATGCTTCACTCTAATCATGATCACAGCATAGATATGGCTCAGTTTGGGGTTGCCCATAGTGAGTTTGTGATACGACGGTGAAGTAGGCTGTGTTGCATTGCTACCATTGAGATTTGTAGTTTTTAAGGAAACACTGGCAAAATCAATAACCCGCCTATGCTTTGTTTAATGTCTGATAGAAAGAAACTCTCTTTAATGTATTCTTCACTTTCCTACTATTGATTGTTAACTAAAATTTATTAAAAATTAAAAAATATATAAAACAAATTAGAAATAAAGAAAAAGTAAAACAAACATAATTTTGTAACTTTTAATAAATTATAACTAACAGTAAAAGATATATTACAAAGAGTGTGTTGCTTCCCTTCTCTTTTGGATATTGACCCTGAGCTGTTTTGCAGTTTGAAAAGTCTGTGACGGCCGGGAAATTCATTCATCAGCTGCACCAAGCAATGCTACTGTAATTATAATATTTAATAAACTTATTTATCATTATTTTGCTTTTGAAATAATTAAGTTATTCGACTTGTAAACATGTCATCTTTTGAAGGGTATATATGTTGAATTTGTAGAAAGTGAATATACATTATTATTATTATTATTATTATTCAAATTACAAATAGTTTTATATATTTTGAGATGGTTTCTTCTTTTAAGTGCTATTTTAACTCCTCAATACATGTAATGTGATATGCAACCACAATATCCTTCGTAATAAATTTCATTGATTTACTATATTTTAAGGATGAGTGAATAGTTATCATTAAACTATATAATTTTTTTTATATATCTTCAAAGATATGTTGGAACATATATGTTTGACGAGAGAATTTATTTTTATATAAAAATCAGAGAATACAATATTTTAAAATTTAACAATTTATATAATTTGTGTATTTTGATTTTAATTATTCATAATAAAATTTAGTAATTAAATTTGTTTATCTTATTTTTAAATAAAAAATATTCTTCTATTTGATACGTCTGTTATGTATGTAAGTCGTTTTTAGACTAATGATTTGTTTCAAATATTTTTTTATGAGTGATAAATAAGGTTAGAAATAAAATCACCTCTCCTCCCCTTCTAATTAATTAATTATAAGTTTATAACCTAGTAAAAAAAACTATCAATAGAAAAATTTGTAGTTATTTAAAATAACTATTTAAAAAAAATGCTTTATAAAATATATCAACCAACTATTAATTAAAGAGGTTGGAAAAAAATAGAAAAAAGAATGAATGAAATAAATATAGTTTTCTTAAAATGTGTTTAAGAATATTTGTTAAGAAAATAAATATAAAATTTTACATGTGAATTTTTTACAAATAACTTTTCATTTGAATATTCAATAAAGTTATACTTAAACTTAAAATGACAATTATTAAATTAAAATATCTTTTACCAGTTGAATTAAGTAATTAGTGATAATAAAATTAATAATATATAATAAAACAATGCTAAACCTATTATAATAAATATAAAATCGAATGCAGAGAATTTAGGGTTTAGGGAAATTCTGGGTCCGTCAATTTCCTGTATTCACATAAAACGTCATTGTATTCAGCATCATATCACATCGTGTAGTTATTAATAAAAGCAGTGGATGGCAAATGAGATATTTTTGCACGCAACGTTAAGGTTATTAAATTACGTACTTGCTGGTGTGGTGACCTGTGAGGGTCTACTTAAATTATATCATTATTTATTACTATTTCACTAAAATATTTTATTTTTATAATTATTTTATTTAATAAAATTAATTATATAATATTTTATATAATTAATAATTATATATAAGACATGATATTTTTATATTAATATAATTTTAAAAACTCTTATACTTAAAATGAGTCTTTAATTTAATTTATATCTAATAAATTATAATATATTATTTCACTAAATATTAGATGTTAGATATAATGTTAGATGTAAGTTAAATAAAAGATTTAAATTAAATATAAAAAATTTTAAATTTATATTGGTATAGAAAAATCTTTTAAAAAATTAGTTTAAAAAAGTATAATAAATATTTAATATTATTGCACTAGAGTTAAGCAAATTAGGGGTTATCATGCATCAATCACCATAATCTTAAAATCACATAGATATAGCCTTTGATTCTATTCTTAATTTTTTTAATTAATAATTATAACTATATTTTATTCTTTAAATTGTACATTATTTATTCAAAAGACCCCAATTCTTTTTAAAATGGCTCGAGTAATTATTTCAGAAACAAAACTTAATTAGAGATAAAAATCTCTTAGAACTGAAGTCACAAATAAAATTGACCATTATTTGTGATGTGGATGTGTGATGGATGAATGAGGAATGCATGTGCATTCCATATCTTCATCAGACTCATAAGAGCTTTACTTCGCCAACTACTATTGCCGTTCCATTTAAGAACAATAATAATGGAGCTGGCAACACAATCCAATAACCCTGAATTGTTTTTCAGCAAATAAAATGACTTTGTTCATCGGATTAGTAAAAATTTATTTGATAAAATACAATACTTAAATTTTTAGTCTTCTTAACTCAATCAAGCTCAATATAAATTTAGTTCACAAAAATCTATATTTTACTTATTTTATACATACTTAAATTTAACTTGATTTGTTAAAATTTGTCAAGAGAAATAATTTTTATAACTGATAAATAAGGTTAGGAAAAACATTAATTTAAGTGTGAAACTTATATAATTTTTGTAGTTTTTAATAAATTTTGGTCAATAATAGAATGTGTTAGTATTGACAACATTACTTTTTATTTATTAAAATTATAAAAAATATCAATTTATTTTTCAGTAAAAACATTATTTTTAGACTGTTAAAATAAATTATAAATGTTTGATATTACCAGACCGCTCAAATTAAATAAAAAACATGTATGAGATTTAAGGAAGCATGGGACCAGAGTAATCAATAAATATTAGTATGGATAGTGGTTGCATTTAAGATAGTGTCCGTGTCGCCTTCAACTTTTTATTTTTTTTATATATTTTATTAATTTTGTAAAGTTTAGAAAATAAAATAAACGGTATAAATTTAGTAATCGTGGATATAACGCAGAAGTTAAAAGCAGTAAAGGTGATTTAAACGTGAATTTCAAACAACACTTAATTTTCTACCTGAAATTCTAAAGAAAACGTTAAGATTATGTTGAAACAACAAATGCTACTATCAGATTTACAGCCTGTTTTTTTGCACTTAAATAGAATTATGCCCTTGAAAATTTCATTGCAAAGGAAGTTTTACTTTTTTTTACTTTATTAGTTTGACCATATTTTTTAATTTTAAATTAAAAAAATTATTTATAATAATAAATATATTATTAATAAATTAAGTTTTTTTTAATATATTAATGTATATTTTTTATTTTTAAAAAATATTAATTTTAAATATATTTATTTAAAATAGTAAATTTTATCCTCTCCTTCCTTCTCCTCCAAAATCTTCCTTTAAAGGACTTGCTTATTGAGCCTGTTAAGAGAAAATCATGCAACACTCTTTAGCATCGTTGAATTTTAAAAAAAATTCTGATGCTGGTGTGGCAATAGTTTTCCAAACAGGCACTTTATTTTATCTATGGTGTGAAAATCATTTGCATATCAACTTTATGTATTTATCTAACGCAAATTGGAAATATTATTTTTCACTGAAAATAAACCTTATTTGTTTTCTTTATACTAAAGTACGTTAAGCCAGACAGATTACTGCTATTTTGTTTTGCATTAAACAGTATGGACACGTTCTAAATATAGAAGTTATTTTGGTACCATTCAAAATTACGCACGTTTAGATAAATCTTTGTGACATGGAACATAACGCAAGTGTTTTAAAAAATTGACTAAAATTACGTTAAAATGCATTTTAACATGATATACCACCATGAACAATGGAGGGTAAATTTACACATGCACTTATTTATGAGTTACAGAACAATCAAGTGTATCGTGTATGTTGTTCTAATAGGAGGGCATGTAGTGCCTGAACATAGTCAAGCAAACTCGAGCATCTAATGAAATTCAGATTCATATCATTGAGAGCAGAAAGCCAAAGCGCCAGATCAAGCAACTTAAATCAAAAGTTGAAATAGTTTTAATTATACTATATAGAAAATTTGTCTCCATTGCATCTGTCTACAGGCATTTCATAACAGTGACACAATTAACTGAACCCAAAGCAACATATCTAATTCATCAGGAATAAATAAGATTATATAATAGAGTTCCAAACACTGCCATTGTTTATTTCCAAACACTTGAGAATTTCTAAAACAGAATCAGAAAGCAAGACATCACAATGTTGTCAGACAGCAAGGCCAGCTTCTTCCAGCAGTTGTTTCACCTTAGTGATGTAATCGTTCATTGCTTCCTCCTGGGATTTCACTGCCAAAAAGAATTTTAAGGTCTGAGAAAATATAAAAGTATTAAGACGAATACAAATTAATAAAGTTAACTTTTTTTCCACCTTCAACAGCTTTCCATGCATCCCATTTAGCTCTGTCCCTCATGTTGAACATTCCAGGACGGCCTGTAAATCATAAAGATATTCAGCAAGAATAATCATTATGGATCCAGAAAAGGGAGAACAATTAAAAAAGGATAAAAATTAAATAAAGTATCATTGATACTTTTAGTACTGTTCTCTAATTAGAATTAGAGATTCATTAACCTTTGATGCCAGTGTGTTGATCATTAATGACAACCTTCATTATGCATCTCATAGGTGAAACTTTAATTATTATTGGAGAACACCAAAAGTACTAGTATTACTTCACACGCATTTTAATATTAAAGATATCCCGCCCCTCGTTGCGGGAAAGGTGGTAGAGAGAATTCAAAAGTCAAAGACATGATTTATTATTTGTTAACACAAAAGTACTCACTGGTGTTGACAGGTCCAACAGTGGCTTGCTTATACAATCCATAAAGGATAAGCTTGTTTTCATTTGTGGTGCTCTCTGGCAAAGTCTTGGCTTTCTCAGCATACTGGTCAAAATCCTCCTGCATGACCATGTTCCAGTGAGTGTGAGAGATGATGTCAATTTTTTTAAGCACAACACCAAGCATAGAAGTATAAAACTAGTTCAAAATTCAAAACATAAGATTCCAATACAAAGTAAATTACTTCAACAATAACCCTTGTTATTATAGAGAACAGATTTAACATCCCTGCCTAAAGATTTAGCATGTAGTCTTGGAACAACCAGGTCCTTTCTACATTTTGGTCAAATAGTTGCTAAAAGCATTGTTCTATGAATATAACCAGGAACGACTGAATATATAATTCCCTTTACAATTTTCTAATTTAATTTAAGTGTACTTTATTAGCTGATCCACAAAAGAACAATCGATCCCAGCAAAAAGCTTAATCAGCATCATAAATCCTACCCGAAAAACTTCAGATCAAGGGATTCCTGTTGCGAAGATATTTTCTCACATGAACCACCGATAAAATCTAGAAGAATGCACAGAGAAGTTACTAGTGTTGATTAATTTTCTTTATTCATAAAGGAAAACATGACTATCGAAGTCCGGGGAAAGCATTGATTTTGGGATTAACAATTCCAATTGATATTACTCTCTTAGACCACAAAACAGACCCATCAATCTCTTTATCAAAACAAAGAAAAAAGCTCCTTTTTTTTTTCACAGAAATTCATCACGCCATAACAAATTAAACACTGTCAGGGATCTGAAAAACCACAGCAGAAGACATACAAAAGAGAGAAACCCATAAAAAAAAGAGCACAAAACATGAGTGAAATTGTTTGGTGTGTATAAAACATATTATCTATATGATCATAATTGATTATATGAAGTGTACAGGATGAAAAATAAAGGTAGAAACATAGGAAAGCACAAAGATTAAGGAGACATACCTTCAAACCCATGTCTGTTTTGGTTGGGAGACAGAGAGAGATTGATCTAATAGTTGGATCTTTGTTATTTGTAGAAGATGATGAGCGATACGTTCGAAGTGCACTTATAAACGCAGCGGATGTCGTATGCGCCTATGTAACGCAAGCATATTCCACACACTCATTAAAAAGCCATAAATTTCGCAGGTGGATGCATTTAATATGTTTTTAACAGTTTTGATATTAGGATAATAATTAAATGAAACTGATTATTTGCAGCTCATAAGTTAATCATTTACTTAATTTAAAATAGACAAATGCTAGCTAATTAGTGATTAAAACACTAGTTAAAGATTTTTTTTCAAAATATTATTAAATTACCCCGAATAACTGTATTTTTTAAAAATTTCTTAGCAATAAACTAAAAAGTATCCACTAATATAATAGGGATATCTTTAAATTTAAATAAGTTAACAAATATTTTTATCATCTGTAACAAATTTTCTATTATATCAACATATAAATAAGTAAAACAAATTTTAAATTTTTAAATATAAATTAAAATATGTATCAAATTTAAATATCATATTCAAATTAACAGTGATTAAGATTATAATAATTTTAAAAGTCATGTAATCAATAAATAAAAAGATAATTTTTATTTATTTTTACTTAAAAATATATCCTTAGTCTTTTGTTGCCAAAAAACTTGAATTTTCTTTCTAAGATTACTTAAATTTAAAGATTATTGTACAGTGCATTAATATATACAATTTAATTTAAATAATAACATTTTAAAATCAAAATTATAAATAAAATTTGAATAGTCAAATGCGTAAAAAGTAATGTAACTTTTTGGTAAAGAGAAAAATAAATTTTCAATATGTCAAATATATGAATTAATTGAATGAAAATATATCTTTAGAAAATATTTTTATGTTAAATACTTTTTTAAAAAAATTACATGATTTTATCAAGCAAATAACAATATTAACACAACATTTATTGAATAATAAATATAATACTAAAAATACTTAATTTTTAAAAAAATACAATTAACTATTACATGTAACAATAAAAATTGCATGTTAGAGTACTCTTTATAGTTTGATTCTATTTTTAATAAAATATTGATGTTTTAAAAAAAATTATTACATTTAATAATAAAAATAAATTAACTTATTATAAAATTGCTGTATATGTGTATATATGTACATGATATATAACATTATATAACATTATTTATCATTAAAAGTACTTATTAAGTCAACGATTAAATAATTTATAACTTTTATATTTTTTTGACCTAATATAAAAATTGTTTAAATTTTAAAGTCACTCTTTTTATATTTATTTAATAAATTTTACATTTAAATTTAAGAAACTTCAAATAAAAAATTTACTTTAATCAATAAGTTTCATAATTTATAATTTTTATACGCATTTTTTAAATTATTTTAATAAGTCTTTTGATAAACTTTATTATGATACATTTCATTTTTCTAATTAATTTTATAATAAGATTTATAAAATAATCCTTCATATAAAAAGATTTAAATTTTTAAAAATTAAAAACTTGAAAAATCATAATTATGTACCAAAATCCAGATGTATAAATTTGAATTTCAGATAAAAATTTATGAAAACTAAAGAGTTGTTAAGTTTCAAAAAAACGAGGCAATTTACTTTTATTTTTAGAATGGCACCTTCTATTATTTTACATATTTATGTAAAAAAATTAAAACAATAAAAAATGAATTAAAATATTTTTTAACCCAGTCACACCTAGATTATGATAAAAGTTTTAAAACTAAACACCTGTATGTTGAACACAAACTAATGACCATCAAGAGAATACAGACAGACTAGAAAACCATCCATAAGTGTGAAATTTCACCTTTCAGTTGCAAAAATTCTCTACTGAAGAAAATTTTTTCAGTGTACATTTTTCCGAACTCAAGTATTCAATTTTTTCTATTTTAACAAAATAAAATATATTTAAAAAATTATATGATTGGCTCCTCTCAAAAAATCGCAATCCACCTTGAAAGCATTCTGAATACTAGAAAATTTGGCTAATAGGCAATAATAATAATAACCATAATAAAAATTCCAAAAACAGCCTGAACAAAATCCACCAAATGATCCAGACAAAACAGATCGCTAGTTTAAACCAACAAACTTGAATAACAGTTCACAAAATAATAATAGGTGATGCGATCCATGTTTTAGACTAAACATGTTCTTAATAAAGCTAATTTCAATAAAAAATTGTCATACAACTATTATATTGATGAACTAAAAACTTAAACACTTCTCAAGGTTATCACTTTTTCTCTTCCTTTTCGGCTTCAGCAGCCTTTTTCAGTCTGGCACCATAATGGCGTTTGTTGGTGCGTTCAAGGCGAAGCTTGTAATAAGCCTTAAATGCCTTCATGTCATCTGTAACCTTTACAAGCTCAACAGATGGCTTCTCCCTCACAATAGGCAAGTATGATCCCTGAACTTGAGTGGCATTTGCAAGTTCCTCAGGAGTAGAATCACCAGCCTATAAAAAACAAAGAAATAAGATGAAAGTCCAATATATTCTCCGTTTTCCTCTTTAGCACTGCAAGGATGATTTCAAAATGAAAAAAAAAAAAAACACACAAACCAAAAAGAATAATTGGACATTTGTATTACCTTGACCTTGCGTGCCCGTCTTGGGAACACAACCAACTTGGCCTTGTATGTTTTCAGCCTCTGCACATTAGCTTGCAAACTCTCCAAAGAACGGTTCTTGCGGCGATGATCAACTGCAATTCCAATAGTTGGAGCTAGTTTTTTGGGGATACCAGCAGCCTATGATGAAAACCAGAAGATACATGCTATCAAAAAGATAAAGTACAAAAAGAACTCCCAACATTTTACAGATGTAATGCATCAGTTATGAGGATATTTCCGAAAATAAAATTCAGACCAAATAATTTGTCATTATTGTGTTCAGTGGAGTATAACTGTACAAGCAAAGAAAGTGTACATTATGCAGAGAGCGATCATATTTAGTACCTCAACATAACTAAGATGACCAATTCTCAAGCTGGATGACAATTACACATGACAACACCAAAATACCCTACAACCAAGACAGGCAATGGAACAAATTTTACCTTAAGTTCTTCAAGAGAGAACCCTCTGCCAGCCCTCACTTTCATGTTGTACTTCAAAGTCTGTCCATGAACGATAGGTCTAAGAGGTCCGGCGGTAGGTCTGGGGAAAATCTTAACAGCTTTTTTCTGACGAGCTGAATAATGCAGAAACATCAACATATCAAAGAAATAAAGAAACCAGTGAAACTGAATCATGCTAACTTTATTTAATAAAAAGAACTAACACATAATAAGTACTAATAAGAAGCTTTGAACTATAAAGAAAACATTAAATTACCCAACCGTCTTCTTGTCTTCCTTGCTGGCTGATTGAACCATGTCTTCACATAGTTTTGCCAATGTTTACGGAAGTGTCCGTTGGGAATAACATTGTTATGCTTAACCATGGCTTACCTGCTTACCTATAAAGGTCAATGACAATAACAAATGAGAAAGCATTAACACCAAAAGTATAAGCAAAAGATAGCTAATAGAAAAATATCATTCACAAAGCACACATATCATACTGATCTATCTAACCAAGCGGAAATCTACAATAAACAGTCATTCTTTCACAATATTAATGCATTTATCAAATAAAGTTTTAAAATAATAAGAAACATTACCATACAAATATCATTGTACATAGAATAAAATTTGCGTCTCGTTAGCTGAATACACATATTGCTCACAGCAACAATTTTCTTATGGGACAATGAGGAAATATATGTCACAGCTCAGGAGACTAATCTCGTAGAAAGAGGTATATATATCACAAGACGTACTCAAAAGCAAAGCAATTTACAGCGTCTTACATCATCCATAACAATAATAGTTAAAAAATCTAACATCTGAAACCCAGAGCAAAAAGAGCACAAAATCGGAAACTACAACGGCTGAACGTCCAATTGAAGCCCAAACATTATGTATCTAGAAAGCAAATAATGTAAAGACGAGAATAATTGATTTTCTATAGCAAAAAAAGACGCGAAATTTAGAGCAAGTAAAATCGATAATAAAGCAGTGTCGCGGAAACTTAACACGGAAAATACTCTGCAAAATGAAGATCTGCAACACTAAGAGGAAGGACAGAGGTTAGAGGTACCTGAGGCTTGGTCACACGCAGCTAGGGAAATGGCGGAGACAAGAGTTAGGGTTAGTGCTGGGTTTTAAAGTAACCTTCGATTCATAATTGGACGGCTCAGATTTCATTTAGGTATTATTATTGCTTGGGCCTCACCGAAAAATGGGCCTGTAGATTAATACAGTAGTTTGTATAAAAAAATAATTCAATACCAAAAGTGAAACTGCTTAAAGCACTTTTGATTATCTGCTGTCTTTTGGGCTTTGTAGCCGCGTATTGTCTTTTTGGGCCTCAGCACTATCGGTCAAAAAGACGGAGTTGCTTTAAAATACTACTAATTATTTTGTTGACCAAAAATATTAAGGTTTTGCTACCATAGCTTGGTTAACAATTTGAAAAGACAAATTTGTCTTTTGTAATGCTATTACATGATTCAGTCACAAATAGTTAGAAGTCACCCAAAGTAGTACTTGAATATCAATAATCAAAACGATAATTTTGAAGATAAATCGACAGTTATAACATTTATATATTTTAATGTTTCTTATAAATAGAAATAAAAATTCCTAATTTTTATCATTAAGTTATATAATACATGTTTAATTTTTCTTAAGTCCATTTTGTATGAGTATTGTGTGTGATAAAAAAAAATTAAATAATAATATTTTCTTACTACTAAGGTTCTTAATTCAAATAAAATAAATCATTTAAAATGATGTACTTGTAGTTTTAAACTATATATATATATATATATATATATATATATATATATATAATTACTTTGGATATATTAAATTGTCAAGTTTAGATTTTAAAACTTGGTTTGATAGTTTTGAAAGATACAAGAAGAAAATATTTAAAAGACAAGAGAAGAGAGGGAAATAAAAAATAAATTAATATTCGTTTGGTGTATAAAATTGAGAATGAAATTTGACGTTGAAATTAAAATTAGATTTTGAAATTTTAATTATCATATTTGAATCACTATCTAAGATGGGAATTATAATTTAATGGAAACTATGATAATTGAATTTCACCCACTTTGATTCCTAATCTATGTCTTATGAATTTGAATTATAATTTACATATACACTCTTACATATGGTGCCTCCTCTTTCCTTATGGTTTATCGTCTTCGTAGTTTTTATTCTTATTTAGATACTTTTTTTTAAATACTTTTTCCCTCTTTCTTTGTTTGTTTTCTCATTTTCCTATACATCTTTCTTTCTATTTTTTTTGTTCTCTTATTATTTCTGTATTTTTGTCTCTTTTTATTTTTACTATTACGATTGATTATTAATACCACTTGTTTTCTTATGGTCTTTTATTTTTCTTCATTCTCTTATTTTTCGTTTTACATTGATTATTAATAAAAATAATTTTTCTCTATTTTTCTTTATCTTGTTCTTCCTAATCTTCTTCTTTTTACATCTTTTTTTCTTTCTCTTTTTTACAATTTGTTACATGTTTAATATATTTAGGTGACTGTGTTATATTGCTATTCTAAACTATATTGTAACACTTTTTAATTTGTTATAAACTATAATGTTTATGTTAATTGTAAAATAAATTATTTGATACTTTTATTGAATTGTTAAACGTGAGAGGAAATATTAAAAAATAATTTAAGAATTATTAAGAGTATAAGAGAAACAGAAAAGAGAAAATTAGTACTAGTTGCAACAAAGTAATAAAGATATAGTAAAGAGTACGCTTTTGAGGTGATTATATAATGAGATTGATGAAAATTGATATAATCAATTACATTTTATTAAACAAGTTTTATTTAGCTTTATAATATTTAACCGAAGAGGACTACATGGTATTTATCATGTAAAAGTAGAATAATCTATTGCAATGTTTTTCCTTATTTTACCTTATCATCTCAGAATGAGAGTTTTGCACTTATATTCAATTTATATTTTCAATTTTAAGAATTAAATTATATTTGTGAACATTCGTATATTTTCATCTAATTTATGAAAATGATAGTTTATAATATAATTTTAAATTTTAATAACAAATTAAATAAAAAATAAACTTACTATGTCATAATTTTTTTTTAAAAATATTAAGTTATCATCTTTAATAATTTATTTAATAATCATTTTGTATTTTTAATCAACATATTATTTTTAAATAAGTAATTAAATAAAATTTTAATAAAAAATTAAATTATTTTTGAAAAATTTAGATTTTACATCACACTATAAAATTTGATTTTAACTTAGAATTATAATTTTATATTCTAATTATTTGAGTATGCCAAAAGTAAAAATATAATTTTGAATCAATTCTAATTTTAATGAAATTATAATTATAATTATACTTTTAAATGTTAAATCTTCTATGTACCAAATGAGCTTTTAAAGTGAATTTTGTCAATCAAAACTTAAAATATATGATTATAAATTTTTTTGAGGTTTTATGAATCTTCTTTCTCATTTAAAAGCTTTTAAACATAAATGACTACGAACTCTTCATTTTCCATCTAACTCTAACAAAAATCAATTTCTAAACAATGCTCATTTAAGAAAAATATTACAATTACTGTTTATTTAAGTAATTTTTTTAAAATATACATCATACTAACAAAAATACTGAAAAAGACGATTTTAATTTTTCACTCCAGATTCAGTGCATGATGGAGTTTGATGGGATGTCAACGAAATGGGGGCAGAACAAACAGTAATAAGACCAGTCACACATATTTGTAAGTGAAAATTTATCCTATATTTATTTTATACTTGTACGACTACTTGTTAGATAATAGTTAAATGGATATACTAAGTAAAACTATTCATGGATAATCATGAATATTTATGATATTTTTAAGAAAAAATACATGTAAATAAATCTTTAAAATAACATTATTTAAAATAACTTTATATAAAATTAATATTAAAAAATAAATTACATAAATTGTAAAAATAGTATAACAATTTATCACAACAATAAAAATAATATAATGTTAAAACAAACGTATTTAAAAATTGTAATAAAATAATAAAATTTGAACATGCTTGTTTAATATACAAAGAGACATTTTAATGAATTAATATAGCATTACTTTTTTTTTATCCGGTGCTTGCTCTCATTCCTAGAGGTTTGAGGAACATTTAATGCCATTTAGACCAATAAAGTTTATTTAATCAATTTAATATTTTTATTGTTTTTTTTTTTTGTCAAAACAAACACGTGCTTCAAATTTGTTGTTAGTGTAAAACCTTCTAACTACAACCGTAAAACGATATGGCTAAAGTTTGCATAGCACACATAAAGCTTGAATATAGGACAATTATATTATAATCTAAACCCATTCAATAGGCATTTGTACTGTGTAGAGGTTACTATTGCAGTTATCTGAGATACGTCAGAATGAAACATATGAACAGGGAAATTAACAAATTACGACAAAGCTTCTTTGTAAATCCATATGTTTGCGGTACTAATTTATTTCAATTAAGTGGTGGGAGCTAAAAGTATATCTACTGTCGAATACACAGTGCCAGCAAATAAAAATGACTGAAGGAAGGAAAACGCTTCAAGATGATGAATAGAAATGGAGCTAGTGAAAGTAAAGACAATATTTCGAAAAAAAAGAACAGTTATGATATAATATTAAATTTTAAATTAAAAATTATTTAGAAACAGTAATTAGAAGATACTTTTAAGAATTTATGAGAAAAAAAAAATCATAAACCTTCAAATATATACTTATTTCAGTACGATTGAGGAGTGCATTGTATGCCCCTTGATTTCTACGACCTGCAATTAAAACCACTCAAACAACGTCTGGAAAAAAAGATCCAAATCTTATAAAAAAGCAATGATAAAAACTAAGAAAACAAGACAGAGAGTGAGAGAGGTGATGATTTCTGATGAGTTTAGATTCGTATTGAGTTGTATCTCGATCTTCTTTTATTGTAGTAAAAATTGTAAGTCCAATTCTATTTTTATTTACATGATTTTTAAGTTAATTTTAAAAAATTTGTATAAATGAATCTTAAAAAAAATATAATTTCACATCTAATTTTCTTATGATGGAAGAGGATGTGAATTCTATTAGTCTATTTAAACTTTTTTATATTATAAATTACAATTTGTATATTAAAACATATTTTATTTTTGTGAATTTTAAACATGCAACAACAACCGAAAGTATTAGGAAGAAAAAGAGACGAATGAAAGTAAACACAGGAGAGAGTGGCTAGGTTAATAGAGTGAAAAAAGAGAGTAAAATTTATGTATTAGTTTGATATTTAAAACAAGTTTTTATACAAAATAAATATAATTTTATCTAAAAAATGCTCAAGACTAAAAATAAAATATTTTATTATAAAAATATAGTAATTTTTATAAAAAATAATATTTATTATCATGCATATAAACTTAAAAAGACATCTTATATTATCATTAAATCGTTTATTCTATTATTTTAAGAATTTAAAAATATTTATATTTTTAATAATAGGCTATTAATATTTAATATAATAATAATAACTACGTATAAATTGTTCCAGCTCGATACCGTCAAGAATTTCTTACTATTGCATGGGAACAGGTTCATCTTCGAGGTATTTTTCCCTTCCAATATTTTTCTATTGGAGCTTCCCTCATTCCTTTTATCGAGCATAATGATGCGAATCGAGCTTTAATGAGTTCTAATATGCAACGTCAAGCAGTTCCGCTTTCTTGGTCCGAAAAATGCATTGTTGGAACTGGATATTTATGAAAGCTTGAACACAGGTGGTGCATGGCTGTCGTCAGCTCGTGCCGTAAGGTGTTGGGTTAAGTCCCGCAACGAGCGCAACCCTCGTGTTTAGTTGCCAACGTTGAGTTTGGAACCCTGAGCAGACTGTCGGTGATAAGCCGGAGGAAGGTGAGGATGACGTCAAGTCATCATGCCCCTTATGCCCTGGACGACACACGTGCTACAATCAACATAAAATATTTGATATTATGTAAATTTGAAAAATGTTATATATTTTATTAAATTAACGATGGTAATTATTTTAATATTTTAAGAATTAAATGAGATTTTTACGATAAACAAACCAAGTACCCACTTAACCACTTTACTGTATGTTATATATATTTAACCTAATATTTTAAAAAGTAACCGTTGGAGCTGATAAGTGTAGGCGGGCGGGGGGAATACGTTGACTGCGTGGGTGAAACGCGCGTTGCATGTCAGCACTACGGATAGTATCACTTTACTTGCTGTGATTATAATATTTAATTTTTTAAATTATTTTCGCCCATACGTATGGCATGCGTAAAAAAATTTAACTAGGCACATATATTTTTTCATTTTTTATAAATACTTTTTACTTTATTTTGTAAAGAAACATTTTTCTTCTTTCGCATACAAGTCCGAACCGTAACTACAATGGTCACGTCACTCTGAAGCAGCAAAATCGAGTGCATCCTGCCAAAATGTGAAAGCACAGTCGGCTTGGACTACTTTCCAACCGCGAAGAAACTAAACGTAATAATCACTGTCAATGGCATTTATTTATTTTTGAATTATATAAAGAATCTTCGTCTATATATTCATTAACAATTTATTTGGGGGGAATCAACAATTGGGGACATTAGAGTTGGCCTGTTTTTGTTCAAGTCAAACCTGGCCATCTCTTGTATGTCTCTCGTCTATACATGAGCAAAGCAATTTGGCTCAAAAGCTGAACCTCCGTTCCCTTATTTCCTGGGCTTTGCTTCGTATTCTTTTGTGACAAGTGCGATAATCAATGGATGGTGCTTCACATGAATCGCATCAATCAAAACATGTGAAAAACGAGGGAGAAATAGTAGAGCAACAAGTAGTTAACAATATGATTGCAGCCGACCCGTCTTCTTCACAGTCACAGGCGATTACCTATCAGCCACCACAGGTTTCTGATACGCAGAAGAATTGCGACCAAGAGGTTCCTCTCTCTCTCTCTCTCTAATGAATCAGAAAAATGGGTAGTCTATACCTCTAGTACTGTAGAAATAGAAGAAAGACGAGTGATAAATAATTAGATATAATAATTAAGTATTATAAAATGATAAAAATAAATGGAAAATAATTTATTTCAGTTACGTGGTCACATTAATTGTATGTTTCGACACCGTTGCGAGTATATAATACTAAAACATATTGTATGCAGCATTAAAATACTCACGTCCAAAAGTTAAAAATGTAAAACCAAACATGATGTAAATAAGTCAATTTGAGTATTTTAAATTCATTAGTTTGTTTATTATAATTTTTTACACTAAAATTATTTATTTTAGATAAGCCACTGGTGAGTGACAAAATCAAGAGAGAACTGCAACGTAACACAATTGCAATATATATAACATGAAATAAAATCCATTGAAGAATTAACAATATATACAATAACACGTGACTTTTATTTATAAATATTTTCAAGCATAACCTAATATGTGAAGAGTTGTGGTCATATATATATATATATATATATATATTCTCTTTTATCGACCAAATAATGGTGAAAATTGAATTCGGATTGAACGAGTACCTTCAAAAAGTATTTTAATATAATTGGGCAGAAGAATTACCTTCTAAAAAGGTACGAGTTTGAGTAATTATCAACAGGGATGGAGGATGATACGAAGATTTTAAAACTCACTCTGTCTCGCACCTTCGTGTTTTAAACATGTTTAATTAAAATCAAAATTATCAAAACTACACTTATAACATTGCATATTTTTATTATTTTAATTATACATAATATATATTTAATTAATATTGATATATGCTTCTTTTTATTGATCGTGGATAGTCCAAATATTAGAAATGTAAGTTTGTGAAGTCAGTTGTTTTACTTGTAAGCTTGATGTATATTATGTTCTGTAATAATTATTTTATTGTGTTTGAAGTTTGAATTGTATTTTATTAAATGTTTCCTTTAAAATTTTTTATAATGAAGATATAAAATAAAATTTTATTAACCCCAACCTTTAAGAATGGGAACATGTAATTAATAATACTAAAATTTTATTAAAAATAAATATTTATTATATTTTTATAACTTTAATATAATAACTGTTTGCTTTTTTTATAATTTTTTTTATAAATACTTAAACTCACCCTACAAAATCCTATAAAATAATATATTTTTTCAATTTAAATGCAGATAATGGATATTCAAATAATAGAGATTAAAAAAGCTATTTACGCAATTAGAAGTTTAAATATGGATAACTTTTTAAAAGACAAATATTATAATATTATACTTAATGTGTGAGAGAAAGTTATCCTTGTTACCCACTCCCACAATTGTATTTTTTAAATTATATATATATATGTCACCTTGATCATAAGATAGACTTTATTTATTTAATTTATTATAAAAAAGACTATTTTATTGTTCCCTGTGTCGTTTACATTTTCATGTGATTCATGACGTTTCATATTTAAATTGTTCAACTTCAACCAAAGAACGCATTTGAAACTCTTTCTTCTGCCGGCTATTTTTCTTCTTTTGCAAACAAGTACTTCCTTGTGAAAAACAAGTTTGATTATTTTACTTACTCACGGACATCCAAAAATTCAAATTAGAGTGTATTTACAAGCTATTGAATAAATTCAAATTTAATACACGGATTTTAATTAATAATATCATAAAAATATTATAAATATATTCTTTAACGCATTTTTATATATTATTAATTTTTAGTTAAAAAGTTATTAAAAACTATTACAGAATAAATGAGAATTACTAAATTTTTTATTACATAAAATTATTGAATAAAAGACCCCACTTACTTGATTTTAGTAATTTTTAATTAATAATATAAAATATTTTAAAAACACATTAAAAATTTAAAAGCATGCGCTGTCAATATTTTAATAATATTAACTCCTAATCTATCATCTTTTAAATGCAAATTAAAGAAAAAACGCACGCGCACACACACCCCTACTATTGCTCCCCAGAATCCCATGACGGTGAACAGCCTTTGTTCTAGATATGTATTTTTTTCCTTTTAATTGCTGAGCTTAGATGTCCATGAAGTATGATATTATTCCAAAGTTTGATCAAGCCATTCCAAAATCTGAAGCATGATGGTCGGGATATTAATAAAACGTTTTTTTATTTTTTAACAATATTTGATGAAGACGTGTTTGGGAAAAGATGAGTTGCTCGCCTATTTACCTTGTAAAAAACAGAATATTTGCTTCTTACCAGCCTCGGACAATTCTTAAGATGGATTCTGTTTTAATTTTTCAATTTTAAAATTAGACCTAAATATCTTTAGTAGTACGTTCGACCTAAATTTTTAATGAGTTAAGATACAGTTCAAAAAATCATATACCATCGTAATAAAAAAGGGCATTCATATATTTTTTTTAAAAAAATAAAAATAAAAATTCCTTAATTCCGTTCCTTTTAACTTCCTTCCCTTACTCTTCGGTGGTGCGCTGCAAGTGTAAAGGCTTGGTAGCTTTCCTTCAACGCTGGATTCCACGATGGGGGATCTTATCTACACGACCCTGATGGGATAGCAAATCTTTCATGGTTTGTTCATTAACCATTTCTGACTCTCATTTCTCAATTTCCGGTTCTCTTTCTCTATCTGCTTTTATTTCAATGGGGTCACATACGTTGGTTTCTTTTTTCGATGTTTTTCATGAAATGGGTAGGGTTCAATCCTCGGAGGGTAGCGCTTGTTCTTCCTATTTCCCTTTTATCATTTGAGATCTATGCCCAAGATCTGTTTTTTTTTTTTACTTCTCATGGTGCTTGCAAGCATATATGTTTCAACTTTAAATGACCGAAATTCAAGCAAGTCCAGAAAGACCCATCTCTGTAATCGAAGTTTTGATTTCATATTATTGTGTGGTGTAAATTGGTTGTTGACTCTGAATGGATAGAGAACTTTTCGCCGGTAAATTTGACAAAGTTGGTATTTTTCCGGACTTTTATATTTAATAGCTTGAGGCTTAAAATACTTAATTTTCTGCTTTGTGGGTGTTACATGGAGTATGTTTATAGTCTATGTATGTATGAGCTTATAATTTTATGACTCTAGAAATAAAAATAAAAATAAAATCCCTTTCTGGTGGTACAGAAATTGAGGATTACAGGGAATAAGCGACAAGCTTCCACTGAAATGGGGGAGTTCACTGGAGGTGAGTATATAACCGTTGGTGAATTTCCTTCCTCTACGGCAAATCAAGCGAAGAAAGTTTCAGTTATTCCTCTCGTGTTTCTCATCTTCTATGAGGTTTCTGGAGGGCCTTTTGGAGTGGAGGATACCGTGCAGGCAGCTGGTCCTCTTTTAGCCTTGCTTGGATTCTTGCTTTTCCCATTGATATGGAGTGTTCCCGAAGCTTTGATTACTGCTGAGATGGGTACCATGTTCCCTGAAAACTCTGGTTATGTGGTTTGGGTTTCCTCTGCATTGGGTCCCTATTGGGGTTTTCAGCAAGGTTGGATGAAATGGCTCAGTGGGGTGATAGACAATGCTTTATACCCAGTTCTATTTCTTGACTATCTGAAGTCAGGAATTCCTGCTCTAGGTGGTGGCTTACCTAGAGTTGTTGCAACATGGGGTCTCACAATAGTTCTCACTTACTTGAACTACAGAGGCTTAACTATTGTGGGATGGGTTGCTGTTTGTTTAGGGATTTTCTCACTCCTTCCTTTTGTTGTTATGGGGTTCTGGTCAATTCCAGACATAAAGCCTTCAAGATGGTCTGTGGTAAATGTGCATGATATTGACTGGAATTTATATTTGAATACTTTATTTTGGAATCTTAACTACTGGGACTCCATAAGTACTCTTGCTGGAGAAGTGGAAAATCCAAAGAAAACTCTTCCAAAAGCTTTGTTCTATGCTGTGATCTTAGTAGTTCTAGGATACTTCTTTCCTCTTCTAATTGGTACCGGTGCCGTTCCCTTCCATCGCGAGTTGTGGACTGATGGGTACTTCTCGGATATTGCTATGATCATCGGAGGAGCATGGTTGAGATGGTGGCTTCAGGCTGCTGCTGCAATGTCAAATATGGGAATGTTCGTTGCTGAAATGAGCAGTGACTCTTTCCAGCTTCTAGGGATGGCTGAGAGGGGAATGTTGCCTGAGTTCTTTAACAAGAGGTCTCGCCACGGAACCCCTCTTATAGGAATACTCTTTTCAGCCTCTGGCGTAATTTTACTATCATGGTTGAGCTTTCAAGAAATTGTAGCTGCAGAAAATTTCTTGTACTGTTTTGGAATGATTTTGGAGTTTATTGCATTCATTCTGTTGAGGATCAGACACCCGAACGCACCTCGGCCTTACAAGATACCAGGGGGAACTGCAGGAGCAATTGTTATGTGTATCCCTCCTACAATATTGATTTGTGTGGTATTGTATTTCTCCTCACTTAAAGTGATGGCTATAAGCCTCATAGCTATCGCAATTGGCCTTGTGATGCAGCCTTGTCTCAAATTTGTTGAGAAAAAGAGATGGTTGAAGTTCTCCCATAGTTCTGAGCTACCTGATCTTGACAATCGTGAGGACACTCGCACTTTGGTGTCTTAGTGTGTCCTTTTCAATGTTGATTTTATAGTGGGGAGAGGATTTGCTCTTCTAGGTTCCACTTCTCTGAACCCAACCGCATAGAAAGGCAGCTTTCTATCCTCCGCTTGTGTGGGGATTCAGCTGTTTATCTGTTTTTGTAGTTTGATCAGTAGATGGGATGAGAATTAGAAGATGTATTTAGAATGTCTTCCGAAATAAATTTACTTGGTTAAGAAGTTAATTCTCTTATCAATTTACAAGAAAGGAAAAAGACATTTTAATTTTAAATTGTTAGGATTTCCAAAATGTATGTCTGTTTTTTTAGCTAATGGATTTCATAAATGTATGTTAAAGGCCAAGCAAGTAAGCCAGACGAGTTAATTTTGATGGATTGATGGTGTAAAGATTTATATTCTAAACTAATTACAATACATGGTAGATATGAATTTTAACTATAAAATTTTGCTTATATAGTAATTTATAATTGAATGACAAACTAACAAATTATTAGACTGTTGAATTTTATTTAAATTTTTAAAAGAATTTATAGAAAGTTTACGGTAAAAGTCTATAATTTTTATATTTTTGTTAACATTTTAATATAATGTTAAAGTAAATTCTTATGAACTTATTTTAATAATTTTTTGTCATAAATTCATGTTCGGCAGGTTGAGGTGGGAGAATTTTTTACAGAAAAAAATATTAAAAAATATTAAAATACACAAATAGACCAAACAAAAAAATATTTATCCATCTGAACCACTATAGCAAATAATTTCTAGTCAGAATTCGATTTGAGAAATCGAATTTTGGATTAGTTTTTTTTTGTAATTTTCTTTTAAGTTTTTATATAATAAAATAAATATTATTATTTAAATTATATTTATATATTTATATTTTGTTAAAATAAATATTTCTAATATATTATTCTAATAAATATTTTATTAATTATATATAATAAAATAAGTTTTATTATTTGAATTATGTTTATATTTTTATATTATATGAAAATGAATAAAAATATTAATAATATTTATTTTACCTGTTTATTAAAATTTATATTACATATTTAAGATAATAAATAATATTTTTGTTTTTTTATTATATTATTTAATATAATTTTGATTTTATTTAAAATGATATTAATGTTATATTCTGAAATTATATTTTTGGTTATTTAATATTATATTTTTAAAAAATTAAAAATAAAAATAATAATTTATTTAATTTTAAATTTGTATAAAATAAAAATTAAAATAATAATTTATTTAAATTTATATTTTTATAAAATAAATAAAAGTATTAAATAATAATAAGTTTATTTATTTATTTTGAGATATTAATCTTTATTAAAATTTATACATAATTATTTATTTTAAAAAATATGTTATTAATATTAAAAAATATTATTAAATAATATTATGTAGATATATATATATATATATATATATAATTATATATTTAATATAAATTACAAATACTAAAAATTTATAAGTTGCAATGACATTTATAAAATTAAAAATGATATTAAGAAAATTTTAAAGTAATAACAACAACATAAATGAATGGCGAAAATTAGAAGCTTGAGCAATGTTTGGACATGTCTATCTTGTGTGATCAGCGGTGTGACAATAAGAACAATTTTTTGTCTGACTTTGTTGTTCTCTAATGTTCATCTCTGTTCTTATCCTACTGGACTTGGGTCAACACTTTGAAAGGAACAATTTATACATAATTATTTATTTTAAAAAATATGTTATTAATACTAATAAACATTATTAAATAATATTATATATATATATATATATATATATATAATTATTTCCTAGTGTTGCTCTTTGGTGCGCAATATAGCTCGACATCTCCATGCACAATCATTGTGAACGCATTCCATGACAAGCCTAGTTGTGCTTGACATCTTTATCTTGTAAGTGCAATGATTAACAATGTGAAATCTATTTATGATGTCTTGCACTTGTTCTTTTGTTAGGAAGCGCTGACCAACAAATAGTGTTTCAGGTGGATACACTACCATTTCACGATCAAGGACATGGCCAAACTCAAAGTCATGTTCTTGTATTTGATTGAAAAAGTCTAGAAAATGTGGATGTGGGTTGTATAATTGTAATAGTTGTGATGGTAGAATATTTGAAAGTGGGAGGGAGTCTTTTTCATTATCTTGCTGTTGAGATAGGATTTTATCTTCATCCTCGCTAAAAAGATCAAAGATTTCGATTGGAAGACCCACAATAATATGTTCTTTAATGGGGTTTCTTCAAAAGGTTGAGAGGGTAGGGTTTGCTTAAATGGTTGGGAGGATATTTCATTGAGATCCATGAATAGACTAGTAAAAAGTTGTGAGTAGAAGTGAAGGTAAAAAATTTTATGATATGTTGGAAAAGATGGATTTATGGTTTCGTATGTTTGGTAAGATGAATGTGAAGGTAAAAGTTATGGTGCCTGGGTTACGTTTGTAGCAAATGTAACATATAATTCTATACCTAATTTGAGTTTATTTGAATCGTGGATATTGAAGAGTGTCTTGACGTCTTCATCATCGTTTAACTCAACATATGTGTAGTTGCTAACTCCCGAGTCAAGTCTAATTGGGTAGTGAAAATGTATGATTGTCACCCTTTCATTTTCGTCTCGGTTGAGTTTTGTATGGATGATTTTCTTGGGCCTTTGTAAAGTCATTTATCTCTTTAGATGTACTAATTTGGCTGATGGTGAGGTGAACGTGACTCTTTCATCAGGACATTAGTTAATGGCACCATATTTTTAGATTAAAGAAAGTGAATGATGAATAAGTTTAGAAGGAGAAGGTTCACAAGAATAATGAACAAGCTTAGAAGGTTGAATGAAAAAAATGAACACGAATATAACTATTTATAATGGTAATATTGGATTCTCAGTCATTCAATGCTTTACCATATTTTACAAGTGATGATGACCTGTCTATGACACTATTAAATATTTTATAATAAAGATGCCTTTTGACATTCACGTAGACCAAGAGATAGTGACTTCTCAGTCATGCCCAGCATTGAATTCTCTTCTCATTCAAGCCATCTCATATACTTCCAAACAAGCTTTCTCTCCTCCCAAACAAAGATGCCTTCTGACATTCACGGAGACCAAGAGATAGTAACTTTTAAAGAGTCCAATGCTACTCTCTCGTACCAAAGTTTATCTATAAATATGTTCATCCAAGGCCACATGTTTTCATTTAAACTTGCATCCATTTTTTTTCTTCATTTTTATCTGTCTTTGTCCCATTATTAAAAATGTTGTTGTGGAAGCAAAATGAACATAGGTCTGCCTTCATTGGAAGAACGGTAAGTTTTACACATTACCATTGTTTATTGAATATGTAAATCAATATTTACGTATATTGTTACTAATTTGTTAATAACTGCAGGAAACTGAAAATATGATTTCATCTTTCTGTCATTCAATGCCACTAATTGTTCCTATACTTAAATAACTTGGTTTTGCTGGAGTAGTAGAGCTAAGGCATCTTAAGGTGGATCACACATTGATAACAAGTTTGGTCGAGAGGTGGAGACCTGAAACTTACACATTCTATTTTCTAACAGGGGAGTGCACCATAACCTTGGAGGATGTTGTTGTACTTCAACTTGGGCTAAGAGTTGATAGATTGCCAGTCATTGCTCCAACAATGTTTGACTGTGAGAAAATATGTGACACATATCTCGTTATCGTGCCAGTCAAGAGAGAGTTGATGAATCCATATTTTGACTAATATTTTAATTTAATTTTAACCCAATTCATTAGGAAAATGTGTTAGAAAAAGCATAAAAACTCATAAAAATATTATGATTGAAGATTTTCTTTAAATTCATAGTTGTTTTAGAAGTTGTGAGTTTTCTGTGTAGAATTGAAGAAATTTAATCTTGTTTTTATAGGAATAATTTAGCTGTTCATGGCAACCATGACAGCAAAAATGGAGATACAAATGGAATTAAGGATAAAAAACATGAGTATTCCTACTCTTCTTTTATGTCTTGCGCCGTTTGGACCTCTAGAAACGAAGATTTAATAGTTCTCCCTTCACTTGAACATAAAAGTTGCCTTTTATACTGGTTTTGTTGAACTTCTCTCGCTACAGTGACACAGCCTCGTTATAGCAAGAAATAAAAATAAAAATTAGGTCATTCTGTTTTATTCTCGTTGCAGCGTTAACTCTAGCTACAGTGAAACAACAGACTCTCGCTACAGTGACCACTTCTCGCTGTAGTGAAAGGGGAACAAATTCACCCTCCTCTAACTGCAAATTCTCGTTGCATCGAGTGTTTATTGCTATAGCGAGAAACCTTCATAAGTTGACTTTTCTGCAACTTCATGCTTCAACTACTCCTCCTTTGACTTTCGCTAATTTTTTTCAACCTTAAGTGATGTTTCTCTTGTGATTCCAGCTACAAAATAGATAAGAAAGAGCTTAAAACCATAAAATTGCATTCATTTAAAAAAAATATATTTATTTGTAGAAGTTTCAAGTTTGAAGGGAATTTAACAAAATAATCCAACTTTTAATACAAAAGTGTTTAAGTTACCATTTCAAATCACTAATTTCCTGTGGAGATGATACTTTGATCTTAAAATTAATCATTACTTGCTATAATTCCTAATGCACTTACTAGTTTTTAGAAATTATACAACAATAGTCACTTATTGGCTCTATGCTGAGATTGAAGTGGCTGAGAGACAACATATTGCCATTACCAGAAGAACCATCTAAAGAAGAAGTTCACGCCCATTGTAGGGCTTATATACTAGGTTTGATTGGAGGTGTTTTGATGCCTAACAAAACATGCAACAAAGTACATCTTATGTATTTAGCTTTATTAACTAATCTTAAAAGAACAAGACGATATAGTTGGAGTTCTGCTTGTTTAGCTATGTTGTACAGGGAAATGTGCAGAGCCACAGAAGTTGGTAGCAAACCAATGAGTGGTTGCTCATCACTGTTAATATCCTAGGCATGGTATTGCATGTCATATATTGTGTCAATTTCTAGTAATCCACCAATATATCTTCTCGTGTGTAGATGGACTGGGAGTAGAGTACTAAACTTTTGAAATAAACCTCACAATGATATTGTAGGGTTCAGATCAATGTTTGATCACATTCAAGTTGATCAGGTAATTCTTCATAACAAAAAATTGAATTCATATTTATTTTTTTATCTTTTACACATCATCTTAAGTAACAAAGTTAAATTTATTTTTAGTTTTTATGGGTGCCATATCAAGACTTGCAAATATCAATACACATGGAAGCATATAGAGATGTCTAACTGTAGACTTCATGTACTACCATCTTTTGTTTTACAATTGTTGAATGACACCAAACAGATAGAGTCAAATTACAGTTTTATCTCTTCCAAGAAGTTCTTTCTTCACTGAAGCCAAATCTATTTATTTCCTATCTATGCTACCACTACTACAAGATCAAAGGATGAACTGCCAACAACTAAGGACTACTAACACATTTGAAATTGGTATGACTTCCACACCGTCATACCACGAGACTATATTAATTTCTTCGAACATTACGCTAAAAGCAAACATAATTAAAACAAAACATTCGTTTACAACAACATCGGAAGATTTTTTTACAAACTTATTTAGAGTTGATTTTATAACTTCATTTTCAGTACAAACTTATATGCAGTCTCTTTACCAACCAAATTTTGCTAATGAACCTAGTAATTCATCAAATGCATTCCAACAACTAATAATTCATAATGATACAAATTCTCCACAAATTTTTCTTGAAATTCCAAAATAACAACCATAACGACGAAATTCAATATGTCACAGATGTCGCCCTGGTTGTGAAACTAGCTGCCATTACGTAGATAGTTAATTATTAATATTGTTATGAATTTGTTATCATCTATATTAATGCACTTTATCTTCATCAATGTTACCTTAGTAATATGAAAACCTTAATTTTAAAATATGTCTCAAGTATAAATAATTGACATATAATTTAATATTTTATTTACTTTTGAAAATAAATTTTTTATTCTAAAATAATTTTTATTAAAAATTATAATATTAAAAATTTAGGGTTTAGGGTATTAAACATTGAAACTTATGATTTATGGTTTAGGGTATTAAAAATTATAATATTAAATAATGTAATTTTAGAAAAACTAATTTAATTAAAATAAAATTTTTATTCAAAATATCATTTTATCATACTAATATTTAAAAATATTAACTTAAAATTATATATTTAAATAAATAAATAAACAAAATAATATTTAATATATTTATTTAGTTTTTAAAAATATTATTCTTCTTCTTTAAGTATAAATAATTTAAGCATTAATATTACTATCTAAAATAATATACTTATTATTTAAATATTTTAATTAATTTTAAAAAATTATCTAAAATAATTTACTTATTATTTAATTTTTTTAATTAATTTTTAAAAATATAATTATTATTGTTATCTAAAAATATAATTTATTATCATAAATATGTAAAGTAAATTTTAATAAACATGTAAAATAAATATTATTATTATTTTTATTCATTCTCAAATAATATAAAAATATAAACAGAATTCAAATAATAAAACTTATTTTATTATATATAATTAACAAAATATTTATAAATTTTTATTTGAATAACATATTATAAATATTTATTTTAATAAAATATAAATATATAAATATAATTTAAATAATAATATTTATTTTATTATATAAAAACATAAAATAAAATTTAAAAATGAAAAAGAAATCCAATTCAGTTTTTCAAAAATTGAATTCTGACCGAGAATTATTTGCCACAGTAAATAGGTTCAGAATTCAGATGGGTAAATATTTTTTTACTTAGTCTATTTGTGTATTTTATTATTTTTTCTATAAAAAATTCTAAGGTAGGATGCATGGTGGAAAATTTAAACTTGTTTAAAAAATTGTTACAAAATTGAATTCCTTAATTGTTTATAAAAAATATTGAAATAACTATAAAGCTGGCAATGAAACATTAATTTGAATCAATTACTTAATAAAGATAATAATTAAAAACAATAATAATAGACAGGTGAAATTCTAAAGATATACACCTTGTTTAATATTTATAACTCGCAAGTGTTTATATATTACAAAAATTTATAAACACACGTGAAATAAAAGAAACATGAATTGAAAAATTAGAAAAATATTTTCTATCAATAATTTAAATATGAACATTTACAATTTACAATTTTCAATTTTAAAATATATTAAAAATTAATTTAATTAACAAAATACTATTTTAACAATACTTTATAATTATTATATCATATTTAATATTTAAGTATTAATTAAAATGATCAAAGAAATTAAAATTTACATTTGAGCAGATAATAATTAATTAAACAAGAAAGGAATCGTTTTGATTTGATATCATATGATGAACAAATACATGCCTATATTGTTGTTTTTGTCAAAATGAAACCTTTTCCAATTTTGATTTAAATTATTTAATGTCTTTTTACCAGCAATAATCGTTTTCAATGGCTTAAAAAATATCATTTTCAAAATTCGCTTCGACACTTTAAAAAATCGCCGTACTATATTATATTGTATAAATACGAATACCCGCGCAAATTTAACCGCTCAAACGCATATTCAATCTGAAATTCGAGATGAAAGAGACGAAGAAGAGGGGAAAGAAAAGCAAACCGACGGTGGCCGATCTTCTGGAAACACCGTCGCCGGTGGTTTCTCCGGCGGAGGATTCTCCCAAATCGGCGATTTTCACAAGAGCTGCTTCCATCTCCAAGAGCGTGAAGAGAGTAACTGTTGCTCTCGGCGACAGCACTTCAGTGCCGAGCAACATCACAGACCTCAAGAACCTCGCCTCTTCAGGTGTTGACGATCTCAAACGCCGGATCGATCGCTCTCACTCTGAGATCCTCAAGGATCTCGAGGCTTCTCATTCGCGTCTGCACAAGCGTTTCAAGGTTTTTCTCGCTCTTTCTCCGTAACTTTCTTACAAACTGTATGTAATCGCATTTCTGAGATCGCTTTATACTTGTAGGCTTATAACATGTACTACTAATTTTCCTGAAATTTTCATATAATTCTCATCTGGTGCTCGGAAAACAAACGGATAAACAATGTATGAAGTGACTGAAAATTAATCAAGGTGCAGGACATGTCAAACGTGAATTCGAATTCTGTCATTTAATTTAAAAATTCGCGAGTCAAACGTGGATGCTGATCTTTTGCTAGCGCATTCGCCATAGTTTAATTAGGAGAAAATTGAGAAAACATAAATGCAGAATCAAAGCTGAAGATTAATCATTACCTTTGTGGTAAATTTGATAAACAAATCAACATTAGGAAACCTGTAAACTGTAACAAAATTGTTCTAATCGAGATAAATCTTTGGATTAATCGTTAATCATTTAGTTATCTTTTGAAAAATATAGATGCAGACTCAAGCATGCCAGCAAGTGATGGATGAAGCAGAGAAGGAAAACAAAAAGGTTTCTGAACGGATTACGGAAAGCCGAGAAGCAATGATGGTGTTGCCTCCTTCACTATCACTTTAAACTATCGTTTGGAAACATGATAAGAGTCTAATGGTTCTTTTTCAGGCTTCGTATGAAGAGTTCATGGCAGATGCAAAGGCCAGCGCATCTCGTGGTATGAATCGTAAAATCAATTCCAAGAGTGGTTTTACTCTAATTCATTATTATTATTTGAGATTTAGTTCATTACATGCTCATCGCTCAACATATTTGCATTGAGATGTTCCCTAATAGGGAATTCTAGTCTGTATCAATAGACGCATGCATATGCTGCATTCATTTGTCAGATATTCATTTTCATTTAAAAAATTTCAGCGAGCAAGAGTTCTATTGCTGAGCTTTCGCAGTCGTTTGAGAAGGCTATTAACTCTCTTCGAAACCGTTATGGAGTTTCATCAAATTAGCCATCAGCAGCTAGGTAGATGCTATCTGATTGCTTTAAGGTAAGGATGCATTTTTTATGTCTTGCGCGGTTTATTGTATCATGGACTGTTGTTTGCCGAATTGCTCTGCATTCATTCATCCAGACATTGTGTTTAGCCATCGAATGATTTCCTGCAATTATTTTGCGTATTCTGTTGAAATATTCATAGGGTTAGCATGTATCACAAATAGTTTTTAAGAGTGGATGGCGTATATGCAGAAATCCGTCATCCAGAACTAAAATTGAAGGAATAATAAAAAAAATCAATAAACTAGAAATAATTGGACAACCCAAAAAATCAAATTTGCTCTCAATGAGAATGTCGCCTCTTTTTGTGGTTGGCCATAGCTGCAATTTTTATTGATGCTGGAAATAAGTTAGATGGCTTTACCCTTGAGTTTTTATTAAACTGTGGAATTTCACAAGCTAGAATGTGAAAAATACGAAGAATGAACTCAAAGTAAAAAGTATATGGGCTGAAAGATAATAGGAAGGGCCAAGTTGGATTCCCTTTAAATCCACTTGCAAAGGAGAAATTATTAAGTGGTTGAAGATCACGTGGCCCGGCCACTCACATCTTTCTACATGTCCAATTTTTTAAATGAAAACATGTGTATTATTTTGTTATTGGGCTAGACCGTACAAATTTTTTTCCTTGGAGAGGTGTGAAGAGCCTTGACCAAACTTAAGTCCAGCTTGAGTCTGGAATAACCGGCACGAGCACAGATGTGATAATGTTTAAAAAAATATGAAAAGAATAATTGTTTTATTAAAGTACATATTAAATTATAGATCATATATGCTTATTCTTGATTTTTTTTAGTCCATTTATTGTACCCTTCACATGTTGTAGTAAAAAAAAAAAAAACTAAATGGTCTGACTAAACATTCAGTCGTTGTTATTGTAAATTAGGCTCTTGATTGACTTTGATGCAAGTAAATTTGGGGCAGCAGATCATTTGAAATCAGCTATGTTTAAGATAATATTATTCGTACAAAAATTTTGTAGACAATTTATAATGTAAGAGAGAGAGAAAGACAAGAGATAAGTATTTAATAAAACAAGTAATGCGTAATTATGAAAGTAAACAGAAAAAATAAATGATAAAAAGTGTTATAAAAATTTGTAGTAAATGTATGTTACTCGTACCTTTATAAATGCAGTATAGGAAACTCTGTGCAGTCAATTACGACTATTTTAGGCCTTGTTTGATTGCTATATAGAAATAGAGAAGAGAGAGAGAAATAGAGTGAAAGATTAACAGCGTGATTTCTATTTTAAAAGCAATTTTCTATTTTTAAAAATAAAATTTAATACAAAATAGAAATTAAATATGCTTTAAAAGTTTTTTTGGGAGGGAGATGTTTTTTGTGAGTCCACCACAAAAAAAAAAACTCCAAATTTAAAGGAAATTAATAGTAAAACCGGCGGGGGGGGGGGTACGGAGTGGGTTTTTATTTATTTTCCTAAATTTTCGTTGTTTATTTTTAAAAATATTCAAATAATCTAAAAATTATAAAAATATAAAATTATTTTTAAGAAAAATTAAATATTTTTTATAACTCAGTTTTAATTTTTAGTAAATATTTTTAATATAACTTTTTTTTTCACATTCTTTTTACTCGTACAAACAAGTAGAAGAATTTTTAAAAATATTATTTTCCCTTTTATTTTAACTCATCTAAATATTCAATATTTTTCATTTTATTTCTCACATTTTTAAATTTCTTTTCTCTTTATTTCGCTTTGACCAATAAGGTTCAGCTCAGGCCCAATTTCTTCCATGGAAATATAATATAATTTCACAACGCCCTTACGTCCATTTAGATAATATTACTCTAGTCCTCGCAATATTTGAAACATGTATAAATAGTATTAAAAAGGTATCATAGACGGAACAATATAACTTATGGTTAACAGAGCATAGTACATATAAAGTATAATTAAACGGGTATGAGGTTTCAGCTATGATTTGGAATAACTCTAAACCTTATTTGCTGTATGATGGCGGGTACGTTTTGAACATTTATTGGGTGGTGATTCCTTTTGCCCCGGGATTTTTTTCCAAAATTTTAAAAAACATGCAATTAAATATTTTTAGACTTTTTTTTTTGTAAAGGAAAGGGGCTAAAATCCCAAAAAGAAAATTACAAACCAATGACTGTATGAGTAACTCCTTCTTAAGACCACCCCACCCCCTAAATAAATAAATAAAAATTAAAAAGGAGTAACTCCTACTGAATCAAAAGACAGCAAATGAACCTCTACAGGCAGCTTATCATAGAGAATGGGTTTAGCGTCGTGTAAACATCATAAACAGTTAAAGCATCAGAGCACATTTACTAGCAGCCCCATATACATGTAAAATTTTAGTGGTCCACTCTTTGTTCAACCAGAGTTGGATGTTTTTGATTCGCTGTCGACCTTGTGCACTATCACTATTTGCTTGATCTTCGCGGCACTTAACCACTACATTCGAATCCAAATGAAGCTCTTATGAACCTAAAGCTCATAATCCATGCTACGTTTAAACCTTCTAACACTCCCCATAATTCTGTAACAGAAGGTGATGCGCTGCCAATATTTCTAGAAAAACCTTTGATCCATTGACCAGAATTTCCTCTCAGCAAACCAGCACATGCTGCAACATCTGCATCTACTTTGCTAGATTCATCTGCGTTGAGTCTAACCCAAGGTTCTGAGGGAGGATGCCATCTGATTTGTACTTCAATTTTAGTATTCATTAGTTTGTTAGTGGCTTTACTGTTATCAGCTTCAATCCACACCATTTACTTAAAAATTATGCTAAAAGAAATGTACAGTTAAAGTTATTCTAGTGCTATTTTTCCTTTAGATTGTTAAATCATTTTTGGGTTAGAGTTATTAAAAACGATGAAACTCTATTCAATTTTAACAAAATACTCAATATTTCAATTTGAAACCACTGGTTAGCTAACCATTACGCTGGATGATTAAATTGCTAATGTCAAATCTTAACCAACACTATCAAATAACTTTGTCTCCTTTCCACAAAGGGTTTCTACCTATCCGTTATATAGTCTCACACCACTAAACTCAACCACAGAAAACAATGAAAACGCACTAAGTTTAATCCAATTATATTTTTACATATATTCTTAATTGTCTTAGGTTTCTTAAAGTACATAGACGTAAAAAAAATGTTTTCTTGAAATACACGCTTGAGTTCTACATCGTTATTAATTTAAGCAATGAAGTGCCATATATCCTAACGTCACCTAAGCAAATGCACAGTACAATTAAGCTAAATGGCATAACTACACGTTGAATATCATTGTCACCACCACCACTCAAGTACTCCACTTCTCCAAATACAAAACGATAAAAAAGAAAAAGAGTTCAAATATACCCAAAAATAAGAAAGAAAGAACGGCCACCCTATGACGCATGATGACGAGGAGGTTTCACCTTCTTGCGAAACGCAACCTCGGTGTCCAATCCAAAACCATCGACGCTGCGAACGTGAAGCAAAGCGGAATGCTTGAAGAGCTCGACGAGGGGGTTGACGCTGTAGAGGTCGTTAGCGGAGTACTTATCGGCACGCCTCGACAAAGCCACGTGCAAAACGCACACGCCGTCGGGCTTCAACGTGCGTTCGATCTCCGCCACAAACCGTTGTGGATACAGCGCGTGATCGAAAACGTTGGAGAACTCAAAATCAAATGTGTCGTTTTCGAAGGGTTGGTTATGAAAGTCACCCTTAATCACCAGGGGCGGGTAAGGAACCAGGTCCATTCCCACCGAGTCAACCACCCCGATTCGTCTCAGCGCTTCTACCTCTTGCCCCACGCGTGCACCGATGCACAGCGCTTTGGACGTGTTTTCCAGAAGCTTCTTCTCCTTAAGGTCCTCGAAGAAGCGCGCGAAAACCGGGATCTTCCGATTCCAGTCGCGGGTTGTCCATATTTTTCGGAGTCTTGGGTTGAGGGTCTTGTTTAGCTGACGCTGTATGTAGGCCTCGTAGGAGGAGTAACCGGGTCGGATTCTGAGGTCTTTGGTTGTGATGGAATGGTGGGGTTGTTGAGAAAATAGGAAGAGGAAGAGGAAGGGGAGGGAGAGAAAGAGGGAAACGAGGAAGCACCTTAGGATGAATGGTTTTGTGATTGTGATTTTCATGTCCGCATGCATATCGCTCATCACATGCTATAGTCTCAGAAACGAAAAACCGAACATGTTCATGGTTTTGCTATGTTTGGAAATTCGGAACGTAGCTTGTGCATTATTTTGGTTTTGTGGATTTTGGCATGAGATTGAGATGGATGAGGTGGGTGGATGGGAAATTAAAGGGGTGTGGGACAACTGGCGGGGGGGCCATGAAAATTTCTGGATACTGAAACCCAAGAGATAGAAGGAAAAGAAAACCAATCAAAGAAAACAAAATTTTAAGTCAATTAAAGTAGAAAAAGGATGTTCGATACGCCGTTCATAATTATAAACCTAATTATGATATATAAACACCAAAAGTATCACTATTCATTTAGTAGTAATAATCTTTAGATTTAAACATGTAATTAAACTTTATATTTTTATATGAAATTTTTATTTTAATTCTATTTTATTTTAATCATTAATTTCTTAAATTCAATGCTTTTAATCTTTAGTAATAATTTAACATAATAAAATATCAATATATATATATATATATCGTAAATTTTTAATTAATTACATCATTGTTAATGAATTAAAATGTAAAATAAAAAATAAAGACTAAAATAAACAAATTAAAATTTAAAATATCATCTTTAGCTATTTATCTCTTTCTATTATATGATATCGCCCATTATAGTTATCACTTTTATCTCTCTTATTTTAATTTCTATGAAGATGTATACACACCTACCACAAGCATAGACGATAGTACGCGTGGTGCGTGTAGAGCATGCAATGAATCGAGGTGGCACCGTTTCTTATGCTTACTGTTGCTTTTGTAAGTTTTGTTAACTTTAAGCCTCCCTCCAACTTTACTTTTTAAAGTCTATCCGCATTGCTTGTCCGTCTACGATATATATATAGATTCACGTTGAATATATACCAAGTGCCTAACGGGTAGATGGGAAAAGAAAAAAGAAAGGATTAAACAAATCACTAATGGGTCCAATCTTGGGCCAACAAATTAAGTGACAAAAATCATCGACAAAAGCCATGATTGCAGGCAGGGAGTAAGGAGAAGTAGAGAACAAGTCGTTGTGAAATGAATTGATATAGATGCTTCCGCTAATAATAAAATTGATTAATCCCATTCTTCAGCCATTCAAATTAAAGAGATCATAATAAGGTCGCCGTCCCATTCAAGTAAAGTACATAAAGGGTATTGCCCAAGAAAGAGTTCGATCGACGACAGCAACATCAAATTGCCATATATATCTGCTAAGCACTTTGTCTGCTTCCAAAATCCACCTGAATAGTTTAAAATAAATTTTAACTAGTATTCTAAAGATACTGGCGAAAGAATTTGTTTATTAAAAATATTACTGATGTAGTAGTACTTTTTAATACATGCTTGACGAAATATTTAGGAAAATGTTGAAAAAAATCAATTTTGAACAGTGTTTATTTAGCTTTGGAATACTTATTTTTGTATAGGTTGTTTTGAAGCTGAATGATGAGGGGAGCAAGGATAATAACGGTCACGGCAACTCGAAGCCAAGGGAAAGAATCAAACTGGATCACGTGAGGTTAAATGGATCGAACAAAAACTGCATTGTTACAGACTTACAGCGACTTCGATTGGTCCCCGGCAACCTGCGGCCATAGATATTTCAACCGGCACTCCTCCCGGTCTGACCATATTTAATGAAAATAGTATTCCCTTATTTTTGTATGAAAAATAAATGACTAATTTATCAAAATTTTAATATAAAATAATTAAATTTATTATTTATATAATAAATAAATATATCTACTACTTTAATAAATAATAAATAAATATCTTGTTAACATATTTTATAATAGATAAAAGTATAAAATAAATGCGTGGTAGAGTGGGCATAATATTAAAGCTCATCTAAAATTGTGCAAATGGATCATTTTTTGACACGTGGTCGAATCTATTTGGGTGACAGGTAAAATCAGTTGAGGAAAAGAGTTAAGTGGAGATAGAGTTAGTTGGACTTGGGTTTGTAAAAATACCGAAGCTGTTTAAGTGACACTACCATAGTTGAAGTCGAAAATTCCAAAATGCTATAGAGAGCTAACAATGTACAAAGCCTTCACTGGTGCAATCTGTAAGGGACAAAGGACAGTATTTGATTTCTGCGTCTGTGTGAGGCACGGTAGCTTTGATTTTTATGTTTGTGTAAGGTGTGATGACTTTGATGCGTGAATTCGTTTCCATTTTTTGTTGGTCACATGATGGCTGCAATATGTGCTCTGCATGGTGAGTTCGTTGCAGGAAGATGGTGAACAGTAAGTTTACAGAGGCATATTTGGCTTCACATGTTGTTAAGATGTGCAAACAAAGTCCTACAATGATTAAAATTAGAGAAGATCTCCAAGTAACATGAAGTCTTTTTGAATGATGTCTAAAAATAAAACTACGATAACTTTAAGCTCAAAGTAAAAAAATATTATAGTAATATCAGAGCCCAAATTTTTAAGTAGTATCAAGTCCATACTTATTCAGACAAATAATATCAGAGCTCAGAGGGCTCAGTGCGATGAGGACGAAGGGTGCCAGGTAGTACCAAGTCCATTCGAGGGGGAGACAACATTTTCTTCTACCTCGTTAAGGGATTTATTACTGCCATATTCATACGGCTATGTGAGATTTTCCTTTCAATAGTGACACAAAATGTCCTCATACAAAACTATAAGTATTATAGAAGGTAAATATTTTCAAGTTTAAGCCTCTTTGCTTTCTCTTTCAATTATTAATTTACATTCTTGGTTTGTTGTGTTAGGGTCATATAAACAATAATTTTTTTTTATAAAAAATGTTAAATTTAAAATTATAAAGAAATATGTTGTTATATTTTTAATATTTTTTTATTCTTTAAACATTAGTTAACATTTACCTATATATTAACAAGTGTAAACTTATTTGAATGGTAATTTAGATATATATATTTTTTACTTTATTTGCTTTTGATTATGAATACTTATCCTCAACTTTTTTTTTAATTTCTATTTTAAGTACTCTTTTGTAAAATTAAACATGTGCAATCCCAATATCCTGTACCACCAGCATCGTGTTCTTCTATATCCACTGGATATTTTGCTTAGACTTTATCCATTTATTATATTTTTAACCCCTCCTTTTTTATATAAAAATATATATTTTGTTCTTCGGCATTTTCAATTCATATTATAAACGATCTAAATTTAATGATTAAATTCCCTGTTATTATGTTGCTCAGAAAAATAAAAATACACTATGAATTTAATACAATACTACTTATAATATAAATTATATAATAAACATTACATGTAATTTTATACACAATATACTAATTATATTTTATTAATCATCATTGAAATAATATTTAATTGATTAAATTAGCTTTTATAGTTTTAAAATTACAAAAATCAAAATTATATATTTTAATATATAAAATTTTAAAAAACAATTAAGATAAATATTAAAACATTAAAGAGATATTGCTCTTTAATATTTTAAAATTTATCTTAAGTTTTTAATATATTTAAAAAGCCTGTGTAATTTGTAAATTATACTTACTAGTTATAGTAAAAATTTAGCTTACTAATAAGAATAAGAATAAGAATAATAATAATAATCACTATCCAATTTCAAACGATTTTTTCAAAAAAATGAGGTGACGAGAAGAAAAGGCAATTTGATTTTCGTTGTGTAATTTTGTAAAACCGCGAGAACAGAAGAGAAAGAAGGGAAAACGAGCGCTGAGCTGAAGCAGAACAGAAGAGCGTTGGGTGCTTACTGTCATCACAATCACAAGCCACAAGGGTTTGTAATTTGTTTGTGGTAGCGAAGCCAAAGAACGAGGTAATGGGTAGTAAACGGAGGAGCGTTGACGACCTTCACACGGCGGCAAGGTCCGGTGATCTCATCGCCGTTCAGTCAATTCTGTCTTCAAATCCTTTGGCCGTTAATTCCAGAGATAAGCATTCCAGAACACCGTATCCTTTCGCTTTTCCTTTTGTTACTTTGTCAATTCATTTCATTCTCAACGCTATACGAACCCTAATATTAAGTTTCTTTCAATAGCTGCCACTCAGATTTACCTGCTTCTTTTAACAATGATTGATTCGTTGCATCTATTTCGTTCGTTCCTTTTCTATCATTGCATATTTTACGTATCTGGCTTGAACTATCCATTTATTAAATCACTTCAAGATTATCACCCCTAATTTTGTTACTGCGTTTTTTTTTCTTTAGTAGCATAAGAAAAGAGTGTGATGCTGCATGTTTATTGTTTAATCTGAGGTAAACTCGCAAATAAGTCCTCAGGATTGTATTGAAGGAATTTTAGTATATGAGATTTTAAAAAAACTCTTTATTTACTAAAACATAAAAATAGTAATTCATTTTAATTCCGTTCAGTGAGTAATACAAGCAGGCCCTGATTTGTAGGTTGTGTTGGTGCCATGTTTCAATCATATATTTATCCCTACAAATATGGGCGGTTGAGTATTTCTTCAGATTTTATTCTAGGCAGAATTAGAAATAAGGAAGACAAATTTATCTGGGTGATGTAGTAATTAGGTTTTTGTTGAGAATTCTTACAAGCATTGCCACCTTGTTTCTTTGACAAGCTACTCTGGACCATAGTTTACATTTAGCAGCATTTTCTGGGCAAGCAGAGGTAGTCAGCTATCTCTCCAAGCACAAGGCTGATGTTGGTGCTTCTGCTATGGATGACATGGCTGCAATACACTTCGCCGCCCAGAAGGGACATTTGGAAGTTGTTCGGGCTCTACTTTCAGCTGGGGCCTCTCATAAAGCCGCCACCCGCAAAGGCATGACATCATTACACTATGCTGTTCAAGGTTCCCATCTGGAACTTGTGAAGTACTTGGCCAAGAAAGGAGCAAACCTTAGTGCCAAGACGAGGGCAGGAAAGACCCCTTTGGATCTTGCTACCAATGATGAAATCCGCTCCTTTCTGGAGGAATTTGAAAGATCAGCCAAGAACGGGGAATTGAAAAATAAAGATGAAGATAAAGCTGAAGAATCTGATCCAAAGACATCAGCATTAGGATCGGAGGGTAATTTGAGTGCTGAACCTCTTGCAGCTGCTGTTGATGAAGAAAACAGCGAGAGAGAGAAGAGGAAGGGTAGTGAAGATGAAGCCAGAGAAGACTCGTCACAACCAAAAAAGGCGAGAGTTAAGCTTAGCCATCTCCAAAGTTCAGATGATAACCAAGAAGAAGAGATGTAGGTTGGCATAGGCAATAGGCATAGTAGAACAAACTTTTGTTGTTGTAGGCTGTAATAGTATGAGTTGGAATCCCTTTGTTCGGTTGGTAGAGTTGGACCATCTGTTGGCTGTTAAATAACAATTTCTTCTGCATTAATACAATTTTATCTTTAAACTTATCCTGTTGAGTAGTCACTTTCCTTTTTTAACAGATAGTTGGGGTGTCTGTGTGTTAGACTATAGAACTTAGCTTCTTTCTACTCCTCCTAAACAAGCTCAATCACCAGTAAATGCAATATGCAGCTAAACATGATGAAATACACCTTGACTGATGCAGTTTCCATAACCTAACTATCGCATACATGGGTAAACACTCACTTGAAGGTTTGTTAATAATACAGGTCATATATTATTTACTTTTAATGAAAATAAAAGAAGATATCTCATATTATCAGCATTTTCCAAAGGTTGGCTGTTGGAGAAAGAGCCCCATAATGTTTAATAAATGATCAATGGCATCACAAGCACGAGGCCAATGCTTATCTTTTTAAGGTGCACTACACCGGCAGTGGCTGTGCATTACAACGAGGGAAATAAACTAAGCCATATGTCCATTATAGAAATGGGTATAAATGTCCATTTTAAAGCGGAAAAATATCTTGCGCTTACTTACACATACTCATGAAACAACGAAGTCCAAGAAAATTACAGAATTCTACATCACAGCACAAGCGGCTGCATTTGAATTCAAGTGACTCCTAACAGTTTCCTTTATGCAATGTAGAACTATCCAACTAACTAAAGCACATAGAAGAAGAAAAACTGAATCTCTACTCTCTTTACAATGATACTGCTCAACTAGGCCACTTAATTTACAAGGTGGAGCAGCAATTGAACCACGTTAAAATCTCTGCCAGTCCATGTTCTTTACAATTTATCCATCCCACAACCAGGTTAACATCAATCCCTTTTATAAAAATATCTTATTTACTAAATAATGTTTTCAGTTCCTTTTCTTTGGGCCTAGTTTGTGATTAGAAGAACTCAAAAATAATAATAATAATAAAAAAAATACATTTCCTAAAACTGTTTCTAATGTGTCCCATTGAACCCAGAAGATGTATAAACTGAAAACATAATGGTATAAACCTCACTGCTGGCAGCAGAGTATTGAATCCTGTCAAAGTACAGAGCTGAAACTTTCGATGGGATCAGATTCTTCAAGCATGGACGCTGCTTGAAAGCAGTCAGCGGCATCACTTATTCGGCCATCATGCTTGTGAACCAATCCCAAGTAATACCAAGCCATGCGGTTTGTCGGTTCTATTCTGAGTGCATCAGACAGTAAGCTTTTTGCAGTAGCCAAATCCTTTGAACCCATTCTTTGAATTAAAGCACCCATCGAGATCTTGCATGGAACATAGTTTGGGTCAAGCAGTACAGCATTAATGGTAGCATGAAGAGCTTCCTTATTTTGCCCACGTCCTTCAAACAAAACACCTGGCAGAAGCACACGGGAAAGTATACAACATTACAATGCGTATCTCAAAGTAGGTCCCCTCAAATATTTATACAAGTAGATTATTCTAAGCTTGTTGCGTCATTCCAGCTTGTTATCTGTTTATGCTCTACCTTCATACTTTCATGGAAGCGACTTTACAATATTAAAATTTTTAAGATCATTACATGTGGATCCAGCCTTGGGCCTATGACCAGGCATAAGCAGATAGGATTATGGATCAAATTGGACCCAATAAGGGGCTGGGAAGTCATATGCGTTGGCATATGCCAAAATCTCCCTCAAACTACTGTATTCAACTCCTAGTCATTAGAGCAGATGCTCCCAGGATCATTAGAGACTTATTGGGCCTTATCGGATCCATAATCCTATCATAAGCACTGCCTGATAGGACAGGGGCTCTGCAGGTAGAGGATTGAATCCCTGGTCCTGCCTTACCTCAATTACACCAAAAGGGGTGGGAGAGGAGGAAAGTAAGTTAAACATGCTAAAATAGAAAACTTCAAACAGCACAAAAATTTTAGTCTTGCCTTCAGTGTGCATCAATGCTGCAGAGTATTCCTTCAACTCCCTGGCCTTTTGCAAACAGATTTCAGCATCCTTCCAATGACAAAGACTGGCATATAAATTTGCCAGACCATGCCAAATATCAAATTCATTTACTTTATCATCCTCAACCTGGAAAGAGTTGATAAAATGAAAGTAAGATTGACATTGCAGTCAACAATTTAAAAATGAAGGGTCCCATGAAGCAATAAACATTTCAGTTGTTTTTCTTTTCTTCTTGTGGGGGGGTGGGGGGCATTCTTTTTCTCTTTACCCATCAAACAAAAACTTCCTTTCAGTAAAACCAAAAGAAAGAGGGCAGCACTTAAACTTCAGTAAGAATGACAATAAACAGGAAACATCAGAGCATAAAAAATAAAAAAATGATATTCTTTTACCTTGTACATTTTTTTCCTCCGAAAATCATGGCTACATCTTTGAAATACTGGTTTTTACAGGATTATAAATAAAGCTTCACAGATAAAAGCCTTCTTCATGAAATTGACTCAATTTTTCCATACAGTTTACCTTTTAGCAACAGTAAGAAATGCTTCTTCCTGTGATTTTTGTTTGGTAAATGCCATCACCATGGTTTTTAGTTTCTTTGAAGTCAAATCTATAATGGTACAGAATTTTAGGTAGGAATATCAGCTTCTTTTCCATTAATGCGGGGTAAATAACTGGGCATAATTGGAATCTTGTTAAGAACAATCGACAGCATATTTAGAGGAAATCCACTTCTCCCATTACATATGAATAGCTACTAATACAGTCAAAAGCGAATTTCATTAGGATGTGACTCAAGTAATTTAGTAATAAAAAACTATTATAATTACCAATCTCACATGAAAGTGATGTGTCTTGCTAATATCAAATTGATGAATGCTGAAAGAAGAAAAGATGGCAGAAGCTTACCTTTGAACTAATTCGGAGAGACCCATAGGATCGCCTTTGGGCTTGAACCAATGCAAGAAGGTACCGGTAAGTTTCAGTAGCATCCATTGGTTGTGATTGGGAGACCTTCAGCTTTACTTTGAGCCTAAGCAATGGCCCCTGCTCCCATCTTGCAGTCTGATCTAAAGCTGTATCTGTCACCACTTCAGCTTCTGAAAATCTTTGTTGTGCAGACAAAATTAGAGCAAGCAATCTCCAAGCTTTCAATACAGAACCACCTGTTACATTAAAGAAATGCCTCGCATATCGCAAAGCAGCAGTCAAATTCCGGTTCTCTGCATACTGAACAGCCAACTCAAAAATCAAATCAGCATTGTTTGGTTCCAATCTAATTGCCTCCTCCAATGACTCCAGTGCTTTGGACTGAAGGTGAGACCTTTCGAAGTCAGAGGAAGCAATCTTAGCTTGCTTTCGCAGACAAAGTCCCAAGATCCGAAGAGCAACACCTTTCAAATGCTCCTTTGGGCCATGTGCATTTCGGATTGCCCTCTGCGCATGGCTCACTCCCTCAGCAGCAAGATGGGGATCCTCACTGCAGATCCTGGCAGCTAACAATAGTGATGTAAGGTCATTTGGTCGTTCATGTTTGTGCAAAGACTTCCTTAGCAGATTCAAAGCACTGTCATTTTGTTCAGCTCCACTATGACATAAGGCTAAAGAATTCCAGCGATCAACCCGATGGTATACTCCAGGCATCAAGTCTTCAAGTTGCTTTGCTAAAATAGAAGTTTGGCTGCATATAGAAAGAGCAAAAGTCAGATGCTCCAGGACAGAAGGATCCCATTGCATCTTACCAAGGCAAAACTTTTTCAAAAGGATCATCAATATCAGAATGGCCTCTTCAAGATTATTTTTGGGTACATATGATCCATCAATCTGAACTGCTAAACTAGGTGGACTTGCTTCCACCCCACTGTACAGCAAAAAAACAACAAATGATTTCTGAATTCTTGCACAACAATCATTATCAAGGTTCCATTGACTAAGGAGAGCACGCCTATAAGCATAGATTGCCTCGTCATAACAACCAGCTAGTTTCCAGAGCCCTGGAAGGAGCTCTACTGCATGGCTGACTATCTCTTGCAATTTATTATCCACTTGAATAACAGGTATACCCTGATAGACTATCTTCTCAACAGCATCAAGAATACGTTTACAATCATTAGCAGCCTCTGCAGAATTCATTAAACAAGCATTTTAATGCATTCATTCTGACTAAGAAATATAATATTGATAGTGTGGGGGGAATCATTCACATTCAGAACGAAAAGCAAGATTAAGAAAGTACACAACAGGTGGAGGACAGCTTTCAACAACAGTCAAGACTATATTCAATACCAGTAAATTTCCCCAGTTTTTGTAGAGACTTTGCTTTTAAGTAGATGGCTTCAAGCACCAAACTAGCAGCATGCTGAGAGGCTGACAAAGGTGATTCAGTGTGAGTGCGACCTTTCTTGACTGGCAATTTTTCAGAAAAGGATGGTTGCAATCGCTGAATGGCAGCTTGGAGATCAATCCCATCAAACACACGAAGCGCACCTTCTACATTACCTCTCTGATACTCCAACTTTCCAAGAAGAGCTCTTGCTTCCTGTAAGTTTTAAAAGTAACCGTGAGGCAAAAATCTAACATCTGATTAATTCATCCCCAAAAATGCTGCTCCAATCCAGTGGCAAGAATCAAGGCATGCAAGATCTTCACAGGCAAACATCTAAGGGACCATTTGCATCAAATTTACCTACTGTACCAACTATAGAGGTCCATTACTTGTATTGGCATATTTATCTAGCTTCAAATCCAATTACATTATGCTCATGTGTAAAAATTGTAAGGCATAATACATTTAATCATCACAAAAGAAAAATGCATGGTCTCACAAATATGAAAATTTTATTCGGTAAGAGGAAATATCCTAATGTTTGACTCAGAAGAAGTTTATCCCCAAGTCGTTGAAGGTGTTACGAATGACAAAATATTTACTGTTATCCTAGAAAGGGCAGGAATTAAAATTTTATTCATTCAAATTTTATTATTTTTGTTCTTGTTGCTTACCCTACGCCAACCCTGTAACATCAAACAACTTATTTCCAGTAATTACCCAAAAAGTTTAAGTTGTTCAAAATGTAATCATAGATCAGAGTCCAAATACAGCCAAAAGGGGGACAATTTAGACAATACAAAGAAAGACTTTATGAATGGCATGGATTAATGCATTTTCTGATTTTCAGTAGGTTAGGAGTTGGGACCAGAGTCTTCTACGGCTCTGATTTTCAGGTAAAGAAAATATTGATAGATGCAAAGGCCTTAAATTAGCTCTAAGATTAAAGTTCCAAATATATCCTACAAAACCGGGAAAACACTTATGCCCTCCAAATGTCCACTGTTTCATTATTAACATAATTGATGAACTTGCTCTCACTTGTTTCAATAGGTTGCTCCAAAACAGAAATATGTGTGACAACATAATGAAATTGAAATAATTAGCAAGCATGATGAGCACAAATTACAGGCCAATTTTTTAAAAAAAATCAGAAGATAAGCAACATTGCTTGCAATCTAAGTAGCAGTCTGATCCTCAGTTTTTCCTTACTATTTACAAATACAAAATATACAATCTATAAGCAGCTTCCACCGAATGTCATAAAAGGGAAACAAAAGAAAACTCATTCAACGGAAAAATGGCAAAAACTAGCCAGTAAACAAAGTGATAAGTCTGATTTGTTAAAGGACTGGAAGCGTTAAGAAACTGACCTCAAAATTGAGTGACAACCCGTCTCGCAATGCATCTTCTGCCTCTTGAATATTTCCTTGATCAAGCTTGGCCTCAACTTCTGATGCAATCATGCGGCTTCCATTTGCATGGACCTCTCGAACTGACCCGCTCTCATGCTCACTGGACTCCATCAATCATCTCCCTCCTACCTGCACACACCCCATAACCACATTTTCCAAATAATTTCCAATTTCTTTACCCCTTGATGCTTCAATGTCACTGCACACTCATCATTTGCACTTTAAGAAAACTAAACAAAAACTCATAACATCGATGTTGGAAACTTCAGAATCACACACACACACAACATATATAATATAACAATGCCTTATAGGATTTAACTCCCCTACAAATGCACGTTTCTTCACCAGCAAAACTCGTTGCTCGTTTACTGGCGTTCCATGATAATGCAAAAGCATCAAACTTTGGAAGAAAAGTTGAAAATTGTAATAAGAAAATGAGTGGGGAGAAGAGAATTTGCAGATCCAGGGAACAACGAAGAACAAAAAATAAAAGAAGGGGTTTTGAGACTCACCAAAGCAAAGTGACGTAGGAGAAAAGGTGGAGATGCAACAGTGAGCTAAAACAAGATCTAAGGGACCCTTTTGATCAAAGTTGCATTCAAGTTACCCTATGTTTGTTTTGTTCTGTTTTTGGGAAAAAACAAATAGAAAGAAACAGAACAATGGTGGTGGGTGGTGTGAGGTCAACCGCTGTTACAGCTAATGCAAAATCTACTGAAATTATTAGTCCTTTCTATACGCAAAAGTCTTGGGTTTGACGCAGAGGAACTACGAATATTGCAGCAAGGGACTCGGAATGAAGTATCGTTTGGTAAAAGAGGGTCTAAAGTCAATTTTTTTTTGGTAACAAGAATTCAGAGGCACATTAGATTAGAGTGCATTGTGGGGATTGGGAGCATTGGTTTCATAATCCCTTTTTTTAAGGTTTACTTGACTTACCTAATACTATTTTCTTTTATCCATTTACCTTTTTTGCCATAACTTTTAATTTTTATTTTTTTTTGTCTTTCTAAATTGAGTTGCACGTAATTTTGGTTTTTGAATTTTTTTACTTTTAAAATTATGTAAACTTAATATTTTGACAAGTTTTTTTATGATTTTATTTTTTATTTTTTACTTAAAATGTTTAAAAATTAAATTTTATTTTACTAAAAAAAAAAATTCAGAATTTTATTTATTCAAATCTTAATCTTTCATTTTGTAAAGTTGTTCAAATTTTATTAAGCTTTCATTACATTTGTTACTTTAAGTTTATTTAATGATCCGGTTTCATTACAAACTATTGTGCATTTCATTACAAGCAAAGGTTTAACTGTTTGGGTCTCTTGTTTTTGTGGGTTTGTTAGTAAAATAAATATAAAAAATTTAAAATAAAATATTTATTATTAGAAATATTTTAAAAGTTTAATAAACTTTAAAATAAATTATATCATATTTTTAATTTTTAATTTTTAATTTTTAATTTAATCATACACGTATAATACGAAAGAAAATATATAATTAATTATAACTTAATTTTTTATCTTCTTTTTTAAGTATATATATTTTAAATTTTATTTCTTCTTATTTTAATATATTTGAATTATACATTTAATATTATTTTTTTCTGTATCATTGAATACATTACAAATTATGTGTAAAAATTAAATTTTGAAAAGAAAAAAGAAGATAAATATTTTTTAAAGTTAAAAATATAATAAAATACTTATAAAAACAAAACAAAAAAAAAACTAATACATTCAAATCATATTAATGTATTATTTTTAAGATATAAAATATATTTTTGCTTTTTTTTTTTTTTTCAAAACTAAACTAGCAAACAATAACAAACTTCACCCCGATGCTTGTAAAGATGTCCTTTATGCTTATCTTGCTCAATGTAATGGCTCGTAAAAAAAAAAAATGAAGTGTACATATATATATATATAAATCAAGTGAAGTTGGTACCTGTTACTGTTATTTCAAGTTGGTCTTCACTTTCAACACTCTCAGAACCTTAACCATGGATTTGCTTTCAATCTCTCCGTCTTACCCATTAACTTCGATTCGTACCTTTTCCATAAACTCAAAGCCACCCATTTCCTCCTTCAATCCCAAAACCCTAGTCCCCTGTTTGCGTTCTAAACCATACAGAACCCTACTCAATTGCGTCTTCACGGCCTCGCCACTACCTTCCAAAAATTCAAACTTTGGGTCCCAAACTCAAAAACCCAGAATCACTTTTCAGCTTTCTGCGCCGCAGACGGCGATGAGAGGCGCAGAAACCGATGCTATGGGGCTGTTACTGAGGGAGAGGATCGTTTTTTTGGGTTCCAACATTGATGATTTCGTGGCTGATGCTATTATGAGCCAGTTGCTGCTATTGGATGCTAAAGACCCCACTAAAGATATCAAACTCTTCATTAATTCCCCTGGTGGCTCTCTCAGGTTAGATCAGATGAGGTTTTTGTTGTGTTCCTTTTTAGAATGGTATTATGGTAAATGTATTTGATGAAGTGGATTGGGAAGAGAGGATTAAAGGGTATGAAAAGGAAGGGAGAAAAATGACTTTATTTTTTTGTTTTATTAAAATTTTCTGAAAACATAACGATACAGGGAATTAGGATAAATGGGGAGGGCGTGGTTTAAGTTGTTTTGTTGTTTAATTAGTGTTTCTAGTGATTACATGGTGGTGATCAAATGCTTTCTTGGTGATACTACTGCTTGAAACATCAATGAGTTTGTTTGAAAAAGCAAGGGTTCTATGTTTAATTTGGCATGGTTTTTATGTTTGCTTCTTATGGATTCCGGTTGACTATTTTGGTACCTGTCAACCCTTCTGTGGACTGTTAAGTATGAAAATCCTTTTGTTTGCCTGCCAGGAATTTATATTATTTGTCAAGTTTAGTCAGGGCATTGCAAAGTCTTTTCTGGTTTGTGTTGAAATATTTTGCTTAGTTGTTACTTTTGCCTTTATGAGTTTTGCCATTTTAGGAGGACATGTTATCCCCTGACTAAGAGCCTTTAGGGTGTGTTTCGTATGTTTTTATTTTAGGTTGATATGTTTTTACTGAAAATTATAAAAATGCTGCACTGTTTTCACATTGTTTCATGTTTTCATGATTTTGTTGAGGAAATTATGATATCATTAAAGCAGAAAACAAGGTAACATTTTCATACTTATTACTGTCAACTTATCAACTGACACTTAAAAATAAAAACACACACCATTATCTTCTATCATTACTTTCGGTTCTTCAAATTCACGCATGAGCCCAAATGAAATGCACAAAAGCTTGTTAACTGAACTTTAAAAAGAAAGGTACATTGACTTGAGGTATAAGAGAGTTGGCCTATTTGCTCTTGATTTTTTGTTTTCATCCTTCCTGCTGTAACTAATGGATGATTTCTGTTATAAACTTTAAGTTGCTGAATGCAACAATGTTCATGTTTGTGGTTGGAAATATATCCAAACCCTATGTTATTGTTTCCTAAGCTCAAGTTCGTCTAAATTTTCTGTAGATGTGAGAAGGGAAGTGGGAAAAAAATTTGATGAATGCATTTTGTTTTCTCAATTTTTCATTTCTCAGCTTTTTGTCTTTGTTTTCTTATTAATGTGTTAACTGAAAGCCAGACGAATAGAAGTACAAGTTAATATATTTTTCTGGTCAATATATCACCAAACCATTGGCAGTCATGCATTTGAACCTATGAATCATGTATGTTTAAAGAAGAGCATGCTCTTATTTGACTGTATTTGGTTACACCCTATACAGTACTTGTGGGAAATGAAAAATGATGTATTTTAATATTTGACAGTTGTTAGATGCCGTCTGAACATGGTTCAAGGGGTAATAGACTTATTTAAGTTATAGTTCTATATGTTTGTAGTTTTTTTTAGGGTACACCGACACATATATGGAGTTCTAGTGTGTTGTGGACATGTCAGTCTTATGTGAGAAATGACTCATATATTTTGTTTGTTAGATTTGTGCAAGTGATCAAGTTGAAGATTAAAGCATCAAGTCAGGGCACCTGACCATTTTAAAACATTTCATTACTCAAATCTAATATTCTAGATTCATTCCTCTCATTTTCCTTGTAAGATTGGCTTTTACACTCTTAAATATCTCTAATTGTCTATGATATGTTGTGCCCTTGGGCCTTGACTCCTAGTGGCTAGTGTTTTAGATTTTTTCATGTTACTGTGTGCCCTGTTGTGTTCATGTCCAGTGCCAATTCTGCGCTTCTCAATGTCAATTTGCCTAAACTGCTTTGTGGACTTCCATTTGTTTCAATCCAACTAGTCTCTATTATCTGGATTCGCTGAGTTCCAAGTTAAGAGTGTGTGATGATTTTGAATCAAGCATTACAACTCTTTATGAAAGTTAGGGCATTACTGTTCAAAGTAGATTTATCTTCACTCTGTAAAGAAATAATAATCATTAATTCCATTGAAGCTCAGAATCACCCATTTTCAATAATGTTAAATGGCATTATGCTTTCCCCCTTAAGTAAGGTCTTGGATTTGCGTCTTGGGAATGGAAAAATATGTTTTGGAGAGCTTTGTCCCCTCAGTGGGTCCACCTGACTCAATTTAGATTAGTTGAGGTCCAAAGTGACTTCCAGTTATTGAGGGTATTGGACAGAAACAATGGCATTAAACTTCAGTTCTTGGGTTGTAACATGTAAAATCTTGTGAAGGAAAAATATTATTTATGTTAGTAGTTATTGTTTTGATGATAGTCTTGAAATAAATGCAAAATGTGACAAACAAATATGATAGTCAGTTTCATAGGTTTCCTGTTGTTTGATGAGGTCTGCTTTAAGACTGTTGTGTGTTAAACATTCATGTGGTTTAAAGCGCAGATCTGAAAGAAATTGAATTAAACCAATCAAGTAAAACTGGTAGAAAAAACGGTAAAACAGTTAGAATTTTATAGTGATTTGACATTGTGGAAATTGAGGTGCATTGTGCAAAGAATTCTATTCCGAATGGAGAATGAAAACTGAGTTTGGTCATCAATTGACAAATTAAGGTTCTATATTTATCTTTGTTGGATACTAAATGATATCGGTAGGCTATCCAGTATCCAAGCATCAGAGTGATTGCTGAATCTTCATTCATTTCTGTAATGTTTTTTTTTTTTCATTTGCATTAAATTCATTGATCTTAATTTTCTCGTGTGATTTTTACAACCTGGTGTGCATTAGAGTTTTTAAATTGTTAACTAGTTTTTTTTATTAATATCAGGGGAAAAAAACCATTTCTTATACCCTATTATCACATCTCCTTCATGTAGTTTGAAAGAAAGGTGTAACTTTTCCACGCTTTGGTTAAATATTAATTAGCACCGTAACACCATGCTTTATCCTTTCAATGTTGTTATGGAATTTGCTTGTGATCAAACTCCAGTAGCATGTGTACTACATGCCCCTTGAAATCTATGCTTTCTTTTATGCATGTTTTTATTTTTCATTGCAAGTGCTTGTTCTGTTTGACGCCTTACATCCTTTTTTTCTGCTGATTTACTTTGCATATTATTATCCAGTGCTACAATGGCTATCTATGATGCCGTACAGCTTGTGAGGGCTGATGTTTCCACCGTTGCACTCGGGATTGCTGCATCAACAGCCTCCGTTATCCTTGGTGGCGGCACTAAAGGCAAACGTTTTGCTATGCCCAACGCACGAATTATGGTTCATCAACCTCTTGGAGGTGCTAGTGGACAAGCTATAGATGTAGAAATTCAGGCTAAAGAAGTTATGCACAACAAGAATAATGTCACAAGAATTATATCAGACTTCACTGGACGCACATTTGAACAAGTGCAGAAAGATATTGATAGGGATAGATATATGTCCCCAATTGAAGCAGTTGAATATGGAATCATTGATGGTGTAATAGATAGAGATGGCATTATCCCTCTTGTGCCAGTGCCAGAAAGGGTGAAATCATCACTGAACTATGAAGAAATAAGTAAAAACCCCAGGAAATTCCTGACCCCAGATATCCCTGATGATGAGATATACTAGTTTCAAATGATTGATAAATGATATTTATATCCCTGAATGGTGGAGAATGCTGTAACAAACACTAAAAGATGTAGAATTGTCTCATATTTTTCTTGAATTTTTAATTTTATTTCATGTGTGGGTGTGTGAAAATTTGTGATCTAGTTATGGGAAATTTTTTTGGTTATCATTATTTTGATTGTTTCTTCCTAGAAAAGTATTAGAAATACACTCTTTAATACACTTTAAGTTATTGGTTAAAATTTATTAAATATTACAAAATATAAAAGAGAATTATTAATTAAAAGTTAGAAAGAGTAAAATTCACATAACCTTTGTAGTTTTTAATAAATTTTAATCAATAATTAAGAATGTATTAGGAAAAATGCTAATAAAATAATCTCTTTAACACATTTTTTATTATGTTTTACTAGTTAAAGCTTTCTTAGTTTTACTAGCTTGGTTTTTATTTTAATAAAAAATAATTTGTTGTTACAAAGAAAAATGGGATCTCTCCATTATACCTTAGTTAATTCTTTTCTCAAGAATTTTACTTGATTTCATGGAAGAGAAGGAAAAAAGAAGAATTGAACTAAAAAATAAGAATAAAATTTTGATTTTAATTTTTAAGTTAATTTTTCTCTCATTTTTATTTTCAATTAAATGATTTTTTTTCAGTTAATCATGTTTTCTTCTTCTTTTTTTTTTTTTTTGGACACCTAGGGATGTCAAAAATGAATCAGTTACTTGCAAAAATAAGTTAACTTGCCCTACCTGTATAAAATATGAGTTAAATTTTTTAATTTGATTTATTTATGGGTGAGGATGTGCTAGCTAGCGGATTAATGGACTAGGCTGTTGAAGACAAAAATATTAAAAAGGTTGATGAGCTTATGACTAAATGGCCCAATCTACCTAAAATTAACACACAAGTTAAAAAAACAAAAATTAATAAAATTTTGTTATAATAATAAAAGTTAATATTTAATTAATACATGATTATTTTTATTTTTAAAAATTAAAAATAAATTTGACGAATCAATTCCATCTGATTAATCATTGACTCACATTTTAGCTGGCAAAAAACAAAGTGAGCTAAGGTGTAAACTATTCGAGTGGTCCAACCCACTTATGATCAAATGCATGTATATATATGATTAAAGTGAAAGCAGTTTATTAGAAAAGTTAAATCCCTCTGCTTTACACTTGGCTCAAAATGGTGATGCTGTATGTGTACAACATAATATGGTAAGCAAAACATAAAATAAAATAAAATTCCATTACTCTATTTTTCATTAACACTTCAAGGTCGTATTGAAGTGAAAAGCTAGGCCACTATCCCTTCATTTGCATTGTGTGAAATCAATGACTCACGATTGCTGAAATTTTTTACTAAATGCCAACATTTTGGATTCAGTTTTCGCTTGTGATACTTTATTGAAATATTATTTGTTAGTATTAAGGATTTTCTTAACTTTTAAGATTGAATTAAAAAATTTTGCTTGTGGCATAATTTGGAATGATACCATTCCTCCTAATCTTCTCCTTACCTAAAACATCATCTTACGTAACCTGTCTTGCATGTAACCGGTTATATTAATATAAAAACACTTTATTTTTATGTGGTTTTTGGTGGGCAAATATACTATATACGTGATGTGTTGCATTTGCTAGAGTCTTCTTGTTTGCATAAATCCAAACTTTAAATTGTCATGCAATTTGGGGTACATATATGTCGTGAAGTACTCTTTCCATTGTCATTAAAAAGTTTGGAGATACTCTAAACTAATCTTATGCTTGACCCCTTGTTATGCACAGGTTAACATAAGTTTTTATTATTAGATACATAAAAGAATAAAATTGTAATCAATGATAAATTAAAATTTATCAATATTGAATATGAATTAAATATATCAACATAAACTATCATATTGTATACAGGGTGGTGCAAATATTTGTAGAAACTTGACATGCAAATAAAGATCTATCAGATGCACGGGTTAAACAGGTTACTAACTTTTAAGTAGTTAATGCATAATTAAATTTTGTTATATTTATTTCTATAATTTATGTATTAATATTGTTTATATAAATATTTATTTTCGTGTATATTTATGAAGGTGGTAATATGTCATAGGAAGAAGGTTAAACTGTAACTTCCACCTTTTATTTACAAAGTTAAAACCTATTTCCTTGAGATATTTTTCAAGTATGAAGTTCTCATATTCACTTATTTGGTTGGATAGAAAAATATATATTTTTTAATGTAAACAAAATTTTATTCCTCAAAAAAAAAAAAAATTACTTGTAAGGAGATTCTGCATCAAACTTTAGAAGATAAAAGAGACACAAATGTGAAAAGTGAAAAATGAGAGGGATAATATAGAAAAGTGAAAAAAAAAGTGAATGAATAAGTGAAGTACCAATAAAAACTTAACATGTTTTTGTCCTTAATTACACATTATTTATTTTAATTTGAATTTCGATAAAGAAGGTTTTATCGTTAATGTTGTCCTAGTCCTTTGATACCAATATTGCGAGATTAGCATTATGGCTAAGTATAAAAAGTCAAATTAAAAATAATAATTGGATAGCAATATTTTTTAATATAATGTATTCATTTCCAAAATAATTTTTCATACTTTAATGTTCATAAAACCATACGAGGATTTTATAACATTAACCTACAGAAAGGACTAAGCTAAAGCAATTATATATGAAATTAATTATAGTATGAGGATTAGAATGAAATAGTTTTCATGCAAACATTAAATTAAAAATGAAGTGTAGGAAGACATAATTTAACAAAAGAAAATGTCAATAACGATGAGCACTGTTCTGTACCTCAGCCTTTGTCACGAATGACACAAAATGCTGCCGACTAATCAAGAGTGGACCCTTTAATTAGAGACTAATTAAACAATTAATCAAAAGTCATAACTGAGTGGCTGTCACAAATTCAAAAGCAAAAAGAGTAACTTTGTCTTCTATTGCTGAAAAATTAGGTAAGCATTGCCGGATTAACCAAATATTCCCTCTTTGTTATGCCGTTTCGTAGTTTGACTGTGATATTAATTCAAAGTTCAAACTGATATACTAACAATCAAACTCTGTCCATTTCTTTTCACAAATTATGCCTGCACGATAGATAATATATTCCATTTTTTATGTTCCATTCTCTTCTCTTCTTCTTTCAACAACTACCAGTTAAGTTAGACAGGCAAACTACCATAACGGTTGCCACATACAACTACTATGAGCTTCATTCTCATTCTTGCTGTAAATTCAAGAACCCCGAAGCTTAAATCTTGTCTCAATATATGTACAGTTTTGCTAACTCATTAGTATTGAGTTTAAATATTTAAAATAATTTTTTTATTAAAAAGATATTTAATATAATAAAGATACAAAAGTGTAGTAAATATTTTTAATAAAAAAATATATTTTTAAATGATTCATTTTAATTTTAGAAGATAAAATTAACTGAATCAACGTATATATAATTCAAACCAATGTGATATTTTCTTATGGTGAAAGTCAAACATTTACATGATACCACTTATTGATTAAAGGACTTGTGATATATTTTGATAAGTTAAAAATTGTTAGCAATACACTCTTTTGTTTTATTTAATATACTTTATATAATTGGTCTATTTTTTAAAAATTAAAGTTTTGTTTCATAAATTGATAATTTTTTAAATATTACTTTAACTTTTTTTAAAAAAATATAACCAACTACAGAAATATGTTAAAAATGTGTTTAAAATAGTGTATTATTAGCATTATTTTTTTAGTTAAATGCCTATCCATTAACATTTTGTTGTAGGGTAACTTATGACAAAAAAATAATCATAGAATTTTTTTAAAAATAAAAACATATTTTTTAATAAGATAAAAAAAAAGTCATTTAAATAAGCTTATTATGAGTGATATCACGGATGCAAGTAGCAAATTGATTAATCTGCCTGCATGATTGGGACTTAGGAGGCGTGCTTAATGGTGTCCTCTTCTTTTTGTTCCAAAGAATTAAGTAACAATAATTGATGTTGCAATTAAGCAGCCACGGCTGATATAATTGCCTGTTTTAATATATTTCCAAAATTGATGCATCACTCACTCTATCATGTAGTTATCTTTCATCTGTGTGTTGTTAAGTGTTAACCACGTCATTATGAAGTGTGAGGATTCTTTTCACTTCTTGTAATATACTAAAAATTCAATTGATTAAGGCATGGTATTAAATGTTCATATTCATATGTGACTGTTCCTAAACCAATTCCTTCTTGCATCGTTTGTTCTGCATTATACTCAACACGTCTCTTTTGCAACAGCAATGGTGTTTGAAGATTTAAAGTAGATACAATTCCATATCAGGCATGTGTAGATTGTAGACAGCTTTGTAACATTCTTTACAAGTTCATTTTACTAGAGCTTTTTTTATTTATAGTACAATCGTTTACAAATTTGGTCCAATCAATGTTGTGATTGTTATTTATTTCGTTGTCTTGTTAAAAAGGAAAGATAGAGTGTGGCTTACACCAAGTCTAAAATCATTAAACAGTATGTGAGTGCGGATAAAATAAAATAAAATAAAATAAATTTAATTTTCTATAAATTACATTTAATTAACTATAACAAAAAATGAAAAAACGGTGCAATACTCACACTTGATTTTATTAATCAATTCACAAGACTTCATATGATTAATTGAAAAAGAATCAAGGTCATGCAATAACAAATTTAAAAAGACCACAAAATAAGTAAGCCTAAACATATTAATACAAGAAATACCATTAAATGACATGATCTTATTGACTTTCTTGTCATACAGATCACACGCAAAATATGTAAGCAGTCTCAATTAATAAGATAATAGAACACATATGGAACTTAATTGATCACTTCAATTGTGCAACCAGACTCACATACCCACAAAATTGGGGAGAGGGGGACTCTGTATACAACTTGAACTTTGGTCAATTTTGTCTCTATTTAATTTTTTGCACTTGTGCGAATTGAGTAACACACCACTTCAAAGCATTTGCTTAACTAATCATAAGACATGACTATAAATTGAAGTTCAATTCTTATAATTTGTGTATAAGGACACGCAGCAAGAATTCAATAAATAGTAATTTTATATACAAATTCTAATACTTAATATTACTGATGCATTAAATTTGGTAGTTCATTAATAAAAATTTATTATATAAAGTTTTGTGTAACCATCATTGAGCAAGGATTTTCACATTGCTATAAAGAAATTCATGGACGTGGGTTGAAAGAAGGTGGCTGCAGTGCTAGGCCAACAATGAAAGCGCCATCTCAACAGCTTCCTATATTAAATCGAAGAACCACCAATGAATATTCCTGAGCGTGTCCCTTTCACACCATCATCATCCAATTGCAACACCTGCGGCAATTTGTTTAGTACTTAAGATCACCAAATTGTCATTATATTAATATAACGATTCCCTTTGCTTGATTCAAAAGCTAAAAACTTTTCTCAGTTTTAAACCTGCCCATCAAATTTCCACGCGGTTTCTAACCATTCAAGACTATATTTACCGCCGCAAGATTTTCGCTTTCATTGTATAGAAGAGACAAATGAATGGTACACAGAATCTTCTGCAGTATTTTTTTTCACTCTTAGGTGCCACTGTTCTGATATTGATCTATTTATTTTAGTAAGGAACTATTTACTATTAGTTTGTCATGAAACAAAGTAAATGCCGAGTTCTAACAAAGTTTTTTTTTTTTTTCATTTTCTGTGCAAGTTCTAATTTTTTCTTAGTTTCACGTGTGAATTGTGCATGTTATTAGTTGTCATGCTTTTAGGATAAAACAGTTCCTGAACTGATACTGATCAAGTCTTTTTCTTTTCTTCCTTGATTTTTTAAGGAATAATCGCTAGTTTGACATAGTTCAAAGACTTGGCTTGTGCTTCTGGGGTTGAATTTTTAGAGAGTGGTATATAACAGGTTTGAATTTTGAAATAATAGACTATTCATTTTCTTGGTTTTGGAGAAGGGTATCATCATGGATGATAGAGAATTCAGCTGAAAAATTTATATTCTGAAACCTGAAAGGCTCTACCAATTACCAAACTTGAGTTGAAAACAGTATCAAGGAGCAGCTTCAAGTTTTGACCTGAGGAAGGGAGGGGAAGTCTCATGGACATGGAAGGAAGAGGGTTTTCTGGCTTATACAAGAACTCTAGTGAGGAGTTGTTTCTGAAGACAGTGATGGAGAGCCCTATTGGTATGCCAGTGCCTACTATGGAGATGTTGGGTTTAAAGGCTGTTTCTCAAAGCTTCCGCACAGATAGTGAGGAACTCTTCAAACGTTGGTTAACAAATGGAGAGGCAAGCCACTACATGACATATGATCATGCTATTTTTTGTTTGCTGTTTTTGTTCTGGCTTGTGTCAAAGCAGAAAATTCCCTTGATGTCACTTTGTTTGACATATCTTTCCCTTTCATGTTTTTGATAGAATTCCTGAACTTCATATATCTGACTTGTGTATGTTCAGTGCATATGCTAGTTGACTATGATCAGGAGTATAGAAAGTGAAAAATCTAGTACCATCAGTTCCACTCATCTGGACTTCATTCACGATGTGATCGCATTTTTGCAAGATTTTATTTTCAATATAGCTCAGTTACTCAGGTCAGGGTAAAGGAGGTGGGCTGCATTAAGCCCTCGACAACCAACATAAAACTTGTCGACCTTATATAGTTGGATTAGGCTTTGTTATTTTTGTTGTATATATAGATCAATTTCTCCTCGAAATTTCTACCTTCAGTAAGTACTTCTCTCCCCGACCAAACACATATGCGAAACACCAGACCATTTATTATTTAACCCATCCATCTGTTTTGAATTGCTCATTGAGTGATTCTTTTCTTACTCTCAATGCTTTATTTCCCTCTGAATAGATTTTTTGCAATGAAATCAAGGTCCGCTGATTTTTCTCTATCCTTTGTGGAATTTAAACGATCGCTTGTTGAACATAACACAGTAAAGCAAACAAAATGAGTTATGTTATGTTGTCCTTCTAACACGTAAAATAAAATCAAACATAATAAAAATAAAGACAATTTGATTTTTTCTACAAGAACGTTTATGTCATGTAAGGTTGGTTTACCAGGAAGCAAAATTTAATAATAAAATTTTCTTCATATTAAGAGTGGAATTATTTGAATCTGATGTTTAGTTTATCTGACATTGTACTTAAGTACTGCATTAATGTCTGCATATACCAGTTTTTTTATAACATTAATGCTATATAGATATTCTTCTGACAATGGAATTTGTAATTGGATGATGCTTACCTCATGTTTTCCTTTGATTCATTTCTGAATATATTTCTTTTCAATTAATCATCTTTGTTTCCTAAATCAGGGATACAATTCATCTAGCATGGGACTTAACAGTCGATTATCAAAAAGGTGAGTATGTTAGTGAAAGATACACTTTTTGTAGAGTAATAATTGGGTAGATTTCAAAAGTATTCTGGGTATTTAGATCATGATAATATTAATCAAGATATTCAGTTGCAATTTACAAATAACTGTGGTTTTCGTGTTGATCCTGTACTGTGTGGAAGTGCTCAGGGGATCATTGTTTCATTAATATAAGCATAGAGCGGCTAGAATCTTGACATAAAAAGTTTAGAATCTATCGTTTAACTTTGTTATATATTTAAGCAGTGAATTATTAATTTTTCTTGGACACTTCATGCATTTCTTGATGTATAAATCCCGATTCATGTCTTGTGTTGATATTGTGAATCGGTTGTTAACCGCAGGATATCTACTGAACTTGCTAATGTGTCTAATCAGCAACAAGTTGGTTTAGCTTCAGAAGGAAGAAACAATGAAAAACTATACGTGCAAAATAACCTTTTGGCCAATGATGTTTCAGGTGACATCAATTTTCAAATCAGGTAACGGTTATAGTCTTCCTCAAACAGCTGGACTTTGTCATCAATTCAATTATGTATTTGATTGAGAAATTAGTTCAATATTTTGTAACTTAGTTTGCTTACTTTCAATTTTCATCAGGGATCCTGTTGATAGAGAACTGCAATCTAGTAACATGTTTCTGGCCAAGGTTTGTTTATGTCAAACTCTTTGCTGAATCCTTAGTTCAATAAAGCTTCATGGTCATTCATTGTCTCTTTGTTAACGCAGGCCTGGTTTCTTAGTGATCAGAGAGTAACAAGAAGCCGGTCCTCTGAATTGCGGTATTATTATCGCACCTTACGTATATTTGTTCTCCAAAATCATGTTCACAAAAGGCACTTAAAATTATGCTTTATTTAAATCTATCACAAAGTCTCATCACCTTACACTATTTTACTTTATCTGTTGGTTTTTCCATTGTTACAACCATACAAAAGTCATACATTAGATCCTGAAATTTCAACTGTTTGAGAGAAATTTCAAACCACTTATTTGTTAGCCTTTCTTTGCAGGCGAAGGTATACTGAAATGCAAAATGCTCAAGCAAAACAAGGAATGGAATCCATGAGCATGGTCCCTCAGAACGGTGCTGACACTCCAAGACAAGAAATTTCAAATTTTAATGGTTTTGATTACATTACTATGTGTGAGCTTCCTAGCCAAAAGGGATCATTCATGTCTCCATCCAACTCATCTTCATCTACCTTCAACACTCGTCAACTCGTTGATGCAGATAAAGTTTCATCTTGTGTAAGTATGCTAAAAGGTACATTACAACGCAAGAGACTCAGCAATCAAGTTGAGAAAGAATCTGCAGAAGATAGCTTAAATGGACTATTTTGTCCTCAAGAACCTATTTTCCAAACTGGTTTTAATGAAGGACTAGAAAACTGGAATCATCAAAAGCCAAGAAATGTTCAAAGAGCATCCACTGGTCAAGTTAAGGATCCTGAAGTTTGCATTGTCTCTGATGGTTTTGCAAATCAAACAAACCAAATATATGTGGGAACTGCTTCCCAAGAACCTTCTCAAAGTGAATCTTCTGCTGCTGCACCTGTAATCTCCTCTGGTTTGGATGCATGTGAAGGTCCCAGCAATTCAAATCAAACACTTTGTGAAAGCTCATGGAAACAAGTGGGAGTGAGTAGAAGTTCAGAAAACACTCAAAATAGAGTCAAAGGTATAAATATTACATTAAGATGGAATTGCATTAGTTTACTTGTTACATCATATTTATTTTCGCTTTGGTATTTCTATCTATTTTTTCTCCAGTTGTATGAAATTCACAAAAGATTGATATATCCATGGAATGACATCTTGGACCATTTTTTTAACTCCTTGCTTTGCCAATTTTGAAAAAAAGTAATTGGATGGAACATTAGGTTCAGAAATTGAAATCACTTCAATTTGGTAGTTTTTTATGTGAAAACCAATGCACCGAAGCAGTGACTACTAACTTGTAGTCCTCACCATAATTATGTCAGGTTTCTTAAATAATCATATTTAGCAGAAAAGTATCATTTTAGGTTCACTATTTAAATTTCAACCGATGCCCATTTATTTTTATTAAACTATATGTTGTTGAGGAAATCCAGGTGTCAGAGAACAGATAATGGATAATATAAAAGACGATCGGAAGGTATGATCTATTCTTACATGGTAACCTATTTTCCCTAGAATTATGATTTCAACAAGAGATTTGGACCTTTTTTAAAAAAAAAAAAATTTGCGGATTAATCTTGCTAAATTGTGCAGAGGAGTCGTCTAGAAAGATATGGATCTGTAACATCAGCTGTTTCAGGTATGCTCTAAAGCATACATTAGAATTTCGATTCTCTTTATTGCTTGCTCCGATTGGAAGCCTTTGACTATTAATTTTAGAAAACTATGATTTCTTTCATACAGCAACTTTTGTGTTTATTTAACATACATATAGCACACACGTATATATAATATTAATAACACATTAGATGATGATTAGTCAGCTCATTTCCTATTAAGAACAGGGAAAGTGACACGTAAAGAGAACAAGTGATTTGGATCAGACTAAAGATTTAATATGATTGCAAATTTTACCTACTGGTTAATGTCACAGTATTTGATATAATTATCTTGTCCACGTGACAGAACTGTAGAGAAAATGCTGAATAAATGCTTCAGTAGAACTGTGGTTCTTTTCATAGTTTGACTACTATCTATGTAAAATGATTGTGCAGAGGACAAAGGGGACACAACAAAAAAGCGTAGAGTGGAGCGCTCAAGGAAGTACGTGGAAATATCCTTTGAAAAATAGAGTCCTCTATCTATTATTGTAAGGATGCTAGTTTTTTTAACATTTTTAAAGCTATTTTAATGACATTGTGATGCAGAATGGCGGAGGCAAAGGAAAGAAATTTGACGCCATCAGTTCCCTCTGACATGCAAGCTGTTTTGAAGCGGTGTGAAACCCTTGAGAAGGAAGTTCGATCCCTAAAACTTAACTTGTCCTTCATGAATAGGTAATCAAAATTAAGATAAATATTGATGAATGAATTGGGTCTTTTGGCCTGGATTGACTTACATTAACTGTATAGAAAGAGTAGTCCATGACATAAACATCCAAGTACAAAAAAAGAGTGTTGGAAAGTGTTTACTCTACCACCTACCAATAGATCACAATCATTAGCTAAGCAATTAGTCTTAACTACCGAATATCTACTTCACTTGGGTGGTCCATAAAGAAGACCATTGCAGATGAAATCAGCAGTTGCAATGGAACTAGTAATGCCCCTCTATATACATACTAGCTAAGTAGAATGTCATAGTCGCACATGTTTTGTTCAATATATTTTGAAATTTTTATTTTTTTTCAGCTTTCTAAAAAACATTAAAGAAAAGACAAATTACATTCACACTCTGAGGCTTAACGAAATCTCACTCATTATCCGACTTTACATAATCTTCAATTAATTTATATAACAATATGATTTCCTATTCCCTTCTCAATAACACGTCTTTCTTGATTTCTTATTTAATTATATGTATGAATTAGAAGGAGTCAAAGTAATGTAAAATAGTGGAAAGGTATTTACTGTAATTTCATTAAACCTTTTGAGATGTGAATGTAATTTATCCTAAAAAGAGTAATTATTTTCTCAAAATTAATTTCAACCAAACTCGCATGGACACTTTTTGAACTTGTTTATTCATATGCTGTGTGCTAATATGATCTCCGAAGTGGCTGCCTATGCATGTATGACAACCTTGATTGCCTATTAACTGTAACTTTGTGTGCAAAATGAAAACACCAATTTGATATATTAAAGTTATGCACTGTAAATTTTCAGGAAGGATTCTGAACAAACAAAGCAGATAGAGGACCTTCAGAAGCAGAATGAAGACTTAGCAGATGAAAAAGAGCGTCTCCTAGAAGAGATTGAAAGAATTCTTTCAGAAACTGGAAAGATTTAATGTTTAGTTTCTTACTATATCCTCTCCTTAGAAACTATGCAGTGCTCGAACAAGATACAATGATAAAATCTTACCACAATCCCTGCTTAATAGTGAACCTCTGGATTCTCTTGGTAAAATATAAATGCATGGAATCTAAATTATTAGTATCACAATTTATCTGATAAAATCTAACTGTTGTTCAAAATTTTAGGAGCACCGACGAGAGTGTAATAGATATGAATGTAACAAATTAAAACACGGTTATCTCAGAATCTATATGCATCCAAATGATTCTAAAGTCTTACATATTTATCAATCTTGATATTAGGATTGGAACATACGTCCAAAAATGCAACTAAACTAATCAAGCATATCAATATCAATTAAAAGTGTTTTTTGACCTTTATATTCTATTAGGCGTTGATCATTACTTATTTAAATGTTGTTCTTGAACAAGAGTATGTATCGCTTTATATAAACTTCTATACCGCTTTTACTCATTTCTCCTATTTGTGTAGATACTAAGCTAAATTACATTGTTAGAGGACGAATTCAATTTTATACAATTGAATTCACAAGCTGAATTATGGTTCTACGTTTGTCTATTAATATGTTCTAATTACTACCTTGTAATGGAATTTGAACTCGGAACCTTCACAGTAAGATAAACAGTGATAATGTATCGAAGACCCATCATTGTTACTGCCCACCAGAGCCGACTCAAGATATAGGGAAATAAGATTTTTTGGGTGTATACTCTATCATAATGCATCAAAATTAATTTTACAAGAAGTACCCATTTTTTTATGGCTAAAAGGGAACCCATTAATGCTAAGGTTACCTGTAAATTAACCCTTGAAGTTTAAATATCTGCAAATTAATCCCTCTGCTTTTAATTTCTCACATTTAAAATTCAAACTAAGTCACTCACTTTCAATTTGTATTCATTAACTAACAAAATTATAAGAGGCATCTGAATAACCAAACCGTTACAAATTTGTAAAATTGATAGGGGATTATTTGCGTCTATTGTGTACATATAAGCAAGGATACTTTTTACCATCAAATTAATTATATACACACGTGACTACCTCCATTAAACTTAACAGTCTTTGCAGTATAGGATTCATTTTGCACCATTTATAAACACTTGATCTGCACACATTTAAAGTGTATCGGAGAGTAAATTATAGAGAAAAAGAAAGGTGAAGACAAAGTTTTTATTTCAAGTTAATGTGTTCTAGCTTCATAATTTTTTAAAATAATAGTCATAAAATAATAGTCTTTTATAAATATTGTATAACTTTTAAATTCAAAAATAGAATATTTATCCTCCTATCCCTTCCCTTCAAAAACCAGACTCTCAAAACATACCCTTTAAAGACTAATTTGCATATGACACAAACATTAAGGAGCTAAACTATATTTTTACCTTTATAAACTATCCTTGATCATCATTATCACATCAAACATGAACAAATAGATGATAATTTCATTCTCATTTCCATTAAAACCATCCCAACAAACCAAACGCTACCATTACGACTTTTAAATATTTTAAATTCAAGTGCATAGGTGACTCTTACTAGCAATTCAGACAGATACTTAAGTGGGCATATTATATATAAGGCAACTATGAAAACTACTATTCCCACATTTACTCTTTTAACTAAGCTTAAAAAGTTTTCCTTTTGTAGGAACTTGGTCCATTTAACTTAACTATTGAATCTTTAATTCTCCCTCGAACTATACATGATTTCCTTATACAAAGTCGACGCTCATTTATCATGAGGCAAGAATGTCACCTGCTGTAGTTATATTACATAAGGCTTCTGCAAAAAGGACATTGCAATCATAAAAATAATTGCTATGATTTAGGGAATCTGAATATATCTATGAGACCGAGCCTCTTCCCATATTCAATAGCTAACCAAGCCACAAAAGATAAGTATGCCAAAAGAAAACAAGCACGGCTGATGAGAACTGTATTGAGACGCCAAGGAAATTTCCAAGTTGTAGAAGATCGATATAACGAACATAGTAGTAGTTGTAGGGACCTAATAAACAATATGAAGATCAATGAAGTTAAGAACCCAGTTACGAGTCCAGCTATGGTTTCCCACCTCCAATATCTGGTCCTTCCTTCACTGGAAAACCAGAAATTTACCATCTCCATGGCCCTGAATGGCAGATCCATACATAATATAAATAATAGTAAACATTGTATTTATAGTTAAACTACATAAAAATTTGTATGAAGTGCTAATCAAACTATTTGTGTTGATACAAAGATCAATATGAACAGTTTACAAATTAGGTTGTCAAGACTCCACTGTCATGACAGCAACTTACAACTGTGTGACACCACCTGCTTGTTTAGGAGGACTGGGACGGGTGGTATTCAACCAAGCAATTGGAAACATCCCAAGAACCCTTTCTTTCATTGTGTACTCCCATTGATATCTCCGACTTGTAAGGATCAGTAGGGCTTTTCACATTTTTCTCCAAAATGACACATGTACCATGAAAAATGACTATATCTCACCAGTTCCCATCCAAACAACAATTCTAGTTCTTTTTCGTTCATAGAACCTTTTGAACAAAATTATCAACTACCAGCTTAATGCAAAGACTACAGATTAATAGAAAATATTTTTCTCTTTCTTTTTCTGGTATATCAAGAGTTATCACGGATTGAACCTATGATTTTTAAGTGTTTGACCTAAATCCCCGCCAACCCTTTGGGCTATGTCCAAGTTTCTTTGCCATCATCAAATAAGTAAGTCTGGTCACACAATGGCCATAAAGAACTGCAGAGGGTGTGGGTCTTTTTTATTTGAGACTACAATTGACTACAGAATTGTATGTATTGAAAATATTAAACCTTCAAATGTTAGATTATGAGTACTCACATCTACAATCCAATTTTAATTGAGAAATCTAACCTATGATATCATGGCAAATACACACTAAAATATTCAGCAGGTTATGAAAAAATAGTGTACTCACAGGGTAGAATATTGTCTGCTCTTCTCAAGGGTAGATGGCTTATTGGCATGGCAACCAAAAAGACTATCTTGATGTAAGCGAACTTTGGAAATGCCAGATGTGTACCAGCAATCATAAGTTTCATTGACCTAATAAAGGAAGAGAAAATAATAATGATAAAACAATATGTTGACCCCTATTGAATAGGTAACAAATGTAACTTTTACTATATATGACATCATTATGAAATTTACACACAGTGAGGTTCAGCTTGATAAAATAATGTCAAAGGTCACAAGTTAAGGCCCAAACCTTAAATCTATATTGTGTCAACCATGCAGCACCAAAATTAGGTCGGCAATAAAGAGGAAGGGCCTCATTTGGAGCCTCTGCAAATGCGACTTGTGTTTGACCTGAAAAGTGATCTTTATATTCCACCTGAAACAGTGTTAACTGTTAACATAAATATTTAGAGCTACCCAAAAGATAGACTGTAGATGAGCTGTGTGCACATCCATGCACAATGAATTGATTATCACATATGCTAGCATGTTCATAGATCACATAAAACTTTTTCCACTGATGAACACCAATGTTTTGTTAGGTTCTAGGTCAGAAGTAGCAGTCTACTCCTCTTTACATTGTTCTGAAGCCACTTTTGTTTGGAAGAAGCTATATGGAATCATTGATGAATGTTGGACATATCTTTTGACTTTGGAGCAGTTCTTATTGATTTAGAGAGGGTGTGAGAAGCAAACGGGTAAAGTTTAAGACGGGAAATAATTTTTGTAGATGTTTGGCGTATTCAGATGGAAGGGAATGCTTGTGCTTTTCAGGGTGTTTCTCTTACCAGATGATTTGAGAATAGCTTTTTTTTTTTAAGGCAACCTCCCTTGTTGCTATGTAGAGGAATTGGAGAGCTTTACTGCACTAATGAACTTGTTTGTTAATGCTATTTTCCTTTTCATAGTCATTGTTAGGGAGAAAACCCTATCTTCCTTTTTATTCTTATAACAAATATACTCTGTTATTTTATAGAAAGTAACAAAAAAATACTGACTTGTCAACGAGTAATAATAAGGTTAATAACCTTGAATATTGAAGCCCAATAGTAATCGTAACGGCAGCGAAATTTGCTTCTTTCAAAATGATGAAATACATCCTTTGCTTTATAATTTAATAATCCAAGTTCACAAATCTTTGATGACCTAATATCAACACCTGTAAAAATACGATAACATACAATTTAGTATGAAGTAATATAAACAGTAAAGCCTTCAATTTGTTTCAAAACTTATAAACTTGGAAGTAAATGAGTACTATCAGTCAAACAGAGATCAGAATGGAAAATGATAAAGCAAATCAGTTATTATGAAGTGTAATTTGCAAGCATCATAGATAATGCACTTCCTTTTTTAAAAAATTAATTAATAAAAAATATATACAACAAAATTTTTGCTATCAAGATTTAAGAAACAATAATAAAAAAACTTTTTTCTGCACAAATTTAAACAATGGCTATCATGCACCGATAATTGAGACTTTTTGAAGCTATTAAAACTTCAAATTTGTAGTTTGGAGACCTTTAAAGTAAAAATATTTAACTATAAACATATTCACCACAACTAAAAATCCAACAGTAAAATCGCCTACCATTGTTTAGGTTTCTTATTGAATAAATACACATCTACTGTTAGAAAAACTTAAAACACTAACTACATGTTCCATGCAAAGCAAGCCAGCATTTCCAACAACAATTAGGAGTTTATATAACCTTTTTCTACTAAAAAGTAAGTAATCAAGCAATGTGATCAACTAAAGTAATTAAGTCAAAATTTCCAAATCAAACACTTTATCAACTCCCCCTACTCGATTATTCAGTTCTAAGTACTTTCCTGCACTATTTCCTGAGCTAAACAAAATTCTAATTCCCAATTCATGTGTATTGATTCCATTCAGCACGAAACTAAGCTTGAAAGTTAATGCAGAAAAGCTTGAGAAACTCGTCGAATTGAAGAGAGAAAAATAACCAACCGGAGGAAACGATCTTGCACTGTGAGGGTAAAGAAATGGGGTTGGAGATAGAGAAATCGGCGACGATGAGAACGAGCAGGCCAAAGAGAAAGGGAATCGAGAGGAAGAAAAGGAAGGGGAATAGAATTGCAAAAACCCATCGTAGTGTAACCAAAACGACGCCGTTGCTCTTGGGCGATTCCTGGGCCTGGGAGTGAGAATCAGGAGGATCCATGAATCTGAGAAGGGTTGGTTAGGGTTAGACACTCGGAATCGAAGTGGTGTCAATGCCGGTCACCGGAGAAGGGAACCATTTATCCGGTGATCGGTGAAAAGCGAAACGCAGAACGGAAAACGAGATATACGTGGGGTCACAGAAAACGGGGTTTGGTTCGTCACACAGTCCTAGTCAAATAAACCCAGCTTTGGTGTGTTAGTGTAGATCATTCAACTTACTGTGTTTTGTCTTTTTTATTTATTTATTATTATTTTCCACGAAAATACTGCTACTTCTGTTCGATGATAATTAACGTGTTGGGTTAAGACATGTAACATAATAAAGTTATTGATTAATATAAAAAAATCAAAAAATTATGAAATGCAGTAGTTAAAAAAATGGTTCAAGTATATTTTAAAAAGATTTATTTATATTATAATTATTTAAAATCTTTAATCAGTTTAAAAATTAATTATTAATATATTATTTACCAATTAATTAAAAATTAAGTTAGCTGATCTGGCTTACTAAATTAGGAATAGTTAAGTAGTCAGTTTGAAATTTTCAAATAATTGAAAAGACTTAATGTTAAAATTTGACAAAATTTAGTCAAGATGAAGTAAAACTATGTGGTAAAAAATCGGTTTAAACTAGTATTTAAAAAACATCTTTTTATACCTTTTGCTTAAAAATATTTTTTTTTAAAAATAAAGATTGATACTTAAAAATTACATATAGATGGATAATATAATTACTTTATGATATTTTAAATTTAATTTTGTTAACATTTATCACTAAAACTGATTTTAAGCAAGTTTAGGGTTTAGGGTTTATGGAAAATATATTTAAAAAATATTATTATGAGAATATAAATTTCAATTTATATTTTTTAAATATATAATAAATTTTAAATGAATGTATTAAATATTTACATAAAAATGTAATTAATAAATACTTTTTATTAAGCGAGTTATGGGTGTATTAAATTTTTAATGAGTTATAAGTAAGTTAATATTTTTTTATTCATTTATTATAATTTAATTCAAAATATATTCAATTTATTCATTCGACGCCTTAAATATATATTTGTCGATTCCTTCATACAGTGTGTTTAAATAAAATGATATAAGTAAACTTTTGGGCCTTCTGATTGATCTACCCTTACTTCAAAAACAAACAGCATTTTATGACATTTAATAGTACCATTAGATATTAATTTTTATAATTTTAAATAAAATTTTGTTATATATATCTTCTTACCATATATAATACTATATATATATATATATATATATATATTAAAAATAATTATAAATTAACTTATAGTTATCAAGTGTAATATTTATTTGTTTTTTCTCTTTCCTTTTTGTTAATAAGAAAATGGTTAAATATAAAATTTGTTAAATATTCGATAAACTTAATATGATATAAAAGTTAATATGTATCTACTATATAAAAGTTAATTTTATAATTGATAAGAATTAAATATATATAAATTTCAGTTAAAAACTAAAATCAAAATTTAAAATTTTTTTCAAATACTAAAAACATACTTAACCTTAAAAAAAAAAAAACCAAAACGTTGATGGGCCTAAACTGGTGTGGCTTGTCTTGGGCTTGGGCTCAAAAAGAAAGAGAACGCGACGGGGACAGTTGGGAATTTTGAAAAATGGGAATGGGCTTGTGATTGTGATTTGTGAACCATTCTCAAATTAATTCCACCTTTCGCGTTTCGCGGTTCCCTCTCGAAACGGAACCAATTCATATTATGGCGCCTTCTTTAAATTATCCAATTCAATCGCATTAGGGTTTCAATTTCTCTCTCTCTCTCTCTCTCTCTCTCTCATTTCCATTCTTAACTTCCATCGTTTCGACCAAATCCTACACTTCACTTCGATAGGGTTCCTTCCCTTCGATCCTATTTTTTGGAAGACAAAAAAAAAAAACCCGGCAATAATGGCGGTGGAATTGACGGAAGGGGCAATTTTGATGATGTGCGATAACAATTTCTCTTCGGAGGAGTTGATGCCGGTGCTGCAAGTTATCGAACTGAAGCAGGTGCAGTCGCAGCAAAACAGCGCCACCGAGAGGTACCGCTTGGCGCTTTCCGATGGTTCGCATTACCTGCAAGGAATGCTCGCAACGCAGAAGAACGAGTTGGTGCATTCTGGAAGGTTGCAGAAAGGTTCCGTTATTAAGCTTACTCAGTTCATCTGCAACGTTGTGCAGAACCGCAAGTGAGTTCAACGTCGCACGTTTATCTTTTTTATTTTAGTTTTCTTTTATGCTTTTGGGTTAATGTGACTTGTGTGCGAGAAAGGTGAAAGGGATAAGTCTTCGAAAGATGGTGTTTTGTTAAATGTTCCTTTGTCTTCCTTATTTCTGTTGAATGATTCTGATATTCTATAACCTGTAATGGTCATGCTTTATTTTTCTGCCTACATTGATAATTATGCATTTGAAGTCAGTTTGTTATGTTATTGGAAGGTTAGTGACTTAGGGTCGATGATCTGAATACCGAGTTTTCTCGTTATTAGAGCCTTGTGAATTTGAATACTTCATGAGTAAGATTTTTTGGGAGCATGGGTGACTATTTTGTACTGGTTGTAGATTTTCATGAAAGACTGTTAGTCCCCAGTTGTCTTTTTCGGTTTTTATTATTGTAAACTAGTTGAGTGCTTTATGGCCTGGTGGCAGGAAGTTATCTTGATCATAGCTTAATTTATTTTCATGTCAGGGGTTAGTTAATGATTTGGTTTTACATTTCATTATGAACAGGATTATTATCACCATTGAGCTAGAGATTGTGCTAGACAAATGTGAATTGATTGGACAACCTGTCTCACCACCAAGAAATGGAGTTGTACAATCTGCTACTGGTCAATCAGGAACCGACCATGGGAATTCAGAATCTGTAAGTAACCGTTCACATGCAGGTGGTATGAATGCTAGACCAATGTCTGTGGATCCAAAAGTGAATCCTCCTGCTAGCAGTGTTTATTCTAGTAATTCTGACTCTGTAAGACATGGTACATCTAATGCCCCTCCTGCTTATCATAAAGCAGAGCCCAGAGTCAGTTTGCCAAGATCAGCACCATTTGGTGGGTCTTATGTTGATCAGAACCCAGGTTTCCGCAATCCCCAATCAGAGGCTTCAAGGCCCATGCAAAATTCTTATGTTCATCCACCTCAGCCTATGTACCGGCAGCCATCTCCTATGTACAATAACAGAGGGCCAATTGGAAGAAATGAAGCGCCCCCTCGGATAATTCCAATAGCCGCATTGAATCCATACCAGAATATGTGGACAGTTAAAGCTAGAGTAACAGCTAAGGGAGAACTCAGGCACTATAACAATGCCAAAGGTGATGGCAAAGTGTTTTCTTTTGATCTTCTGGATTCTGAAGGTGGAGAAATTCGGGCAACTTGCTTCAACACTGTGGCTGACCAATTCTATAATTTAATTGAAGCTGGCAAGGTATATCTTGTTTCCAGGGGGAACATAAAGCCAGCTCAAAAAAACTTTAATCACCTTCGCAATGATCAAGAGCTAACCCTTGATATGTCAACAATTATACAGCCTTGCCTTGATGATGACAACTCAATTCCGAAGCAGACATTTAATTTCCGTTCCATTGGTGAAATTGAAAGTGTGGAAAGCAACAGCATTGTGGATGTTATTGGTGTGGTGTCTTCTATTAGTCCCACAGCTTCAATCATGAGAAAAAATGGCACTGAAACTCAGAAGAGAACTCTACAGTTGAAAGACATGTCTGGACGAAGTGTGGAGTTAACATTATGGGGAAATTTTTGCAATGCAGAAGGACAAAGGCTGCAAAATATTTGTGATTCTGGGGCAATTCCAGTTTTGGCTGTAAAAGCTGTCCGGGTAAATGATTTTAATGGGAAGTCTGTTGGGACTATAGCTACTAGTCAGCTATTTGTAGAGCCTGATTTTCCTGAGGTTTATACATTGAAAGACTGGTTTGCCAAGGAAGGGAAGAATGTCCCAACTCTCTCTATTTCTAGAGAAGCATCTAATTTTGTTAAGACTGATGTGCGGAAGACTATATCTCAAATTAAAGATGAGAAGTTAGGGACTTCAGAGAAGCCTGATTGGATATCTGTCTGTGCAAGAATTTCATACATTAAAGTTGATAATTTCTGTTACACAGCATGCCCTATCATGGTAGGGGATCGGCAATGTAACAAAAAGGTGACTAATAACGGAGATGGGAAATGGCGCTGTGACAGATGTGATCAGTCTATTGATGCTTGCGATTATAGGTACATACTGCAATTCCAGATACAGGATCACACAGGCATAACATGGGTCACTGCTTTCCAGGAGAGTGGTGAGGAGATCATGGGGATACCTGCGAATGATTTGTATTTTCTGAAATTTGAAGAGCAAGATGATGAAAGATTTGCAGAAATCATTCGTAAGGTTCTCCTTGCCAAGTATGTGTTCAAGTTAAAAGTAAAAGAGGAGACATTCAGTGATGAACAACGTGTCAAGTCAACAGTAGTAAAAGCAGACAGGGTAAATTTTGCATCTGAATCTAGAGTTCTTTTGGATTTGATTGATAAACTCAGGGCCGAGAAATCAGAATGTACTCTTCCAAATTCTGTAATCAATAATACTGGACTGGGGAACATTGAAACTGGACAAGTTATGCCACCAGTTTATAATCCTATAAAGAGCAACGCTGATAACAGTAGAGATTATGGGATGCCAGCAAACCAAGTGGGTCAGTATGGAAACCAATATATCAAATATGCTTCAGCAGGTGCTCCCGGTTCATATATGTCATCATGTAGCAATTGTGGAGGCTCTGGTCATAGCTCTATACTTTGCCCAAATATTAGAAATATACCTGCACAGTCTGGGGGAGGGGCCTTTGCTAACAGGGCATCTAGTGGGGGTGCATCTGGCGAATGCTTTAAATGCCATCAAACTGGCCACTGGGCAAGAGACTGTCCTGGTTTCAGTGCAGCTCCTCCGGCATATGGAAGTACTAATGTGATGCAAGGAAGATATGGGGTTGCTCAGAAGCAACAGTTTGGAGGATATTGAAATTTTTGCTAGTCGGTATTTTGAGTTCATTTTGCTTCAAGTATATGTTGCCTTAAAAATATAAGCAATTTCACCTTAACTGTTCACTCTGTAAATATAGATGACATAATTATGTGGTATTGATACCGGATTTCTTGATGCTAACAACAATGTCCTTTTTATTTTGACCAGTTTTTCCCTTTAGCCGATGCAATTAATCATAATGGGGATATATTTTTCAAGTGTTTGCTCGTTGATCACGGTCAAAGATTTATTTTTACAGTAATGGTGAAAGACAGAAGAGTGTGAAGTAATATTGTCATTACTATATAATTATTGCCAATAAAAATATAAAATATTAACCATAGGCTTTAGTGTTGAGTTTCAGGAGTTAATTATAATCAAAATTTATTAAAATAAAAAATATTTATTGTATTTTTATAATTTCAATATAATAAATGTATTTTTTTAACAAAAATTATGTTTAAACTTATTTATGTGAATTGAGGTTAATATAACAAAAATTGTTATTTCTCAAATTTAGAATGAATTAAGTCAAATTTTAATGGAATTTCTTCAACTTATTTTTTTTATTATAAATTTTCATTATATAAAGTTATTAGATCAATTCTTCAATAGATTTATTATTTAAATAACTAAAAAATATATATTGTATACAGTATTGAATATAATTATTTTTATGTATACAAATTATAAAAACACGTCCTTAAAAATAAAAGAGATAAAAAATTATATAAAGTTATTTTTTATTTTCTAATAAGAGATTAGGTTGTAGTTAAATTAAGTATGAAATATTTTATAGTACTTCTTATACTTTAAATTTACTTTTAATAAAATATTGATGCTTAAAAATAAGTTAAATATAGAAATTCAAGTTTAATTAGAAAAAATAAAAATGCTCAAGTTTATTCTAATAAAATTATTATAATAAAAAAAAAATGAATTGTATCCACTGCACGAGGGGCAAAGACTAAATTCTTTGCCAGGAGATCATTATATTAAATGTACCATCTCGTAATAATTTTTTGATATGCATCTCGAGAAGTTGAACTTCAATGTATTTAAATAATTTATTTATTTTCAATTGTTTTGAATCTTGTCAACATCAACTATATCTTTGAGTAAAATACACTTTCTGTGGAATATAAATATAATATTATTCTCATTTTATTTAATCCATTTAATCATATATGCGTGTATATTGTTTTAAATTTATTGATTTATGCTTTATCTTGTATATTCTAATTTTCTTTATATTTTTTATACACTATCTTTTATTTGTGTTAAAACTGCAAACTGTTTATAACTTAGATGTTTTTATAAAAAAGTGATTTATTATATTTTATTTTTACTATTTGATACCAAGATAAATTTTTAAAATTATTATAATAATAGTAATAAGTGCTTACATTTCATGAACGAAACACTTAACTATATGTACGACAAAACTTTATAATTTTTTGCCTCAATGTAAACAATGGTTAACATTTGTCATTAAATTTAAAATCATTTATTATTATTAATATGAATTACTTAAATATATATTTAATGGCTTTAAATTAGCAATACATTAAATTTAAGTATTTTTCAAACAATTTTCTAAAATTATTTTAAACACGTGTTAACATGATGCAAAAAAAGGAATTGTTTCAAATTATAGTGATGATATACATGTATCATAAAAAGAAGTATTAATTATCAAACTAATATAAATAAAATTAAATATAGTTTAAAAGTTCAAATATAAAACTAGAATGTCCACTTGTATATTATAAATATGAATTCTCTCATTTGAATAAAGATATTTTTAAGAGGTATTAAATTTTATTTGATTACGTTTTTTATGTTACATTAATTAATTAATTTTAAATATTGTAACTGAAAATTTTAACACATATTTTAAAAATATTTTAAATTTGAATATATTGTATTTTTAGATAAATTGATCAGTACAGTTATTATGAATTTTTTAATTGAAATGGGCACAACACACTATCAAAAATCAAACTTGTCCTGACATGTTTAGAGAAATCCAACTATCTAGTAACTCTGTCAAGTTTTGTTGTATTTGATTTTTAAATTTTAATACATTATATTAATAACAATGCTATATCTTGCCTCAATTAATTTATTTTCATATTTTTTAAATGTATTTCTATTTAATAAAATATTCATTAATAACAATAAGCATATCTACTATTTTTTTATTTATTATAATTTTTATTTAAATTTATAAATATTTATATAATATACGGAAAAATATATATTTATAAATCAATTTTAATAAACATGTTTTAAAAAAGTGGGTGATGGTTGTGTACCAAAAAATATGGTAAGTCGTAGGTTGCACGATGTCCACAAGATGGACTAATAAAGGCACGTGCCATTCATCTCTTAAAAACGTGTGTCTTCCCCACTCACGTGCCTGTGGCAGCCACACGTTTTCCAGTTCTCTCTGGTCACGGTATCTTCTCTTCTCTCTCTATGCGCTTTCGATTTTCCATAGCGTTGTTTCATTCTCTGAATTCCGTAGTTTTCTTCTTCGATTCGACGAGATAAATCGATGCATCTTTTTGTTAGGGTTCATAATGGTTCATCCTTAATTGCCTCAGAAATTTCTGGATTGTTTCGTACTCTTATAATTGAATGACACTAGACTGGCCTTAATAATTTTTAATTATAATTGTTTATTCTTGTTTGTATGTCTATTGTCTAGAATCTTCCAATTGCTCCCTCGTACTGTAGCCACGGAATAATGTCATTATAGTATGATGCAGTCTCTTATTCTTATCCTTTCTACTTTTACGGCTTGAATTGTGTACTTTTTTTTTGTTTATTGTGATAATTTTGTGAGTTTACTTACTGTGGCATTTCTTTTCTGATGTTTGCAATGAACAATTTTGAAATATGTTTACTGTCTTTAAATTTGACGTTTTCTCATATGTATGAATTGTTCTTTTACTTTTTGCTTTTTTGTGGACAAAAATGTGCTTCCTTTTGATTTACAAAGCAGGTGACTGATGAGGTGATGCTTGCAATTTGTTGTTTAATTTAGAAGACTGTGTTTGCGAGAGAGATACTAGTCATTACATTTTCTTCCCCTTGAATTTTTTGTTACCTTTTGTAATAGTTCATTGATGCTATTGGCATGATTTTACTGTTTTTCAACTTCAGTACTGATGGTGAATTTTGTATTTTGCAAAGAACGTATTTGCTATCTAATATGATTGGTTTCATCTGATTTATAATTTTCCCCCTTTTTTCTGGAATAATTTTTTTCAGCAGGACACAATGGACTTATTTTTAAAGGGGATGAATGGGAATGGATCTGAGTGCCCCTTTGATGTTGAAGATATCCAAAGATGCCCATTTTTAAGAAACATCAATGAACCTACAAATTTCTCTTTCTTTTCAACCAAAAGCTCCCTTCCTGTTAGTTATTCATCTTTGTTCCCTTTCCACTGGTCTTTTATCTGGCGAGTTCAAATTTGGGTCAATATTTAAGTTGACTGTCTTCATTCTCAATGTTCAGGTGCATGGAGCAAAGGGTCCTATATTTGAAGATGGTCCTAATTTTGACATGGCATTTAAGCTATTTCATGGGAAAGATGGAGTTATTCCCCTATCAGAGAAATGTGACTTTGACTATGGCAGCAGAGAAGCTGATTCTTTTCCTGTTTTCAATCCTTTAGCAGGAAAAGCTGCCGCCATAAGTCTGTCAGCCTTTGGACTAGGTGGCCCATTTGGTTTTGGGAATTTTTCTGAGAATTGGAAGAAACAGAAAAAATCCGAATCATCAAACAAAAAGGAACCCTCATCTCAGGTAAACCTTTGTTTATTTTTTTCCCTTTTCTTTTTGTTTCATCCACACACTTAGAAGTTTGTTTTTGAAAAGGAAATCCACTGTGACTTTAGCATTTCATCATGAAATTAGCTCCTGGTAGGAAAAATGTACTGCTATTATAGGCATGAGAGCATTCACAATCCAGTTGTCTATCATTGATTATCCATAATTTATCAATTTTGGTGATCACAGGACAAAGATTTGATGTGCTTCATAGTTTTCTTTTCCCATAACTTAATTATTGTGAACTGATTTAAGTATCCTTCAAAACATGATTTGCACTGATTTTTCTTTCTCTGGCGAGCTTCACTCCAGAATGGAGATTTGTCAAAGCATGAGGCACTTGGAAATGAATGGTTGGCAAAAGGAAATTGTCCCATTGCCAAGTCTTATAGAGCTGTTAGCAGTGTCCTACCCCTTGTTGCAAAAACTTTTCAGCCACCAACTGGAATGAAGCTTAAATGTCCACCTGCAGTTGTTGCTGCAAGGGCTGCCCTTGCCCGTACAGCCTTTGTTAAAAACTTGCGGCCTCAGCCTCTTCCTGCTAAAATGCTTGTTATTGCAGCATTGGGCATGGCAGTTAATGTGCCCTTTGGCATGTGGAAGGAACATACCAAGAAATTCTCTTTGTCTTGGTTTGCAGCAGTGCATGCTGCTGTTCCCTTTATAGCCATGCTTCGGAAATCAGTAGTCATGCCTAAATCAGCAATGGCATTAACCATTGCAGCTTCTATCCTAGGGCAGGTTATCGGCTCAAGAGCTGAACGAATTCGTCTGAAAGCAATAGCTGAGATGGGAAAAGTGAAAACAGAGACTGTAAGCAGCATGGCAAGCTATAATCCTGGGCAGCTTGGTGATATTAAGGCCAGTCTCTGTGGTGCAGAAGGAATGGTTCTCAAATCACTTCCTGCGAAGGATGCTGGTGGTTCGGCTACAGCTGCCAACGTATGTTATTGATCTATATTCTATAAAACCGGAAAAGAAATCAATTCAAGTTTGATTTTGTACTATATATTAATGAACTGAAATGGTAATAAAATGGATTTATATAAATAAAGGCTTTATGAATTATGTATGTAGAACATGAACAGAAATTAAGACATCAGCTACTTTGCATGCACAAATGTATCTGGGAACAACCACTCAATTCAGATAAATTTCAGCTCCCCTTAAATTATCCATACTTTCTGAGATGTGGCTGGAGTAACTTGCACTTGATTACCACTGCATTTAATGTTTGAAAAGATTATCCTGTTTTAGCTTAATTATTTGATCCTATTTCACTAAGGCAAAAAAAAAACTAAAGATAAATAGTATTTGCATTTAAAAGTAAGACGTAGATATGCAAAAAAAAAAAAAAAAAAAAAAAAAAGTGAAACAGATTAAAAAATTGACTTCCCGGTGCAGCCACAGGTAGCAAATAAGAGGGAAATTTTCGATAAACTTCCTCAACATCATCCTCACGCTTCTTTGGGTACAAGATACTCTACATATGGTGTTCCTAGAGATGGCAATGGGTAGGGTATGGATAGGGTACTAAAGTACCCATTCTCATACCCGCGTTTTAAAAAAATACTCGTACCTAGTCCCATACCCGCATGGGTATGAACATTAATTCCCGTACTCGTACCCTCTGGGTACCCGCATACCTGTCTTGTACCCATTACCCGCGTTTGTTTAAGAAAAAAATATTTATAAAGAAAAATATGTTTATATAACTTCATATAAGTAGCATAATAATACAAAAATTCAATATGTAGTTGCCGAACAAGGTACAAATATAGATAAAAAATAAATATTCAAAGATCATAAACGTTAAATGTATCTTAATATAATAATTTTCTAAACTAAAATTCTTAGAAACAATAAGCAAAACTAAACACACAAGTTATTTGTCAGTGATAATCCTATCTTGTGTGAGATTTGATTGTTGGTAATGTCAGAATGATAACGAAATAGATTTGTACAATGGTTGTCCCTTCGTGTGGGATCACTTAGTAACCTCTTATGACGACATTAACAACTAACTCTAATGAATAACATTTCATAGTTTTATTAAGTTTTAGCGAGACAGACATTGAGAATGAGAATAGAGTTAGAGTAGAGAAATTCAATACTAACAACAGAAAGTTGATACATAAAATATTTTTTTTAACTTTTGAATTTGAAATTGTAAGAAAAATAATAGATTTAATTAAAATAATATAATATAATTAATATATATATATATATATATATATATTAATACTAGTATTTTTTTAACTCATATACTATACGAAAATATTTTATCAAAAATATAAATTTTTAAAAAATTATTTTAGTGAATTAAATATTTATAATGTATATAAATTTTAAAAAAAAGAATTTGAATAAAAGATAAATAGTTACAATAAAATTTTATAATAAAGAAATATACGTGTATATTAAAAAAATTATACTTTTTTATCTTAAAAAAATTAACAAATAAAAATTAATAATAATTTTTTATATTTATATCTTTTCAAAAACAAATAGTAAGAATAATATTATTTAGATTCAATAGATTATAGTTGTGCTTGTAATAAATATGTTACATAGAAAAATATTATTTTAATTAAAATATAAAAATAAAATTTAAATATTATTAATAAATAATAAGTTTACGGTAATAGTAGGTGATTGTAAAATTTATAAAATATTTATAATATATTTATTATTTATCATTCACTTTATGATTTAAACATCAATATGATTTTATTAACAAAAATATTTGTGTAAAAAATATTTTATGTGTGTCATATATAAATAATATTTTAAAAAAAGTCAATATTATATTAACTATGTAATAATTAAATTGTGTTAGCCTAATTAAATGATATAAAATAGTAAATAAATTTTTTTATTAAAAATATAAACCAAAATAAATTTTTTGGTTTACTTTATTATTAAATATATTTTTATATTAATCTTATATAACTTCACATAAGTAATATAATAATACAAAAATTCAATGCATAATTGTAGAATAAAGTTCAAGCATATATATATGCGAGTATGGGGCGGGATGGGTACTTAGATACCCATACCCGCACTCATCCCCATTAAATTTTGTGGGTTTTTACCCACACTCATACCTGTACTCGTATAGCAGGTAAATACCCTACCTATTGTGGATAAATTTTGTGAGTGTCCATCGAGTACTTTACTCATTACCATACCTAGGTGTTCCCATCAAAACAACGCTGAGACATCAACTTGGATGTTGGATTTGTCAATCCAATATTAGTAGAAAAATTATCAAACTAACCATATCATAAAGCTCCTATCTGATACTGTGCATACAAACGACAATTTTTCGTTGTGGTCAGTGGACAAATAAAATGACCAATTGTGTGGTACTTCCTTTCTTGGGCCAATTTCTGTAGCCCATTCACTGATCGGGATCAAAGCCGAAAACTGTATAGGATCTTTGCAGTGAGTGATGTTTGTTTAATAATCCACTGCATGACTGAACACGTTTGAATTCCTATCGTTATTGGCAGTCAAATCCAACCCAACAGGGAGTCGCAAATTTCTTCGCTGGTTGGTGGCTCACCACGGAACAGGATACTCTCCCATTGTAGTGCGAATTAGACGGTTCAATTAAATAAAATTTTACATTTTTGTTTAAATAAATTTTTTTAGCTTAAACAAAAATATAAAATTAATGAAACTAAACGTCCAACTACGAGAGAGAATCTGGATCTAGCTCACCACTCACCCTCTGTGGCATTGGATATGCCCTTTTACCTGTCCCTTTAAAACTTGTTTAGGGTTATACAAAATTATGTATGATTTTAATGAAAAATAGTTATATAAATAAATTGTTTCAACGTTTTTTCTCTTCAATTTTTAAGCCTAATATATCGTGTGGGAATCCATATCACGTAGACATGGAATTAAATTGTAAGTGGGGAAATTTAGGTGGACGTGGCTTTCACGTTAAAGTACAAATATAATTAATAAATTGTGACCATAATGTTCCCAAATATCCTTCTTACTTTTTTCTGAGTAAGCATATATAGCAGATGAATTTCATTAATTAGTGGTCCACCAAAATGTATCCTTAACACGCGGCTTTCTACAAAGAACATGCCATGTTGAGGTCAATAAATGTTTTTTTTTTAAGATTTATCTTTGGGTTATACAAAAGTCAAAGGTTACACAAAAAAAGTGGGTAATTTCATTCCATATCCCCGATTTGAGAGAGAGAGAGAGAGAGAGATTCAATGAAATGAAACTCATGCTATCAGAATTTGTTTGGTAAAATCTTGATTTGATTGATGAATTTCTGATTCTCTCTTTCCGCTAGAAAATGCATACGGCGAAGCAAAGAAGGAGTTGCTACGTCAACATCTAAGCTCTAACTACTCACGTTCCGCTGTTCCTTCCCATGTTACTTATGAACACTCCTTCACTTTCATTTGTTTAAACTCTCTCGTTTTGAGCCTTCCCCTCTTTTCTCTCTCCGCTTCACACCCATGTGACTCGTGCCATTTTAATTATCCTTCCAACTCTGTTTAGAGATTATATTTTAAGAATTTTAAAAATAAATAAAACGTTGGACTGAAGAAATTTAATGCGTTAGTTTTTATTTTTTAAATTTGCATAATTTTTAATGTTTTTATGAACATTAAATTGAAGGGCTTAACTTCTCTATGCACAGTAGGTAACTATCATATTTTACCCTTAAATTGAGTTACTGTCATTAGCAAACAGCATGAAGCTCTAATCTTTCAAGTATACTGAAAAAAATGGTTGAACACATGTACTACATAAACTTTATTTTCAAAGTGTGTCTAGTAGTTGGCTTAGTTATGACCTGACCAAGTTCGATAACTTTGGTTTGACCATATAATTTGATCTAGTTTTAAGCTAATTTCGTTGGGTTTGAGTCATAAGGATTGAAATCAATGTGTTGTGGGAGTGGAATTTAACCACACTTTATGCTAGTCCAACTCAGTGAACGATAAATAGTATTTTAATTTATTTTTGAGCGTAATAAATTATAAGATTTATTAATTATAATAATACATTTTATATTATTATTAATTGTCATATATATATTAGAAAACGATCTTCTCACGTTAATTTAAATTTAAAAAATTTTACATTCAATTCTAACATTTTATTTAATTTATATTTAACAGTGAAGTAATAAATTATAACATGTTAGATATAAGTTAAATAAAATATTTAAATTGAGTGAAAATTTTTTTATATTTAGACTAATATAAAAAGATCATGGCCGATATATAATAACACACTATAATCTCTTATAAAATTATTTAAAGGGTGTTTGACTGGGGTACTTTATCTGATATTTTACCAATTCAATTTTGTTTTATTGATAAAATAAATTCTAATGCAATGTTAAAAGTAAAGAGTACAACACTACAAATGGAAGTTAGTTACTTCTGCACTTAAGAATTTTGGGAAATTTAAATATGATGGGAAATAGTGGGGACGATGTTGAATTTGATAGAGACTGACTTATTATAGTTAGAAGATCAATTCAATAGCATGTATAGTGTTTTTAAGATAAAATTAATTTAAAATGGATTTATTTATAAAGAATGTAGAGTATATTCAATCTTAATTTTTTCTAAGTTAGGATTGAATATACTTCAAACCACGAGTTATTACATATTTGCTTATGCAATTTACAAATATTTTTTTTAACTCAAAGTTTTCTGCTTGCAATTATGATATAAAATATTTTATATGATCAATATATTTTAATTAGTTAGTAGTTCATGCAATGCTAGATATTTTATTTTAAAATAAAAAATATAATATAATAAAATTATTTAAAACGTTAATTTTTTAAAAAATTATTTTAACCTAAATTTATATTTATAAATAATATGTATAAAATAAAAATATAATAAATTTATAATACTTTTAAAATAATATATTAAGTACTATAAATTTTATAAAAAAGGTTTAAAACTACATAAAGTAATACAAAATATTAAATTATAATTTTTATCTTTAAAATTTAGAATAAAATTAATAAAAAAGTTGAAAAGTGAAATTATTATAACGAGAAAGATATAATTCAGACATTATTTTAGATGAATTTAATTTAAAAAAAAATACATGTGACAATTTATAAAAAATTTTTTTTTACCAAATACTTGAATTTTTTAG